AGAGATAGCTGGCCCAGAGATAGCTAGCCCAGAGATAGCTGGCCTAATAAGAGGCAGCTTTCCACTCGCAACAGCGACCTACAAGCTGGGGGGGTGTGTTACCGAATATATAAGGCATCATAACTGAAGAGCAGAAGGATTGGACGATCCTTTTGCCCAATAGCTGACCATCAACCGGCCGTGCCGCCAGTCGAGACCTTCCGTTAAAGGTTGCGAAAACTGCATCCTCTATTCAACGCTCGCAAAAATCCTTCAACCGCGTCCCCCTTCTGCCTCTACTCACTTTCTGTCTCGATGGGTGGTTAAGACTGAGGGAATGTTGGTTCTTCGTCACCGCAGCCGGGTTGATAGCGATCGCTGAGTTGCTTCGTAAGCGAATGCCAAGGTCCCGGGGTAGACTCACTCCTCGCGCGTAGCTCTGTGGCAGTCAGGATAACTCGCGCAGGTCGGAGAAATTTGTGCCATGCTCGTCGGGGAGCATGGGCTGCCGTCTTCTTGTGTCCACTGTGTGCACAGCATCTGGTAGAGCCGAAACGGTGGTCCGGCCTCAAATTCGAACTGAAGCTTCTTCGATTTACGAAGCGATGAGGTGCTGGGGTTGTCTCTTATGTTAAATCCCATCAGTGAGTGCTTGACCGGTTCCGCTCACCGGTCTGGTTTGCCCGCAGGCTCAATGCTGAGCCCTGCCTTGGTGAACGCCTCACCCTTTCACCCAATGAAATCACTCACCTTCTCCCCCCCCCCAAGTCTTCAGGAAGAAAGCCACAGCTTGGGAGGCAGAAGGCTGCATGCCTACTCTAATATGAACAGGCAGCCGTTCACCCAAATTCGCTGGTTTCTGAGCTTCTCCATCCTCCTAGAAAGGACGTGCCCATGTGTCGATAATCGTCCAACAAAATGGAAGCTGTAAGCGCCGCAGCATCCATCGTGACGCTGGTTGCTCTTGCCAAAGAGATTTCGACTCTCGCGACAGACCTCCTCCGTGGCATTCACTCCGGACCAAAAGAGCTAGCACGAGTGCACAATCAGACATGCCTAGTTGTCCTAGGACTCCATTGTCTAGAAAAGATAGCAATCGATACTGGCTGGAGAGATCTCCTCGAGCCGACAGAGATATGGGTCCTACGCCAGACCCTCACTGTGGCCAAGCACAACATGAGCGCTATACGTGAGGACTGCGGGATGCTCTGCGGGAAACCATCGGGGTTGAAGTGGCGGCTTGCATGGACTTTGTTCGAGCGAAGGAAAGTGGAGGAGTACTTGTTGCATTTGCAACAGACGGAGAGCAGTCTCGGCGTTGTTCTGCAATTCATTAACATGTATACTAATGCTCCGGTATTTAGTAGGCTCAGTTACTGACACCGCTCAGGAAAGCTTCCTTCAAAGCGTACTCGGAGACCGAAAAGCAGTTCAACAAGATCAAAAATGCCATTCAAGACCTCCATACGGAGCAGCAACTTCAGAAACGCGCCTCAATCTCCAGAGCGGATCACAGTAACCTCATGCCACAGAGTAATGAGCCCTTGACGCCCTCGCGGTATATCAACACCAATAGACTATCCGAGTTCTGGAAGTGGCTCCTTGCCTGTGAGTTCTTCGTCCTGATCACTACCAACGGCTCGCATAAGAACTACGGCTGCTACGCAAGAGTCTCACTACCTACGCTAGTTGGAGGAATGGCAATCATATTGTCGCTGTCGGTCAGGCGTCACGGATCCACCTGGCGCAACCTTGTGGTACTTGGTGGCCGGCTTACTATAGTGAACTATGTGTCCGAACAGTCTGCTATTGTCGTCGCATGCATAGAAGGCGATCTCATTGCGGTTCGAAATATGTTTCGAGAGAATAAAGCAGCGCCAAGCGATGTGTCAGACCGAGAGAAGTCTCTCCTTTGGGTGAGTCGGCTCGCGACACTTCTCCGATGGGACTAACAGGGATAGTACGCAACCCGGAGCGGCTCAACGGAGCTTGTAGAATATCTCATCAACGAAGGAACACCAGTAACGTCGTAAGTATCCTGACAGCTTTCTTCGTAGAATGAACTCAGCTCATCGCATTGGTAGAGGCGTCCTGCTTGCGGCTGCATACTGGAGAAGACCCGAGATCGCAAGGCTGTGCTTGCTTAACGGTGCAGACGTCGAGGCCGTTGGTGACGATGGCTATACTGCAGCCTTCTTCTTGTTCGGTTCGAGCCGCAAGTGTGAGCCGCAAACCGAGTTTCTCGAGATCCTCGCCTGCAATTCGTTCCAGAACTTCGACGCGCAAGATGCCTGCGGGTGGACCGCGCTGCACCGCGCAGCCGCATTCGGAACACGCGAAGACGTAAAAGCCCTCTTAGCGTTGAAAGCTTCTGTTGATGTTCGGACGTACAACCTGGAATGGACTCCTCTTTTCTGCGCCGTATGCTTTGGCAATTTGGAAACCATACAAGAACTGTGGGGTTGGTATGAGAACCCTAGCCAGGTGAAAGACCTACGGCACTGGAACTTGTTGCATGTCGCGGCTGGGGCTGGGAAACTCAACCCTGTTCCGTTTCTTTTAGAAAACAACGTCGACTTGTGTAGTTTGAGCAGGGCGACTTCGCGGTTCGTGCCACCTTTGCTCGTTGGGCGGCAGGTAACGCCGAGCCTTGTCGCAAGGAGTTGCGGAGGGCACGCATATGGGAAATGGTGCGAAGTCCTGAATTCCAAAGGCTATGGGTCGGATATATCTTATGTAGACATTGACTGGGACGGCGAAGAGGAGGCGGGTAGATACGGTGGCTGTGAGTGCTGTGAGTCGTGGGGTTTCTAGGACAGCTCGGCGTGGAGACTTCCCGGTCGCTCCATCTCCGAGAACGGAATACGTACATGGAAGTGAGAATCTCTTTGGCACAGACCTTTGCCCTAGCTGGCTTGCTGCACCGGCGTTCTCCCCGAGAATCGGTTATCGGTTATCGCAACGGCTAAATTCGGACTAGCGCCGAACGCCCCTCAAATACGTTGCGGACGGTTGGCCGAGCATCTTCCATCTCATCTTCATTTGCATCTTGAGGCGTTTTTGGCAAGCATGAGTGGAAGCATGGCGGCAATTGACGGCGCAGAGGTCGCGAAGCATAATACCAAGAGGTCGTGTTGGATAGTGCTGGATTCGAAGGTGTATGATGTCACTTCGTTTTTGTCGAAGCATCCCGGCGGCGCCGCGATTATTTTGAAGCAGGCGGGGACGGTTGGTAGAGGCGCCCAAGATGTTGAAGGAGTGATGCTGACAATGATGTAGGATGCGACGGAGGAATTCAAGAAATACCACCCTCTCGATTATGTCAACGACCTCCCGCCTGGGAGCCTCCTCGGCCCGGTCGATCCTAACACCTTCGGCGAATTAAGAACAGCAAAGGAGGAGAAAGCAACGTCTGCATCAAATGCAGATACTGAAAAAGAGATTCCTCATCCCACGCTCTGCGTCTCATGCGCCGACTTCAAAAAAGCGGCGAAAGCTGTCATGCCGCGCAAGTCGTACATATACGCGTCGACGTCAGCGAATACCGGACATTCCTTGAGGACGAACCTAGACGACTGGGGTCGCATCAACTTCCGCCCACGCGTGATGCGAGATGTCGGAGACGTAGATACGCGCCGCGCCATTTTCGGGCACTCGTCTCTATATCCCTTCTACATCTCGCCAATGGGCACTCTCGGCGCTATCCATTCCGGCGCAGAGCCCGAGATGGTGCGTGGTGCAGTACGCAAAGGCGCGCACATGGTCGTCAGCACGGCATCCAGCAAGTCCGCCGAGCAGATTATGCAGACGTTCCACGACGAACAGACGCGGCTGAAGAACGCGAGTCCGACGCAGCTCTTCTACCAGTTCTACATGCCGGTCGATCGCAAGCGGGCGGTTGCTCTGATGCACATAGTGAAAAAGTGCGGGTATAAGGGGCTGTGGATTACGGTAGACACCCCGGTGCTAGGTAAGCGGACTGCGGATCGCGTGCTGCAAGCTGAAGAGACGCTGGCTGTGGGCTTGGAGGAGGAGTCGACGGCGGAGTGGGAGGCCGCGGAGGAGAATGCGTTCTCGCCTGCGTTCGGTGGCCGGGTGGTCGCCGGGCAGCTCAGTCCGCATACGACGTGGCGGGATCTGGCGTGGATAAGAAAGGAGTGGGATGGCCCGATTGTGCTAAAAGGCATCCAGTGCGCGGAAGACGCCAAGCTAGCGTGCGAGTACGGGTGTGACGGTATCCTATTGAGCAATCATGGAGGGCGGCAACTGCATACCGCACCCAGCGCCCTGATGACGCTGCTTGAGATACGAACGTACTGTCCGGAGATTATTGGGAAGATGGAGATCTTCCTAGACGGCGGGTTGAGAGACGGGAGTGATGTGTTGAAGGCGCTCTGTCTGGGTGCGACGGCTGTGGGCGTCGGAAGGCCGTTCTTGTACGCGCTGGCGGCATATGGAAGTAAAGGGGTGGAGCGGTGTGTTGATGGTGAGTCTGAGCGGGTATTGAGAATGGGAAGGCCGAAGCTAACGTGCTGCAGTGCTGGCGGATGAGCTCGCGCTGGGAATGCGGCTGTTGGGCGTCACGGCGCTAGACCAGTTGAGGCCCGAAATGGTAAACGCGAGTAGACTTCTAAATGAGATGTGGAGGCCAGAGGCTGCGGGTTTGAAGAGTCGATTATAGAGCGTGCAGTTTCGAAGGGGCGGCCACTTCCCTGCCGAGGATGGTATTTACGCCGGTGCGTTGTCCTATAGTAGAGCATTTGGTTTTAGAAATAGACGTCCCCACCTATAAACTTTCTAGGACGATACAACCGATATGATATGAGGACTCCAAATGTGATGTTCTTAGCGTACCACAAGGGTGTCTGTGGTGACCTCTGGTATACCGGACATTACTCGGTCACGTGATACAGAAAAATTTACCAACCTTTGGAAGCTGTATATAGTCTGCTTACCAGCCTTCTATCTGAAGAACGTTTCGTGCTCAAGTTCCCACATGTCAGAAGTTATTCAGTCCCGTGAATTTCCCCTCATAGAAATTGACCAATGGAAGGACGGGCCGCTCACGTGACTCATTAACTTCCAAGGTTCTGACACCCAGAGAAATTCGATCAAGTCCACCAATAAGGATATCCATAGCTCTGATTTGTTTTGTTGGAACGCCAGTTCTCTCAACCAATCACTTCCCAAAACTTTGTGTCATCCAGAAAATTTTCAGCGCCTGACCGCCACATCCACGAACAGGGGTCAGCGCTGATTTTTTTCGCCATTAGCAGTCGTACCAGTTCCACTCCGGGCCTTCCTTATGGTATATATTCAAAATTACCAAAAATCATCCATCAAAATTGAACGGTGAGATGGTAAGTTCTCTCAAATCAGCGCTCGCAAAACTCAAGCTGATCCACTCCAGGCCGAGTTGGTTATGGCGCCAGGTTAAGGTTATCTTAGCACTAATTCCTGGTCACGAAAGTGGCGTGGGTTCAAGTCCCACTCTCATCATTATTCGTCCGCCGCATGGCGGGTTTCGGGAGGTCTCTTTTTTGGTTCTTTTGTGACCTTCTACCCACCACACCTCCATACGTTCATCTCTTTTTGCTACCCTTACGTTAGGGAGGACGGGGTAAAGGGAAAATACCACAACTTCAATGTTCCTGCTCGTCTCCGTTCGATCAATCTTGCTCGTGGGTGGTCTCCTTTTAGACCGGTGGAGTCGCTGTTACAGACGAACCTAGTTCCCGCCACACGCACCACTTTTACTTGACAACTCCTTCTTACCAGAAACCACGACGACGCGTCGTAGGCGAGATCGAGGCGTGAACTGATCACCCAGACAAGATTATACCTTCTTCGCAATGCCTTTACACACTGCCCCACTACTACCAGCCACGCATTTCCTTCGACTCGAGCATCACTCTGCGCTCACCTACGAACAAGGGCGAGACTGTGGCCGCAATCGTCCTCGGATATAGAAGAAGATATACCCGATTGGGAACCGTCATGCTCTTGCCTAGACAAGGCCGCGTGTGGGAGTATATGGAGCTCATGAGACGTTGGAAATCCCTCGTACAATCCGGGCCACCCTTCGCTCATGCCGCTACCCGCCAAGCTTCGAAACACCATCTATGAAATAGTTTTCGTATCTGGCGTAGCTGCCGAGGTCGCCTACAACCGCCACGGCGACGCCTGAAACTACCCAACGAATTCGTCGATCCTGGGCCGGACTCCTGCACGAGGAGCAACAGAACCCTCGAGCAAGACGGAGCGTTCGGAGCTTTGAGTCTGTCGAATCGTTACATTGGGTGGGAAGCATGCCCTTAGGGACTGAGGATATGGAGCTCAGTGATGTACAGGACGATAGACAAAGCTCCATTTTCGAGCCCCTTCAGCAACATGTCAACCTTAAAGAGCTAGTCATCTCGCTGCATGTCCAAAAATACGTTGATTGGAATTACGCTGCATGCCTTTAGTCCGTGCATTCAGGGCCAAACTTCCACTTCCACGACAGTAACTACGAACCGTTTCGCCACTTCGCCCGCGATGGAGTATAGCGTGGAATTCCACCAAGTAGATAGTCCCAGCACCATATTTTGCGATCCTACAAAGAGGAAATTGGAGAAGATTAGAGAGTTTGGATATGTCGGCCGTGTTTAAGAGTTAGATAATGCTGTTAGAGCAGCACCAAGTGTATGGGAAGTAGACAGTGAAGTGTGAGGTACACTCGGGCTAATACTGAATCGTGGGGTGGGCTTAAAATCTGGAGAAGTGAGCATTGATCAGTGATAAGAGTCCATCCACAAAAACTGCCAACTCTTAGATCCGAACGACAGTTACGAACCAGGGCCATACAAGGTGGCCATAATGAACAACACACAGGCAGGAGGCCTTCGGGCCACAAAACATAGGCTGGAGGTAATCCACTCCATCTATTGAAGCACAGCTGGCTCTTTTCCCAACGCCAAGTCTTCCTTCTCTAGAACACAGACTCCATGTCCTAGCTCAAGCGCATCACGCAAGCTGTATCAAAATGCCGAACACCAAAATATGTACCCATCACTCCCTACAGGACACCTTTCTCGACATCCCCACTCGCCCTACTCGTCTGCACAGGTGACTTCCCCCTCCCCGTATAGCTCTCTCCGTCGCTCGACGCAGCTTCGACTAGCTCTTTCTTCCTCGGCTTCATCTTATGCATGATCCTATCCGTCGTCCGCGCAAGCGGCCGATACACCAGCACAAACGGCTTCCCAACAAACTTCGCCACCACCTCAAACCACCGATCCGGGAAAAGTCTCACGCAGCACCCCCACGGCATGCACAGTACCGCCACCACCACCGAAATTGCCCACTGCGGTCCATTTAGCGCCACGATACTAAACGCCGTGCTCCCAAAGAACACAATAACGACCTGACACCCCACCATAACCACATTAAGCCCAATAAAGTAGTAGTTCTTGTGGATGTTGACGAAGATATTGAGCTTGTTGTCGAGCCGGCGGTTGTTGTACTGGTTGAAGATCTGCAGCCAGACGAACATGTTGAAGATGATGGTGCGCATTTCGGACTCAGGGTAGGGGAGGAACTTGGGCCCCGCGAAGTGCATGATGAAGGTGGCGATGACTTGGAAGATGGCTTGGCCGATGATCATTTTCCACATTGTCAGGCTGATGATGGAGGCGCTGCGGGGCGTGGGCGGGCGGTCGAGGATTTCTTCCGTGGGGGCATCGGTGGAGAGGGAGAGCGCGGCGAGTGAGTCCCTAGACAGTGCATTAGAGGGCTGGGTACGGGACGGGATGGGGAGTGGCTTACATGAAGAGGTTTATCCAGAGGAGCTGTACAGCTGTCAAGACGGAGCGCATCTCCGAGTCCTGGACTGCCGTCACGAACGCGACAACCATTGCCGTAATGTTCACTGTAATCTGGAACTGGAGGAACTTCTGCACCGCGTCGTTCACCGCGCGTCCCCACATCAATGCCGTTAGGATAGAAGCGAAGTTATCGTCCATCAGGATAATTGCCGACGCCTCCTTGGCGACCTCCGTGCCCGCGATGCCCATGGAGAAGCCAATATCCGCCGCCTTTAGCGCAGGGCCGTCATTCGTGCCATCACCGGTAACGGCGACGATACCACCAAGTTTCCGGAGACGGGTAACTAGAATGCGCTTGTCCTCCGGCGACGAGCGAGCTAGGACTTGGAGGCGAGGCAGAATAGCGTCCATGTCATCGTCGCTCAGCTTGCGGAACTCAGGTCCCTCCATTACGACGCCGTCGGTGTAGATGCCGCAGTCAGTGGCGATGGCTCTGGCCGTGGTGATGTTATCGCCAGTGACCATTCGGACTACAACGCCGGCGTGCTTGCATTTCGCGACTGCTTCGGGAACGCCCGGTCGGAGAGGATCCTGGATACCGACGACGCCGATATAGGTCATGTCATGGAGAAGCGCGCCCAAGTCTGCGGCAATGCTGACATCATCTGCATGTTCCGTACCTCGTGGCGGCCACTGCGGAAAGTCCTTGTAGACGAGGCCGATAGTCCGGAGCGACTGCTTCGCATAGGACTCGATGATGTCAGCAATACGCTTCGACTGTTCAGCGTCCATGGGTATGTTGCCGGTCGGAAGTGCCAGAGACGAGGAGTAGCCGAGCAAAATCTCGGAGGCACCCTTGACGAGCAGGCGATAGGTGCCATTCGGGAGCTTCTGCACAGCGCCCATGCACTTCCTGCTCGAATCAAATGGCAACATCTGCACCATCTGCGCGCTAGTACGCTCCTGGGAGAGGGATGTCATTCCCAGAACATTCTTCGCGAAGCCCAAGAGGGCCGTCTCGGTTTTCGAACCGACGAAGCCAAACTCGCCGCCGTCGCCTTCAAAGGCGGTTGAGTTGATCGCCACGGACTCAATGAGGAGCCGCTTCTGCTCGTTCGTCAAGCGCTGGGCGAACTCAGAAGAGCGGTTGTTGGCTGCGCCAGGATTCTTGTCGTCGAAGGAGTCCTTCCCTATGGTGCCAGTCACCACCGTCATCTTGTTTTGAGTGAGCGTACCGGTTTTGTCGGAGCAGACCGTGGTAGCATTGCCCATTGTCTCACACGACTTGAGGATGCGCACCAGGTTGTTCATCTTAACCATCTGTGTCGTGGCGAACGCGAGGGAAAGTGTTATAGCGAGCGGCAGGCCTTCAGGTACAGCGACGACGATGATGGTGACCGAGACGATGAGGATATCCATGAACCTGGACGCCTTTTCAGCAGCGCTGAGGGGACTCCCGGGGAACGTGGCGACGAGGCGGAAGAGAAGAACCAGCAGGAGCAGAAACGACGCAGCGGTGGCGAGCTTCGCGATCGCTTTGGCGAGCTTGTCGAGCTTGATTTGGAGAGGCGTGGGTTCCATCTCTTGCCGCATAGCCATGAGGATCTTGCCGTAGCTAGAGTTGACGCCGACGGACGTTACAAGATCTAGAGTCGTTAGTAAGCATCAGGCGCTAGATTGGAGTAACCTACAAGTCCCTACGCCTTCCAGTACCTTGCTCCCAGAGATGATGAATGGATCCAGGTCCTTGTGGTCATTGTGGCCGCGCTCCAGGAGGCGAAGCACCTGCTCAGCGTTCGTCTTCTTCATCTGGTCAGACTCGCCAGTCGCGGAAGATTCGTCGCACTTGACATTGTGGCCCGAGATGAAGATACCGTCAGCGGGAATGAGATCGCCAGGCTCCATATGCAGCACGTCGCCAGCCATAACGTCGTACACGGATATCGTAAAGGACTTCCCGGAGCGAATCACCTTAACTTCTCGAGCTTCTTTCTTCGCGTTGAGCTTGACAAAGGCGCGCTCCTTCTGATAGTCGTTCACCGCACCCACCATGACCACAACCACAATGGAAACGCAGATAGCACAGCCTTCGATCCAGTCGACAGACGGGGGCGCGTTCGGGCCGTGGTCGACGCCGAACGTTTCGTACAGTCCGAGAGCGAGTGAGATGACAGCAGCAACCGTGAGAAGGATGAGGACCGACTCCTTGTAGTACGCCTCCCACATGAGCATGAAGAACGACTTCGGCTTCTTCGCAGGGAGGACGTTTGTGCTGTAAACCCTCTTGCGGTCGTAGAACGCTTCGCCGGAGTGTGATCCACTCCCCGATGGACCAGGCTCAGTCACGTCCACATGGCGCACTTCCACCGGGCGAGGCAGTCCTGAGGCGTCAGCCCCGCGAAGCTTCCGATACTGCTTCGTGACTTCCTCAAAGGACACCGAGCCGGGCAGCTCCGTCTCTTCCAAGATCAAGCCCGCATCGACATCCGTCCGCAGGCCAGTCTCGAGCCCAGGCAGCCCTCCAAGGGCGATGAAAGCCGCCAGCGACTTGGGGTTCAGCATCTTGTTCAACTGCCCGGGTGAAAAGGCGAACTTGTTGTTGAGGACCGCGAAGTCCTCCTCGCACCCCGGATCGGCCTTGAGAGCGTTATCGTGCAGATGGGACTCGAGAGTGTAAGCGCTCGTGCCGCTATGCGTCGAGGCCCCAGCTGAAGTAGAGGGCGGCGCGAGTGTCGCCTCGCTCGCCGCGCGACTTCGGCTGGAGAAGGGATTTCGAGAAGAGGTCGTGCTGCGACCACTTGTCGACGGGTTTCGAGAGTGCGATGCTCTGAAGGATCGCTCTGGTGCAAGAGTTGCTGGCGAAGCATCTTCTGTCAGAGTCGCCAGAGTCTCGTCGGTGTTCGCCCGCATAGGCGACCTGGGAATATCGACTGTGATCTCCGGTAGAGGAGGCAGAGAACTACTCTCCTCGCGAGCAGACGCGCTGCTTGATGATGCCATGTTCAACAGGCAAGGACAAAATACGACTATGAATTATGGTAATGAAGCATGGGATATTTAGACAAACAAAATTGTGCTCGGCTCGACGAGCTTGGTAAATAGGTACAGAAGTCGCAATGCATCTTTGCGATGTAATATAGCAATCTACGTACAGAGACGGACGTCAATCTGTGGGTCAACAGAGCAGAGGAGCAGGATGAAGCAAAGGCGGAGACCAAGGCCGCTTCCGCCCTTGGCCAGCTCGCGATTGCCCGCCGAGTCCACTTAAAGGACGGCCAAAATGCTAGAAATATAAGACCAAGAGATATTGAGGCTGTGTTGCATGAGACGAAATGCGCGGAGTGCAGCGGTCGTAGTGGTGGCGAATCAGAGCGATGTGAAACCAAAACGGGCAGAAAAGAGGAGCGTCTACAAGGAAAGGAAAGGGACGAGGTCTTGGAGAGAAAGCTTGGGAGCCCGGTTCTTAAGAGGAATTGCCGCGAAAGAGGAAGTGGTGCCTGTCGTTCATGCGGGTGACAGCGCTCGTCACGGGCTCTTGGCAGCAGCTCCTGAGGCATGCGTTGAGGCCGTTTCAGCATCGGGAAAACGGCGGTTTGGGGTCAATCGTGAGGAAGCCACTGCAGCTTCGATTCGAGTCATGAGGCGAGCGTGTGTCCTCAGGTTGCGAGTTCGTTGTCGTCGCCAATGTGAGGCGGGGAGGGGTCGTCAGTAAAGCTGCAGCGCGTGCTTGGGACAATGGCGTCGCGGCAAGGCGCATTCGAGAATGCGACACGACCTGTGGATATGCGAGATCTCGCCGGGCAATGCAGGCGAGGGCTGATCTCCGTTGGGGCCGCACTGATGCGCATCGTCAGTGGTGGAGGCAGCATCGAGGCGGCATGCAGGTGCGGAGCAGGCGGCCGCCCTCCGCGTCGGGCCCGCGTCGCAGGGCAGTCCTTCTAGAAAAGTCGGCACGCCCAGGGGGCAGGCGGAGACGACGGGCATTGACGAGCCAGGCGGCGCGCACAGCAGGGCATTCCAGCGCGGCGCGCAAGTGTCGCAGGGCAGTGGTGCGGAGAAAAGTGTGTGAAGAGTGTGTCGTGGCTGGCCAGCGGCTAGCCGAGGGCAGGCCTACCCGATTAGTCATGCCTCCTGCCCCGGCCCTCCTCGTCCAGAGCAACTCTTCTCGGACCGTAAAACAAACACAAATCTCATCCTCCGCGCCGTCGCCAGCACATCTTCTCCCCCTCGTGCTCTTCCCAGCCTGCCCAGCACTCTAGCTCTCGGAATCCTCAGTTGCCGGCGGCGCATCCCGGGCATCTCACCACCAACATGTGCCCCTTCAGTACGTCCGCCGTCCGTCTCTCGCGCGATCGACATATCGCTAATCGGAGCAGCTTCATTGCCGGCCGGCGAGGGCCCCAACAGCTTCTCGCCTGCGTCCGTCAAGGACTGGCAGCCGCGGAGGAAATCCGTCTCCAACGCCTGCGAACGATGCCGACGGAGGAAGATACGCTGCGACGGCGACACGCCATGTGCAACATGCAAGCGTTTCTCACTGCAATGTGTTCGGACACAGAAACCGCGCGAAGTAGTCGCATCGTCAGTATCCCCCGTCGCGTGTTCGCGAAGTCACGTGACTAACTATGGTCCCGCGCCGAAGGGAACACCAAGCTGCATTGGAGAATCGAATACACCAGCTGGAAGCCCAGCTGGCACGTCATGTAAATGCGCCTATGCACGGCATGGAGTCCATTGACCAAAACCTCATGGCGGCCACACCACCCAGCTTTGACTGGCAGAGCCCACCACCATTGACGGTGGACACCCAGTTTGCCAGCCCATTCAGTCCCGACAATGAGCTGGACCTGGGTAGCTTTTCGGCGGGCACGGCGAGCAGCATACCGTCCATCGCAATCACCGAATGTGAGCATATCCCCAATGTGGCATCGCCAGATTCTCCAGTACCTTCATTCTGGTCAGGTACCACACGAGCCTCATCTCCCGAGATGCCACCGACGTCCGCGCCCCAGTATCCCCCGAGTGCGGCGTTTCCGCCCGGCGGCAAATCCTTCACCCCGTCTCCGGGTCCGCCGCATACGGCGCCGTCCTGGGAGTTCATGGCGCAAGGCCAGGCCGCTCAGCTGAAGCCCGAATCATCACAGAGCGCGCACCCCTCTCGAAGAACTTCCATATCTTCAAACTCCTTGGAAAGCGAGGAGCAAGATGACGACGACGAGGATGTCGACATGCTGCCGCTCGCCCCAGCCCCTCGTCTACCACGCCAGGGTATCTTCGCCGCGCATGCCGAAAGCCCACCACCGGGCCAGTCTCGCACAAGCTCGAGCTACACAGATAGAAGCAGAGCAATGACGGTCACCCCGTTTCCGAGCCGGTTCGAAGCCGAAACCCTGACGTCGGAATTCGTCCAGCATCTCGAATCGCTGGAGCACAAGGCCTACGCCATCGCCCCCGGCCTTTTCAGCCGCTTCTGCGAGGCCGTGTATCCCGACCCGAAGAAACGAGGCATGTCCGTTGACATCTCCGTCTCCACGCCGATGGCGCGCTTCCACGTCTTCATGGCCATGGCCATTGGCATGAAGGTGCGCATCAAAGACACGCCTGAGAGCACCAACTCATTGCTCGACACGTGCTACGAGCTGGCCATGCAGCAGGCCTCTTCCACAACGTTCTGGCAGGAAAATGGCGGCATCGAGGCGGCCCAGCTTCTATCCATCTTCGCTTCCATCCGAAAAGAGCCGTTTGCGCCGAAGCCTCTCCAGCCGTCTTTCTCGTGGTGACAGTCACTGCTCGCTCCGGGAGAAGCCAGTCGTAACAGCGTTCGCGTCGTCTCGTTCTGCTCTTGTACATCCATACGCAACATTTTTCGCATCGTCTTTCGTGTATATATATGCCAGTTACGACATCGCAATAGACTCGATATGATCTACGACCGCTTCCAGCGTTGAACCCATTCCCGCACCTTACATTTTCCTCCACATCATCAATGCCTGCGAAGAATAGCCCGGCACCGTATACGTATGTATATAGCTATCGTTGATGGTATACTGATGGCTCTCACTAGCACGCCCCTCATGCGCCGCATGACATACCCATATAACGCTCAAGTGCCCATGTTCCGAAGAGCGAAGCAGCAGAAACAAACCTTGCTTTCACCTTCCAAAATCAATTCGCCTTTCCATAGTCCGTAAGTTCTCGCTACGAGAGCGCCGTCTGCGTTGGGAGGGACCAATACCTGAACGCGCCATGGTTGACGCGAGGCCCCGCCCAAAGAGAGCCTACACACCCTCGCTCGTTTCCTTTGCAGGACCTCAGATGACTTAGGACAGCCACGAAATATAGGAGCGCCCGCGGAGCCCAATGGCGCCTATCCAACCGCGTCTCCCGCACTGGCGTCCACGGTTCGACCCACGTGTCGTCTACCCTCCCTCAATTTCGCGCGGACTCTGAGAGGTTTCCATGGATTCTTCCCACGTGGGTGCGATTTAGGACGCATGGCTGCCTCGTGGGCTAGAAAGTTCAGAAGAAACCCGGGAACTGTGTCCGAGGGCGCCATGTTCCGCACACCACCGCAGCAGCCCGACCCATTGCATCTCCCGAAGCATTAGCGATATGTACCACGTACTCGACCCTCATAGCTCCGAATGGCGTGTTCAGTCGTCCCGTTCCCGTCTTCAAGGCTGCAATGCACACGCACATAAAAATCTCGTAGCTATTATCCTTCCATCCTTCTTTTCCTCAGCACATCCGTCTTTGAAGTCCACCCCGCTTACCCATCCACACCCAAACGTTTAGAATTCTTTTCTACTTCCAGAATCAAACGACACTATGCTTTCGTCCGTCTTGCTGCTCGCCCTCTGTGGCCTGGCCACCGCGTCGCCCGTCGGCGCCCGCCCAAAGCCTCAGGAGGGCTGCACCAAGCTCTTGCCGAACAGGTACATACCGCCCCATCCCCCAAACGCCATCCAGCACAGCACACTCTAACCTCCCCCCACAGCGGCGCCCCAGTCCCCGGCGACGGCTCGCCCGCCGCCTACATGAACAGCACCAACTGCCTCTGGCAAGCCGCAGCCTCCGCCCCCACGCCCGCTGGCTACACACAAGCCTTCAGCAGCCGCGGCGGCGCCATCTTCGACCCCCAGGGCTACCTAACCTACACGGTGCTGCAGACGGGCAAGTACGACACGGACGCGTGCGCAGCGTTCTGCAATCGCGTCGCGGGGTGCGCGGCGTTCAACATCTACGCAGAGCGCGACCCGAAGTACGAGCTCGGAGCGACGTGCAAGAACCCGGCGCCGGCGACGAACATCGCGTGCGCGCTGTACAGCCAGGCGATCAGCGCGAACACGACGAGCAATTCGCGGCAGTGGGCGGGGAATGATCGAGCGAGGGAGTTTGAGAGCGTGGTGGTGGCTAGCAATGGTTTGTCCCTCCTTCCCACCCCATCCCCCCAGCTAACCCCCTCCCCCAGGCTACACCCTCGCCCTCCCCGCCGTCCCGGGCTACACGCTCCTCTCCGCCCTCAACGCCTCCGCCATCACCGCGCCGCCCGCGGACAACGCCTACATGGGCTACAGCATGCACGCTTCGCCCTCCTCCTACGAGCCGGGCAAGTGCGCGGCGGACTGCACGGCCAAGACGGCGTTCAACGCGGCGCACGGCATCGGCATGGCGTGCGCCTTCTTCAACAGCTACGTGCTGGTCCGGAACGGCAGCCCCGAGGGCACGGCCTGCGCGTTCTATACGCGGGCGTATGACGCTGGGTATGCGACAAATAGGGGGTATGGGGGTGGCGGGGAGGAGGTTGCGATTGCGCAGAGTTATACGTTTGCGGTTGGGGGGTAGGCGGGGACGGGGTGCGGGTGGTGGATGAGGGTGGTGGAGGGGTGGGTTTGCTTGGTGTTGCTTGCTTGGCTTTTCGTTTGGTCTGGTTCTGTGCGCAGCGCTGTCTGCTTGGAGTTGTAATAGAGTGATGCAATAAAAGTGAGCTTTTCGTTTTCGCTTACGACGAATCCAGGAGTACTTGCTGCGATGCGCGTTACCGGTGACCGGTGAGATCACGTAGGACGGGACTCACACTGCTCGCCAAGGCACGCCTTTGCGTTCCACACGTGCCCTTCGAGCTCAGCAAGACACCGCCGATAGCAACAAATAACGTCTTCTCCCTCCCCGGCCTGGTTCTTCTTCTTCTTCAGCGTTGCCATCGAAAAAGTGTCGTCGTCCCGCTGAGTGAGCAGATACAAAGTGCACGCGTGGACACGCCAGCCTGGAGTCCCTAACATTAGGCAACGCGTCGAGAATCTCGCCGACACGCCGAAGGAAGCCAGGACTTCGACGCGCGAGGGTAGAAACGCGTCCTCACGTGCCCCTCCCCTTACATAATCTAATCCGCGCCGAATTAGCGCTAGCGCTAGCGCTGGCTCCAGCGGAAGGCACGGAAAAAAAAAGCGGCACAGTCACAAAGACACCTTCAGAACCCATCTCATCTCAACTCATGCATTACGGTACTCTAGCAAGCAGGCAGAGCGGTAATCAGATAACAGTGGTATCTACCCATGCAAGCAAGCAAGCAAGCAAGCAAGTCCAACCCCCCACACGCCATGCCTCATCGCGCATTAATCGTGCAACCTTAGCTATATCAATCGGCATCTACATTGATTTACGATTTATATAAAGACTCCCGTATCCCGCGAAATGCGCACTCACGACAGCAAGCAAACCCTGCCGGGATGTTCCACTACACAGCCTTGGACGCATCCGAGTGGGAGTGGGAGTGCTCGTGCTCATGGCCGTGGCCGTGCTCCGAAGCAATGCTGTGCCGCCGGTCGCGACCGATGTAGTTGGAGTCGGGCAGCATGTTGAGGATATCCTCCTTCTTGTCCGTGGGGCGCTGGTGGAACCAGAAGAGGACGCCGCCGATGAAGGCTAGGATAGCGACGGTGGCGTAGTTCCAGATGAGCAGCGGGTCCTCGGAGAGCGAGACAAGAGCCTGGCCGATGGCGTTGGAGAAGGCGGACATGAAGTGCCAGTACGACGTAACGAGCGAGCGCATGTTCTTGGGCGCCTTGGTGAAGGCATACTCGAGGCCGGTGATGGAAGTAAAGATCTCGGAGAAGCCGATGAAGACGTAGGGTACGGTCTGTGCCCAGACGTTGATGGGCGAGGGGATCTTGCTGCCCTCGGCGTCCTTGCACGTGTTCATGTAGTGGCCGCAGGCGCCCTCCTTGTAGATGTAGTACTGGATGGTGGTGGCGCCGATCATGGCCAGGGAGGCGAGCATGAAGCCGAAGGCGATGCGCTTGATGGGCGTGAAGCGGATGTTGGCCTTGCGGAGCGCCGGGTACAGGAAGTTGTCGACAATGGGGATGAAGATGACGAGCGAGATGGGGTTCAGGTTGGTGATGACGTCGTTGGGGACGCCATTACGGGTCATAGTCGCGGCTTGCGAGGTCAGATTGTTGTTCATCTGGTTGTAGGCGAGCCCTGAGGGTAGGATTAGCACTGGTGCGTCTAACGTCCGGAGCACGACTTACAGTAAAGAGGGATCCAGGTGAAGCAAGAGCAGGCACGGAGACCACGAGCAACCTGATCAACCCAGGCGTCGTCGAACTCCATCCAAGACGGCCTGCTGTCGCCAAGCTTGCTAGGCTTGACGTCCTCCCAGAAATTCTCCGCCTTGAAGTTCCTGCGCGTCTGGACCGGGTTGATGGACCATTTGCCCTTCTGGGCCAAGGTCCACAGCTTGAATGCGCGGATGAGCACGGAGCCAGTGGGCGGGCTTCGGTGGTACTTGTTGCGGCAGAACCAGAGCACGGCCGGGCAGCAGCAGAAGAGGATGGTCGGCAGCAGGTAGGCGCACCAGAAACCTACGTACTTCTCGACGTAAACCATGCTGATCTGACCGGTCAGAGAACCGATGTTGATGAACATGTAGAAGTACAGAAAGATGCGCGAGAGGGTGATGTTGGGGTCGGAGATGACGCGTTCGCCGGTCTTGGGATCTTTGATGACTCGCGGCCTCGACTGCTTGTACTGCTCGGCAATGAGGGGCGAGATGTTCGCCTTGAATGCACCCGTTCCAAATCCGAGGACGATGACACCTAGGATGAAAGGCGCGATGGCCTTGCCGCTCGCGAGCACCGACGGCAGGGCCGAGATGATCAAGAGGATGTGGCCGAAGATGGAGAAGGCGATGGCAATGAAGATGGTGTTGAAGCGGCCGAGGTACTCGTCGGCGATGATGGCTCCAATGATGGGAGTAGTGTACGCCCAGAAAGAGTTGACTGCGGGGCGCATCAGAATCGCGCAGTTGCACGGCGGGCTCTCGAGACTTACAGGTGCCGATACCGAAAGACGCACGCTGGCCCATGTCCAAGGCTCCTGGCTGACCCTCCTCGCGGGGGTCCTTGCCCGTAGCGGAGCCAGGTGGAAGCGGCCATTGGATGAAGTTGGTGTCTAAACAGGGTTAGCGGATTCAACGTATCCGGAAAGTGGCCGTCTTACAGAGCACCTGGCAGCCGTAGTAGCCAAAACGCTCGCACAGCTCGACGAAGGCGATGGTGAAGGCCGTCCACGGGATCTTGCCCGAGACGCGCCGCAGGGTGGCCATGTCCTCCTCGGTCGGCTCCTCGCCCTCGAGATCGGCTTCGAATTCGACGACGGGCGCGAGCGCGAGGCTGTCGCTGGTGCTCGCGCGACCCAGATGGCCGAGCGCCTCCTTCTCGCCCACCTCGTAGATCGGGGTCGCGAGCTTGGGCTCGTTGCTCATGGCCATGTCGACCTGGTTCTGAGCGGCGGCGCCTGCCATGGTTGCTGGTGCGTGTCCGCGAGGGTGAGAGAGATGCGACACAGGCTGCTGGGGACGCGGTTCTTAAATAGATTAGGAGCGGGGAAGGGTGAAGGTCGCTGACCCCGGCGACGGGGGACACCGAATATAGTTATTATACTTTCTGGGAAACAGCGCAGCGGCAAAAGCGTACAGGCCGTGATAGCTGTTTCAAGCAGGTGAGTACCAGTGCGACGTTGCAATCAGGCTCGGCGTAGATCAGGCCTGGCGCGCCTGTGCAGCTGCTGCGTTATCGAAGGGCAGCGCGCCCATTGGCATCGTCAAGCCCGCTGGGCGCTGCTAAGGAATTGCAGCCAAGCATGGCGAATTGCTTCTAGACTTGGCGCGTGCGGCGATCACAGGGGGGCGCGGCCATTCGCCAGCAGCCCTTATCTGGACGTCGCGGCAGTATTGGGCGCTCTCGTATCGATCGCGGGGGGTGCTGGCAGGAAGCAGAGCGTTGAGGGACGGGCGAGCACGGCGTACCGTAGACTACTCGTGCGCTCGATGGGTGGAGGGTGAAGGGTGTTGGATCAACCCACCAACCACCAGACCTCATCGCGACCTGGGCTTGGCGCCGGCGGACGTGGCTTGGCGCGTCGCCCCTCCGTGCGCTCGCCTGCTCTCCAGTGTCTCCACACCACGAACGGGCGCTGTGCCTCTCCGCGATGGCTGCGGCGCCACACCCGAAGAGGCAGGTTGTAGGCCCGTCAGCCTCGGCATCGGCGCGCGCGCAGCCAATCGTGCGCGCGCCGCAGCAAGCTTCGCCGTTCAGACGGCGCCCGCCTTCTGGCCAGCTTCTCGAAAGATGCTTATCTCCTCACCTTTCTGGCTAAGCCGCCGACGTGGGTGGTTCCCTGCCCGTTCGCTGCGGGGCCCTGCGCATGCGGCGTTGGCGCCGTTTGGGGAAGCATGCATTTCTGCCCTCCGCGAATTGCTGTCGACGAGCCCGCGCCCCAAGCCCGCTGCTATGCGGTGCGCTGCGGCAATGCGGCAAAGGGAGCGCCAGGCCAGCGGGGCGTCGTCGACACCGACTGCTCGATGCAGCAACTGCGGAGGGCGCGTGCGAATCCGCTCCGTGTGCGACCAAGCCGTTAGCCGGCGTGGCAAGACAGCGTGCTTATCGCCGCCGCATCCTGCACCAGAAGCTTTCTAGAAGGTCGTCAGACGGGGTCAGCCCATGCTCACCTCTCGCTGTGTGGGTCGAGCCGCCCCCGCGAATGGCCGTTGACCAAGGCGAAGGTATGCTGTCTCGACCGGCACCCAGGAGAGATCATCGCGCGCCCCATGTAACCCAAGGCGCGATGCAGAGTTTTCCTCCCAAACACCGGGTTACGGGAGTGGAGAGCAAACCCATCAGCACGGCGCAGAGAGCCGGCAGCGCACCCGCCGGGCTGCCGCGCTGGGAATAGAGACGCGGTGGTGTAGAATCATTATCATTATGCTCTAGATCGCGTGGCAGCCGAGTCTATTCGGCGCACGCTGGAAACCCCCCGTACAACTTTTCACTCATTTGTCGACGGGCACGTCGTCCAGAGCCTGCCCCTTGGACCAGTGGTTGATCCAGTTGAAGATCTCCGCGTGCCAGAACAGCGAGTTCTCCGGATTCAGCACCCAGTGGTTCTCGTCCGGGAAGTTGAGGAAGCGCGAGGGGACGCCCTTCGACTGCAGGATATTGAAGAAAGCCAGGCCATCGCTCTCGGGCAGGCGGTAGTCCAGCGTATTGTGCACGATGAAGTGCGGCGTGCTCCAATTAGCCATGTGATTCATCGGGTTCCATTCCTCGTACGTCGCGTCAGGGTCGTAGATGCTGCCGTTGTAGTCATGCCGGATGAACCAGAGCTCCTCGGTGGCCCACGACGCCAGGGTGTTGGAAACACCGTCGTGCGTTACCAGGCACTTGAACTCTCGCCCGAGCTCGTGGCCTTGCACCCAGTTCATCATATACCTGCCGTCTGCTCAGTATTGCGCCCATGCCATGCGGGGCTGCACTTACCCTCCGTAGCTGGCGCCGGCCGCAATGCCGCTATCAGTGTCCACGAACGACAAATTCTCCTTCACATACTGCCACGCCAGCACGATGTCCTCGTACGGATAGCTGCCCCACTCGCCCTGAATGCCGTCGATCAGCTCCTGGCCGAACCCAGTGCTGCCCGTCGGGTTCGGCTCAACCACGACGTATCCCTGGTCGGCCCAGACCTGCGGGTTCCACCGCGTGCTCCAGACATTGGCGTTGGAACCCTGCGGGCCGCCGTGGACAATGTAGGCTAGCGGGTACGTCTCGTCCTCGGAAAAGTTGCTGGGCTTGATTACCAGTGAGAGCAATGGCTTGTCGTAGCCGGGGAGCGTGCCAGCGGTGTAGAACTCTGAGTACGTGTGCGGTCCGAGTCCAGCGAGCTCCTCGTCGACTTCCACGGCCGAGAAGAGGCTCGTCTGGGAACCGTCGGTCCCGAGGATATAGAAGTCCCTTGAGGTCCAGATTGCGTTGGAGGACACTAGTAGGGAAGAGTCGGGGAGAACGTAGAAGCCTGAGACGGAAGTAACAGCCGTCAAGTTCTCCGGGATAAAATCCTCTTCTGCTGAAAGAGGGATGTTGAAGGCGCGCTCAAGTGCATAGTCCTCTGCAGAGACATAGAGCGAGTCACAATCGGGCGCCCACTGGATTGAGTCGGGCCATCTGTCCCAGTTCGGCGCAAGCCCCTTCCAGTTGCTGGTGGACACTGTGCTGCCATCGGTGCTGACGTCGAGGAGGTACAGCTTCCAGCGATCAGACTCATAGTAGTCCTCGTCCTGCTGGATGTAGGCGAGCTTGGAGCTATCTGGGGCAAATGTGGGTATTCCGGAAGCGCCCTTGTGCCCAGCCTCGTCGGCTTCGCTACCAGGGCCATTGAAAGCCACAGCGGGCGAAGATCCATCAAAAGCACCGAGGTAGATGTAGCTCGCTGTATAGTTCGCCTTGTTCAGCTGCGGTGCCTTGCTGAGGAAAGCAAATATGGATCCATCGGGGCTGATATCGTAGTCGCCATCGCCACCAAACGGCTGGACGGGGCTTTCTGGTTGGGTCGCCGTGTAATTTATACCCTGCAAGAGGTTTCGCATTCCAGACTCAAGAGAGTAGCTCGAGCTCGCCGAAAGCACCCCGCCAAACACCGCGTATCGCTCCTTTGTCAGCCAGGTATCCCAATGCCGTGGGTAAATGTCCGCGTAGAATCGTCCTGAGTGTGATGGAGTTACCGCTGATTCCGGATTGTAAGCGGTACCGTTCGGATAGGCGAGGGAGTTCACGAGAAAATGCAAATCTCCGCTGGATGTGTTCGCGACCTTTAGTCCGGAGAAGGGTGCTTCCAATGATGCAACCAACGTACTGTGGAAGGCTTAGCCTCCACTCAACAATGCGTTCATTAGAACACAGTAATGCTTACCTGGAAGAAGGGTCCAAAATATCCCCAATCCAGAGCGTAACGCCGCCCGGCACTTCTTCATTGCTTCCATTGACGTAGATAATACCAGTCTCGGTACCGGGTAACCAGATGACTTCATTGACCTCGCTCGCGTTCAATCCGGAGTCCGTGATGTTGCCAGTCTCCAGATCAAGCAATTGCCACGCAGAAGATGAGGACTGCTCATCGAACGAATATTGCGAGTTCGAGAACAGCGCGAGTTTTCCGGACGGATTGGGGTCAGCTACACCGCGTCTGGGCGCGCTAATCGATTGTCTGCGATCCTGTCAGTGCCGAGTAGCGCAATTGAAGAGGGATCCACGCACTCTGGCGTGATCGCAAAGACTCTCGTAGCAGCCAATGCCGTCGCGACTCCCAAATAACGCGCCATACTCGGTGATGCGTTGCGGGAAGTCAATTGGAGCTATCCAGTGTCGAACAGCAGAATACGAAATAGTAAGGCCGCCGCGAACCTAGGCAGCATTTTGCCAGCGGGGTATTTGTAGTACATGGGCTTGCTCAATGCGATGATTCACGTCATGGAAGGCGTCGCGCGCTCACGCTGGTATCCTAGGAGGCTCTATTCCGGTGATGACAAAGATTGCCATGCGCCTGCCTCATCCGGCCTAAGTCGGGGGACCTGAGCTCGGGTGCGCTATTGGATCTCGCGGGATACGGCCTGGTGCGTGATTCTTCGGTATCGCATCGCCAGCTTCCCCGAGGTGGTGGATCGATAATTTAGCCTGCTTGGCGAAGCGGGACAAGTGCTACCTCACGTGCTCGGCGTATGCAGCTCGACGGCGCTTTCGATGCCAAGGTGCGGGCACGAGGCAATCGATAGCAAGAAGCGGAGCAAAAGACAAGGACTCTCCGTATTCTCTTGCTCGAAGACTGCGAGAGGCTGACGCGCTTCCTACTCCCGAGAGAGCTCCTTTCGTGGTTCTGCCGCTTTTCCGACCCCAGGAGTGCTGACGCTCGGCTGCATGGTTTCCCAGGCGTGGGATGTAATGAGCAGAGCAAGGTTCCCCTCTTCGTCCCATCCCAACACGGGGAGTGCGCGCAGTAGCCTGTTGTGGGTGTCGTACGATCTGTTCCTCCTCTGCAGATCCAGGAACGGTGATAACGACAACAAGGGCTCCCATGACGTGCGCCCTCTGAATCGCCTCTTGTACAGTTTGAAGTTGGCATGTACGGCATTCGGAGTGTACTGCAATCAAGAGGAAAATCCGGGTTCCCTTTACCTGCAAGTGGGTGGGAGGCGTGCTGTGGCAATCTTTCGCTCCATCCCGAGCGCGAAATTCGGTGGTGCGATTACCCAGCCCGAAATCCTTCAACACCCTTTGACTCTGCCAATTGTGATTATCAAGTGCTAGCATGGTGAGACTCAATGTGGTTTGTCTAGGGTTCAGACGGTCCCGAGTACAAGCCCAGCTCGGAAGATAGGTCCAGAACGATTCAATGGTGTTTGTGTCGTAAGTTAACTGCGCCGTCGTTATGTTAGATGTTTCCTTTATGGATGTGGATTTGGCGAAGTAAAACCATGCACGGCAGTAGGCGCGTAGGTGGGCGTCTGGAGAAATTGTAGGTGTCGCTGGCAGACTACTCCGGTTGCACTGAGGCGCCGTGCCGCACCCTGGGACTCATCGAAGCGGTTCGTTCAAAAAAGCAGACTAAAGAATTTATTTTCGAGAGATGTCTAGCCTGATCTTGTTAGCGTGATCACGTTTCTGGATGAATGTGCCTATGCCTCACCCTTTTGCTCCCGTCCTAAGTCATCCAAGACAATGATGAATTTAAGCGCTTTAGTTCGATACACTCGTGTTTCTAGTTTTTGTCCTATGCTTGATCAATTGGCTCTTTCTTTATAACATCTGTAGCAATCAAGCTTTTACTGCCTCAATAGAGCGACCTACATCAGGATCAGAAAGGCGAGTTTTCAGGAAAGAGCCATCCGCGCTTGTTGTCGCTGATATGTCCAACGGCGAGAAGATGAAGGGTACCATGGGCGCTTCGAGACGACATAAAGGGAAGAATTGCTGGAGATGTGTATGTAGAACACATAAACCTTTCAATTAACTCCTCCTACACTGTTCTTATAACCTGATCTTCTTCATTACTTCTGTTGGCGGAAGCCGCCATACGGCACCTGGCAGGAGGACTGGAGCCTATTGTTTACTGTTGAGGATCACGTGTTAATTACGTGATTGCGCTAGCCTAGTGTATATACTTATAGCTCTTAGCTTCTTACAAACTATAATGTTACACTCAACTTTCTACTTCAACAACTACAACCACGCTCGTTAGCGTTCAATTTCGATTCTATCCAAAGGAAAGGCTAGACGAGACAGGCTCCAAAAAGCAAGGCTCTGCCAGTAAGTTGTAGAAGGGAATTTGGAACGGGGGTCTCAATAACAATAGCATAGACATGTCATACAACCTCTCGGTCATCGTGTACGGTCCTGGTGATGATCCGAACCACCGCTCCCACTGGGCTTTCGCCTTCCATGCGCCCGGCTCCTCGGTCGGCAACATTCTCCATGTCACTCTTCTCGACCTCAACAAACTCGTCTATGCTTTCGAAAAGCGCAAAGGCGTCGAGGTTCAGTCTAAATCATCCGAAGGCTACTTTACCATCGCAACCTTGTCGCTAGAGCAGTATCAACGCGCGGATCGGATCATCAGTCAGGAGCCGGCTCCGAATAATGGGAAGGACAGGTGCCAAGATTGGGTGCAGAATTGTATCATTGCACTCGAGGTGGAAGAGATTGTTCCGCCAGGGACGAGCGAGTGGCTTGGAGGGTTGGTGGCACAGCCAGCGGCGACGGTGGCGAGTAAGACTGGGTCCCGCTGGGTGCGTACGGTTCGTTAGAGGCGCCTTGAGCATGGCTGTCAAGTACTGGATGATTTCGAGTAAGATATTCGACTCAAAAGCCACTGTATAATACAAGTGCTCGATCCAGCTCTTTCAGTATATGATACTCCGCCTTTGCATCATCGGGGAATACATTGTCGAGTAATTTGATCCATTCGGGTTGTCGAGCTCGTAGATTGGCCTCTAAATATTCTCGCCCTGATATGCTGAAGCCAGCTGAGCCCCAATCAACAATTGCCATAATTTTGCAGTTGCCATCGACTAGGATGTTGTCGAGGTGGAGGTCGCCATGAGAGAAAACCTTGGCGTCTTCTGTCAAAACTGAGATTTTGGCGACGATGCTATTTTCTGATTCCCCAAGTTGGCCTCCGGGACGAGAGTTGGTAAGAGCCTCGACTAGCCCTTGATTATATTCGGTTCTTGACTTGAAGGGACCGTATTGCTTGTCGTCGTGTGTTTTTAGACATAGGTGTGAGAAGAAGATGTCTGCGCTAGGTTGATTCCAAAGCGCGCCATAGAAGTTCCCGCGCATATCACGAAGCTCTGCCACGTATCCTCGAAGCTGATCTGCAACGTATGCCCTCTTATCGTCCGACAACGACGACCACATCTCTCCCAACTGCAGTCCTTCAGCTTTGGACATGTAGATGTACCCTGTTCCGTTTTTTTCGTACGCCTCGTATACTTCAGGTACGGGAATGGAAGAACGGCTGGACACGAATCGCATAGCCTCGGCTTCGGCCATCCTTACACCTCTCCCAACTTTCAAGATTGCACCTCTGTCCGGCACATGGAAGATTCTCGGTCCAACTTTGCGGGGAAAGAGGTCGATAGCATTCGGAGGGACTTCGTCTTCATCTTGCGCAGGTCCAGGCGGAGGAGAAGGCGGGTCGATCATTGTTGCTCTGAACGAAGAAGAGCGGCGGGGGAATTTGGCGCCTTGGATCGGAAGTCCCACGCTAGGAACGCATGGACCACGTCACGTGGATCCTCGACGCCCGGGCCTTCCCGAGGTCACCGCTGCTCTATTTTCGGGGTGATTCACCTCATCATTCGTCGATTATCGTTTCTCTGCATGAAGCTCCTATGCGCTTCTGCGGGCCGACTGAGGCCGTATAAAAGAACTTATGTACTATCTAAGATATTCTAGATGTTAGCGAAAGCAGCTACGCAGAGCATTGTTTACTACCTAGGTATTAAGAATCATGTGTAAATTACGTAACTGCGCTACTTACTAGTATATACTCAAGCTTTCTACTTAAGTTAATTTATCTCTCCCCCTTTCCCTCTCCTTCGTCGCCCATATGTCGTCTTTCCGGGCGTCCCTTCTAATGCACGGCGTTGCTTTTTCTGCACTCAGTGCTTGTAGCACACACTCATATCCATTTTAGTGTACTTCCAGACACATACAATGCTCCTCGGGATTATTTTCGGCGACATACTCCAACCCTCAACCTCAACTGGATAACAATGGACTAGCTCTTTTATCTCCTCGAGGTCAACTTTCTCCCAATATTTATCCATCCAAGCTTCTGTCGTGGCTGGGTTGACCTCAATCTTATGCCTTATCTTCACGGCGTTCTCGTACTCCTTACTGGCAACCCAGTCCCGCAGTTCCTCTAGCATGTAGAAGTCCGCTTCCGCCATCACCTTGTTATACAGCACGTAATCGAACCCCTTCTCGCATGTCCATAGCAATGGGTATGTGCTCGGTCGTCGCATGTAGTTCAAGACGATAGTGAAAACGTCCGGGTCAGCGTCGATGAAGACGGAGCCGTCAGGCAGCGTTTCCATGCCCTGCTCCCATCGCGTTATAAGGTTCTGGAAGTAGGGCGAGGTCTTGAGCGTAGATTTCGCGGTGAGGATGCGCCGGCCGGAGACGTTGAGCGTTATGAGGTCGGACGGGAGTGTGGCTTGCGTTGCGGGCTGCCCGTTGGGAGGATCTTGGTCCATGGTGTGGGAAGGATGATTGATGAGATTTGGGGGTCAAAGGACGCTAGAATGCAGTAGTGTATTCTTTTATTTCTCTGGTAGCGAGGTGCTAGTTGTGCGGTTCATGAGGCTCAGCCTTGGGGCTCGGACTGAGGGTCCACACGTGAAACCATACCCCGCGTTTTGTTTCAGCCTTGTTCTCGCCATCCACTTCATCACCACTATGAATTATTTTTAATCATCGCTCGAAGTGTATTATACGCTCTACTCGCTATAACCCCATCAATCCGACGATATCGGGAAGGTCGACTCCAAGAGGAGGCTCACCGAGTTTGGAATCGCTCGTCTCCCGTCCGGACTTCATCGCCAAAGCGAAATGGATTATCGCGTGTTTCCGATCGCTATGAGCCATTATAACGTGTGTATCTCACAGCAGAATCAGAGAAATGTTCGACTTCTTCTCCATTGAGCTGTCCGTCTGGCGAGAAGAACGTGCGCATTGTCCTCGGCCTAGACAGCCACGTTCCCGCCAGCAACGTGTGCGCAGTTATCAATTCGCTCGACCTCGTCATGAAGACGATGCGAGCATACTACATATACAGTACCAGCAAAAATGCACTATATTCTAAACTCTGTAGGCGGAAGGGGCATCATCAAAAGGTTTAGCGGTTTATAGCAACGTGTGAGGATGGCTTTTGTATGGACAGCTTTGGCACCAGCTCTGGTCGCTTTCTAGTAACTGGAGAACCGGAGGATTTCAACCTCTCAAATTCTGCTACCTACTGGTGCTCCTTTCACTAACTATGTCAGCGAATGGAGCTTCCAGATTTCTTCTGTCGCAGTGGTTCCCCAAGAATCGCGAATTCCACGACTTCCTCGGCGGCATCAATCCCTTACAACCACTGCGCTTTTGATGAAGAGTCCTTCGACTGCAACCTTGACCAGGAATCTCGACACACTAGAAACCCTCACGCTATCGGTCATGCGCATTCCGGCACCTTTGCTGCCCAGCGTCTGCACGTCCGCCTTCGTGTCGGTCGGCTTCTGCTTCGGATCGTCGAATTGCAGCCTCGAAGCCCTCACAAGAGTCCAATCCATCTTCGTCAACCGAATCTCCCTGTCTACGAGGTCGTGGTCCTCGAGCGCGTACTTGATGTTGGTCCACCCCATGAATGCCTTGGACAGCCACGGTAGGTTAGCCCATGAATCCCCGACGCCTGCTGTCGACATCACTACAATGCGATAAATGCCGGCATGCTCCAGAACCTCGCAGATATTGGCGCACGAGTCGGCCAGGAAGCGAGGAGGTGAGACCTGAGGGGCGAAAGGGTTGTCGGACTTGCGGACTGCGTTCAATGTGATGATCGCTGCAGAAGGTGTCAGGGAAGGCGCCGCGGAGAGAGCGCTTTTTATGTCGGACTTCGATAGTGGCGAGCCAGTGATGACTGTGAGGCCAGGACGAGGGGTGAGGCTGCCAGAGGTACGGACGAGGGCTACCGCTGTATGACCTTGGGAGAGTAATTCAGATACGACGTACTGGCCGGTCCGTCCAGTGGCGCCGAGGAGCAGGAAATGCATGATATTCGACGATGAGAGGTACCGTTGAGTACTCGTCTGGCTGAGCTTGTTTGGAGATGAGGAGGAGGCTTCGTTACAAAAGGGCGACGGGGTTGCGGATGCATTTATAGAGTTGAACACCATGGTCGGTGTGGGCCGGCCGATTCAGAGACAGTCAGCCGCTGATTGGTTTGTTCGGTCTGCATACTGCAAAAGGAAGCCGCATGCAATCTTATGCGCGCACGCCGACCGACTTATTCCTTCTCACTCTACCTTGAAATGCGCTCGGTGATGTAATTGAGGGTGTAAGAGCGTGATACATGAGTGAGACACAGAACTAATATTACTCTGTCCTCGACAGTCACTTTTATGTTCTTTTATTAACAAAGAACATTCTCACTTCAGCATTCAGAGTGTGAAGAGGTGTGCAGAGTCTTTGTCCAACAGCATTCGGTAGCGCCGCCAGCCTTCTCCGACTCGATTTGCTAGCTATGAAGTCCGCGGATTCCATTGATTATGAAAAGACAGGAATCAGATGCGTGGCTCGGAAAGATTGCGCCACTTGTCAAAAATGTCAGCGTCCTTTAGATCGCTCCCCTAGACCACTTCTAGTCCCACTGCACGTTCGATAAGCTTTAACTCTTTCACCCAAATTGCTAGCTATGCCCTGCAATCGGTCGTTCTCGGTCCGCAGTTCGGCATAAAGATCTGGTGAGGAGTCCAGTGCCCCCAAGAGAACGACTTTCAGTGTCTGATGGAAGAAGCGCATGAAAGACACGGAAAGAAGCTCAGGACCAGGAGGTTTGATCTCCGTTTGAACAAGTTCAAGGTCATTGAGCCATGATTCCAAGGAGTCCAGCAGAGATGCTTTCTCGGATAGTAGTCGAAGAGCGTTTTCTGCCGATTCGATATGCGACACTTTGCCGAGAAATTCAAGCGTCGATGCAGCGATCCTTGTAAGCTCTGTTCGCATGTCGGGTGCAATCGTGCGAAGATCGCGAGATTCAACAGGCTGTTGATGCGGCGAAATCAAACACACAGACGCCGTCGTCCCGCTTATATCGGCTGGTGCTGGAGGATCCGCGAACTTACATGGTGCAGCGAACAGCTTGATGATGAAAACATCTAGGAAGGGTAGCTGGCCCTGGTGTGCTGGCACCAATTTATTCGTGGCAACAAAATTCGGCCTTGCCCGATACTCGTGCATGATCCTGAGTCCTTGAATGATATGCTGGGCCATAGCAGCGTAATTCCCCCGCACTTGCTCAATGCTGATGAATAGCTGACAGCAAAGTAATGCCGACTTCAACCCGTTGGAGCCCGGAGACGACAAGCTAGACGCGAGACCCCCCAAAGCCACACAGTATTGCTGGAGGCCATAGTCATAGCTCGGGGTCTGCTGCGCGACAGACGCTGGAATGTCTCCGGACGTCTCGAGATCTTCCCGAAGAGCTCTGAGAGACGAGACTGCGTGTCGTATTGGCGGATCAGTCAAGCTGGCTTGGAGAACTTTCCTGGCTTCTTCATCACAGCCCAGCTTCACGTCGAACATGGTCTTGGTTGAGAAGTAACGATTGAGGAGGTCGATGTCCTGAGGGGCGATCTCAGTTAAGGTGGGCCGGATGGGTTGTAAACCAGCGCCAGACTTGATGCCGCCAGCATGAGCGTTGTTGATGGGTTGACTGATGTAAAATCTAAAGGGAGACTCGTAGCCGTCGCAAGTACGACCAGTGCCGACACATTTTTGGCAAAATGGCTTGTTCTCGTCGCATTTGACCTTCCTTATTCTATTGCTAAGTGAGCACATTCACTGCAGAGTTGACACTCCCGTGTAAATTCTCAGTCTCGGGATGAAGACCGGCGATAGGATTTGAGACTGACCTGCAGGTTGCGCAACCAGTTTTCACCTTGGTTCTACATTGGATGTTCCGTTTGCGGGCGACGAGGTTTCCGGCCATCGTTGGGCGGGGGATGGGACACTCACGCTTGTCGCGCAACACCCTACAGACGAGAGGAAGATTCGTAGCAAGCAAGAAATCCGAGCAGACAAATCAAATGATGCACCTTGATTTATCACCAGGACGAAGAGGCAGGTGAGTCGGTGTCGCTTCGTGTCAAGTGTGTTGAGGAGCAGGCGTCAGCGCTAGCCCGATCGGGTAGCGACAGCGAACCCACCAACCATATGTGCTGTAGAAAGGGCGGCGACTGACGCGATTGTCATAGCTCCGTTCTGAGGCCCAATCCTCTCGATCGACTTATATACTAAGTGACTGACCGAATCTCTCTCGAAAGGAGTACTTGAACATGTCGAAGCTCATCACGAACAGCCCTGGATTCGCGTCTAAACTACCGTACAGCTCGAAAATGCCAGCTTTTACTCTGTATGGCTCTCGCGGTTCAACCAACACCGATCGTGTCCGCCTGACTCTCGCCGAAGGTGGCTTCACGGATTACGAACTCGTGCTTCTCAACCTGCAAAAAGGGGAACAGAAGGTGAGTAAGCCGTTTCTCTTGGAAGACGTGGCGGCTCCTCGCGTGAGCAAATTGTATGCCGCTAACACCGTTGCACCCAGTCCGAAGAAAACATGAAACGCCACCCGTGGGGTAAAATACCCGTCATCACTTTCCCCGACGAGTTCACTCTCTACGAGAGTCGCGCAATCTGCAAATACCTCGCGAGAAAGTACTCCTTCCCACTTCTACCACCGGACTCCAACGTCGAAGCTGCGGCGCTGTTTGACCAAGCGCAGTCCGTAGAAATACTCTACTTCGCCGAGCCAGCAGGTAGAATCGCATTTGAGAAATATGCCAAAAAATTCATGGGGCTGCCTCCCGATGACGCCGTGGTCTCAGATGCACTGCGGTCGGTCGAGATGTTTTTCGACGTGGCGGAATGTCTCTTACAACACAACGACTACATGGCTGGAAAGAACTTCACTCTCACGGATATCTACTACATTCCGCTGATCCAAAGACTTTTCGCGTGCGGGTACGGAGACGTCATCCTCAATCGCAAAGCAGTGAGTGCTTGGTGGGACCGCTGCATGGTTAGGCCAGCCATACAGAAGATGTTAGCCGCTGACAAGGAGGCTGCGGCTGCTGCTCGTAAATAGGATAGAAATCAATCTGAAGAGGAATATAGTTGCACTAAGACAACCGCGGCGCGGCATCCAACTCTTGATGATCCGCTCCAATGTGTACATTACCACCGCGTTCGCTTGCGCCTCCAACCTCTTACAGACGGAAGTATTTGAGAGTATATGACAGCAAACATTGCTTACTAAAAAAGTGCTAGCTCTATACCATTTGTTAGCAGATATATAAGTCGTCATAACTGAAAGAGCAGAAGGATTGATCCTTTTGCTCCCGAAACCATATTATGCCCTACTCACCGCAAGCCATCCAGAAAAGCAGCAGCTCCCAGAAACCTCTACAATGGCTGTCAAAGCCGTGGCAATGTGCAAGATGCTTCCGTGACCGTTGGGGGCTTGCTGGCGTCGGCGAAGCGGGTGATTGGGGAGAAAGTATGGACAGGAGTCGACGACGGACGACAGAGGCCGCTGTAAAGATGAGCTATGCAAAGTTTGCCAAAGGCGATCAGGACACTGTCATTAAATTCTTGGTGAGTGCCTTGTTCGGAGAGGGCTACGGAGGACACTTGAAATCCTCGACAATGAGGTATTGCATATTCCGCAAATGAAGGAGAGCGCAGTCTTGGAGGTCGTTACAAGATTGCGAGGCCAGGTACGCTAAGCTAATCAATGGGGGCGGAAATTCAGGCTTCGCAACCTGAATATGAAAGGAGTGAACGAGAGACAGACGGTGGAGTGGCAGATCCGGTAGCTTTAGGAGAACTGGGTTAGGATCTAGTGTACCTTTCCAGCTTGAAGTAGAGGTACATTGGGCAACCAAACTGGGAAGATAAGCACAGAGTGAAGGGGAAGAGAGAGAAGAGACTCGAGGCTACAGTGCTCCCTTGTGACGTGGGTAGCGTATCCTTTCCCAGAGGACTCCAGCCCTCTCATTCAAAGGAACCCACTTTGCTCTCGCACTCCCTCCCTCGCCTTCAACCATCAACGACGCCCGCCATTCCCATCAACTACTCAACCATGGCGCGCTTCCTCTATCTGACAGCCCTTGCCGTTGGCTCACTAGCCCTCAACCGCCCTTGCGTACTGCCCCGCCCCTCCATCAACGATACTCTTCCTGGAGTCAAGGCCTCGAACGACATGTTCGCGCCCGGCGCTGGCGGGCCCGTGCCATGGCCGCGCGATCGCGACAGCAAAATGGTAGTGATTTCATACTGCTATGAGACCGAGCAGGCGCGTAACAAGATCCACGAGCGGTTCGAACAGGTTGCTATCAAAGACTGGGCAGATGCCCTTGGTGGCGAACCGTCCAAGACCACGGGATATGCGCTCAAGTACAAGGAGCGGACAAATGCGGACGGGAAACCTGCGTATTGCTATCAGCACGGCGGGTCAAACGGGCAGGACTGTAAGTTGTCCTCGGGATGACGGCGGGCTGATTGTGGGGCTACTACAGCGAGATGACGGTTTGGACTTTGCACTGAGCGACGTTTCCAGGGAATGAGCATCTCGAATTAGACACCCTAGCCATCGACTACCAGGACGAACCATTTGCAGCTTCTGCCTCTGTCGGCTTTCTCTCAGACAAGAAGACTGCGCGCCTGAACCGGTTCGTCATAGGCCGCAATGCCATTGATCCGAACTACGTCCACGAGCTTGGACACGTGCTGGGGCAATCTCACGAGCATCAGCGACCGGATCGTACGTTGCGCACCCTTGCTCCACTTCACGCCAGGAAAACACTATGCATGAAGCTAACGTACCCTCCGCAGGCGACGACTACGTCAAATTCGAGTGCGAGAATCTCGCCGACTTCGAGGAGACCTGGGACCGGGTCAAAAACGAGCCGGACATGACCAAGAAGCGGCTCTGCGAGGACATGGGCACGGCATGGGAATACGGCTTCTCGAGCACGGCTTTCATCAAGGGCGAGGGCATCCGACACATGCCCGACGGCATCGATTTGTCTTGGCCCATCTACGGGGGCTCCGACTATGATCTCAAGTCGGTCATGCACTTCGGTTCCACGACGGGTTCGAAGAGCGGGTGCACGGTGGATAAGATCGACAACTGTGCTTTGCGGAAGCTGAAGACGAATGGGGACCCGAATGGTGGGTATGAGGTTATACACGATAATAATAGGCCGTCGCAGGGGGATGTTGAGTGGGTCAAGAGTGTGTATCCGTGGACGAAAGACTGAGTGGTGGAGATGTAGTGGAGGAGTGGCGGAGTAAAACTTAGGGTTGGGATAGGTACATATCCGCCTATATGGACTTAGAACGGGTATAGTACTACATCTCGTAGATAAGCTACATCGAATAGAAAAAACTGCTGGCTAACATCTTTTGCTGCTGCACATCACCCATATGCAAAAATTAGGACTCGTGATTTACTTATTCATCCCAAAGTTCTCCACAATGCTTTACTCAACTAAATCAACCCACGTTTTCTTAGTTGGTATACCCTCAGTACCATTTACTACCCACTGAAATGTGTACACCCCAAGCCCCGCTACCAGAACTTCCCCTCTTTAGTCCCCGTCCACAACCTTCGCATTCAGCTTCTGTAGCAACGCATCTTCGACCGCCACTAAGTGACCCGGCTTCGACGTCATGCTCGCCATAAGGTAGATGACATTTCCTAGCACACGAGAGTGCACGCTGACCCTTGTGTTGGAGACGTCATTGAGAAGCGCATCGCGCAGCCCAATGGCGGCGTTGGATGTGTATCCTACGTGCGATCAGTATCTATGCTGAGAATGGGATAATATGCCACATACCCGATCCAGACTTATCAGTCAACGACACAACGAGCACCGAACCGATAGCGAAAACATGGTCCACGCGTGGATGATGCGAGAGCTCCGTAACATACTTCTTACTCCACATGCTCCAAATAGAATCCTGTGCCGGCGCTCTCATGGTCAATTTCTCTTCCCATTCACTGCTTCCGTTCGCGTCAGCCACCGCCCAATTCCTCTGGTATCCTCGCCACGCATAACCCCCACCCAACTCCCTCATCGCGTCTAAACTCTTATTCGCGACATGACAGCCGATCGGATGCGCGGTGTAGCTATGGCCATGCAGCAAGGCGTCTGCCTTTTCGTCGCCCCAGAAGGCTTGGAAGATGCTTTCGCTGGCGAGCGTCACACTTAGCGGGAGAAGACCGCCGGTTAGTAGTTTAGCGTGGATGGAGATGTCAGGGTGGACTTGAAGGAAGGAGGCGGAGCTAAAGCGGCCGAGGCGGTAGAGGCCAGTGAAGACTTCGTCGAAGAGGACCGGGACTCCGGTCCAGGTATGAGGATCTTCTTCTAACGCTGTGGATGTGGGTGAGGCGGGAGACGCGAAGGGGTAGTTGCGAACTACTTGGACGAGGCTTCGTTGGAAGAGTGGGTCTCTGGAGGGGCCGATCAGCTTTTATCGTGTGACGGCAAGGAGCATAGACTTACACGAAGATCATGCCACCGGCACCGAGGATGATGGGTTCCATGACCAGGGCGCCGAACTTCCTTCTCTGCTCTTTGACAATCTTATCCAGGAGACTCTCAATATACTTCTCGTACCGTGGGGAACGACCCCTTTTCTCAAAGTCGAATACTTCATCTAAGCTCCCGAAGTACTGCGCGGGGCCGAATTCTTCCTCCATGCCCGCTGGTGACTCAATGAGCCACTTTCCTTTCCTCATCTTGACCGTTGGAAAGTCAAACCAATGGCCTCGGCCTCGGTACCAATCAACCTTCTTGTTATAGACGCAAGGTTCAGATGCGTCCATGGCGCCGATCGTATCGCCATGGTAGCTCCCTTTGAGGCCTAGGATTCCAATATCTTCCTTTGAGCCATCCCAATCGTACCGCTTGCACGCCGCTCTGAGAGCCATCTTGATGCCTACTTCGGCAGCTGTGCTGCCATCGTCGCTGTAGAAGCATTTCGTTAGCCGAGGGTTCTCGAGGCCCACTAGAAGCCGTTCTGCAAGAGTGATTGCTGGCTCGTGGGTAGCGCCGGCGAACATGACGTGGCCGTACCGTCCAGCGGCATACGCTGCGGCAAGGGATAGCTGTGGGTTTCCGTGGCCGAGGCCTTGTGTCCACCAGGATGCCGAGCCATCGAAAGCCGGATAGAGCAGCGGAACTTCACCCACGTGGTCCACGCTGTTCATGGATCTTCCAGTGTGCTTGGTCTGGAAGTAATCGCCGTATGCGGAGTCGAAGACTAGGATATCATCCGCCTTTTCGATGCTTTTGTGCTGTGTGAAGGGATGCCATATCGATTTCTTCGTACGGCGGGCGAGATTATTCATACTCGCGAGACGCTCGATATGCCGATCAATGATCCGTCTAGCCACTTTGAACATGCGCCCTTGCCTGCTCCACGTATCGTAGTAACCTCTCATCGCCTCTTTTTCTTCTATCTCTGATAGGCCCACCAGATCCGGGATCCAGGGAAGCTCGAATGCGAGGATGCCCATCTTGTCGAAGTGCCCTTGGAGATACTGGGAATTCTCGTATTTCCCACCGTCATCGAAACATATGACGGCGTCAATGTCGTAGCCGCGGATGATGAGCGACTCTGCTGCTGATATGGTGGACGCGATACCTCCAAGTCGATGGTCGCCGACGAGAACGACCGGCAACCGCATCGGCCGGAAGATGTCAGCTTGGGGAGTTCCCGAAGGGCCTGGGCTTAAGACACCTCCTGCTGTTTCTATGATGGCGACGCCCATGTGCCCTCGCGCCATGGAGTACGCTCGAGCGTCATTCTTAAGCTTAGCGTAGAGACGTTGGTTGAGATGATCGTCGCTGGGCTTGAGATTTGTCAACGATAGCTAACATCAATAGGAGAATAAAACTGACGATATGGTCGGCGCTGCGAGCCGCAACATGCGGGCTCACAGGATCCCTGAATTTGAAAAGCGTCGATACGGACAGCCCGGTGTACTTTCGGACGTACCTAGACTCCTTAGCCCCGACATTGCCATTGCGAGCTGTGCACAGCGACAACAGACCTATCATCAGCCTCGCCCGCCGGCCCAGTAGAGACAGGTTTAATATAGTGTAGGCTCCATCTCGTGCGACCAGCCCTCTTCACGAAGTGCGCGCCGAGGAGTGTGGAAAAGACGGTCTTCCCAACGCCCGTGTTCGCGCCATAGACCTGGACTGCGATAAGATTCTGCCACAGTCCAGCAGGTACTCTCGACATTGAACACGAAGGCTCTGACGACGATACAATTGGAGGTCTGGACCCAGATCGGAGGTTCTGGTGTTGAGGGGGTTCGTTTAAACTGGCTTTTTGGGTCGCCGGAAGCACTAGTCTCACTTTGGCTTAGTAAGTTCCTGTTCCTGAAAGGCAAGATGTCCGTCCGATCTGAGCGTTATCGTCACCCGCAGTTATTCGATTACGATCTAGATCAATTTATACTTGTCTAATCTTCGGCAGACTTAAAACGAAAACCCTCCACTTGAAGGTGTAGTCAATGAATCCCAGTCTGCGGCTGACTGATCTGTTGAGCGCGCTAACCACATCCATGCAAGACAAAAAGATCCCTGTCCATCGACCTTCCCCTCCCCCAGATTCTTCCCACGAAGCCATTGAGCCTCATCTGACCCGGTACGACAGGCCTCTTGAGGTCCGCTATGTAACCTGAGCCAAATTCCCCCATCCGCCGTCTATCTCGTCAGCTCCCCGCCACAAAAACCTCCAGCCCTCCGCAAACCGCGTCCGCCAAACCCCAAGTCCTCCACGCCAAATTGTGGTAGCTCAAGCAAGCACAGCACCATGTCAAAAGACCCCGGTCCATCCCTCCTAGAAACCAAACTCCGCACCCTCCTCTCCCGACGCCTCACAGCCTCTACCCTGCGCACCCTAACCCTCAACCCCCCCACCAGCACCGACTTCTCCAGCAACGACTTCCTCTCCCTCTCCACCAACAGCTCCCTCAAACGCGCCTACCACCAGGAACTTCTGACCTCGAACCTGCCGCTCGGAAGCGGGGGCTCGCGCCTGCTCGACGGCAACTCCGCGTACGCGGAAACGCTAGAGAGGGAAATCTGCGCCTTCCACAGCGCCGAGGCGGGACTGCTGTTCAACTCCGGCTTCGATGCGAATGCGGGGTTTTTCGCGTGCGTGCCGCAGCCGGGGGATGTTGTTGTGCATGATGAGCTGATCCATGCGAGTGTGCATGATGGGATGAGGTTGAGTCGGGCGGGGAAGAGGGTGGCGTTCCGGCATAATTGCGTTGGGGATCTGAGGAGAGTGTTTCAAGAGCTGATGGGAGAGGATGGACTGGGGGATAGGTTAAGAGCGGGGGAGTGTCATGTTTTCGTCGCTGTGGAGGCGGTTTATAGCATGGATGGCGATTTAGCGCCGCTGTGTGCCATCGTCGAGACGGTCGAAGACGTTCTACCGAAAGGAGCGGGCTATGTGGTTGTCGACGAGGCGCACGCAACGGGCGTACTGGGACCGCTTGGACGAGGTCTAGTCTGCGAATTAAGGCTGGAACGGCGGGTCTTTGCGCGCTTGCATACGTTTGGCAAGGCACTGGGTTGTAACGGCGGTGAGCTTTGATATCTCCTTCTATATACATTACGCAGCGACGTTAGATTGACACTAAACAGCAATTATACTCGGCTCTCCAGTGCTCCGACACTACCTGATCAACTACGCCCGGCCCCTTATATACACGACCTTCCTGTCCTATCCCGCGCTAGCGGCAATACGCACCTCCTATTTGTTTCTCGCTCAAGGACGCACGGTGTCGCTAGCGGCGCACTTACGCTCCCTCATTCAAGCCCTGTTCGCGGAGTTGAACGCTGTCCGCACGGCTAATTTCAATGAGCTGCTGAGGGTCCCTCTAGAGCGCCCAAAGTCGCCAATATTTTCCATCCAGCTGGACGACCCTAAGGCGCTGGCTAAGTACCTACAAGACAAGGGCATGATGGTAAGGGCTGTGGTACCGCCGACCGTTCCTGAAGGCACGTCTAGAGTTAGAGTTTGCCTGCATGCAGGGAACACGGTGGAGGAGATTCGGAGGTTAGTGGGTACGATGGAGGAATGGTGCGCAAGAAGAGCGCAGAGCTCAGAGGCGGAGACGACAAAAAGGGTGGGCAAGGAAGATGGCGTTCTATACGCGCGTCTATAAGGGTTGATGTATATATCGCGCGGGCATTACCCCGCCTGAAGGCCTCTAGAGGGCGATGGAGACGCTAATCATCCGACCCTCTGGTGTTTGAGCATAGACGGCATCCCGATTCTCATATGCTAGCCGGTGTAGTCTGTTCTGCTGACGTGAGTGCTTCCCCGATACTCGCTTCGCTTTTGGCTTCAGCAATCTCTTGCTGACCCCCGATTGTCTCGTGGCTCTCCATTGGCCTTAGGCCCCACCTATCAAACATGGCCTTGTCCTCTTCCCACCCGTTGCAGGCCGTCGTCAGCATCTTCTCCCCAGTGAAGACAGCGTTGGCGCCTGCCATGAAGCACATCATCTGCTTCTCTTCGCGCATGGTATGTCGACCCGCTGCCAGACGGATGATGGTGGTTGGCAGGACGAGCCGCGCGGTGGCAATTGTGCGGAGAATAGCGTCGAAGGCGATCGCTTTGCTTTCGCCCAGCGGCGTGCCTTTGATGGGTACAAGGGCGTTGACCGGGAAAGACTCGGGGTGCGATGGGAGGGTAGCAACCGTGTGGATGAGGCCGACGTGGTCCTGCGGTTTCTCACCCAGTCCGAGAATGCCGCCTGTGCAGACGTGGATGCCAGCATTCTGCACGTTGTTGATAGTGGCCAGTCGCTCATCATACGTCCGCGTAGTGATGACGCTCGGATAATGCTCCCTGGAGGTATCTACGTTGTGGTTATAGGCCGTCAGGCCGGCATCCTTGAGCTCCTTTGCCTGCTCGGCGTCAATCATGCCCAGTGTCACGCAGGCCTCCATGCCCATTGCGCGCACGCCCTTGACCATTTCCTTGACGTTCTTCAGGTTTGTCTTCCGACCGCGCATGTCTCGCCACGCGGCGCCCATGCAGAAGCGGGAGCTGCCATTCTCCTTTGCGACCCGGGCGGCTTCGAGGACGGAGGCGACGTCGACCATCTTGCTGGCTTTGAGGCCGGTGTTGTAGCGGGACGACTGGGCGCAGTAGCTGCAGTCCTCGCTGCAGCCGCCGGTTTTGATGTTCATGAGAGTGCACATCTGGATCGCGGCGGGGTTGTGGAAGCGGCGGTGGACCGTGGCCTGCGAATATGAGTCGCGGGCGCGAGGGGAGTTGTGCGTGTACGTACCGCAGCATACGTGAGGTTGATCAGGGGCGTGTTGTAGAGCTCAGAGATCTCCTCCTTCGTCCAGTTCGTCCTCGGGGCTGCTGCCTGCACCGCATCGTGAAAGACAGACGAGCTCGGGGCTGGCGGTGGGGTCTGTTGAGCGGCCGGGTTGATGGGAGTGTCGAGAACGGTGCTGAACGGGCGGGAGACGTGCTGTGGGCGGCAGAGGGCAGGCACAAGGCCAATTGGCCTCACGAGGGCTCTGTGGGCCATGCTTCAAGCGAGTGACTGCAAAAATGGAGTGGGAGTGGGAGGCTGCATCGTGGCTTCGGCCGCTCAACAACATGCGGGTCGGCGGTTTTGCAGGGACAGCACCGTGTTAATGATGTCGCTGTGATTGGCCGATGGGCGATCCCGCTTGCACTTTCTGGTCTTAGCGCGGGGCATGCCTTGGCGAGTTCGGCTGTTTATGCTCGTGACTACGCGTTTCACAATCCGACCCGACACGCATAACTTCAGCCCGCGCCATGTCCTCATGTGTCGCTTCGAGATCCTGAGCCTCCTTCTCGTCTTCTTTCAGAAACGAAGCCCGCGCCCGCGGCCGTCGAACAGCGGCGGCACCCCACCGCGGCCATGCTCCACGAAATACTCCTCTCGCTCTCCGGCCACCCCTCCGCGCTCTTCGATGCCCAGCCGGGCCATTCGCACGTGACTTCGACGCCCATCGCGCTGCTTTCGCCGCCCGAAGCTGAGCTGCTGTCTTCCCTGGGCCATCTGTCGCGTCTGCATCGCCGGACCCGCGATCATGTCACCCGAATAGCTGCTTCCCATCCCTCCACCGTGTGCAGGGCAGTAGCCGCAGCCATCACCTCTTACCATCTGGACAAGTTCCAACGCCAGATTTTGGACGTTGAGAGCCGCATTCTGAAACAGGATGCCTCCACTGTGGGCGCGTACAACATCGTGCCCCTGGCCGGAATTGTTGGCGAATTCTCCGAATGGGTTAGGCTGATGGAATGGTTGTGGGACATCAGCAGCTTCATCATGTCTCCCGAAGTTCCCAAAAAGGCCGAGCAAACCGATCAAAGGGCGTCTTCTGGGGCTGGACTTATCGACAAGCTACGGACAGAATCACAGACCGGTTATCCTGATCTTGAAGAGGCGGCCCTCCATCTTGGGACCGTTGCGGAGACCTCGTGGCTACGACAGCTCTCCACGTGGCTACTATACGGTCGCCTGCCTTCATTTGGGGCAACCGACTTTTTCATCGGCGATGACCACGATGAGGACCTCTCTTTCGCTGTGAACCACAAACTGTTGCCAAAGTACGTGACACGTCAGACCGCCGCTTCTATACTGTTCATTGGAAAGTCCCTCAATCAGATTCGGTCCTTGCCATCGTCATCCAGTACGCTGAGTGGGTCGTCTTCTACTGTCTCGGAGCTTGAGCTGCTACCAGTACATGTTCGCCATCTTTCTGAGGTGACGGCTCCTATATCCTCGGCAAAGCTCTCAGAAGCAGTCGCAAATATCCGGTTGTCTCTCTCGCGGAATCTTCTTCAGCATCTTCTGCCTCGCGATAAGATCGTGGAGATCCTCACCGTCTTGCATCAGTTCTTCCTGCTGGGCCGAGGAGAATTTCCAATGGCGTTGATAGCGGAAGCAGATGAAAGGATACACTCCCGTCATCGGAACCCACTGCAGACCAAGTCTAGCCAAGGCATTCAAGGGATACTGCTGAAAGAGGCCGAGATCAACCATACATTAGCGCGTTCGTTCTCTGTGCTCTCGACGTTGAGTGGCGAAGACGATCATACAGATGATATCCTGGATGTTGCAATGGACATCCTTCATCTCTCTGTCCAAGACCGAGCAAGCCATCGACCCGGGACGCCCGGCCGCGCCAGGGACTCCGCTGCCATTCTTCCCCAGATTGCCATCGTGGCATTTGACGACCTGTTGTTGGCCGTACCAACGTCTCTAACTATGGATATAAGGTCGCCGCTAGATCTTTTCATGACGAAGGCGGATCTCGATGTCTATTCGGCTATTAATGCATACCTCCTTGCGCTGCGCCGCGCTCATCTCCATATAGTGCAGCTTTGGCGCCAGAGTTCCATCCGCAGAGTCCACCCAGGCCCTCCTGATTATAGATACAGCAACTCGCCCCATGGCATGGCTGTATTGGGGAGGCGTCGCGAGCGGAATAACACACGGACTCGGTACCTGCGGCCGGTCTGGGCGACGTGCGCAGCAGCGATTTTCTTTCTCTCTGAGAGCGAGGCTTACTTCCAAGGGGAGGTAGTCCAGGAGTCTTTCAGACACTTCTTACACTGGGTCGAGCATCCTGAGCGCGACTCTTCTACCACTTCCACCAGTACAAGCACCAATCTGGAACCCCAACCTTCCAGTGGCTCTACTCGCTCACAACAGTCCACCATAACCCCAGAAGCACAACACCATGATCCCGAAGCCCTCTCTCTCGCCCATCGCCATTTCTTGACCTCGGTAACATACTCCCTCCTCCTCACCGACCCTTCGTTTCCAAGGACCCTCCGCACCCTCTTCACGCACGTCGATGAACTCGTCGCCTACATCACGCGCTTGCAGACCATTCACCAAAATCTTGACCTGGAGGAGGATGAAGGCTTCGAAGACTTCAGCCATAACTACAAGCAAGAGGAGAAAGATGTGAGCTTAGAGCTTGATAGGGCCAGGAGAAGACTAGATTCGGATCTGAAGGCACTGATGGAGCGCCTGAGGGAGATCGACTCCGAGAGAGTGGGTACGGGTGGTTGGGAGGCTATAAGAGAGTATGGTAGCGTGGAGGGGAGGTATGAACCCTTGAGGGTAGGTGGGGTGGATCGATTGCTGATGAAGCTGGATTGGGGCGGAGAGGATGAAGAGGAGGAGAATGAGGATCTCATATAGTTAATTACATGAAGAGTTATCCGGAACGCTGCCTGCAGGCGACCGAGTCTTGAGGCTTTGGGGGGAAATCCCAATGCCGGATGTCCGGCTCGAAGTTGCTCGAAATCCTTCAAGAAGCAGAATGCAGAGCGCAAATTCCTAATAATGCAGAGTAGGAGAATGAATGTGAGATTGCAGAATGCTGAGGTGAGGAAGAGGAAGCTTGTGGGATGATGAGTGCGACACATTCCGCCTCCGGGCCAAGCACCGAGTCAACACTGCGCGGGGTTGTATATTACCCCCGGCTTAACCCAAATTTTCAATCGAAGTCGTAATTGGACTTTGGTAACACGCTTGAAGTTCTTCAGGCTGGTCTTTTCAGCGTCTATGTGCAGTCTGCTCCGAAAGAATGAAATGGTGACTATTCTACATAGGTGAGATCGGAGTTCCCAAGAACCCCTCAACTGCTCCCAGTTGGGGCTACTGACTTCTTCCTCACATACAAAAAGATATCATGGAAATTTGACTTGAAAGAGAGGCTATACACCTTCTTCACTTCCTCCCAGATTTCCGTCTCGTTTGGCGTATCATGTGGCAGCTCTGCTGGGACGATGGGGTATCTTGCCATGAATTCATGATACGACATGCCCATCACGTCTTTGGTGTCCCCAAATTCCTTTATGCTACAGCGTCTCTTGTAGGCGACGAGGTTCTTGGTGGGTTCGGCATCGATCCAGCGCGTATCATCCCACTCCGGCCTCAGATAGTCGTCCTCGATCTCGTCGCACAGCATTGCAGCCGGGCCCCCGACTTCCAGAGTCAGATCTGCGATGATGCCGCAAACGGGGGCGCTAGGCGCAAATGTAATCACAAATGTATTCTGGCCCACTTCCAAGAAGGCTTCGAAGTCCGTGGTGGTTTCGATGGAGAGTGTTTCTTGAAGCACGTGCGCGCAATGCTTGCAATACGCCGGATCTTGGGCGACGACCCCGATGTTCTTCTGTGTTCTTTTAGTCTTCTTTAGCTCTTCTAGAACCTCGCGGACGGTGTTGGCTGCCATGTGCTGTACGAAGCATTTCGAAAATCCGTAGTGTAGGGGCCCTAGGGCAAAGCAAATAACCTTATCCACGTTCTTGAGTCGCTCCCTATGCTCCTTGATGTAGGATCGGAGCCTATCCGCTAACATTTTCCAGTGGCTAGCCCAGTGCTTTGCATCCTTCCGCTGGTCCGCGGACAACTCCCTTATGTGCCTCCACTCATGAACGAAGTCTATTCCGATCGGCTTTTGAATGTTTCTGCGCCACACATAGCGCTTCAAGTGGAAATTCCCGGTTTCCCATTCGTGCATCCAGAATTCCCACGGCGGCGTTTCGTAGGTGTCGCACTGCCTCCACAGGTCGTGCTTAGAGAGCGGCATAGGTTCCAGATCATACAGACACTTTTGTTTCGGGTTATCGGTCTTGATGTCGTTATTGTCGTCGAAATTTTGGGAGAAGGCAACGACGCCCAATACTCGCACGATGAGCTTGTGCCTAGGTCGCACTTCCGGGAACGGAAATGTGTGCCATTCCCCGAAGATGTCGCGGACGCGATAGATGCCTCCTTCGCTGAAATCACCGAGAAGTCGGTTTAATCTCTCTATCTCTTCCTCAATGTCCTTGGTCATCTGTTGCAAATGTGGGATCTCTTCGGCAGTGAACTTATCTTTTATCACGGGCAAGGCATTGGCCAGAGGCCTTAGTCGCCGCATGTCGTTCCACATGTGGGCGGAAGCTTGCAGCTTGCTTGCTTCTGCGATAGTTTCTCGACTCCAAATCGTTCCTGGGGGGTCTCCATACTTGTTGGCCCACAGATATGCACCGGTGATGTTGCTTTCCGTAGTCCGTTGTTTTGGCTCGGGCTGTGGACTTGGGGAAGACCGTTCGCGTTTGCTCATTGCTAACTTCGAGGGAGATGGGTGATGGGGACACAGTCGGACAGGAAGTCAATATAGGGACGTTCGTGATTCTCGATGGACGATATCGTGGCTGTCAAGAAGCAACAAGTGTGAAAGGAAGAACGCTTGCAGGCGGGGCAGCTGGACGCAGCTTGTTATACTCCTGTAAGACTGTTCCACTGACGCATTGATGTGGTTGATGAATCAAGGTGACTCTGCGCTCGAGACAACGAGACATAGCGTACTTGGCCCTAATCTGAAGTCAGAGTCCCATTTGGCCATTTCCACCAACCTTGGTGATGGTATTCAATTGCTACAACGACGCAAAGCCAAAGGAATAAATGGAGCAACGGATGAGTGAACTCAGGCCTTGAAGGGAATATGCAAAGATGTCTCCAGTCTAATGTTTTCTCTGTCTCAGCAACCTTGCGTCAGCGTGTTCGCACTAGCAAGGTATATATGGGCATCTGGTAGCTGTTTGTGATGGGTTTGTAGGGGTCGACCTCAAATTGAACGTCCTCTAGACTGACATCGGTATTTTCCGGACGCCGATGGAGAATCGCTGTGTTGGCTAACTCCTTGTTGGAGTAGCTCTTTTCTTCACACGCCATCGCTAGGTCTCGCCGCACTCGCGCAGAAGAGACGCTGATTTCTATCGCGAGTCCAAAGTGTTTAATTGCTTCATTGATGTGTCAGGAGCTCCGAAAGCACACATCAAGTTGGCTTTGCCAAACCGCGTTTCCCTGCAAGCCGGCCCTCTTCACTGCCTTGAGTATCGTGTCGAGTGGAAGCGGATACGGGACTGGGTCTGAGCCATGAGGGAGTGTGTGGCTGGGCGTACCGCATTTCTCCAAGTGAGCCTTTTTCGGTATTTACAGCGGTTATCGGGAGGAACATTGCTTACGGCCGATGCTCGCATAACAAGGTCTACTTCTGGGTGTGCGGCTTGAGGGTGAAAAAGATGTTCTCACTCAATGATTGGACTTAGCGAGCGATCATATTGGGGGAAGAACGATCACGGGTTTGCTGCAACACCGAGTCCAGAAAATGGTCTCGTCGTTTAGTAATGTCCATAAGAGCCACAAGATCAAGTTGGGTCGGGGTCATAGTACTGGAGATGCTGACAGCGTGGCCTTCACGTGCAAAGGCCAGTGCTCTTGCGCGTCTGAGCGCAGAGGACTAGCAACAGCCGATTTTTCGCCAGAATCTGGGTTGACGAACATGTTCAGGTAGGTCGCAAGGAACGTGGAGTGGGCTTCCGAGGTGAAGATACCGACGCGGGGATCATTTCCATCGTTAGCAGCAGTGCCGTACTCTTTTCGAAAGTATGGCGCAATGGAATCGGGGGCAAGAGTAATGGTCGTCGTTTCGAATTCTGAGTCATACAGGTTGGCGCGGGTCCGACGATGGAACACTTCGAGTACATCCGCCGTGAGGTCGTCATCCCGATGGAATTTAATAAGCAAGCCGTATTTCTTTGAATCTCTGCCTCCAACGAAGTGATTGTTCGACCGCTCGGTGAGGTGATGTGCAAAGCTGCAACAAGTTCCGCGAGGGTCAAACAGGAGCCATAGAGGAGTCGCTTTCAACTCCCTTGCCTCTTCCGCTTCGAAAGTCGAAGCGCAAGCCCTTAAGAATCTCGATGCGGAGGATTTGATGTCCTAGTTTTCTGTTCGAAGTGGGTGAAGGGCATCTTCGAATGCCTCCAAACCGAGAACCTAGATCATAGCATAGGCCAACTGGGGGTTGATCCCGGACTTGGAATGCAGTGAGTGATGGATTCGCGTTATCGAGTAAGAAGCGGCATCCTAGAAATAGGAGACGGCTCTTGACACTCTCAACCACAGGCCATGGATCGGAATTGTTTCGTAGGCTTGGCCTCGAGTGTTGGGTATAACTTATCTCTGAAAATGTGTGTTGGGAAAGAGACCGCGGGAAAGGTGCTGCATAAGATTCTGGAGAAGGCTGATGACGGACTTTTGTTTGGTTGAACGGCCGGGCCTTCAACGTTGGAATGTAACACCCGTGCGGAGTCGTTGGTGGAACGAGCGCGATCAGAATGACTAAGACTTAAGCAAGTACACGGAGCCGCCATCATGTTCATCGCCCGGGGAACACGAAATGGCCCTATGACTCACATCAGTCGCCAAGCGAATGACTGCTTTGCGCAGCTATGACAGGGTCAGCTTGATGAAAGCCCACGGCTCGCGCGCGTAACAAGGTTTGTTTGAACGGCACGAACTAACGATAACGTCACCCCGAAGGCAATATGCAGTGCTTGGAAATTCGAGCTTGAAAAAAGATTGCCCGCGATGTCCAGGAAAACTACCACTCTTGCACGATTATAGGGACGGCGGCTTTGCTAGGAAAGGTCTGAGGGTCCGTCCGGATTCGGGATTGAGTTCTAGTGCCAAACGCCTGACCACATGGGGTGTTCTCGGATAGCCCGGTTGTGATGTAACCTGGCCGATATATATCATCCGTGACCACCCCTGAGTTTGAACCGACGATGTCTAGTGAGATCAGGATGTTCGCAGTGTCGCCTGAGGAAGGGCTGTAGACCTCGTCCTAGCGCGCCGCTGTTGTGGTAAGGGTACGCGCAAATACTTGTAATAGAGCTTCGGCTCTGTTAAGGTATAAAGGCATTTGAAAATCGTTTAGTAAATCCGTCTGCGAGAGGGGGGGACGCGATGCAGAGAACGAGTTCCCCCCTTTGGCTTGATAAACTACCTAGGTAGCCATTAACTAAGTTGCCACAGAGGCTAATTGACAGAAGGGCTAGACACCGCTGGTTTTGAGAGCTGAAGCCAAGTGGTACTGTGCAGAGGCGAGAAACAGGCGGCGGGAGGCGTCGGAGAGTCGCGCACACACTAGAGCAATTTATCCACCACATCCCCCTTGCTCTCCCCAACTAATACCCACCATCACCACTCACAGATTGCCCGGCAGCCTCGTGATCTTCGTCAAATGATCACCATTCAGGATCTTCATGACCTTCCCTAACCCCTCGTAGTTATAATCTTTCTCATTCCACCTGTCCTTGCTCATCCAACGTCAGCGTAACCAGCGAATTCACTTTCTTTGGCATTGGCATTGGCTTCGGAGTGTATTCCTGCTGAAGCTTGAAGATGATTTCATCCGACTCGGAAGATACCACTTCCATCTTGATAGTGCGCGTTCTGGCCATGATCATGGCTATGCCTATCTTTATGTTAGTTCGACGTGCTGCATGGCGTGACGAGCCGGGAGTGATCGATCACATACCATATGTTGGCGGATATATAAGTTGTCATAACTGAAAGAGCAGAAAGATTGTGATCCTTTTGCTCCTGAAACCATACCATTGCCCGGCTATCTTATATCTCGTGTCGCAAAAGCTCCATGGGTCGTCGTAGATGGCTCCGGCCGCATACACGTGCATGTCTTCCTCGCTCGCGCTCACAGAATACAGGTTGCATATCGACTGTACGATGCGCTCGCGTTCTGGCTCCAGGGGAATTGACTTCTCCGGGTCTGGCTATAGTCGCCGCTTGACGAGGCGTTTTGGGACGGGTCGCGGTTCGACGTGAGCGCCACCGGATCTGGCCTCTTTTCGAAGTTTTCTTGCAGTTCTGTAGCCCTGGTCGACATTTTCAGTTTTCAGTTTCCAAATTCTAGAGAGGTAGGTTGCGCCGCCTCCAGTTATTGATGTTTTCATGCCGGTGTCGAAAACAGCAAGAGTCGTGACGTCATGAGACTATTGTTCCCACCTGGGCAGGTGCCCTGTGCCCCCTATTACGCCTTCTCATCTTCAGCCCCAGTCATAGGCCTTTCCCTTGAGAACTCGTTGAGGGTGCGCCACTGCGACCCCTGAGATAGCATGGGGTTGAGAAGAAGGCACCCCTCCCAGCCACCGCGGCCGACTGCCTAGATGGTGTAGTGGACATTGCGCCCGCCGCATATTTGGCGTAAGTGCCCTCTCGAAGCAACATTTATGCTTCCTGACGCATTATGAATTGTGGCATGGGGGTGACTATTGTGGATAGGATGAAGTACACTCTTGTAGTAAGCATGAGAAAACTATTCAGAGCCCCCACAAAGCGAAATTTTTGATGGATTTAGCATGACGAAGTCCCTAGAGCACTCTCTACCCGTACCCGTAACGTTCGCAGACCGTATTTATGCAAACTTGCGCCGCCTCTCGAAGTCCGGTAGACTTTGAGCCTTTCCTTTCAATCACGCAATCACTCCGCTAACTCCTCGCTCAAGCCAACTCACCACGCTTTCTGGTTCCATTCCTCCAACGCGATGTTTGAGTACACTTGGCCTGAATCTTCGGTAACGTAATGCTCAAGGTCTCTCACGGGCAAGGATCTTGCTGCGGGTACGAAGAATTCAGCATGCTTTCCTTGGTTGGGAGTAGATGGCAGCTCTCAGGAAAGCCGCACGGACAACGCAAGTGTCACTGCTCCTTTGCGCTTCTTCTCCGAGTTCGTATCCTGGAAACTGTATCGAAAGCTCCGCCCAGCCATAATACGGCGCGGTTCTCAGGATTCGCAGTAATTCGAAGTTGAAGAATTCCGATTTGAGAAATCGACGCACGGTAGGTGAGAGTGCGATACCGAGTAGAGATTGCTTAGGTTCCCAACTGCGATAGGTTCAGGGAACGCTCGTAGACCCTCCAATCTCAACTGCTCTGCCTTGGAGCTCATCAGTGCCGAGCGTATCGGACCAGTGTCGCGGATCCGCCGAACTCCATACCGGGTGTTAAGCGCTGACCTCATCCGGCCTCGAGAGATAAGATCAACACTTTTGCAATTTATTTTACTATCGCCCTCCTACAAGCGGCCGCCGTCGGCGCGCAATCAGTCATGTGAAAACTCGTGCCTCAATCAAATGTGGCACAGTTTCTGAAATCCATGCAACCGTCACCCATGTCTTCATGAATCTGTGTTTAAACGCTTGAAAAGCTTCAAACGCCAGAGGAAAGTGTGTTCGTGTCGTCCAATTCCCTTTTTCTTAGCATTGGAGCTGCTCACCCGCAAATGGACACCGGACCGTAAGACCGAGCAGGCAACAAACAAACCAGCGATAAGGCTGTTCATGCGACAACTGACTCCAATCTCTCCATCCCAAACGGCCCGCAGGCAGAGGATCCCGAGGACCATGTTTCTGAGACTAATTCCGGATGGAGGTTTTGGATGGTTATAACGAGTCTTGCGTGACCTCTCTCCTTACCGCCATCGAAGGGACAGTTACGGCTACGGCTCTGCCGAGCATAGCCCGCAATTTGGATTCTAGGGAGCTATATGTGTGGTTTGTGAACGCCATATTTCTGTCCAGGTAAGTCACCGCAGAGCATATGTCAACATTTAGATGCTCACTGTCATGAAGCGCAGTAGTGCAGCCGCTCTTCGGGCAGCTAGCCGACGTATTCGGCCGAAGATGGCCCTGCATATTCTCCGTCGCCGTTTTCGCACTCGGTAGCGGTATCGCAGGCGGATCCAATTCGGCGAGCATGCTCATCGGCGGACGAACCCTGCAGGGGATCGGCCTCGGCGATGTGAACATGCTCATAGACATTATCGTCTGCGATCTTGTTCCACAAAGAAAGCGTGGAAATATCATGGGAGTAATCTTCGCTGTTTTCGCTGCCGGATCATCCCTTGGCCCGTTTATTGGTGGAATACTGGTCGATCATTCTTCCTGGCGTTGGGTCTTCTATCTCGGGCTACCTGTCTCTGGGGTTGCGCTGCTCTTGCTTATTCTTTTTCTCCAAGTGAATTACGAGAAAGAGGCAACTATGATGACAAAGCTAAAGCGTCTGGATTATATCGGGAACGCCATCCTCGTAACCTCAATGGTTTCTATCCTGATCGCGCTGACCTACGGAGGCACTCTACGATCATGGTCATCCTGGCGAACCATCCTTCCTTTGGTCCTAGGTCTTTTTGGCATGGTTGCGTTCCACACCTACTAAATGGCGGGATGGCAGAAAGAGCCCGTTATGCCTCCAAGGTTATTTAAGAACCGAACTTCGGCGATCGCATTTGTCTTGGTCTTCCTGCACGGCATGATTCTCTACTGGGTTACCTACTTTCTTCCAGTGTTCTTTCAGAGTATACTGCTGAGTAGCCCCACCCGGTCCGGAGTGCAATTTTTACCTACAGCCATTGTGGTTATACCCTTCGCTGTCATCGCTGGTGGCCTTGTTACCTCAACCGGTCGGTATAAGCCTTTGTGTATTATCGGATTTAGCCTACAAAGTCTAAGCGTCGGGCTTTTCACCACCCTCAACTCTTCCTCCTCTACCGCGAAATGGGCCATCTTTCAAATCATTAGTGCCGCTGGAATTGGCCTCGTGACTACATCTATCCTTCCTGCGGTTCAGGTGGGGCTTCCTGAAAGCGATATTGCGCCATCAACCGCGACTTGGGGCTTCCTCCGCAGCCTTGGGTCTATATGGGGCGTCCCCATACCTGCTACGGTCTTCAATAACCAGTTCGAACGCTCGTCCGGACAGGTCAGCGATGTTGACGTGCAGAATATGCTCCACAACGGATTCGCTTACGAAAAAGCGTCAGCGGCCTTCATCAATAGCTTCCCGGAGCCGGTCAGGAGTGAAATCATCCTCACCTATGAGGTGCGCTCAGGCGCGTCTGGCAGATATCTACCATATTCGCCTGTTTCGGATTCGTCGCTGCGTGGGGTATGAGAGAGTCGAAGTTGAAGAAGTCTCTGGAAACGGAATTTGGTATGAAGAAGGACGAGAAGTAAATCGTACCCTTCCAGGACGCCTCCTCTCCGAAGGCGCCTTGGTCCCTATTTTCCACAATTTTTCTGGGAGGAAGAAGATGGAGAATTGGCTAGTCATAGTGGAAGCATGCCGGACCTTTATTGTTTTCTTCGGAAATGCATTACTAGTTTCCTACCTGAGCAGTTGAAGGGGCCGATGAGAGGCCTTCAATACGCGCTTGCACACTCAGATCCACAGCCTTTTAGAGCACGTATCCCTTCTCGACCTGACAGATCTCTCGCGAGCCAGAACCAAAAAACAACGTGGTATCGGGGGCGAAACTTCAGCGAAGCAAAGACACCTGTCCTCATCTCCTCCGTTCAGCTCACGAGCAATCATATATCCCGCTCTAGATACTAGAACCGCCATTTTTTGTGCTTTCTCACAGCAAAGGGCATAAGACGCTCGTAAGATCGATTTTGCGCCGCACATTACGGGTACCAACCCTACGACACGGCCACGCCAACCACCGGCTGAACTGCTCAAGCAAGCCGAAAGGCGCATGAAATTACAGCCAAAAATCAGAATTTCCTGCTCTATTCTCCTAAACTTGCCTACCAACACCTGAGCTTTGCGACGACCGTGTCGCTATAGGGTAGCTGATCATCCTTGCTAGCAAGCCTTGGACGGAACCCGCAACTACAGACACACTGAGGAAGGCTTACGGTTATGATTCGGAGAACGTATGCCGTACTCATCTCTCTGGCTCAGAGTCTGAGCCATAACGTGCGGGTAAGCGGCCCTTAGAGCTGGAGCCCCACGAACAATCATCTCCGGAAGCCGCGCAGAGTCGCCTGGAGGGTGGACGTGTACAATGTTCCCTAATTTGCGGGAGCAACGGTGTCACGCTATATCGGGCAGAATCTGCTCAGATCTGACCTGGTAGTGGTGCGGGGAGTCGAAAGCACGTCAAACCGCCCGGGAGATTGCTACCGCCGCTTCTCTTTCGCATCGTCTATAATATACCTTATAGATGAGTTTGCAGGTCTTCACACTAACCTTATTACCTAAGGCTTGTAAATCAGATCCTCGAGTCAGCAGCCTCGGAAAGCCTTAAAAGCGCTACGGTGAAGAAAATATCCCAATAATGTTTTAGCCCGGTAAGGCAGAGAAACGCCTTAGTCCGTATCCTGAGGTAAGGTGACACGAAATTTATGTAAGTTCGACCTGGTTGGTGGACAGAAAAAATTCTAGGGACGGGATTGGTCATTCTCTCGCGAGCCCTCAACACCACACTCTATTTTAGATTAATTTCTCTGTATACTCGGCGCACGTGTGCTAACATCTAGACCCTTCTACGCGTGTTCGGCCCGTGCGCGTGCGCAATGTTCCGACGTTGGATTTCAAAACCGGGTAAGCCAGACGACAAGCCCCGCGAACCCGGCTTATTTCAACCTCAGTATATGAGCTATCTGGATTGAATGTCACGATACCTTGACATCTTCATCGATACCACAGTACGTCACAAAATCGAAAAATTTGGGGTCGTCACATGGCTAAGGTGCCTCCTACTCTGAGTCGGTCTTTCCGCGTCATGATGCGACCATGCCTCCAATGAAGGACCCTATGAGTGGCTCCGTTACTAGACTGGGAGTTGCATTCCGAAACGGTTGTGGCGAAAGCCTTTTCCTTACTGTTTTCTGATCCTGGCGAGGACGGGCGTCGCGACATGGTGTGCGAAAACATTAATCTGATTTCTCTTGCGGGTACAGAACCCACTCACCGAGGGGACCTTTCTCGAGAATACATTCTAGTCACCTCATGACCAAGCGGCAATGGGATTCAACGATCCGACTCCGTCGGTTCCTCGAGCTCCGCGACTGTATCGAGCTTCATAGTCATACGATGAATCAACGTCGACATCTCGAGCCTCATGGGCGCAATTAAATTTTATCAAATTTGACCAGATTGATCGGAAAGAGTTAGGTTGGGCCGCGGTGAAGGCACCAACTGATAGAACATATAAGACAAGACAAGACCGGTGAGAGATTGCGTTGTCTGCTCGACAAGCTGCACTGATTGCTTCATCCTCCAATATGCTCGCATTACTCCTGAGCTCGCTTCTCGCTCCTCTGGTTGCCGGCCAAGCCGCCGGGACCTACCAAACCGAGACGCACCCAAAGATGACCTGGAAGCAGTGTTCCGGAACCGGAGGGACTAACTGCCAGACGGTGAACGGAGAGGTGGTTGTCGATGCCAACTGGCGCTGGCTGCACGTCACAGGCGATTACACGAACTGCTATACAGGCAACAAATGGAACGAGACCGCCTGTCCAAACAACGACAAATGCTCGCAGAATTGCGTCCTTGAAGGCGCTGATTACTCGGGCACCTACGGAGCCACGGCTGGAAGCGATGCCCTCACGCTAAAGTTCGTGACGCAAGGCTCATACTCCACGAATATCGGGTCGCGACTATACCTCATGAAGGATTCGAGCTCGTACCAAATGTTCAACCTGATCGGCAACGAGTTTACGTTTGATGTCGACGTGAGCCAGCTCCCGTGTGGCTTGAACGGCGCGCTCTACTTTGTCGCCATGGACTCGAAAGGCCAAGGAACGGCGGGAGCCAAGTACGGCACAGGCTATTGTGATGGGCAATGCCCGCGCGATTTGAAATTCATCAATGGCAAGGTGCGTGGGAACCTTCACTCTCGGTTCAAGGCTGACAAGCCTGTCAGGCCAATGTAGAGGGCTGGAAACCATCCTCCAACGATCAAAACGCCGGTGTTGGAAACCGTGGGTCCTGCTGGTATGTAGTTCTGAGCCATGCTTTGCAAATCACCCGGACTAAACCTGCCCGCACAGCACGGAGATGGATATCTGGGAGGCCAATTCCGTATCCCAAGCGCTCACACCTCACTCATGCGACAGCGCCGGCTTCCAAGAGTGTACCGGGGACGCATGCGGCGGTACCTATTCTGCTACGAGATATGCTGGCCCGTGTGATCCGAACGGATGTAAGTGCATATACCTATATTTGTTACTAGTAGACTAACGTAATCAGGTGACTTCAACCCATACCGCTTAGGTGTAACCGACTTCTACGGCAAGGGCAAGACCGTCGATACCAGCCAGCCTTTCACCGTAGTCACACAGTTCGTTGGTTCCGGCAGTTCCCTTTCCGAGATCAAACGTTTCTATGTCCAGGACGGCAAGACTATCGCACAACCGGAGCCTAAAGTTTCCGGTATCACTGGCAACTCCATCACCCAGGCCTGGTGTGATGCTCAGAACAAAGCCTTCCAAGAGGACGTGTACCCATTCAACGACCATGGAGGTAAGCCCCGTGTACGTGGCATTGTGGTCGATGCGCATGGCTAACCCAATGAAGGCATGGCGTCCGTAGCCAAGGGCCTGCAGAGGGGCATGGTCCTCGTGATGTCCCTGTGGGACGACCACTACGCCAACATGCTCTGGCTCGATAGCAACTACCCGACCGATGCGGATCCAAGCAAGCCCGGTGTTGCTCGTGGCGATTGCGCTACGACCTCGGGCGAGCCGTCGCAGGTGGAATCGCAGTCTCCAAACGCCCAGGTCAAGTATTACAACATCAAGTTTGGCCCGATCGGCTCAACGTTCAAACAGTAGATGGGCCTCCTAGGGGGCGCTGTTTTGGGCAGGGATGATGTAGATATGCGCGGTACCAGATTGTATATAGTTCGCCTTTGCTAGGAGCTTCCCGCTCTTCTTCATATACGTCCGTCATGATATGGTGTCATCTGCAAGTGCAGGGGCAAAATGTGAACCTTCGAACATTCTCTGTATCCTACGCAATTTGATATATATACTACCATTATCCTAGGTACGCCATTCCACGCCTTGTTTTCAGTCTTGACGAACGTTTTGATTGAGCTTCACGCCAGTCTAGGGAGTTTAGACCTTAATCAAATGCCTAGCGTTGCTACGTGCTCCACTCGGAAAGCAGCCATCGACCGGCACATCATACATCGCCTTGGGAAGTCGTTAGACATATAAGATTCTGCATTACTACCTCCAAGAAAACAAACAGATCTCGGCCACTCTCGCACAGCGGTAACACGCTCAAGCAGGAATCCACCTGGCCCAGGGGTCTCTCCCGCTACGGTAGAGGTTCCCGCACCTAGCTTCCCCCACAATTATTCACTCCGCCTACACAATTTCAATCACGTATTGGCCCGCGCCATCGTACTCAATGAAATATGCGTCATCAAGCAAAGTGGTGGATGTTTTGAGGCGCTTGAACATCTGAATGATTGGTGTGCCACCGAACCGGTCTTCGTACGCATCAAAGGATCCTATCCTCCGGAACTCCCCTCTCTTTTCTCCAGTTGGAAGGAGGAGTAGACCTCCCAGATCGATGTCATGGGAAAGTTCCAGGGAGAATCCCATCATGTGAATAGCCATGAAGAACAGGTCTCTCGCGCCGTGCTGGCCCGAAGAACCATATGCGTCCAGCTTCTGTACGACAGTATTCGGCGTCTTATGTCTATGAGACATCTCGAGTCGCCGGTCTTTAGTCTCCCCATACCTTCGCGCTTCTTCATTACTATCCCAGAAGATAGAAATTGCGTCTTCACCCTCCTCCATCTCTTCATTTGTTGTATATGGCCTAGAGATCTGAAATACTCCAAGAGACGCCAGAATCCGTAGGCGGCCGCCATGCACAAAGCCATAGCAATCTCCATCAACCGGATCTGACGAGACGTGTAGAACGTGGGCAAGTATAATCGTATGATGCATCGTTGGATTGGCATCCCAGTATGGCATTCCCACATGTCCATCGACGGATGCCCAAGACCACGACGGCCCAGGGCGTATTAGCGGGCGTGTGGTTAGATACTTTGTACTAACTTGCCATGCAAGCTGATGGACCAGATTATCCTCCCACATGCCAGCGTGATATTTGCCGTGCATAGCAGGGCCAATGAGGCGCGCAAGACCGGAGATTGCGATCAACTTATCGCCTGGGAACGTCAGGTTGCATCCAGAGAAGCTGAATACAACGAAGGTCCAGAAGCCATGCCGATATGGCATGCCCCAGATGCACTCATCGCCCCTGAATGTCAGCTCTCGCGTCTTCCTATCCTTTCTTTCTGTTATCCTCTCCATCTCCCCCGCAATAAACACCCTCTCGACCTCGGGGCTTGCATGGTACGGTTTGAGGTCCAGGTGGCCGTCGGATAGAGTCGTGTCCATATCGCTGTCATCATCGATGGAGATACCACCATCGCATTGATGCTCTCCATTTTGGTCACCCATCTTAAGGAATACCCCTTCGGGAAATTGCCGATCATCAACTAATTCATGATGCGATTCATCCACCTTGTTCGTTTCAAAATCGACTTCCTTCGGAAACCCATTCGGCCAGACTTCGCAAGCCTGTAGCTCATGACATTCCCAAAATAACTGCTGTTCTCCAAAATGGAGAGTACGCGCCGAGAGAAGTCTCTCTTGTACAACCCAGCCCCGAGAGTTAAGTGGTGCCCAATCGACACCGGCCTCCCATGTGACGAAGTCAACCAGGAGATATTGACCAGCGCGTATGGTTCCATCGTGCCCCGAGGAAGATGCGTGGTGCTCGTTGATTGGAATCGCTTCGTCCAGCTCAATACCAAAGGGTTGAAGAAGATCAGGTTGCTGGCGCACGAAGAGGCCATTTTCACCATTGCGGAATCCGGTAGCCGCAATGTTGCAGAAGCAGTGTCTGTATATAGTCCCCATCTTGGCCGATTCACTTTTCCAGTCGTCAACCGAATCTTGGACGATGCACAGTGAATCTATCCAGACGTAGTTGATACCAAAGTGGCTAGCCACATGGAAGGTGTCGAGGAAGACTTGAGGAAGATCTTTTTGAGGTATATCTTGAAGATAGCCACTGTAATTATCTTGTGTGAGGCGTGCCGTGAGCACGCCTCCCCAGCAATGGCTAAGGGCGATGTATTGTGGTTTTATCTCCAGCTTGTGTGTCTCACGGAGTCTAATTTTGAATCCGGTCGCTGTTTGCTCAAGAAAGAGGAGACGCGTCGGGGTGATCATTGGTTTAGCATCGAGAGCTCGACATGTTGCGTGCTCCTTGCGACATACGCGCAGCCATTCGTCGGCCTGCTGTAAGCTCCGCCTGGAAAATGTCTGAGGCGGAAGCCAGGTTGTAAGCGGAATATTGACAGCGGTATCTACCTCGTCAGCGCACACAGTCTGATCTAAGCGGGTAAGCCACGCGAAGTCTAGTGCGTGGTGGATGAACTTACCTTGCAGCGCAACGATGCTAAGTCTGAGTTGATGATCGCAACCCTGCGTATCCACTGCCTCAAATTCCAGTATGTAGTGGGGTCTTCTCGTAACGTATGGGTTCCGGCGTATCCGATACCCAATGCATAACGCTGTCTGGTTTGGCTTTCCTATATGCCATACAATGGACCACGCCCTTAGCTGACGGCACAATGAGCAAGGGTTCTCATCGGCATTGAGGGCAAGTGTCAGTTCGTGCCATGGGTCCTTGGTAAGGTAATCAGTATTGAAAATCGACTGACATTGGTCGCAAAGGGGACCGAATCGCTCAACACGCCGCAGTCGTTTCTTAACCGCGCCAAATGCCTCCTCTAGCGACCTCAGACGGCTCCATACCCTTTTTCTCTTCTTCTCCCCCGTTCTAGTTGTTAAGGGACCTCGTTGAATAGCGCCAAAGCCGTCCCGCAACCGGCGAAACTCGGTCTCCAATCTTGCTAGAGTCTCGGGAGCGTTCCCAAGCCGCAAGTGCTCGCAATATTGGATTAGGTCTTCCACACGCCATATGAACCGTTCAGCGTCAAATACCAGAACACCTGGCACTCGGAACCAGCAATCATCTATACCAAACTCTTTCGCTATCTCTAACACTCTCTCAGTGTCCAGTGAGAAGTAGTTCGCCTCGGTAACGGTCTCGGACAGATTATCCGCGGCTTTAGAATCACTCTCCCGGGGACTGCGGACAAGGCTGACGAGTCCGGCGTCTGGCTCCGCCGTTCGTGAGGGTGACGAAAAAGAGCCGAAATCCGGTTCCCGAGCCCCGGCCATGATGGGATCTGTTTTAAGTTCGATGAAAACTGATATCGTAGGTGGTTGTGAGGTGGGATGGAGGAGAATCCATCGGTGTCAAGATGAAGATTCTCAGCCTAGCACAGCCCCAGACTATGCAGCCACCACGAGGCTGGATTCTTGGCATGGTGGCACACGTGAAGGACGACAAGGATTATACTCGTACATTGATTTGATAATCTCTCTCGAGCTGCATACGAGCTGTGATGAATGTTCTTACCGCCATTACAGGAGGAATGTAAGAGGTCGGGTCCTCTGTTCCCTTCAAGATCCGGAAGTGTGGAAGCACAGCCTGTGTTCCCCTAGCCGTTGCCACTTAGAACGATTTATCTTTTCGAACGAAGGGCTTTGATGGCCCTTAGATGTCCAATAGTCCAAGGGTGCTCCAGTGCGAGAGTATATGCCCACGACGAAGCGTTTCGATGCAATCTAAAAACGCATGTGATCTGACTGGCGAAGTATCGATGATACGACTTGAAGGCTCTTTGGGTTCCAGGATCCGCGCCTCATTTGAATAAGGCAGGAGCATTTGAAGGTGCTTTGCACACTCATGGCGAATACTTGCGGGAAGAAAATTCCAAAGCTATCGGGATGGGGTCCGGTGTTTGCAGCTACCTCGCCAATTTTAACCGTAATGCCCCAATTAAATGTGGCACAGTTCTCACCGGACCCGTATCAAGCCAATCATAGAAGAAATCCGCACAAGAATTCCGATGGCTAAGTACAATTGAGGCACGACTATTTCAATCGCCGCTCGAATTCGTCCGGGTGAGGTCTTATTCAACTCAGGGAGCGCCCTGCCTGCTCCATCAACGTGATACCTTTCAAATACTTTGATTTACTTCTTGATATGGCTCCTCAGAAAGAAGTAGTGCTCAAGCTATCTTCGATGCGCTACCTGAAACCAGGTGTTTCCGAAGAAGAATTCCACGAATACGCTAGCAAGCACCACGCGCCCAAAGCTGCGCTCATTCAAGCTCGCCATGGAGCGCTGAACGTAACTCAAGTATGTTGATCCCCTCCCATGGCACGATGTAACTTCTGACCAATCACCAGTATCATACTCCCACGGCGTGTCGCCAACTCCTCCAAGAGAAACTTCCCTGGGCCGTCAGGCCTGGGTGGAAGATAGACGACCACGACATCACTATTAGCGTCTGGGTGCGCTCCACGGACGACATGCTGAAGATTGTGATGGATCCAGATTTTCAAGCGCTCGTGGCTGAGGATGAGATGACGACGGATGGATCGAAGGGTACTATCAGCGCCGGGTGGGAGGAGATGTATGTCGAGGATGGAAAGATCGTGAATGTGGAAGAGGGGAAGAGTGTGTATCCTCCTTTCATTGACGCTGTGAAGGTTGGGGCTGCCGGAGAGTCAGCGGAGGCGCCTGCTGAGTTGAACTTCTAATAACAGCGTGAATGGGGCAAGCACCGTATTCGGAGGCATTTTAGCATCGCACATAGGACCACGGGCTATGTCCTAAATGCACACCGCTTTTCGGCAGGGCCCTCCTTCGATAATAGTCCTTGTAGCTATTCAAATAGTGTTTCCAGGTACCGAAATGAGCTTGGCAACTTCCTGGGCCTTTCGCATTCGGTTGGCGTTGTGACGGTGCTCTCACTCGTTCTCAACACAGGCTTCAGCCAGATCAGCGATGGCCAGTATTCAGCTAGGGCGTCCAAGACAGAGTGAATGCGGCACAGCAAGCGGCGTATATCGCGCCCATTCACCCGGAACGCCACCAGCTGGAGCACATACCAAGTCACACAGTAGGTGGTAGGGCGAGCGGCGATGGCTTTGCCCGCTTTGGATTCGCTGCGTGTTGCCATGTAGCGGAGGACGGCGGGGCTGAACGAAAGAAGGCACTAAAGCGCGAGGCTGAGATTGGGAGATTGGCGCGGCAAAGGGTAAATTGGCAAGCTGCAGCCTGGGTAGGTATGTCGCCTTGCGGCACGGCTATTCGATTCGGATTAACATGTCAACCTTTGCGCAGAGTGTTGCTCGGTTATGCCACTGGTGATGATGTTCGGTATGGTGACGTCATCAGGCCTTCGCCTTCCAAGGTTCCCAGCCGTTCACCTGACGCTACCCGTCCTCTCTTCTTCTCCTCTTCTCCCTGCAGGCACCTCATTGGGTCTTTCTTCCGGCCCTGTGCGCGCAGGGCGAAATTCGCATCATTCGACCACTTTTTGTATCGTGCTTACAGTGGATAGAGCGAGGAAATTTCCTCATTCGGAAGATGTGCTCCCGGCGTGAACATCATGCGAGTGTGGTCAAGTCGGTATATGACGATCCTCCACTACGGCACATGGAATTAAAGTCTAGTTTTAGAGAGACAAAAGGAAGCAGACGAATTCTCGAAGCACATAGTCTGACCGTTCCACGGTCCGCATTTCCAGCATAATTATCTACACTCAAAGATTCTCCCTGGTCGTCATGGGTTCTCCCATAAGGCTGCTGCCTGCAATATTTTCTATCTTCATTGCTCTGGTGCGACTCACTTTTGCAGAAGACGCATGCAGCTACTGCTACATTACTCAACACATCGACCATTTCGGGAAACACAATGGGTCCTTCCAACAACGATATTCAATGATAACGGAGTACTTCAAGCCAGGGAGACCCATTTTGTTCTTCCAAGGAGAAGAGACAGATACCTTGGATTGCGCGGTACGTATATGTCACGCCCTGAAATCCAATAAAGAAGCTCACAAGCGCCCCTTGGAAGAACGCCACCATACTCTATGAGTGGGCTCAGGAGCTCGGTGGTATGGTGGTTAACCTTGAACACCGCTATTTTGGGCACTCCAAGCCCTTTGGGAATGCTTCGGCAACAAATGAGAATCTAAAATTCCTAACGCTCGACAACGTAATGGCCGATGCCGTGGAGTTCGTTAGCCAGATGCAGAAGAATTTTACCTGGGCAGCGAAGAGCAAAGCAGTCGCTGCAAGCGGTGGGAATGTCTGGAACTAGCATCTCATTTTGTTACTCACTTTGGCAGGATCATATGGTGGCTTCCTCGTTACTGCTTTTCGAATGAATTATCCAGACACATTCGATATCGCGCTGAATGCTGCGGGCCCCGTAACTGGCTTCGGAGACATCTCAGACCCGACTTCTTATAACTGGTGGAATTGGGTAAGCTTCATGTCGAACTATAGGCCAAACCTATCATCGCAAGGGCCGACTAAATCTCTTCAGATAAATCAAATATATCTAGACCACTCAGTTGTAGCGTCCAAGAACATCAGTAACGCTTTCTTGCACCTCGGCGAGCGACTAGTTTCAAGTGCTGCGGACCCCGTCCTTCGCTTCTTCTCGGTCTATCTCTAACAACATACAGATGACACCACTTCCCTGCAAGAAGATTTTCGTCTGTGCACCCCGTTTATTCCGGGCAACGCAACCCAGATCACGGGTCTGAGAGACTTGTTGCTGCAAGTTTTTATCTTGGCACCCGAGTTCAACTATCCGTACGCCAGCCCCGGCCGCACCCCGATCGCACTGCCCTTGTCTGAGACGCTTAACTTTGCGGTCAACCAAACGGATCCGATCGAGCTGCTAGCAAAAGTAAACTGGATGTGGTATGGCCCACTAGGTGCGGAATGTTTGGACCTCGAACATTGGGCAGACTTCTTCAAGAACGTAGCTGTCCCGGCAATTAACTATGAGTACTTTTCTTACATCTCTTGTAAGTTCCAAAGAATGCTTGAATTCATAATCTCATGCGAAGATGCTTGCTCATTGGGCGCACCAGGCACCTACGACCCAATGCGTTCGACTGGATACATCTCGAACCTTACGATATTCCCTGAGCGAGCTGCCAACGGCACCACGCAAAATATTGCCTGCGAATTCAAGTATGGAACTCCCACTCTCACCAAGGCACAGATCGAGTCGCGGTATCACCTTTCGCCAGCCGAGCTGCAGAACTCGACCCACATCATTTTCAGCAAAGGAGAGTATGATCCTAATGGAGCTATGGAGCCATCGGCGCTGCCTCTCACTGCGAATGGCGCCACAAGTCGCGTTTTGTACGCTATCGATATGGCGCATCGGGAGGATCTGTTCAGGTCGGATGAGAGGGATCGAGAGAGTACCACGCTGCTTCGGCGTCAAGAGCTCGAGATCATTAAGGGCTGGCTAGAAGTTGACATCTAGCTATGGCAATGTAAGCCCAAAGCCACACTCGTTTTCATGCATGCGGTCCCGAACTCCGCGGTATTTTCACGTGATACTCCAGTACCCTTCTTGACGTCGCTACCATCCCTAGGTACTGCTGGCAGTACGGCATTTGCGGTGCATCCCACACAGCACTTCAAGTGCTACAAAATATTCCACGCAATATAATCCCGGCTTGTGATTGTGCGCGTTTGCCGGCCGAGCACGTCCAGGTGAGAGGCGCTCACTTTCACTTCGACGCAACCCCCAACGCACCTACCACCCTGCAGGAGCCCGCCCACACCTCGTTATTCAACGTATTGTTGTCAAGCCTCGGCCTCACTTCGCCAGCTGTCGGTATTGTTCTCTCTCGCACAATAGACGGCGCATTAAGTGGGGCCGCTTCGTACACTTCCACGGACCCAGCTCGCTCTCTTCCACTTCTCCAAACTTCCTTTCTTCTCTAACTCCTCATCTTCAGAAATCCTTCTGCCCGTCTTGCTATCCTCCAGCTTCTTCAGCGCCTTCCTTTCTTCTACACACTCTCCCTCGTACACCCTTCTCAGCTCTTTCGCATCCTAAGCGTCGTCCGGTACGCGCTTAATTCACGCTTCGAGCTTCCCTAATCTTTGCTCCCGACTCTCCCAACCCTCAAAGAATCGCTCAGTTCAAATCCTCGCCCTTTGTCTACTCACATTTCGCCTTTCCACGTTTCGAAACCTTACCTATCACCCGACGAACATGAGCTCTCACGTTTCCGACATGGTGTCTGCTACTCCCGCTGCTCAGGCCACTCCGGTTTCTCCACCTAACGTAGCCGCCCAGGATTCTTCTGCCGTCCAGGCCACTCCGGTCGTTCAGCCCACCGTCGCTGTTCAGCCTCCTGTCGTCCAGACCACTCCGGCTGGTCAGACCTCTACCAAGCTGACCCATGAGCGACTTATCAACAAGCTCATGATCCAGTATGAGAAGGTAGCCGAGACATACCCAGACGAGAAGGACCAAGAGCGCGTCAAAGCTCTCCAGGCCGTCATCCAAGAAGCCATTGACGACACTAAAGCGGTCATGGACAGCGGCGAATATGTCTCCCCTGGCCAGATGAAGCACGATGTCGACTACCAGATCCAGAAAGTTCACAAACGCTTCGACCTCCATGCCAAGCTCGTCAAGTTCGTTAGAGACCACCGCAGGAAGAATATGATCGAGGAATACACCCCCGAGAATGCAGGCAATGCGCACACTACTCCCGGCCCCAGCGAGGCTGCTGCTGCTCAGCAGAGCCAAGCCGTCTTCCAGAGCCCCGGCGTCGAAGCCGCGTCGATTCTCGAGAGCATGCGCACCAGCAAGCCCGCCAGCAAGCCCGCCGCCAAGAAGAGCGCGGCGAAGACCTCACACATCATCAAGCGCTCGATCCCGGCTGCAGCCCCAGCTACCAGGCAGCCAGCCACCACTCAACAGGCCACCACTCAGCCAGCTCTCAGCAGCAAAGCCAAAGGCAAGCAGCGCGCCGTCGAGCCCTCGTCCCCGATCTCTCCCACCAACAACAAGCGCAAGCGCTCTGGCGACGACAACACCGCCGCCGCCCCGACGACCCCGCCCAAGCGATCCAAGTACGCCGGCTTCCTCTCCGTCCCCGTCATCGACACCACCAAGACCGCGGAGCAGGTGTTCTTCGATGGTGTTGAGTACGCTGTCCAGAACTACCTGGTCCAGATGAACGGCATGGCCAACGAGATGACGCGCACCTTTGCTCACTCGGGCGACTTCCAGAAATACGTCATGCATGGACTTGGACTCGGTATCAGGGATGGCGAGGTGGTCAATGTGGCAACGTATGGCCAGGATGCTGGTGGTGAGTAGAGGGGTGTCGGTGTTGTACGATACCGTGACTGGTTCGTGGTGTTGTTGAACACGATAGATTGATTGATGGATGGATGGATGGATGAGTGAGGGGATTGCTGCTGTGACTGCGCTTAGAGGTTCTGATCTGACGATGGATGGAGAATGATCCGAGTCTGGCGGCTGTTTTCTAAGATTTTTCGTGGCTTCTGGTTTGCTGGGATGCAGGTTTCGGGGATGATCAAAATTTACCAAATGGTGCTGCTGGTTTCTCATGTTATACAATTATTGCGAGTATGTCTTATCGGGTATGATAAAAAAAAAGAAAGAGTATCAAGAGTACCTCACCATACATACTTAGCGGGAGCATGACCTACTCGACATGTTAGCACCGAATACCTCGTTAAATTTTCATACATTGCTCTCTGAACGGCGCTCCATCATGCGAGTGAAGATTTTTTATTGAGGCTAGAATTACGAGTAGAGTTGCCGTCGTGTCAAGCCATGAACCCGCTCGCCATGTCAGGCTAGTGAGCCATCTAAAATGACACGCCACTATCCAACCATACCATTTATGCCAAAGGGGGCAATAGTCAACTCATCCTCATGTCTAAGCCCATCCCTCACCCAGCATTATTCTCATATCAAGGAAGGCCCCTCATCCTCACCGTGTTCCAGTGTCAACCATCACGCTCAAAGCTCGGCATGAGACTGGCGCTTGGTGCAGACCGGGCCAACCGCGCCTTCCACCTTTGCTTTACGCGTGCAGACAGGCCCAACAGCGCCCTTCATGACCTCCTCAAGGGTATCATCGTCCTCATCCCACCACTTATTCAACTTCATAAGGCCCCGACGAGCAAGCCCAGCATCGCGATTCCGATACACTGAGTCGATCTTGCGAGTGTCGGTCTTGTCGTTCACCAACCAGCGCTTCTCCTCCTCCATGAAGACTTTATAGCTCATATCCTCGCCGTAGACGCGCTTGACGTTCGCCGTGAGGGTAGCGTTCACGTTCTGGAGGAGGTGCACGTGCTCTTGGCCAGCTTTCACCGCCGCCGGTGCCTTCTCCTGCGGCCAGATGGTTTTCGCGTTGTAGAATAGGAGGGTGCCGGAGTCAGTTACGGCGGGGAGGATCTCATTGAGGCCGGAGTTCGACATAGCGCACTGGCCGAGGTTGAGGTACGAGAGGCGTGCGGAGGACGCGACCAGGTTGTGGACGGCGAAGGCGGAGCGGCCGGTGATCCAGTTGTACCTACAAACGAGTCAGCGGCTGGTCTCTTGCAAGCAGTCGTATAGAGAGAGGCTTACCTAGAGCCGAGGTCTTGGGTTGCAAAATGTTGACCCATATCTAGTGTAGCTACATTCGGGTGGTCGTAGAGAGCCTCGCAAAGGGCGATGGCGCCTTCGTCGGTCAGACCGACGGAAGCGAGCGTAAGTCGGGACAAAGTCTTATTCTTCTTCAGCCCAGCTGCAAGAGCGGTCACACCAGCACTGCCCATCGGATTGTTAGTAGCATACAGGGCATCTAGCGTGCAATAAGGCGAAGCCAGATACGCGCCGATCGCGGTTGCAGCCTTGACACCGATGCCGACAGCATTCAAGTAGATATGCCGAAGAGACACAGGCTTGGCAGGCACATGTTGTGCGAGTTTGTCGAAGAGTTCGGCAACCCCAGTGTCACCAAGCTCGGTCTGGTCGAGGTCCAGGGTCCGAAGGTTGGTCGTCTGGGTGATCAGCCGGAACAGGTGGTCTGCTGCAGCTGGCATCAAGGGATTCCGCTTCAGCCAGATATTTGTGACCGAAGTGGATTGCACCCACCCGTCGACCAGGAGCTTGAAGCTAGCAGTGTCAATGCAATTTCCAGCAAGATACCAGGTATCCATGCGGTTCGGGAACTCCTTGACGAATTCGGCAATGCGTTTAGCACCATAGGGCCCGATAATATTATTGCCGAGCAGGAAGTGCGTAATAAAGGTATTCGTCTTCAAGCTCTCGATGAGGTCGCCGATATTGGGAGGACCGAGCACCATTTTGCAGAGGTCCATGCGGTGGTCAGAGTAAATGACGCCCTTCTCGAACTCCAGTGACTTGATGCCATAGAAGGGCTCCTCGATCTCGACAGCGTCCTCCACGGACCGCGCTGTAGAAGCTTTCTCCTCGGTACCGCCAAGAGCAAGGTGCTCGAAGAAGGGTAGCAAAGTCTCATGTTCTGCGATCTTGACTGGCATAGGCAAGCTCGGAGCGCCGTCAAGTGACACGGGGTCGGCAACGGGGTCCCACGGACCTTGCTTGAGGATGCGCTTGCCCCAGTTCATCAGCTCTTTGCGCTGGGTTGCATCCTCGATGGCACGTTTCCGCTGCCTAATGACCAATCGACGGAGCTTGACGATATCTTTCTCGTACTTGATGAGCGAACCAAGAGAGTTGTCTGGTGACGGGTAGAGCAGCTGCGCGATCTGATTTGCCAGTGCAGCTGCCACTGGGTCAGCTGCCCGCCGACGCGGCGCCTCCATGATGGTCTCGTCTACCGTGATGGATGACGGAAGGTGCTTGTCCTCGGGGTAGTCGTCATAAGGAGCAACCAGCAGAAGTTGGTTCCGGATTTTCTGAGCCCATTGGGTGGCCGGCGTGAGCGAAGGTATCGGCGCCTCCAAGTTGGAGATCATAGTTGCGGAAGTCATTTGGTTGAGATTCGGTGGGTAGAGGTGGGAGCGATGATTATATATACTAGTTATGACTCGTCCTCCTAGGGTGTATGACTGGTCGAAGAGTAGGTGCGCTGACTCACGAGCACCCTGGGGAAGCTTATAGAAGCCCGCAGTCGGTAACAAGTAGCGAGTTACATTCATACGTGCGACTCGTTATATAGAAAGGGCGCACTCTGGTTGGGAAGGGCGCTTGTGACTGGCTGCCTGATGGCCGAGGTTTGAGGAGGAGCATGGGGGCTCGTGCTGTAAAGAGCGCCACTGCTAAGCCACATTAGCACGTGACATACACTGAGCAACTTTCACCGATATTACAACACCAACTAATTCCGTAACATAGTTTTGCCGACATGGGGAGCGGCTACTGGGCAGTATCAGCCCAGTGTGACCAACTTACGGATACCCATTCACGATTCGGCTTCATCCAGCCTGATCGGTGAATGGTAATCAAGCGTCTGCGCTATACAACTCCGGTGTCCATCTGAAGGCGATGGTCGCGGCCGAGAATGATGCAGTTCCAAATCCGGTAGATCTGAGTGCTCGCGTTCGCACAAGCTAAGCCTACGAAGTGGGAGTCTGCGGTTAGTATCTTGCCCCCGGAGCCGGTCACTAAGCCAGGTATCCTTAGAGGGGGAGACCAGGTCGAGCGACATATTGCAAAAGTTCCGCACTCGGAGAACAGCCTTTGTGGAAGGCTGTAGGACGGGAAGACTTTGCGGCGGTGTTCTCGCGTGCGAAGAAGTCTGAAGTGGAGTGTACTTCTTGGGAGTTGAGATTACGAGAAAAGGCGTCCTAGGTCTCTCCCCATTCCAATAGGCCTAGGGAGTACCCAGGCGCTCCGGTTTCTATCTAGGCAAACACTCATAGGCATCCAGGATGATAGGTATGAGGCGAGGTTCTGATTCGCTCACGTACCGAGCAAAAGAGGTTGAGTCTTTCTTGTAGGTATTCATATCTATCGCTTGCGTATTCTGGGTTGATGAAGAGCCAACCGGGGCGGAAAGGGTTTAAGGAGACGGGAAGGCGGGGGATGAAACCAGCCCAACTAGAATGAGACTAGCGCTGTGGCCCGCGCCCGAACCGGGGCCCTCACCGGACGTCAACAGCGAAGCCATCATCCGCAATCCCACTCAACAGTCTACAGCCTACGGCGTTGACAGCGCGGCCCGCCTTGCATCTGGCCGCATTTGTACTCTCAGTTCCATATCGCACATCAACTGATATGGTGAAGGTAGCAACTAATTGCCGCAGGCTGCTTTTTCCACTTGCACCCCGCTGCTGCAGCCTAATCTTTGGAGCAACGGGATCGCAAGGAGCTATTATTCTCCGATAGAAGCCCTGAGCAAGTGGACTGTCGGAACAGGCCTCCTCGCAGTCAAAACTGTGTCTCCGTGCCACCATCGGTTATGCCTCTTGCACAGCATCCTCTGGTACAACGAGGCTTCCATGCTGGCTATTGGCCCATAAAAGCCCATTCCTGCAGCAAAACTCTAACGAGACAGACGGTGGTTAGGCGACGGCTGGGTCTTGATGTCTCGTTGGACTACTATCTCGGCCCTTGCGCACTTATTGGCCAGCAGGAAAGAGGAGGCCCTCACTGCGATCCTTCCGGCTGTGCCTCAACTGCTTTGATAGCGACATCACGTGTTCCTTATCTGCGGAATTGAGTGTGACTGTACCACATTGCTGCCTTGAGCTCCCCCTAATTCAGATAAATATCAAGCCGATGGCGACCTCGACTCTTCTTTTTCTAATCTCACTTGGCTTTGGACCGCATCACATCCGCCTTGAAGCCGTTCTACCTTCTTTTTAAAAGACACCCTACCAGGGTCAGCTGCCCTACCTTGCGATTACAAGATTCAAGCGCCTAACGTAGACAGATGACACACCCCACCCGGCGCAGGTATCGGGAGTCCCCATCTGACAATGTGGACGAAAATGCTCCAAACGGGGAGGTTGAGCTCCCCGATGCCGTTGAGAAAGGAGTAAGATGCGAAATCAAGGACGTAAGCCAACCCTAGAACCTGGTGACGGGTATCTGTTAATCATAATACCACCGTAGGTATACTACACGCCGGTCGAGGGCAAGCTCGGCGAGTATCACTGGGTGGATGAGAAACCGCTCGATGGTCAATCGACGCCAGCATGGAAGACCAAGAAAGAGCGGGAGACTTACGCAATCATCAGCTTCAACAAGCGGAAGGACTCCGACAGCGACTGGTCCACTTCATATGTCCAGATAAATAACTCCAAGGTCCACACCGCCTTGGAGAAGATCCTCGAGGGGTATCCAAACCTGACCCAATACGAGTTGAAGATCTTCCAACCGCCGTATCTTCCCTTCTTCCACCGCTGGACCGAATTCACACAGTACATTGAGCACGAGTCGGACGAAGATACTTGGCACTATCTCAATCTTCTCCGTAACATGCTTCTTCCGCGTCTCGACGACACCTTCACTCGCTGGGAGGAGGTAGAGGGAACCGGACATGTCGCGTTCAACAACCTTGATCTGGCTTTCGATCCTGGGGACTTCGCCATTCGTGTCTGCAATGGATTCCGCTCAGCTTCTGTCTTCCGTCGGGGCTCTTTCGGCTGTACATGTGACGGAAGGAGGTTCTTCGATGCTTATGTGGATGTTGTAGACTGGGATGGGAGACGGTGCGGGCTCCTATCACAGACTTGGAGGGTTTGGGAATATCGTGGACTTCGAGCCTTGACCGCACTCTCCGTGTCTCCTCTGCGAGCTCATCCCGATAAGGAAGCTATTGAGACAGCCCTCATTTCACGTGGCCGAGTCTTCGAGAAGCTTCGTGGACAGTTCTTCATGGCGTATACTGACGAGCACGAGGAAAGAGTCAACGAGCGCACAGTTATCGATGCCCGCGCCTATCACAAGTTCAGCGGGAACTCGTTTCCCCGCTTCGCGAAGCTGAGCGAGATTGGCCGCCTTACCTGGGCTCAGTCCATGAACCGGTATTCATCTAGTTACGATGGCGACGTCGACGCTCCGATGGAGATTGACCTGACGCCTCTCACTGATGGGCAATGTCTGCTGTGCGTCCCGACGGTCAAGTGTTTCAACATCGAGAGCAAGAAGTGGGGTAAGAGCATCATAGTACCACTGTAGCAGTGCCAAACTAATACTCTCTTACGATAGATAATCTGGACTTGACGAAATTCCACGAGATCCCCTGGAGCGAGCGCGCTTTTGACAGCCTGGTGCTTGACTCAGAGGAGAAGGACTTGCTCCTCGCCCTCGTAGATCGAGAAGAGTTCAAGAACAGCAAGCCATTTGATGACTTCATCAGTGGCAAGGGCCAGGGTATGATAATGCTACTCACTGGGCCTCCCGGTGTCGGCAAGACTCTTACAGCAGAGTCCGGTACGTACTCTCTTCGCTGCTGCGCAGCACCTTGGCTAATCCTACGCCCAGTCGCGGAGCATCTTCGTCGCCCACTCTACAAGGTTGGCGCGGGTGACTTAGGTATCTCTGCAAGCTCTGTGGAGCGCTGCCTCGATGTCGCGCTGAAGCTGTGCTCGCACTGGCAAGCGGTATTGCTTATTGACGAAGCAGATGTGTTCATGGAGGCGCGGACTGCCAACAATCTCCAGCGGAATGAGCTGGTGTCAGGTAGGCCGCCCTTTGTACTCTCCTTATATCAAACTCTGACCTAGCGTAGTGTTCCTCCGCCTTCTTGAGTATTATTGCGGCATTATGATCCTCACCACAAACCGTATGCGCAGCATCGACACTGCCTTCGAGTCGCGCATCGACATCACCCTGACGTACAACAGCCTCACTGAAGCGGATCGCAAGCAAGTGTGGAAGAACTTCCTTCGCAACTTCGATTCCAAGGACATGGATATCGACGAAGCTGCAATTGATGACCTGGCCAAGTGGGCCTTTAATGGTCGGCAGATCAAGAGTGCTATCAAGACTGCGCGCATCTTGGCCGCGAAGAAGAAGCAACCCCTCAATGCCAAACATCTGAATGTGGTCTTGAATTTGAGAAGCAAGGCTTTGGGCTTGATGGATGGCGGGACTGCGCACGGGGGAAATGAGGCTACTATGAATGGGGTAAAACCCGCATAAAGCTCGAGCAGTGACCGATAGTATGCGATGCAGCGCTCTTAACTATACTTACTACGATGCAACTGAGGTCTAGCGTAGAAATTTGGTGCCATTTGTGGTAGGGATACGTGGGTCGTGGTACTTCGGCATATCTCACCTACGAAAAGCTACTCCTAGGAGCCTTTCGTAGGCAAAGTCTTAAGAGATGCCAGAGGGCCACCGCCATCTCCCGCCCTTTATTTATCTACTATGTGTATCGTCACCTTTCCAGGTGTTGGTAAACGTAAGATGTCCATTCGGTTAGCGCCGCTGTTGCTCTTCCCATGGTGCAAGCCACCTATGGTCTAAAATCAGTTCTGCGCTGTGTTTCGGCCTCAGCGATGCGCTGGGATTGAATCCAACCGAAATGACAACATTTTGAAGTCCATCTGGAGTATGATAGCACAAGACAAATTCTGAACTCCAAGCTTCCTTTTTCAACGATCCAAGATTTTCTCCTTCATACCGGTGGAATTTGACGCTTCCTCCAGACCTCACGCGTCTTGGAACTACGCCACAATACCAGGTGCCATCTTTGAAGCAGCAAAGTACTGTCAATGGCTGTTCGCCCTCCTTCCCGAATTCCAGGTAACCTATGAATGACCCGGTGTATCCAGCGTAGAGCAGATTATTCGTCGAACTCCAACACCCTTTCGGCTCAACATAAAGCAGTCCGCACTCAGGAGACTCCATGGTAATTCTGAGAACATTGCGATGAATGGCGTCCGATTGTGCGGGAGTGAGAGTCTTCGCCACCTGGAATACTTCGTCGAAGCAGATGAGATTCTCCATAGGAACGTGCTGCGCGGGATGGACGCGCACAAATAGGTCAGCACCAACTTTCCGAACGTAGATCCCCACAGATTTCACGCCCGGGAATCCATGGTTAAGGGGTAGTATGCTGAGCCCATTATTTGGTTCCAGGGCCAAGGGTACTTCGATCCGTATTCCTCGATTAGTGAGAGAGAAGTCTCGCGAATTGAAGAGCGGGTCTTGAACGACGGTTTGCATGTACCGAAAATGAGCTGGCGTTTCCGCAAGAAGCCCAGAGTATGTTCGACTTGAGTCTGGGTCCGTCCACAAGAAGATTGACATATCGGCCGTCCGTCGCATAATTTCTTCCTGTAACCGCAGAAAGGCCTTCCGCCCTTCTCCATACAGCATGGGCATATGAATGTCGAATAGCCCAAGGAGGCAGTACGCCAAGTCCTCCTCTCGCGTGGTCTCTCTCATCGATGCCCAGGACATGCGCGCAGCGACCGGAACATCATCCAGAGTGATTTCGTGAAGAAGGATTCCACGGGGGATGCCGGTCTTAAAAGCAAGTTCGCTGGTGAGGCTCGCTTTCGTACCAAAGAGTGTCCAGTCGCTGTTGAAGAACGCAACATTTTTCGGCGCGATGAGTTCTTGGAGAGTCCACCCTCGCGTAAACCATCTCGACTGGTGCAAGCTATTCAAAGGGTCCCACGTCACATCGGAGAGAAAAGCGAAGCAGGTCTCTGCTTCCTGATACCATCGGAACATGGAGTTGATGGCTTCGCTCAGCTCCGCGCTACTTCTTTTGTCGATGCAGCAAGTATCGATCCATGCCAGTTGCAACCCGTGATGTGTCCGAGCAAGTTCGCAAGTCTTTTCGATCTTCCTCCAGCCCGGCTTCTTCTTCGTGGCCTCTGATACGACGTGCGCCGTCATGTCCTGATAAGAAACTTCTTCGCCATCGGCGCCCCAGGTATGCGAAAGGATGGCATAGCGCTGGTTCGAAGTGGGAAATTCTTTGAGCGTAAGAGTGGAAGTATCGATGAGTCGCATTGCAACCTCTGCTGCCTTCGGGTACTATGGTTTGTAGTGGAGGAGGGATGGATTCAGCTCGTCCAAGGCTGAGGCAGCCACGGCTGAAGTTGGGGGTCACGTAGAAGTCAGCACGGCTGCGCACGTCTAGTCTTGAGCCGCCTGTCCTGCCCCAGAGTTCAGCCTATCTCGTATCGAAAGGCCACAGCCACAATAATTTGCTTTTTTCCCACTATTTCTCGTCTGCCTTGAAGAGGCAAAACGACGACAAGGCACCCTTCTTTACAGTAGTATAGCTCATTGCGCCTCATACACAGTACAGCTCCGAAGGTTAGTCACTGGATATTCTCCTCTCGAAACGTGGCACAAGGATGGAGGAGAGAGTCTGCCACCATTCCGGAACTATAGATCCCTTTGCAACCCCCTAAAATCGTTTCGGGTTGATCCAAATCAAGACCTCCTTACACCCACTCCCCATGCTCTGCGCAATCCCCGCAAAAATCAACCCCACCTTCTTCGGTACATAGATAAAGAGCTCCACAATCCCCCTCAGCAACCACCATACGATGCAGCCCAGGACTCCAAAGATGCTCTCGAAAACTTTGAGAGTCATCTCCTCGAACTTGCGAAGCCACGACCAAATCTTCCTCGGCGCATCAATGAAGATTGCGCGGAGGAATGCTTGCAAGCCGTTCAGCACATCAGTCCACGTGAGGTTGCGGAAGAAGGATGTGATGGCGGAGAGGGCTGTATGAATGAAGGAGAATAATTGGGCGAAAACGTGGCCGATGGTGGTGCTGATGCTCTTGATGCCACCCCATATCCACAAAAACACCAACCTTGCTGCTTTGGGAATGCTTTTGATACCATCCCAGACAAACTTGAAGAATGCCTTCACCATGGATGGGATCTTCTTAACCACGTCCCATACAAACTTCGGCACCTTCTTTGCAAAGTCCCACACATCCCGTGGCACTTTCTTTATCCATTCCCAGACCTTCTTCAGCCATCCTGCAATAATCCCAGGAATCTCATGCTGATGCTCGTACATCCACTTGGCGCCACGCGATACAGGGAGAAAGATGGCGTGTTTCGGCAAGGACCATAGGAAAAACTTGGGCGTATCCCACAAGAAAAACTTGAAGAACTTATAGATGTTCTTCCCCGCTCTCTTGACGCGTTGCATGGCTTTGTTATGCTTCGTCTTCCATCTGCGCAAGCCGCCACCTCTCCGAACGGGCAGATACTTGACGATCTCGCGATGACCGTTGGAAGCTGCGAGTCGGAGCGCGAGTTCGCCGTCCGGCGCGATTAGCGAGTCGTCTGCGTGGTATGTTTCCATGAGAAGCTTGACGATGGTGAGGTTGCCCTTCTCCGCGGCAAGCTGCAGGGGCGTCCGATACGTCTTGGCCGGTGGCTTGCCATATCTCCGGACTGGCAAACCTGCTGTGACTCCAAACGCGTTGACATGAGCATCAAAATCCATGAGCTGCTGCACGGTTCTCACGTTTCCTGCTTCAACTGCAGCAAGAAGCGGCGTCCGACCATTCTTATCGGTAGTCTCCGTTGTGACCAAGCCGGACTCAATGAGCATGGCGACGAACTCGTCGTTCTTCGACTTGATAGCGTTGAAGTACGTCGACACAACCTGTTGTCGCCGCTTCATGCTTGCAGCTGTGCCCTCCGGATATTCGTATGACTGGAGCTCTGGCGGGTAGTCGACGATAGGAAGTCCTTGGCCATCGTGACGTGCCCTTTCCGCAAGCCGCTGCACTTCGTCGCGTATATTTGTTTCAGATGGCCAGTATGTGGGAGGAAAATGGGGGTCATCAATACCATCGTCGTAGGAGGACCCTGATGGCGGCCGCAAGATATCGATAGGCTGCTGGGGGAACCTTACTGTCGGTTTGATGTCCTCTACCGGCCCTTTAGAAGAAGACATGGAGAAGTGACGAAATGAACCAAAGGCAAACTGCTGGGTATATTACGAAGAGTCTCGTGGCCTTTATGTTGTTGACTGAGGGCTGTGTTTGTCGACGGCAGTCGCCTGATGTTTGTGGCCGGTGAAGAGCGACGTCTACGCAGCCCCACCTCTGCCTCGGGATAAAATAATTATTGAAGTGAGGCTGAAAGCATGTGAGAGAGCTGTGGGAGATTCACCGACCGTATTCGGGAGACACCGAGACGGTTGCTAGTCGAGGCGTATTGAGCGCATTTCATTCCGGTGTTGCCTAGAAGATCGGCTGTGCCTCAAGCTCCTCGCCAAGGATCGTCCGAGGACAGATGTATTTAGAATCACGTTACAAGCCAGCCGTACCTCGGAAAAGAAGACGTAATTGATGCAGTATAGTGGCTTAAGGTACCTAGTATATACCCAAGAAGCGAGAAGGTGGTCACGTGATTAATGCTCGAGGGAGGTGTCACCTTGTATTCGTTAGAACTCCGAATGGTTTTCCTGTATGCCGCATTGGAAATAGAAAGTGGGGCAACTCAAACCCTGCTACCTACGCCAGTAGCACCACCATGGCCAACTACACAGCGGGTCGACTACACGCCAGGGCCGACCACGTAAAGAGTTCTGAGCATAGCAAGCGCCGCATGGGGATAAGCCGCATCTGGACTGGATTTTGTCTAACGGAAAAGGTTCTATGTAAGGACTAGCCGGTTGAGTGGGACACAGAAAATAAGTCTAATGTGGAGGCATTCCCGAGGTCTCCAAGGAAGAAGCTCGTACGCTAGTCCAGAACCATCCTGAATGGACCTAGATCGGGTACCCTCAGATGAGGCTCGTCGGGTCCCAGATCGAATAAATAATAGGTTGGCAGCTGGAGGGGTCTGCCACGAACCTAGCCAGGAGGTTGTGCACTGACATATGACTCTAGCCCTTCGAGACGTCAAGCAGTACGCCGGGATAATCTTCGTTCTGCAGCATTGAGAATGAAGCTGAACGGTACAGCATCACACCGGCAACCCCGGCTAGTCCTATATTAGCAGCAAGCACTTCAGCGTCGCAGCAGCCGGCCCGCCCGAATGGTCCGGTTCGGGGTGTGTATGAGAATGCAAGCGGAATTCTAGGCTGCTTCTCTGATCGTTGCTAGGGCGCGGCGGATTATGCGGAAATTGCCCTTTGATTCATTAGCGGAAGCCACAATTACAGATGTATTGGGAATGATAGCAATAGAGAGTGCTCAGACAGTTTCCACGTTTGTATTTCATGTGTATGTCAATGGGTTGAAGATTGTATCGTCACAGCCGAAGTCGATGGAGTAAACGGAGCGCTACATACCATCCTTGAGCCTCTGCGGGGCGAGGTGTGCTTGCAGAATTGCAAAAACCGATCACGTATACGATTCAGAAGTCGATTAGGTGACCGGTGCGCTCGATGCTTTCGTTCGTGGGAATATCAACAGTAGTAACGTGGCAATCACAGCACGTCGTCGTTCCCACGCCATGGAGTGCCGATGGGCAGCGCATAGTACAGGAATAGCTGGAGCACCAACATGGACGAACAAGACTGAGCGAATTCGTGTCAACGATGACGGGGAGGCGTAATGCAGGCGTTGGTTGCAGATGAACGGTGAAGGCTAAAATTTTTAGAACGGCAAAGCTCGTGCCACGCACTATGCCTCTTTCGCATGATAGCCACAAGGGTCCGATACGGCACCTGCTCTTCATCGAAGCTCTCCACAACACACAGCCTAGCGGGCATGCTCAATCAAAACAAACACTGTGTTCAGCATATACAGCTCCTACTGCCCTATCTTTGAAGGTGAAAACCACTCCTTCTATAACGATCCGATCGGATTCGTCGACGACGTCACTCGCAAAACCGGCCTCGTTGGCTCCAACGACTTTCCTCAGCGCATTCGAAGGGTCGTCGTTCCGAAGGCCACCTGAAATATATTTCGCCCCTGAGCTCCTTCTCAACCTTTCCATGTATCCTAGTAGTCGCCGGCGTGCTCCCGGCGAACGAATATAAATACCCAGCAACACCCTGAGTCCTTCCGAAATAACACATCCCAGTGACAATAGATTGCTTAGTTTCCTGTGCAGGTTTCGCAATCAGACGCAGTCTGTTCTGGATGCAGTGGTAGGAGAGGAAATCCATGATCAAGCAACTGATTGCCGCCCCCAATAGGGTCTCAAGAGCGAACTAGGAGAGCGCCGATGATGAAATTTCCGGCTGCATTCACCATATATGTTGTCGCCATCGTCCCCACCCGAATAACATCGACGTGATCCCGGAAGTGGTACGCGATCTCTGCCCTCTTCCCCTCGCACATATAAATCACCGGTACCGCATGCGCTGGAAATCCGACTCGGACCTCCACCGGGTTTTGCGATGAACCGTTACGATGGATGAGGAACAGGGTCACAAACTCCCAATTCGTGCGATCGGCCGTAGCGCCTCTCTTCCAGTACCTGTGAAGCCGAGCGTGGTCTCGCATTTCGACGTGGACATCAAGATTTGGGATCCTCGTGAAGTCTGTCCCGTGGAGGTTGGTTGCATTTGCGCACTGCCACGTCGCTAATCCGCACGAATGACATCGCTCACTCAGTGACCTCACATAGTTCGCGACTGGGTGCTCTGTCTTTGGCGCTTGTTGTAGGCCGGGATACGCGACTATCTTTGGCGCCAGAACGGGAGATGGGGGTCCGTTCGAGACAAAGTGCCCGATTGGCATACGCGCTTCAGCTGAGGCGAGTGCTGGCCTTACAACTGCAGCCGGTGTCGTGGACCGCCATGGTGGAGGAGTCCGTATTGTTACTCTCTTTAAAGTCGGTGTGAAGACTGAAGATTCAGTTTTTGATTGCTCGCTCCGACTGGACGATCGGTTCTTGTCCTGCTTGGGAGGTGCAGTGCGCGGCCTTCGGCAGGAGCGGAGTATTCGGTTTGCGAAGTTGAAAGCTCGCGAATGGCTTCTAGGCCTTGTATGAGCTGGTTTTGGGGAAGATTTGCGAATCGCCTGATCATATGTTAAGGGCTGCTCAACGTGCAGGGTGTTCGACAGCTGGGACCAAGACTGCATTGCTTTATGTTGCGATATGACAGGCGAGGTATCGGTAATGAAGGAAAAGTGGACGAGAAAGGAGAAACGGGCAACCACAAGGATTCAGGCAGAGGCTCGCTTGCCTCAAAAAAGATACCTCTGGCCCCAACCACGGAATACTTGCGTCGCCGTGGGTTGGGTTGCGATTTGCCCGCTAGGATGTTGGGGCCTCCCGTTCGGTAACGCGGGTGTGGACACCCACCGGTTGTCTCCCTCTTACCTGACCGTATCAGTCCCTTAAGAGACATGTCCTCAGCCAAGGAGTAACTCCAAAGTTTTAGGTTCCATTTTCTATCCTGCCGGCGTGTGCAATATGGCATCGAAATACTTCGCATACCACTCGGTTTCGACTCATCTACAAAGGGGCCTCTTCCATTACAGGTACACACCGCAATGGCTTGCGACCTTGGAACATCAGCCGCCGAAACGCATCCGCCGAATCGTTTCAGTAACCTTTTTGGGCTCGCTCTTGTGTGGTACCCATTGCGGCCCAATCATTGCGACATCCACCGACCCATGGTCTTCTTTGCCTACTCAACCCATCCTGGTAGCGACGAACGAACCTTGGAAGCCCGTGCAGGCACCATTCTACCCTTCGCAATCGACTCACCCCACTTCGGCCGCATCCTCACTAAGCAGACTTTCACGCTAGCCACGTGGTAGCCAACTCACGTGATCGACTCAATCCTTGCGCAGATCCTTCACCGCTTCCTGTACGCGTAAACAAGCAACGACGTGATCGCAAAAAGTCTCTCCTTACCTTCAAACCCCATTCAAAGAGCTACGACACGTGAAGAAGCTCGCGTCATGTGTTGTTGACTCATTCACGCTGCACCACAAAAGCGCACATCGCCGTTAAGAGTTGGAGTTCCAACACCTTGCATCCTCAAAACAAGACCCTGCATATTGAGCACTGCACGACATCGCATTAGGCATCTGACCCTGTATTCGCAATACAGATCCTATCAAATGTGCTGGCACAACTACACGCAACACTCCGGCTGCGGCCACATCGGCGAATGCTACGGCCACAATAAATTCCAACCCTGCGATGCAGCCTGGCAAAGGCTCGCCGCACAACGCGGACCCAGCTCCCCGCCGCCTATCCCACAGCACATTACTTTTCCACTGGGCCCTCCGCCGAAGCCTGCGAGCAAAGGCTCCTTGATTAAAAGGCCTTTCCGCAGTATGAGCAACAGCGTGAAACGCTCGCCCACTACAGCATCGACTACCTCTACCCGTAGTGCGTCCAATCCTACGGAAAGCATACCGCGATCGTCGACATCGAGTTTCTCCGCTACGGGAGGACTCGTCTGGGGCATGTCGGACCACGAGTGGGAAATGTACCAATGTACGCCGTTGACAGAGAGAGTGATTGTTAGTAGTGGGAAGAGCACCTTATGTCCGGAATGCAAGAAGTGGGTTGATGAAATGAGGGATATGCTTTTCAGACTTGAGAAGTCTAATAGTGTTATGGGGACGGCAGCTTTTCGGGAGTTCTTGAGGGACAGGGAGGAGCCACGGGCGATAGCAAGGAAGTTAGGACATGAGCGTGTTACGTGGAATGGGGCGGGGTAATAGTGCAGACTTTACCCAGTAAGCTTAATGCTGGAACTGGACTCTTTACTAAATGCAAGAGCTGGCGTCTTAAGCTTATAATGATTTGGCTATGTGCGCAGGCTTGAAATGACACATCTTGCAAGTTGGGAGTCTTGTGGCTTGGCAGATACAGTCCAGTGACGCAAGGCCCCTACCTCTCCAGCCTACCTAGGTACTTCTAAATTTCCGTACCCATGGTAAGCAGACAACACCATCCGACAGAAACCGCTCGCCCACGCTCGCCCCTTCCCCACCAACTAACTGCACGACTCCTTCCCTCCTGTTTTCCTTTCCAGCAGGCGCCACGGTTCACGCTTTACCGTCACCATTGCGCATCCATGGCTTCACTCCCAACCCCACGCGGCACAGCCCCCTTTGCTACAAGCGCACCATATCATTCTCTCAACATAAGCCGACCACGAATGCACAAACGCACGCACGCGCACAGTACCCAACGAAAAACGGTAAGATCACGCGCTCTCTACTACCTTTCTCTAGCACTAAGACAACCCAACGCAGTCCAACCACGCTCAGGCGCATTACCACCATCCAATCACCCACCCAAACGCCCGCCTCAGCAACGCCCCGGACAAGACCGTCAGGCTCCCCTCAACTGCTACTTCGCCATCGGAGTACATTGCGCCATTAGCAATGTGTACAGAATACTACTGGAAGTTCCGACCTTGCGCGCACGAGCGCTTCATCAACTGGAAGTATTGCTCCGTCCTCCTGCCGCGAGAGCGAGTTCCTGCGATGGGACATCAATGTCGACGCTACAAAAAGCGATATCGCGATAACCAGCAGAGCTACAACTGCTACCAGTGCATGCACGAGCGTGCTGCGCCTCTGTCTGGGTCCCCGGCCTGCGACTTGAGCTGCGGGCTGTGGGCGTGGATGTGTAGGCGGTTGCGGGGGAGGCGATAGGGGGTTGGGAGCCTCCTAAATGGGCGATATAGAGTAGGCTATGGATATGGCACTACCACAGTTTTGTTTCGAAACGGTCCCGGAGCTTCTCGTACTTTTTGATATCGCCGACACTGGGCTTTATGTTCTTTGCAGCCGTGAGAACGTCGATTTCTTCAACGACATCGGCTTGTCGTCTAAGAGCGTTTTGGCCAGCTTTTCGCAACAAGCTTTCCAAGTCTGCACCACTGAAATAGTTGCAATCGTCTGCTCTCGCGAGTTCAGCAAGGCCTTCCTTGATAATGCCTCCTCTTTGACGGATGAGCGCTTTCAGGATATCGACGCGTTCGTCAGGCTTGGGCAGCTCGACATAGAGCAGAGTTTCGAGGCGGCCAGGCCGGAGCATGGCTTCGTCTATCATTTCGGGGCGGTTGGTTGCGGCGATCAGATAGATGCCTTCGCGGGCGCTGTGGCCGTCGAGTTCGGTGAGGAGAGTGTTGACGACGCGGGCGGATGCTTCGTGTAGTTCGGAAGAGCGCTTTGGGACAAGGGCGTCGAACTCGTCGAAGAATATGACGCATGGGGTGGAGGAGCGGGCGCGCATGAAGACTTGGCGAAGTGCTCGTTCGGATTCCCCGACGTACTGTATAGGAATGTCAACTATTGTTCATATGGTATATTTTTGGCTGCGAGCCAAAAGAATCAAGCGGGAGATGGAAAAGCGGACTACACCATCTACGCTAGGTAGTGCAAAGCGACGTTGGCGTACCTTGTTCAACAGCTCAGGCCCCTTGACGCTGATAAAGTTGGCTTTGGACTCGGCAGCCACAGCCTTCGCAAGCAGAGTCTTGCCGCATCCAGGAGGACCCCATAAAAGCACGCCCGCAGGTGCAGTTATTCCAACCGCCTTATATCGTTGAGGGTTCTTGATGGGCTCCACAATGGCCATCTGAAGCTCATCGCGCACCCCTGCGAGGGCACCAACATCCCTCCAGGTTGTGTCGGGGACCGTTGCAAAACCCTCTCGCTTAGACGATGGCACTATCGTAGGTAGAACGGCCTCAAATGCCTGCATTGTGATGACGGTATTCTCAAATCCCACAGGACGAGTCATGTCTTTGTTGCGTGCACGCTTGATGAGGCGTGCAATAGAGCGATCCACGCCGGAAGGCTTGATTGAGCTCTGTTTCTCATCGTCTTCCATTTCCGTTTCGGTTTCCGCAGCTTGCCGTTCTAGAGCTTCGCGATACTGATCCATCGACCATGTACCCGCTTTGCTGACCAGATCTTTTAGATCAGCCCCGACGAAACCTGCCGTTTTCTTCGCGAGGGAGGCGAAATCGACATCGCCCGCTAGAGCTGGCTGTCGTGTCAGAGCTTTCAGGATCAACTCCCGCATAGACTCGTTCGGTACGCCCATGTTAATTTCCGTGTCAAAGCGGCCGCCTCTCCTGAGGGCCGGATCCAGGCTATCGGGCCGATTAGTCGCTGCGAGAACGATGACCGGTTTGCCATCATTCCCTTCCATGGCCAGCCCGTCCATGGAGATTAGAAGCTGTGCGACGATGCGTTTCTCCATTTGGCTCTGAGCGCTGTCCCGCTTCGGTGCAATTACGTCAATTTCGTCGATGAAGATGAGGCAAGGTGCCACCTCTTTAGCCCTCTCAAAATGCTCTCGAATCTGCTTCTCCGACTCCCCAGACATTCCGGAGACCACCGAAGGACCAAGAATTTCGATGAAAGGGACACCGAGCTCCGCGGCAAAGGCTCTGCTAATGACCGTTTTGCCACATCCAGGGGGTCCGTGGAGGAGAATGCCTCGCGGGATGGGGATCTTCCGGTTTACGTATTCCTCGGGCGCCAGCAGGGGCATGACCAGATGGTCCTTGAGCTGCTGTTTGACCTTGTCAACACCTCCAATGTCCTGCAAACCAACTCCTTGCGGAGGTGCGATATCGATCTTCTGCTCTGCAACCCCCGATCTCTTCGCCTTCTTGCTTTCTCTCTCTCCCTTGACTTTCTCACCGTCTCTCTTCCTGCTCTTCTCCCCATTCACAGTCGGCGTTACATTCCCACTCGTCCCCGTCCACCCGCTCACAATCTGCTTATTCATGAAATCCGCACTCCTCCCCTCGGCCTTCTTGCCCCCATCTTCCCCATTCGCAAATTCCCCTTCAATTTCGTCCATTTCGTCTTCACCGGACTCGTCTTCTTGAATCACCGCCAGAACTCGCTCAATAGAGTCTTCAAGCTGTTTTTTTGGTCGTCTTTTCAAGCTAGAATTGGAGTTTTTGATATAATCATAGACATGGTACGACTTTAGCTTCAACGGCGACTCATTGCTGCCGTCAATATATTTTCGCACGACCTGGTAAACGTCTCGGTCGAGGCCTTGTTGCAGCGAGGGCCGGCTGCCGCGGGACATGGTGGGAGTAAGATCAGGCAGCTAGGGTACTCCTAGGGTGCGTACGGCTGCGAGTTCCCGGTCGAATAGCGCGGCTATGACGGGAAGGATTGGGCGGTATAATTTGGTGGAGATGATGCTCAAAAATGTCGAGAAATTTCCTCGTCATGTCCTTATCGATAAGCGCACGAGCCAGGCGCGGCGATTCATGCAGGTCCTCCGATCCTAAAGCAAGGCACGCGCATCGTCGCCAGACTTCCTCATGGCTACGACATGGGCAATTCAAATAGTTCGCGGAAAATCTCCGCACAGGATAAGTATGCATTGGCCAACCTGAAGGCCTTCGGTATACTGACAGCTATCAGGGCGATTCTAGATATGAAGAACCAGCGGGACAAGCTGCACCAGTACCAGAAGCGCATAACCGTCCTCACGGACCGCGAGAAGGAGATCGCGAAAGAGTGCTTAGCACGCGGCGATACGAACAAGGCGAAGCTCGCACTACGGCGGAAGAAATACCAGCAATCGCTACTCGCGAAGACAGACCAGCAGCTCGCGCAGCTTGAGCAGTTGACCAGCGATGTCGAGTTCGCGCTCGTGCAGAAGGATGTGCTGTTCGGCTTACAACAGGGGACCACTGTGCTGAAGGAGATCCATAAGGAAATGGGCGGCATTGAGAACGTAGAGAAGTTACTGGGCGAGAGCGAGGAGGCGCGGGCTTACCAGCAGGTGCGCAGACACTGTCCTCATCTACGCTTCTTTCCAACTTGATACTGACGGCAATGCACAACAGGAAATCAGCGACCTCCTCGCGAACAAGATGTCGAACCAAGACGAGGACGAAGTAGAAGACGAGCTCGAAGCCCTCGAAGCCGAAGTCAACGGCGTCGCGCTACCTGACGCGCCCGTTAAACAGCCGGAACTAACAGCGAAGGAAAGGGCACAAAGGAGAGCGAGGGAACGCGCTGCTGAGGAGGGTGCGCAGCCCATGTTGGCATAACATCTCGGGATTTGTAGTCAGAAAGCATTAGAGCGGGGCGTTGAGGTGTTAGGAGACACATTAGCACACGCGTGACATACCATCTTTGTTTTGCATTTGGACACGATAGCTATTGCTGTGGTCAATCGCATCTTCAGGATATTCCACTTGCATAGGCGTACTTGGCTTGGCTGTCCACGTGCTCACGATGCGGGCAATGATGCGCAGGTGGCTCGATTAGGCAACGTTTGTCGCTCGTACGCGCCAGAACCTTGGAAGTACTCACTCTCAGGGAAGACACCACAAACTCCCATCAACTCGCCTCATGCTTCCGTAACCCGCTCTGCCATTAATCACCTTAGCCTCCGCGGCGCCTTCTACAGACACTTCTGCAAGCTCCAAAGCTACCCCGCTACCCCGCCAAATACTCCAGCAAGATGTCGCACAACCATCACCACCACGGCCACGACGAAGAGCACGCCGAAGCCCACAACCACGTCCACGATCACAGCGACGACATCACCCCTGCGCTGCAAAACCTGCTCTACGAGCAAATCGACTTCAGCAAGCTACAGACGCTGAACGAGGACGAGTCGAGCTCGGGCAGGAAAATATGCCAGAAGACATGGGCGCAGCGCTTAGAGCCGAACCCGGAGCTGAAGAGCTTTGCCGATGAGCAGCTGCTCATGATAGTACCGTGAGTAGTAGTTATGTGAGATTGAGAGGCGGTAGGCGGCGCTAATAGGAAACAGCTTCACAGGACAAGTCCGCCTCCACAGCATCCTAATCCGCACCTCGCCCACGTCCGCCTCGCCAAAAACCCTCAAAGTGTTCGTCAACGTCGACACCATGGACTTCGAGACCGCGTCCGAGAAGCCCCCGACCCAAACCCTCGAGATCTCGCAGACGTCCGAAGTCCAGGAGATACCCGTCAAACGCGCGTTCTTCAACACAACGCGGAGCCTTGCGCTATTCTTCGAGAATAACTGGAGCCAGGGAGAGGAGGACGAGACGCGGGTCAGCTATCTGGCATTCAAGGGCGACTTTATGAAGTTGAACAAGGAGCCGGTTAGTTTCTTGTATGAGGCTGCGGCGAATCCGAGCGATCATAAGACGATTGTGGGGACGAAGGAGGGCGTGGGGCGGCAGATACAGTGAGCCAAAGTCAGGATGCAACAAAATTAGGACTAGGGCTTAACAAAGCCGATAAAAGCAAGAAAGAAACCGGCGCATGGGCGGAGTAAAACGGCGTAGACTGGTTGCGGCATTATATACCTAAGTATTCATTACCAGATCAATATCCTTCATACTGAATCAAGACTTGATTGCGATCTGCAGTGTCAGCCAAGTATCCCTGACCATTCAATCGAGGTGACATACTCTGGGTATTCTCGAGCGTCCAAAGGGTATCATCGCCTGCTCATGTTCCAATACGCGCTTCCTTCTGGAAGCTTCAACTGCATATCGGCATCCATTGTAGCAATTCCAAGCCTTCCTTCCCGATCGTTCTAGCATTCATCGTGCGGAGCATACCGCGAATCAAACCATACTCCCAAGCCCTTGTCTTTCTCTTTTACCCTACACATGCTTCGTCGTCCCCAGAACCTCACCCCGCACTTCCGTCCAATTGATACTCTTATCCAGCTCCTCATCTACCCTTCCGCACACCGCCACGCTATCCCCTCTTATGATGTAAAGGCCCAAGGGTACTTCCTCGCTCGGAACTTCTTCCTCACGCGGCCGGATGATGCGTTCGATGGCGTCTTGGAGGACGAGATTCATGCTGCCGTCACAGGAAAGGAGGGTCCCGACCATGGTACGGCCGTCGATTGTGAGGACGGATACTTTTTCTGAGGGCGGTATTAGAGTGATTGGATGGAGAGGAGGGGAGCAGCAGGGAAGGGCAAGAATAGAGACATACTGTTTAGGTAGGCGTTGAGCGCCATTGTGGGGTGTGCTCGGGCGGCGAGAAGGTGCGACGGCGCGACGGCGAGACAGAATTCACCCGCAAAATTGTAGTGTTCCGCTGAATCGAGAGAGGAGATGGCAGCTTCTATCTTGTGGAAGCGCTGTCAAGCGTTCAGCGCGCAAGCGGACTGGTCGCGAGAAGTTCGCTGGAGCTCTATGAGTGGTCCGTGCGGATCGGCCAATCACAGCCTAGCGCCGCCGGCATGAGAGCCTCACCTCCTGCCTTCCTCTTCTTCTCCCATCTCGTGGTCCATCTTTCTTCCTGTGATTGTATCCTCTACGCCTGTTATTTCATATCCTGCCTGGCTTTTTCATCCGTCCGGAACACGTTCGTGCGCCGCGGGTCTGCTCACCCTTTTTGCCCTTCTGGCTCCCGATTGAGCCGTGTCCTTCAGGTAGAGCTACGGCGTGGAAACAGGATCGCTACAGCTCTCTTTGTCTGTGTGCAATCTGTGGGCGATTGAAATTCCTATGAAGCACAGCATGTCACCGTCTGAGGCGCAACCAGCTGACCCCCAAACTATTGTACATAGAGCAGCAGTCCCGGTTGTTCAGGATGCCCAGAGAATTCGGAGATCGGATCTATGAGTAGGGCTTCGGTCACTGCGATGCCGAAGCATCGGTATCGGATGCCCTCGCTCCGCTTCTGATGGTTCTACACCGAAGCAAGGGAAGTTCGCTCTCACGGTGCGGAATTCTCCGGATAGAACGACGTGCGCAACAGCTACGCTAGAGGCCCTCGCAGGTGTGTATAATAGACAAGCCAATCTTACTTACTTGTACGGCGAGCCCTTAGATCCAGAGAATTCCCTACCGCAAGAGGCTCTGTCCACGCGCCGGCACAGACAACGGTTACCAGTTTCGAAGTCGTTCAAGGACGCTAGCTAGCGGTTGATATGATTCCGATGGAGCAATATTCTGCCTAGAAAGCATATTTACAGTAGCACAGAGGACTTCCTGCCATCGCAAAGTCAAGGGAAGACTTGGGTTGCCTTGCACTCAGCGTTCTCGGCAGGCTCATAGTAAGCCTAGATCCCAACAGCGGCAGCTGTCATTTGAATCCGGTAAGACACTTCAATGACGACGAACTGCAGGCCACAAAAAGATATTGCTCGCGGTCGAAGATGGTAAAATACTTGTTCTGGCAAGGGTTAGGAATGCGGCAAATGTGTCGTTGCAGTTACGCCTATCCTAGACAGACTAAAGATACCGTAACATTCGTACTAATCCACTCAGGGACGTCTTTGTCCCTGACCACAGCATGACGAACCGAGACAGATTGTCCTTCCCACTCTTCATAGAAAGATCTGTGAGGGATTCTTTAACGGGATCTTGCCAATAGTATCAACAAGCTATCACTGCTCACATATCACCAGTAGCGTTGCTGAACGTAGATGGACCTCTGGGCTAAGGGTTGTGACCTCTTCTTCAGGATAAAGCGCCAGGCTAATTAGGGTGGGTTTAGCGCAACCCTTTTTCGCCACCTCAGCTGCTCAGCCACGTTAGACACCTCATGAGCTGAACACCACATATGAAATAACTGAAGAATAACAATAGAAAAGTCGAATCCACCGCCTCTAGTCGCGCAACAGGCATACGGATACACCTTTACGGCAGAACCGGGTTCAGTCATCAGCACACATGTCACTCCTCCAGCTACCGCCGTCAAGTCCTTGGCACCGCGCCAATGGCACTCCCACGCTTACAACTAAAAGCCAGCTATCTCCTGAGGGCTTAAGTCATCTGGGAAGGAGACCTGAGCGCGAGCTGTCACAACTCGGCTGGGCCGGAGCACGCAAACCAGACCTGGGAGTCCTTCGACCGGAACCGAAACAAGAATTCAACCCTGCTCCGGCCCTGACCTTGGGGAAGCGACACATGTATTCGCCGTCTGTAAATGCTGCACGTGCGTTTGGCTTGGAAAAGCTCCGGACAACCGGCCCCTTGGTCCTCGAATCATCCACCCCAACAGTTCCAACCGCCTTGAGTAGCGGCGGCGTGCATTCTTCAGCTGCATCAGGCTTCAGCACTGTCCACGGTTTTGGCCCCGGCCGCGTTCCCACCTCTGCGGCTGAGATTGCGTTCGACTCAATCCAAGCCCAAATCGGGACCACGATGGAGCCGCCAAAGGCGAAATCCAACGGATCAGGGGATGTACTACCAAAAGCCAAGCGCACGCAAAAGCATCCTGCAACTTTCCAGTGCACTCTCTGTCCTAAGCGGTTCACCCGCGCCTACAACCTCCGGTCTCATTTGCGCACCCATGCAGACGAGCGTCCCTTCATCTGCAGCGTTTGCGGCAAAGCATTTTCCCGCCAAAACGACCGTAAGCGACATGAACACATTCATAATAGAAGAGTTGCTGAGGAAGAGTACCTTCGTCATCAACATGATGGTAGACCTCGTGTAGAGGTCCCTTCCTCTTCCGGCGCACTCGAGGTCAACGGCTGCATACATATGCATTACACAATCTCTCAAGACACCACAACGGCGGCGGCGGGAGAGGCGCGGAAGAAAGAAAAGTTATGCGCTGTTAGAGACCGTAGAAAGATACTCCCAGCGAAGACCAGGTGTACTACGGGCGCGCGGACTAGAGCACGGACAGGGCGATCGAGCATGGGGCAAAGGAGAGACAGGTGGTTGTTGGGCGACTTCAGACCCTCTTTTTCCCACAAAGGGGCTCTAGGTGAGGTAGATAGATGACTAGGGGTCTATGTACTATGTCTTTTTGACAGGATGGCATTTGGCTCGAAATAGATGGTGGAGAGAGCATATCTGAAGGCAGTAGTGTCTCCTGTTGAGGTTAGGGCGAAAACGGCCAGGAATGGGTTAGCGTGCTTTGCTGGCGCCTTCAGCCCACAGCCTCAATATCGAGACAGAACCTTCAAACTTTGGCCTCAACACTTCTCATCCTAGCCATCGTCACTAAAAATACCGAATAGCGGAGTAGCGGTGACGCCAGAGCTGGCGTTTTTACCTAGGTACTTGGATAAGTTACCTACACCTCAGCCCGATACAACACTCAGATCTAGCCTAATTACAATACGACACCAAGTCCGCCGGCGCACCGGCCGCTCCCACAGCTCAGGCAATTAGGGATGAATGGTTCTACGCGGAAAAGTTTCTCGTGGGATTCTTCTTTTGGCAAAGACGAACACTCGACGTATCGAACCAGAAGTACGGCTTGGAGCGGGCACGAGATGAGTGAAGCGGAAGAGAGACAAGACCTCAAAGCTTCAAGTCATCTTGGAGGAGGATTTATGCTCAAAGAGGCCAGGTTATCGAGCGGTATCCCCAGGGGCTTACAGTCTCAAGGCCGTGGAGCAAATGTCGCCCCGAGCGATCTTCAGCGACACCAAAGGGGCAGTTTAAACCCTATTCTAGCTTTATCGATATTGTGGAGGCGTCGCGGGGACTTGCCGGCTTCAAGCCTCGCTCTCGAAAACAGGACGAAATTTCGCAAAGTCGTTAAAGTCGAGTCTAAGAAACCCGAACATCAGGCTCAACTTGACGGTTCACGCAGCCCATTGAAGCCCATACTACCACTAAAACAGGAGGATTTAATTGAGAATCTCATCCCCGGATTTGGATTAACCAGAGCTCGGATCATTGGACCGATCAACAGTTCGCGGGGCTCTAGCAACTTGCTGATCGGCAATCCTCTAAGAGTGCAGTGCCTAGGTAGCTCTCCTGGTCTGCGCAACACTGAATCATGGCATGAGAAGCTCGAGACACCGCTGCCGATGCCTAATCGCCTAGCAACGGCAGAGGCTTCCCCATTCACGGGCATGGACTGGGTGAGTACCATTCGAATCGCACGATGATTCATTATCCGCTAATCAACATAGAACGCGTGGGACTCCCACATCCAGACGGGAGGGCCGAACGGTATCTCTAAAGGTAGCGTCTACGGGGTGCTCCATTGCGATACTCCCGGTTGCCGACGCCAGAATGGGTTTCTGACTCCAAGTAACCTCTTGCGGCACAAGAAGAGTGTGCACCGGATCAGGTTGAGTGACGATAAATGCCAATGCGCGTCGGAGAATTGTAAGGCGTGTAAGGCGAAGGGCAGGATCTGGCCAAGGTTGGACAACTTTAAACAACACGTCGCTCGGATGCATCGCGATGAGGATGCCGATGACCTCATCCGAAGGTATAGTTAGCGCCGCTGGCAGAGGGATAGTCACTGATGCGTCTTCTCAGATCGAAACACAAGTTGAATCATCAATCAGAAACCCCTCCCTCTCCTCATACTATATCGCAAGGAGCGCTACCCGAAGCCAGAGGCAACATACTGCAGCCTGCTTTTGCGCTGAAGAAGCCTTTCCACCTAGCTGATAGAGGGCCGTCCTGCTTGTATAGACACTACACCATCTCCCAGGATACTACAAACACAGAGTTCCAGAACAGACGAAGATTGCTTGCGGTCAAAGATCGTACGACAGTCATCCCTGCAAAGTCCAAGAGCACAAGCGGAGAAGCACTGAGCGTAATCGGTTCGAATCGAAATTTAGGACCGTTACGTAGCTTGATGGAACAGAGCTCATGCATGGGCTAGCTAGCCTAGCCGTCAGCCTAGATATTTACATGGAGCAAACCTACGTCAACGGCAATACGAAGCTTGTTCTATGAGGGGCGAAATATAGGCCTGGGTTCTGCTCAAAGGGCGATCATTAAGCCAGACAGTTCGGGGTCTAGAATAATTCGGTGGAGTACTCTAATTTAAAATACCCTTAGTTCCTTCTTCCCTCGTCTACGTCGATGTAGCTAATTCCTTTGCTTCCTTTGTAAATATATGAATCTACTGTCTACCAAAACTTCCGTGGAAAATAGGGGCGGGATTCGACCTGGACGGCGGAAGAAAAGGCGTTTTGCAGATAGCGGAGTCCTCTCCCCTAGGACAATGAGAGAGCATCGAGTGTAGCGGATGGTATTAAGATGCCACAACATATTCATCTACCAAAGCATTGATGAGCGGCTTTACAGATGCGGAGAGACTAGGATTACGAATAGCATTGTGAAGATTGTCCGCGGAGTTCTTAGTGTCCTATTATGGTTAGCGTTTCGTTAGCCAGGAATGGTTTAGCATGACACGGTTCACCTGGGCAGGCGCCCTGCTCAGCCTCACTCCCTCAGCACCACGCTTGATGCCGTCACAGCTGTTGAAGTACTCTTCTCTTACCACATCGATTTGCCAGAAATTCAGTGAACTGCACGAGCGTGACCACAACGGACTTCTTCCCAGCCGTACCGACCTAGGACACCAGGCTCGACACCTTGAGCTGCTGACTGAGGCCAAGTCTAGGGGGATAGGACGACAGAAGAGCAGGGTGTTCCGAACGTGCATCCATGATGACGGCGAAGTCTCAGATCGGCGCCTTAGCCGATTGGAACTCGCCAATTCTTCAGAATGGGATACGCGTTCATTTCTCAGGGGGCAGGGTGCGTTGGTCTCCCAGAGACGCACAGCTATCCAAGAGAGACGAAATACTGCCTGCAGGGAAATCCTTGAGTTCTTTATCAGGCCTGTCTCAAAGCTCCAAAAATGCCATTCATCTTGAGCTTCTTGGAGGACGAGCCAAAGACAGTGTCGATCCTGGGCTAGCTTTGGGGAAGCGACGGGCATCTTCGCCACCTTGTGATGCTGCTCGTAGATATCGACCTGTATTTTCTGAGCCCGTCGTCGACATAGACGAAGACAGGGACAAAGATGAGGAGGATGAGGATGAGGTCATACGATGCGTGTGTGGCTTGCAGGAGTTTCCGGGAGAAGCAGATGCCAGTAAGCCTAATCATAATCGCACGTATCCTTTGAACGGATTCTGATCCTTATACTATCGAACCAGACGCCCTGTATATCCAGTGCGACATTTGTAAGGTGTGGCAGCACGACAGGTGCGTTGGAATTACAGGCGTAGCTTCGAGCCCTGAAGAGTACTTTTGCGAGGAGTGCAGGCCGGCCTTCCACGCGGCGGCTTCCCGTCATTCCGATGGCCTTGTTCAGACAAGGTTTCATGCCCCAACACTGAACCCTCGCGCACCTCTCCACACGTCCCACGTCGCCGTCGTCGCCGTCCCCCACCGTCAACAAACATCAAGGCCTACTTCTTCACCACCACTCCTGGGTGGCCAGGGCCCCGTCGGCCTCGGACAAGCATTGTTCGATGCTGCGGCTAATATTCCAAGTGACGATTCGGATAGCTCCTCCGAGGACGACATTATCCCTAGCAATTCTCGAGTCGACTCCATACTAGGCCCGCCTTTACCAGATTCGGGAAGCAAATTATCCTCATTCGTCTGCAACCTCTGCAACCGCCGCTTCCGCCGCCAGGAGCACCTTAAGCTCCACTACCGCTCTCTACACACGCGTGAGAACCACTTCGAGTGCTCTGATTGCGGCATGAAGTTTGCCCGCAGCGACAATCTCTCCCAGCACCTGCGCACCTCCCATGGCTCCGGCGCGGTCATTACGGGCATGTCTGACCACTCTAAGATACAACAGCCAATACTGTATGCATCCTCCAGCTCTACGACTGTTAACCCACCCACTGTCCCACGCGCTTTCCCGCCTACGAAGGGTTCTATGTATATGCGCTACACCATTTCACAAGATGCTACAACCGCCGCGGGGATCCATAAGATGTCGAGGTTGGTTGCAATCAGAGATCGGAGGATTCTTCTTCCTGCAAAATGCATGGGTACACTCCATCCAAGGGAGTAGCTACTCTGCGTCGAAAAGCAATCCCGATCCCCCGCCGCCCACTGCGCATTCAACCGGACATCACATCAAGACCGGCGAGTTTATGCATAATACATCCTGCAATGGATCTACTCAGTTGTACGTTTGTGAGGGGACGCGCCAGCAACCAGATTCGGCTTAGCGTGGGGTCTCTGCCCAGGTGGACCCTGTGGCCAGCTGCTCAGCCTCAGCCTTAACCTCAGCTTCAGTCCCAACACGCAAATACTGTCCAACTGCTACCACCACTCTTCTCGCAGTCTGGTCTACATGGGAGCTTCCCCCAGGCACGGAATCACATCAGCCAGGCATCCAGCCAAGTTTGATGCAAGGAGCAGCAACGGACTTTTCCAGGCTGATGATTTAGGCATAGCGCCCGAATCCGCCATTGCGATCTAAGATTTACCGAAATATTCGTCCAACGACAGAATACGAAAATTACTATGGATATTGAGTCCGCGACGAGGACCGCAGCCTACCCTGAGGTGAGCGTTGTAGGCCACGAAACCGCAACGTCCACAGACACGCCGATATCCCTGAGAGGAGAAGTAGCTGGGACCCCCAAAACCTTCACATCATTTGATTTTCCATCAAGGGATATAGCTTCCGGTGGCCTACCGCGTTTGAAGAGATATGGAACACCGCCAGTGCGCGAACTACTAAGAGGCCCACAGAGACGAGGCCGCGGGGGGAGAGTTCATTTTGGAGTGCTTCGAGAACGGCAGAAGAACCCTAGACTTGCCTTGACGAAGAAGCGACGCGGCTCTTCACCGCCTTCTGGGGATCCTAAAAGCAGCCGCCAGATAATTGGATCTATCAATGGCTCCAAGCCGCCATTCTATCTGCCGAACTCGCTGGTTTACGCACCAAATTCACCGGAATACAACCCGAGTTCCCTGCATGCAGCAGATTATCGCTGGAACCGACCAGCAGTGACGACCGCTAACGCTGTGGATACATTGCAACCTTTGGGGCAGTTATATGACTCGCTCGCCACGCCTCCTCACTTGCAATACCAACATGATAGCGGCGTTCTAAACCAGGACGAAATTTTCCACCCTAAGTCCCAGCCGTCGGGCGTGCTCTTCGGCCAGGTTGCTCAAAGTGCCGATTTCAGTATGCAACCTGAGCATCAACAGAATATTCGGAATGAGTGGGATAATACCCCCAACAGCGCCCATTCTTGGATCGATTCACCTCCGGTATTCCAGCGTAAACGGCGACCAAAATTCGTCCTAGGCGGCTCGTCTGATGAATCAACTTCTGAGTCCGATAACGAGTGGTCTACTTCTGACACGCATGGGGAGAAAGATAAAAAATCGAAGGTTCGTGATTGCACTCCTTAATCCCCATTGCATTGCGCTAACCTCAAGCTAGGACGGTACAGCCGGAGCACGAAACCAGGAACCGGCGCTGTACATGTCTTACACTATTTCGCGAGATACTACAAACCCCTCAGGCACCCAGAATGCGGAGAAGTTCCTCGCGATCAAAGACCGTCAATCGGTTCTACCTTCCAAATCCGTGCTCAAGGATTGGCGTACCTCGCCCGTTCATTCCCCGATTGCCAAAGGTCCATGGACACATCCAACAAGCACCGTTGGCCTCGCCGCACGAAGGCATGCCCCAGCACATGCCAGACTCCTCATCTCCTCGCTACATAGCAGTGCCACAGCGCACGCCCACTGGGGCTACGAACAACGCGAACCCCTCGAGGATCCCCACAGCTCTTGAACCGCCGTTGCCGTATGACACGCTACTCGCTCAAAACTCAGCATTAAAGACACGTGTATCGGAGTTAGAGACGATAAATGATCTTTACCGAGCGCGCGTACGAGAGCTGGAGAGCAGCCAGAAAGTCCACCACAAGGGCTCGAGGCATAGCTGATCGAGCCGCCCCAAGCAAGACCTACCAAGGATTTCGTTCATAACTACAGGTTCAAGTAGCCTTCAATTCCCCTTCATTCTAGCCTTCTCCGCCCCAGCGTGCTTCGACCAACGCCAGCGCAGATCCAAGAGGCCGGGTGATGCCAATGAACTCAAACCTCGAGTCCGCCTTCATGAAGAGCTCTCTCCACTCGTCCGCGTCTCGTTCCCAAGCGTTAAAGTAAGTACCCATGAGAAGGTCCATGTCCCTGCGGTCCATTCAGACGCCACGAACCGCTTTGTCGACACGGAAGAGCTTACCTGAGATCCGTCTCCCTCCAACTAGGAAGCACGCCCGGATCAGGCAGACACCCGTCCTGTACCAGTATCCTCGCCCCAGCCTTCAAGGACGGAACCAACGCTTTCAGAATCATAGCCGCATACTTATCGGACCAGTTGTGGAAAATCCACCGGAATATGTACGCATCTGCCTGCACTGGTTGGGGCGTGAAGAAGTCATGCGGCATCAACAGGACTCTGCCTGCCACTCCTTTCGGAACCTGTGGCGCGCCATCAATTGAGCTGGCCAGGTCCTGCGAGATGAAGCGGAGATTGGGGAACGCGGTCGCGAGACTGATGGCTAAAGCGCCGTGCGACCCGCCCACGTCGACGACCAACCCGCTTCCAAGCGATGCCCAGTCATGGCTGCGGTGCAAGTGAACAGGGTCGAACGCGGGATTATCAGAGATCATAGACGTCATTGAGGCGCCGAAGCGCGACGCGAGCTTGGTATCCGCTGCAAACCTTTGGTATAACGGCCCCTCAACGCCATGGGCGATGTTCCAGCCCGTGTGCTGCGGCTCCTCCGATCCCGGCCACAGTCCCAACGCGTCTACCAGCTATGGCAGGGTCAATACCGTTTTGGAACCCGATTTGGCAGCATGCATACCTTCACACTAGCCGGCCACAGATCCTCGGTCCCATACTGCAACCACGCGGCGCAGTTCTGATCGCGCATGAGTGCCGACACGGCCGTATGCGCCACTTTCCCTTTCTCCGGCTCGGCGAAGATCCTCATCGTCATCGCATGGCGGAGCAGATGCTTCAGCGGTCGCTCAGCGAGCCCGCAAGTGTCGGCCAACTCTTTGTACGTCTTTGTCTCCCCGGGCTCCAGGCAGGCCGCGATGCTGTATCGGGAGATGGCTTTCATGCTGGCCATCTTGTTGTGCTATAGTGTGGTAAGCGTAGTGTGTCTCCGTGGTGGATGGGGACCTTGCGCTGGCTTTGCGCTGGATAAGATTCATAGGCGCGAGGAGGAGGTCATGGAGTTCTTGCGTGGCATCAAGAACAGTGTCTCTTGCTGAAGTTACGCCTGGCGGGAAGAGGACTGATACGCTGGGCTCAAAGGTGGGTGTGGGGAGGCCTTGAGATTCCAAGGTGGCATCGATCGTGGAGGCATTCTCGAGGATGGATCTGGCGAGCTCGATGATGCGGGTCGCTGCCATTTCGCAAGGCCTGTCGAAGCTACCAGAAGTACGAGAACTGGGTGCGTTAGTGTTTCCGAGGCTTTATGAGGGCTCTGGAGCCCTCGTAGTATCCGCATGTTACGTATGAGTACGAAGATTGTGTATTTCTTGTGTCACCGATGTTGGTGCACTGACCACCTAGCTCGGTGAGGTGATTGATAAAATACGACAGTTTTCATATAGTAGGCCTGCGGGCATGTGAATCAGCGTACGCATCTGGATAAGCTTACCGGGGCACAACGTCGATGTGGAGAAACAGGACCAATCTTCTCTCCAAAGAGGAGGCCGTAAGTGGCAATGAAATTTGGTATCTAATCCAACAAGGTGACCCAATATCACAATCCGTTTCCATGATCCAATGAGACTCCTGAACTTGCGTTTGAAGAAATCCCGGAGAAAGCCGTCCGCTCACATCCTAGACGAGACCACCCCGCACTCCCACTCCTTCGATGTTCCACAAGCGGAAATCGTACGAGCTCCTTCCTGTGCTTGCGTTCAATCTCTCTTCATGCTTCGGCGTCACCGACCCAGACCCACCATGCCGCGCATATGACATTTGCCAGAACCCAGACGCCCGCATACCCCGCTGCGCCAAGAGAGTCCGCACCGCGAAGGGATAGACAGCGCTGCACTGTATTCGCAGAGAGGAACACGCTCAGAATAGCCGTCTGCTGGATGAGCGTCCTCGTGCGCCTGCTGAAGAACCAGAAATTGTGCTTTACGGTCTGCGGAAGAGTAGCGGTGGCGGGATCGAAGGCTTCAATGGGCGTCGCATCACCGGAAGCGGGCTGTGCGCCAATTGAAGGGTCGAGAAGGAAGGCCCGGGTGGCATATGCTGCAATTGCAACCTTAGCGATTAGCATGAAAGGCGTTTCCCTATGTGCGTCTTCAAGTGTGGGGAGATCGAAGTGTGTGATCAGGAAGAGGTTCAGCTGGCTGGTCTTGAGAGCGCAGAACATGACCACGACGTACACGCCGATCGCTAGCAGGTTGTTGGAGAGCTGGACCTGGAAGCTGTTGAGCAGGTAGCGGTTTCGCAGCGGCGCATTCGGGTTGTGGACGGCCGAGACCGGGCGCAGGAGGTACGTCGGGATTGCGATGGAGAGAACCTCGTTGGCTACGAGTGCAGAGGCCGTAAGCGGAGTTATCTGGTAGTAGGTCATGAGGAGGTAGGCGAAAGGCGCGTTCGTGATGGCCGTGAGCGCCCCGATATCGAAGACTGCAGAGCTTGTGTTAGCAGAACGCAGCCTTGTGAAGCTTCGGCGGCGGTCGTACAATCATACTTCAGTCGCCAACCCAGCCAGATGACGAGCATCTTGTACCCGAGACGCGCCGCGGGCGTGACCAGGTCGTTCTCGCCCGGCTTCTTGCTGACTGCTCCGAGCTCATTTCCAAGCAGATTGTTTGTAAAAGTCCACAGAACGGATTGCAGGCCCAGGTTGAGCACGAGGAGGATGGGCAAGCGGAGGTGCGCTGGCAGCCTGGAAGCTCTCAGCGGCGGGGCGCCGTTGGGAACGACGGTCGGCGGAGCGCGGTCGGTCAGCTTGGTCGGCGCCATCGTGACTTGTCGGAAACTGGAGGTAACGAAAAGATTAAGAGAGCGACGGGGGTTGCGCAGAACTTGAGGATGCGCGCCTCGCGGGCTTGTGCTGTGGAGGAGCTCGATTTGTTGTTTAGACGTCATGGGCGCTAGTGCATGGTTCGTCCGGCAACGCGACTGCGCACAGGCCAGTCTCTCCTAACTTCACTCCATCTCACTATGCATATTCTAGGACTACACTGGACGGAAGCTGTCTTTTTGGCGATTCAGCATTAACGCCTGCGCTGGATGCGTTACGAGGATGTGGCAGGGTAACGAAGAGACAGCCCTGCGCATAAAGCTACTTTGCGGGCAACCAATACATGTGTCCAGCGACTTCACGCCGACTCTTCAGGACGAACCCAAGTAGTTTGCTTTACGAGAAGAGGGCCAACAGGACAGAGACCATTCTGGAGGCAAAGCATTCACCGACGATAGGAAAGAGCTAGCAAAGGACACAGACCTGATGGCAGGATTCGGAGAGCAGCATAAGAGGCCTTGGGTGAATCATAGTCCCCGCTTGCAGATGCATATCGTACGATCTATCTTCTTGTTACCTAGAGTCCTTAGCTTTCCCCAAGCTATCGTCTTCCAATGACAGCAACTTTGGCGTATCTGAAGCCGTACGGACCTCCCTAAGCCTCCCTCGTCCTGTCTGTCATGAGCAGCCCTTCATTGCAACTGCACTTACCTTCAGCACTATACTCTAAGGCTTCCCGACGGTTTCCCCGCCTATTCGGTACCGCAGTGTGGGTGTGAGTGAGAGGGAGAGGCGCCCCTTCCCGTTCTGACCGCCAGCCAACAACAACCCGCCTTCACCTCGCACTACAAACGGAAGCACAGCGACCCTTCCACGACCGTCGCCGCAATGACTTCGGCCTCGCTTCGCGCTGACTAAAGCGCACGGTCCGCCCGCCAGCCGCAGGTCTATATAAACCCTCCCGCCCCCTCCCATCCTCCTTTTTCTTTTCTTCATACTTACCTAGCCGGGGTCCTCGAGCTCATCGATTCGAGTACCAGCCTGCATCGACGCATTGCACAGCGCGGATCGGTGTGGGTCTTGCAGTGTGCTCTTGTGGTCACTGCTCCGGCGTAATTTTTGCTGGTCCCCCTCCGAGGCCTTTCGTTGATTGTGCCGGCGGCTGCCGGTCAATCGAAGAAGGGCTGCTGTTGTGTCTGTGGGCGGAGGGTGTTCCGGTCTGCTGGTGAGGTGAGAGAGGCGGCATATTCTGGTAGGCTGTCCTGTCCTCACGCTGTTTACGTTGAAGTCGCCCACAGAAAATTTCTGCAGTCCGACGGCAGCCGCATTCTGCGGGCAAAGTACGATTGCCTCGCACTCTGAGCTCCATCTGCTTATGCCTTGTGGGCGCCAATTCGGGCTTCCAATTGGCACCTACGCGTCCTACTAGCACCCTATAGTTGCCGCATTGCTCGACACTCGCGCTCGCATCGCCTTCGCCTCCACTCGCAGACGCTCGCTGAACGCACCCTCCATTTGCACTTTCCCAGTCCGCCACCGAAGCGAATTAACATCACTGCAGCCAGATAACGCACAAACTAAAAGAGCGTACGAATTTGGATTCTTTCTATATGATAGTTCAGGTGGGCCACAAGAACACGCACGCGAATAACAACAAATATAGGAACCGAACGCAACAGTCGTCTCACACTGCACTCCACCGCATCCCCTCAGTCGCCCCAGCCACCCACTTCTTAGGCAGCAGCCTAACAATAATCGCTCTTGCCATTTCCACCATCAACACACCCGTTGGCGCAGAAGGCCTGGAAGTCGATATCGCCGTTGGATCCGCCACTGCAGTAGAAGAGGCCATTGTTGATGTGTGCGTCATCGACGGGCTGACCTTGTTCGCGGAGCGCCTCTACAATCTGGCTGTAGTAGTTGCCTGGCGGCCGTATTAGTATGAGCGCCCTTGCTGTGTGGGAGTGGAAAGGAACGAGGCGGATACAGGTGCAGACAAGGCCCGGAAGCAAAACTGACCTTTGTGCAAAAGGTTGTAGCCGCAGTAATGGAGGCTCGTCTTGCAGTTGTCGGCGACTGCGATCTGGGCGAAGCTGGCGACGGCGAGGACTGCGAGGGTGGTAAGCTTCATTTTGGTGGTGTTGGAGTGAGCTGTTGAGCAAGTGGTGGTGGTGATATGCGGTGGTAGGCCGAGCAGTTTGATGTCAGGTACGGAGGACTTTTGGGAGGCTTTTATGTGAATTCGAGCGGCGTACTAGCATCATTGCGGTGGCATCATCGCGGCGTGAGTTAGGAGGCGGATTTGGTCGCCGCGCACACCTGGGAACACCGCTGGTGTCTTCGCCGCATGGGGAATCTTGGAATTACCTAGCACCTTGATTTAGTCCTGAGCATTCCATACCGCACTCTGGACCCTGATGTATCGCACAAAACTTAGGGACCGGCGCGTGTGCAACAGCAGCGACCCGTCTCCACGGGAGAGGCGCTAGGCGATAATATTGAGCATCCCACACATAATCAGCCCATGAACAGACCGCGGGGTGACTTCGAACTTTTAGCATCGAGAGAGCAGCGTCACCGTTACAAACTGACTGTGTACAGTCTCCAAGATTTGTGTACTAGTCCGACACCGCTTCACCGCAACTTTGTTCTCGTCAATCCAGAACGGACTTATTCGGAACCCACAGGGAACCAGGTTAAGGAACGAGATTGAGCGAGAGGAGAGCATCGTGCGCGATCTCAACTCAAACTTGACTCTCGCCGACTTCCTAATCGGCACGACTACGAACGGAAGCCACGCTAGCAGCGCGCCAAGGCCGCAACAAGATGGATCTCGTGTGCACTCCGCCCCTCGTCCTCCTTTCTTCTTCAATAATACGAATCTACTTGCCACGATACCTCTGCGAATGCTGCCGCTGGTAAGCGCCGAGCGAGCAAAGGGAAAGAAGAACGACGAGAAGACTGCTGAATGGGACGGACTGATGTTCGCTACCGGGTGGAAGAAGATGTTACGGAGCCGTTAGACAAATTAAATGCGAAGTAGCCACGGGAAAACGGAGCATGGAGACGTGAGGAAAAGATGGAACATTAAGCAATTAAGCAGGGAGTTTTCTAATGCATTACCATCATCCATATCATGAATACCGGACACCTACGCATCATCCCTTCCCTCTTTCCTGCCCTACACACCGGGCATCCCTAGAACAGCCCTCACCTGCGGCACGCCTCTCGGCAGAAAGTACACTACCCACAGCCCCGAAAACGCCACCAGAAGCCCCGTAAACTTCTCGAACCACGTATGGAAATACGCAGCCGTCATCAGCAGCATCCACCACATTAGCGCCGCCACCCCCAGGGAGAACTTAACTCCTCTTGTCGTCGGCTCCTCCTTCTCATGCTCCGGATCCTTTTCCACCGCTACGCTGGCTACCTTGCCGTCTTCCAGCATGATTCTCCGTCCGTCGCGCAGACCCTCCATCCGTGTTACGGCCGGGAGGAACTCGAACCATAGGAGCGCCGAGCCGAGTATGAGGAGGAAGACGTGGCCTGAGATGTCGTGTCCGCCTTTCCATTGACCGCCCACTGCTTTGCAAGTCGCAGCGGTAAAGTATTCTCTCGTGTCACTCATGCCTTGTCGCGCCTCCGGATCACGGAGCAACTCGCACTGCCCGCCCGTGAAGCGGAACCCGCGATCGATCAGCGGCGGACCGAAGAACCACTGCGTGACAAACATCCACCAGAGCGTAATCGCTGCATACCGAAACCCTGCGCGTATCCTCTTCACCGTCAAGCCCGCCCCAAATCCCGGCCACACCACCAGCAACGTAGCGAATGCTGCTGTCGTCCAGAACCAGCCGAGCTTGACGAAGTAGACATTGAAGACGTTCTTCTTATGCGCAAAGTACGAGGGCGCGAATTCGGGCGGGTGCGACTGAGAGGCCGCGGAGTATGGTGCGCTGCGCGTCGCGGGGGAGAGCGTGCTGAACACGGAGCCGAGGAGCAGGGTCGCGGGGTAGATGGCGAGGAGCAGAGCCTCGAGGCGGGTAGGGAAGAAGGGCGAGCGCGTGTTAGAGGAGGTGCGGATTGTGGAGGATGGCATGCCAGAGGTCAGAGGTGTAGGCTGGCCGTTGGCTGCGGAGGAAGAGGTTGGTTTGCGGCGTGTCGACATTTCAGTTTGTGAGTTGCGATGGATGGAGTAGAGTAAAAGGCAAGCGCGGATATCCTATTGTGAATCAGGTGCGGCCATAGAATATGTGAATTCGTTGGTATTTGGAGGTGTATGGGAGAGCAGGAAAGTTGCTTTCACGAGTCGCGATGACGTTTCGTTGACTTCGGACATAGATGCGCCGCAGTGGCTAAAGAGCCTAGCCGAGAGAGGTATGGTCCTTCCAGGCAGCTCAACGCCAATCTTCGCTCGTCTTCCATCCTAGACTCTTGACACGTTTTCTAGCGCTGTTCAAAGCGCATGATCATTCTGCTCTAAGGCGCCAGGGAATTAGGCTGCATTCATCTCATCGCTGTATCGATTTGGCCACACTGCACTCTTCTTTCCGGCTCGTAATGCCAACACTATGGTCGGACACGTTACTACGAGTGCATCTGCTGCAAGAATGCTAAAACGACTTTTCATGGTATGGATGTATTAGATACTGTTATCTCGCTATATCTTCCGGTCCCGCACAAGGACGGGATTGTATGCTAATGTGTCCCAACGGAACCAGTTGGCTAGTATACCGTCATTCGCATTTCAGAAGTGACCAGAGTAGCGTGCCCTATAACTGGAACGGAATGATTATCCTTGCAATGCCTGCCCGATATGGCCTCTTCAAAGTGCACCGTATGCCAGCTTACGCCTGTAAGTTGAAGAGGTAACCTGTATTACGTGGAGCCCCCATGCACCACTGCACGGCTGACCACATTTGCCCTTGGGCTTCTCGTGGACCCGGCAAATGAGATTCTCCTCGCATTCTTCCCCGGGACTCTGTACAAGCGCTCTCGCAATACGCTCCAACCCCGCCCTGAGAACTGTCCACGCTCGATAGTATCCGGCCATGTCTTCTTGCGTCGACGCAACGGTGAAGGTTACTTTCATCAGGTCTTTGGGTAGTTGATCGAGCATAGTAACACTGAACCGAATATCGCCGATGGGTTCCTTCGTTACGATGCCGGAGAGGAAGGAGAAGTAAAAGTCCATGGTGAGTACCTGTAAGGAAGACGGAGCCGCCAGTAAACGGCTGATGCGTCTCAGCTTTGCACCCTGGTCCTTGTGAAATTCGAACGTGTTATACTCCTTCCCATCTTCGTCGGTCTTCGTTACGGGCGCAATGGAGAAGTCCACTCCAGATTTTGTCATCTGAATGATCCTCGCGTTGTTGATAGAGAACAGTCTCGTGATGCCATGACCCCTCTTCAGCGAGCCTCCCGAGATATCCAGATAGAAAAACTCCGCAGCATGGTGGAATTCCGCCAAACCTTCAAGCAGAATCTTCTTATTGGCCACGAGCCACGCCGGGAGACCTCTCTCAAAATTTTGCAGTGGTGATCCGGGGTCGTAGCGCCGGGGTCTACCGTAAACTGCCCCGATCGTCATGCCATGCTGGCGGAAGCGAACGAGCGTCTTCTCACACAGGAGACCGTATATTTGGTTGCGTATCTCTCGTGGAAGGTCAAAGAAGCGGAAGAACTGCTGGGTGGGGTTATCCGCGGCTGAGACGTCCTCATAGTGTAGGATCTGACGAATGTTCCTCTGGCCATGATTAGAGCGTTGGCTGCGACGCACTGGAGATTTTGCGCGGGGCTTCTTGGAGTTATTGATGGCCATCCGGGCTCGCTTTCGCTTTCTCGACGCTTTCGGCGGTTCCGGCGTTGTCGAGTGCAGACCTCGATCGGCGGACGAGTCTGTATCGCGCGCCATGCTGAGTCGAGTTATATTACAGCTGTTACAAGCAAAGGTTGTCCCAGAAGTATCGCAGGTGGGGAGGCCGGGGAGTCGCGACCTCAAGTATGTGGGTGGAGGAAGGTGCGTGATGGAGAAGCGCAGAGGGGAAGTGCGTATGGTGAAATATAACCGAGCTACCACCATGCACTCGAACGCACCCGTGGACACCTTCTTTCACCCGCGAACGCCACTCTCAAGGCGTATACTTCGGCGGCTGCTCCTTCGTATACGGCGGCAACGTCTCCTCCTCATCCCTGTCCACCCCACCACTTCCCTCCGCGCTAGACTGCTGTTGCTGAGCCCCCCTCCCAGTCTCTGCCCTCGCCGCCGGTCCGCCCGTCGCACGATGCTCCACCTGCCTTCCCTCGCCCTCCTCCGTACTCCTCGCCAGCGCCGCCGCCATCGGCCTCGGCTTCCCGTTCATACGAGCAAGGCATACCAGTCCGATCATCACGAACGCTATACCTAGTACAACCCCAATAATCGCTCCCGGTTTGAAACTACTCTTGTGCACATTATAATCGCGATCCCATGAAAACGTCGACGTCGGCCAAGTACCTGTAGATGTGGTGCCAGCAAACAGTGCCGTTTTGACAAGCGTAAGCGTTGGCCCCTCGTGCGTCTTCACGTCGTAAGTTGTGGCCTCGGGATCGCGGCGGCGTTCTAATAGGTACATCGGCATCAGCTTCTCGGTAGTCGTATTGGGCATGGGCTGCGCTTCATCGGTGAACATGTCCTCTGTGAACGATAGACTGTCGATGCCGAGGCTGCTATTTACGCCGAAGTACCAGCTCCAGCTGAGATCATACTCTATGGCTATTTCTGAGTCGTCGTGGTAGTAGCCTGGTGGCCAAACAACTGTGCAAGTATTAGCAGAAGAGAGTTGGGGCAGGGTGTCTGATGCTCACAATAAAAACTGTAGGATGGAATGCATAGCCGGGTTCCATTTGGCGGGTAGCAATATGGGGTATTCGCTGCTGTTTCACATACTCTGATTGCATTTAAGGTCGAAGCGTTATAAGGGGTTAGAGCACGAATGCACGTAACTGCGAAGATGTCAGTCTCACGTGCCAAACCCCGAGCCAGTGCTGCTCTGCTTCCATACCATTCGAAATGTCGTCCATCGCACAATGTCTGTTGGAAATCACGAATAATCCCCAGACTGCATTAGTACTAAAGATGGACGAGAGGAAAAACGCCAACTCAGGGCTGGCATATAAGCTCGTATCTACCAGGACTTGCTTCGGTTTACACACCACTTCTCGGATCAGTCGGCTGCGTCCAAAATCCTCCAGGACCAGACACTTGCTTGCACTGGCTTGGCAAAGAGGCGGAGTCCGATACCATTATCATTGAATACTCTCGAGGACTGTTACCTACGTTCCGGTCAGTCGCAAGGCTGACAGCTAGCAAAGCTCGCGACGGCTGCTAGCAGCTCGGCACGCTTTGCGAGGCTGTATCCAACATCATTTACATCATACCACCTTGGAGGAGAGGAGCGAAGGATCGAGGTCACCAGCGCCAAGTCGAGCTCGGCTCGCTTACCCATGCAGTAGTGGGGTAGGCGAATGAAGTTTAGCGGTGCTCAACAGGAGGGTGAACGTATAGAGGCGATCTGGGTGGTTACAGGGGACGATTGTCATGTCTTGTACAGTATGACTGTTGCCTGTGAGAATCGAAGTTGAAGCACTGCCACTCGATTAACTAGATGTCATTTCCTAGGTACAGGAAGGCTAATAAAGGGACAGTCCAACGAAAGGTCTCTGCAAAAGCTGCCATGTGACTGATATCGTACGCCTGCACCATCGACGGGAACAAAAGTTGCTGTGAAAGACTGACATGCTCTTACCAATTCGAAAGAATAGCCTTCCAACTCCTTCATCAGCACGCACAGCCCTCCTTTGCACCCTCCGCCCGAGCGCTGCCCAAATTGACTCGCGCGTCGTCTTGCCTGCCCAAGTTTGTCTGTCCACCAACTCCCCTAGGTCCTTTGAGGCTTGTCTCGGGAATAGCGTTTGCAATGGCCGTGAACACTTCGGCAACATGTTGTCCCGTCTTCGCGCTAGTCTCAAAGAATAGCAAGCCCTCCTCATCCGCATATGACTTCGCAGTCTTGGTGGGGACTCTCCTCGCATCGGTGTTGTCCTCATGGTTCTCTTCGCCCTCAGCAGCAGGTGCGGCATCTGCGTCCTCTGAGCTTTCCTCACCACCTGAACTAGCCAGGTCAGTCTTGTTGCCGACGAGAGCTATCACGATTCCAGGTGAGGCTTGTCGATGGAGTTCGGCAACCCAGTGCTGCGCTTTTGTGAGGGACGAGGGCTTCGTGATGTCGTAGACGACAAGTGCGGCTTGGGCATTGCGATAGTACATCGGTGCGAGGGAGGCAAAGCGTTCTTGGCCGGCGGTATCCCAGATCTCGAATTTGATGGTCCGGGTTGGGAGGTTGCATTTCTGTGTCAGGAAGGCAGCTGTTCGATGCCATATTAGCGATAGTCTGCAAGCCGAGATACCGCAAAAAGCCTCTCGGAGCCCCCACACAATGGGAGCAAGACCTACCGCCTATTGTGGGTTCCTTATTCTCTTGGAAGTCGTTGTTCACGAAGCGCATCACGAGCGAAGACTGAACCATCAGTTAGCCAGGCGCACTACTTTCCACCGCATCGGAAGCGCGTACCTTTCCGACAGCTGCTTCGCCCAGAAGTACCAGCTTCACGCTGCTACTCGGCTTCGGTTGCGCGGGTGCGTCCGCCATTGTGAGGTGTGCGAGTGGGCGGAGTGCGGCTTCTTCGGCTTGAGTGGTCGCTGAACGAAGGGTGTGCGGTTGCTCTAAGTTAGTAAGGTGTAGCCCTGGGTGAGCTGTCTCGGGGAAGCGTCGTGGAAAGGATGGTTCGCGGTGTTGTCGCAGGCAGACGGATTGATGTTCATGACGACTGGCTCCGTTGATGGGGCGCCAAAGAGAGGCTAAGCTTGATTGGGATGGCTTGCACCGCCACTTCTTCGCCTTAGAAACGCTACATGGTTCTCTGGCAACTCAGGCGGAAGCCCATCAGCGCTATTAAGTGTCCTTCTATACAAGTGTCTGAGCAGCCAATATCCCATATACTGGAGGATATGTGACACGCTGCAAAGTAGACAATGAAGCAGGCTATGGATACCAGACACGTTTACGTCGCCACCAGTCGGCCCTTACTCTTAGGCGGAGGGAAAGGTTGAGCGAGGACTAAACCAACCCATGAATATCAGAGCACCATGGCGAATTGCCAATGCCGAGCTCTCATCCGCTCTTCAATTATTAACAGAACGGCTGAACTCGAGACCGTTTCGGGCAATGCACTGGAAGACCCCGAGATGCGGGATCTCCACATGTCCTCGAATTACTCCTATGTGGTAAAAAGCGGCCCCGGCCGTAGTTCGCAATCTCGATACAAACCTTGGAACGACTTCAGTGGGCTGCAAGTTTGGACCCGGACCCGGGGACTTCATCCTTCCAAGCGCCACGTCGGTCCTGTAATCGTAGGTCCCCTTCCACAGCTACACATCCTTCAACTCGTCTTTCTCTCTACAGAAGCTTATGCACAGCCTCTAAGCGATGAGCATGGCGGCTCCCTTGGATCGACAAACACACGGAACGAGTACGAATCGACTTTGATCGGCATAGATCTACCGGGAGAAGGGTACCAGGTACGGCTGGTGAAGGCTACAATCACTGGCGAACTCGATGTTGATCCGCCAGATGCCGAAGGCCCGGGGTTGCGGGGTGATCTGTTAGGGATGAAAGAAGCCTTGTTAAGAAGAGGAGGAGGAAGACGATGATGATGATGATGATAAAAAAAAGAAGTCGACTTTGACTTTCGACGGCGGACAGCTAGGCGACCTCTCGTCTGCTCTCGCATAGCTTATGGTCATCATCAGCCCTGTATTTGATTACCAAGGAAAATCTAGCTGAATCAGAAGCGCTGTTTCGGTGTGGTTTGAGCCGCAGCGGGAAAAACACAGGGAATTCCAGTTTTCGATGCATGGCCCGAATGGCGCTTACGGTATCCCACCCATGACGTCAGATTGTGGAGGTGAAACTGGCTTTGCCTTGCGACTTCCAGGGCCTGGCAACAAGCAGCCAGCCCTAAAAGAGGCGTAAGGCGAGAAGCCAAGCAGCGCCTCCAAGAGCGAGAGATGTTGGGCTTGCGAGCTGTGGCTGCTTCGTCGCTGGCAGAGCTGCAGAGCTGTCTATGCGATAAGAGGACGGACGAGCAAGAACCGATATCTCACCACCCACAACAGGTTCAGGCGAAGGAGACAGCAGGCCCGAGACCCCAGCCACGGGTGATTCTGAAGCTTCGCAGTCGACCTTATCCGGCGGCTTGGGTTAACAACAGGCGCAGGCATGGACTTTAGAGTGGACCCCTCAGCACAACACAAGACGTGCATGAGGAATAGACACCATCAGGGCCAAACAGCTTTAGCACCTGCCTGCCCCACAGCAGCGCGCATATTGGAGCTCGCACTGGGGCAAGCGCGTCGGCACCTTCGTGGAGCGGCACTGGAGCCAGGCAATATATTTGCTGGCGCGTTCCTGCCAATCTGTGGGCTGGCCCGCCCCCCGATAGAGTTTCCGCGCGCCTTGGTCGGATGGAGGCTGGACGGCTCAGACATGACTTGCATGACAGCAGCATGGGAAACGGAGGGCGGCATTTTTGCGCGGGCTGTCAGTAGTGTACTGTGTAGTGTGCGGTGGCACAGGTGCCAGACCCGCGACCCCACGGCTGCGTGAGGAGGTGGCTTGAGCATCGCGCAAGCTAATATGCACTGACAGCATGGGGTCGATCGCGATTGCCAAGCCGCGTCGCTATCTGAGGGCTCCTTCCCGAATCAAAATTATTTCTAGTGGACAGACAGACGACCCGTATTGCGTGCAGAGCTGTGCAATACTGTACGAAGCACAGAGCAGCGGTTCTGGGGTGAAGATCGCGGCGTCGCTCGCTGCCGGCCACAGCAGCGATCGCTGGGGTTAGTCATAATTCTCCAGAGCTGCGCTGGGGTTCCGTGGCACCGCTGATCCACGGGCGTGGTCCGAGCGTGGTGGCAGCCAGAGGGCGGATCGGCATGTCGTCCCAAAGCGGCCGGGCGTGTGTCGCCGCGCTCGAGGGCCCGTCTCTAGCGGCGCGAAGCCAGGAACACGCACAAAGGGTTCCTGAGCAAGAAGCACGCCGGGCAGAAAAAAAAAACCTGTCGCCGGCAGCAGCGCTGAAACACGCAGCAGTGCCGCCGCTGTCCGCTCATTTGCGGGCAGCCAGTGAGGCCCATTATAGAAACAGAGGGCCACCCTGGCACCCGGCGTGGCTGATGCGCCGGTACCTCGACTGATAGTTCGCGGGCGGCCCTACACCACCTCTCATTGATCACGTTGCGCTACCCGCTGCAGCGTCCGGCTGACCAAGAGAGGCACCAGATGCTCTCCACGCCCGCGTGCTCGCCCTCGCAATAAATATTCCGCCGTCCAGCTGCCGCAGCCTGCTGCGACCGTGCCGCTCTCGATCCTCGACCCTCTTTGTCCTTGCTCACGCCCGCTGAAACTAGTCGCCATCCTGTTCCTGCGCGGCGCCTGCAGCGAAACGATCCGGCCAACGTGTAACGCAATATCGAGAGGGGTCCACACATTCCACAGCTCCCCCATTATTTTTTGCTCCACGCCGCCCGAGCTACGCTCACGCAACCCGCCAGCGAGCCCACACAGTCACCCTACCGACACTCTCCCCCAATATACTCGACGCCGCCAGCCTGCCCTGCTCGGACTCCGACTTGCCTAGCCCGCTCCACCTCCGCCGCCGTCCACGTCTCTCCGACCAGTCGAGGCTGTGCAGCCGTCCGGTCGCGATTCCACCTCGCTCGCCCTGACGAACAAAGACGGAGAGTAGAGAGCTGCTCTACCACACCATGACTGTCATCAAGGCACGCGCTTTCTTTGACAACTGCCCCCTCGCCCCCAATTGCTCCCCTGCTGACACTGCTGCCCGCTGCAGGAACCCATCGCCGTCCGCCCAACGAGCCAGCACCGGCACTCGAACACCATGGCCGGCTCACTCCCCAAGTCGCGCCCGCACTCGCACTCGCTGTCTGTAGGCTCCATCAACCCGGCACACCGCGTCACCCGCAGGAAGAGCATGAGCTCGACGGCCGCCGGCAACATCGCTGCCATGGCTGCGGCGGCCAAGGGCATATCCGGGGCCCCGCTCGAGGGCAGCAGCAGCTCGTCGCGCCGCCCGTCGAAGCCTGCGTCGCACTTCCGGGGTCCCAATCTAAGCACCATTCCCTCCATGGCCTCGAGCGTCCCGAGCAATGGCTCCGCGTTTGGGCCTAGCAGCTACAGCGCGGCCGCCAAGACCGAAGCTATCGCCGACGGGCCTCCGCTGGCCGCGATGCCTGAGCAGGAGAAAGGCAACTCCAAGGCGCGCATACGCCGTGCGAGCGAGGGCTCCCGTCTGGCAAAAGGCGAAGGCAAGCGCACAAGTGGTAGCGAATTGAGGTGTGAAAAATGTGGGAAAGGATACAAGCACAGCAGCTGTCTGACCAAACATCTGTCAGTCGCCCCAAGTAGATAACCATCCTCCCGCACACTTTCACGGCTCGAGACGAATGCCCTGTTCCCAATGCCGCTGCCCCGGGTCGCTGTTCTTTGAAGTTTTGCGTTGACTTTTTGATTCAGATGGGAGCACACGCCCGAATGGCAGTACACGTCTAAGCTGCTCATCTCCAAGCACCAGCAGGTGCAGCTGCTCGAGGCAGCCTCTGTCCTCGTCGCCATGAACCAGGAGGGTGAGTCCCGCGACAGCGACCATTCTTCTGTGTCGCCGCCGGCCTCGGGCTCCTCGGACCTTCGTGACGAGTTGAGCTCCACGGACACTACCCCGCCCCCGCAAATGGACGATCACGCCGTAGGCTCCTTCCCTCGCTCCCACTACGGCAATCGCTCCTCCAAGCGCTACTCCACAAACAGCTCTGCATACAGCCAATCCTACCAGTCCGCCGTATTTTCCGACAACGGTCAAAGCGGCCACTATCGCCAGTGGAGCAATGTCTCCGACCGACCAACGACGTCCGGCACCTCGGTTGCCGGTTCGTATCACGACGATGAAAACGACCAGGCCGACCTTGCCGCCGCTGTCGGTTTGCTGAGCTGCTCTTACGGCACACCCAAGTCGGGCCCTGTCGCCCTCCCACCTGACGTTCCTCCAGTGCCTCCGCTACCAGCCAAGTTCTTGGATTTCAACAACGTCCCTTCGATATCCGGCAGCACCACCGTGACTGCGCAGCAGTCGAGCTTACGCGGGAGCGGCTACCGCTACCACCATGAAAGCAAAGACGTCGACATGGACGACGGCCATTTCGCGGACGATGACGACTTCCGCAACGCCAACTCGCGCAGTCGGGGACAAATTGACGAGGACGATGATGCCTTCTTCGGCCGGATGGAGGAGTAGGCTTTCGTCCCCGGCATTACACGTGTGCAACGTCCGCCATGAAACCGACCGATGCCTTTCCTTTGTCGTCCCATTCGATACTTTTCCGGCCTGTAACACAACCAATCAGCAATGCAGCGACCTATCTCCGCAGACTCTACCTGGACCGCTTTCCGCAGCACCGAGGAGAGGGCCTTCAACCCACGTCGAGCTCTTGAGGTTGAAGCTGCGGATTCGGACGGGTAATTATGCTCAGTCTTGCGTCGAGAGCCTCACAACATATAGCACCATTTACCGGAGTTGTTTCTTTCGCTAGCTCTTCATATTTTGCGCCTTCTACAACTTGAACCCCGCACAAAGCCTTTTCTTCAGCGGAAACGGGGAAGATATTTGTTTGGAGAATTTTTTACCACAATCGTGGAGGAAACATTTGCATGATCCTGTTGTTTGGCCACCTTTGTGTATATTCGGCTGGACGGGAGGAGAGAGGAAAGTGGGCCATGTGAGATACGAATGTCGGAAATTGAGGCTCAATGACTGGATTGCCTGAACGGAGCTTGTGATATGTGATGTTTGACCTGGGCCGCTTTTGACAGCGACCGCCGACTGACTGAAGTAGGTGCGGTGAGAGGAGAACAGTACGGTAGGTACCGACTAACAGGAGGCGCATGCTGATATGAATGGGTCCAGATAGCGCTGAGGAGAATGGCGATGAAATCATGTCAACCTACTTTTTCCGTCATTCCGCGGACTCCCAACCAGCCACCGTCTAGTGTCGTGAACATCCACGTGCGAAGACTGAAGTCTTTCTATCCCATCCATCTCTTTTCGACTCATGGTGACACGAAAACTTTCGAGGATCCAGCCTCAAAAATCCTTATCACAAAGAAGGAAGTAACAAAAACTGAATCCACACGCGAGCGGTGCCGCACAGCGGGTTTATTAAATAGAGCCAGCGATGGGATATGCGGTAATACGTCATGCGCGGCGGCTTATTGTTGCACGAAACGTGCGTGTGCGCAGCTACTGTAAGCTCTGGAGATGAGGATCTACGATCGCGGGTCGTTAGACGGGGTATGACGACCGCGATCGTCGGTTTCCTAAGGACGGATGCCTGGGGGCTGATGCGAGGCGAGGCGGGTGTTGGAGGGGCCGCGGGCGGAAAATGTAATTCCGCCCATTTATTGAGGTGGGTTGGGAGGGAGGAATGGTGGAAGTGGTGTTTTGGGTGTTGTTTGTTTTTGTCGGAAAGGTAGGAGGAAGGGAGGGATGGTGATAAGGTTACGGGACGGGTGCAGCGGGATGATCGACCGGAGAAACCTTGGAGAGAAAATGATCGAAGGGTCATTTGATCGGATGCCGGTTAGCCGCCTTTGTTGGCGGACTTGGACACTCCGTTGGACTCCAAGGCAGTAGCACTGTTCGATTATGTATGCGTCGACCTATGAGTACGAAAGCTATTTGAAAACGGCACAGTGAGGATATCTTGTTATATATCATTCGCGCGGTCCAACATTACATGCGTCTTCTCTTCCCGGCATATTCCCCATTTTGATCCGCAGAGATTTGATCGATAGCAGAAAGGTTCGGATGCGCTATCCGTCCGTTGTATCCCATAGATATGACGCATATCCGTCATCGCGAGGAAGAAAGCTCAGGTGGCTCTGCTCCAGAAGACCATCAATATACTCCTCCAGGAAGTAATAGCCATCTCCGTGATACCTCGCCATCAACTCTTCTTTGCTGACAGGTTTGAACACCACTTCTGGTTTGAGAGTGAACAGGTGTTTTACACCTTTGGAAGGCCCGGCTCTTAGTTGATGATTTCTAGGGAGAGCTGAATTGGACACTTGGATGCCGCTCCTGATAGAGAGATATTCTAGGGAGCCGGTGGCACTTGTAAGATCGGTCTCACTAGCGAAGTGCCTAATGAGTTCGCGGCCAGCCGCCTCTTCAATAGGAGAAACTCTTTCCAGCTGCTCCAATCCTTCCGGGGTATGCTGGTGTACGTAGGATGCGGGCAATAGATTGCATCCCAACGCAAGCGTCTGAAGCCTGTCATTGCCATCGAAGAGATTCTGCAGTTCATCAGGAGCCGAAACTTGAGACTACGTAGAAGGGAGGAAGCTTACCAAGAGTTCGCGGGCCAGCATATCCTCTTCAAACTCCACCGTTTGTGTTCCGCCAAGGCAGCCCCAAGCAAGAAACAATCCCATGTGGCGAATAGCCCGACAATTGGAAAGGAGAGTTTCGAGAGACTCCACCAGGGCGAACTCACATCCCGGGTCGGAACTGCGCAGCAAGAAAAGGTTCAAAGTATCCGCATGGCGGACGAACATAGTTGCATCAGTCAAACAGGCGTCACTTGTGTTGAAAACAAGCTCGCGGACTTCTCTGAGGCCCTTGACAAATCTAGACTCCCAAAAAGCGCTGAAACCTGAGCCTCCCTTGACCATCAATGCAATCAAGGCCGGATAATTCGACGACGGAGTGTTGAGGAAGAAGCTGGCTAGTTGGGTGCAGTTGCAGACTGCGAGAGCGCGTAAACATGGGAATGAAGTCCGAACGAGCTGCGGCGCATATGCCGCGAAATCGAAACCATAGAATGCCAGCCTGGTGACGGTAGACAGCAGAAAGAGTGAAGCCTTACCGCTAGGCAGAGGATTTGGGAGATCATGACCACGAGCGTTGGGTGGGCAAATGAATCGAAGTTGGAGCTCTTGTAGATTTGATGCTCTACGAAAGGCGTGGTGTAACTGATCAGCCGGCGCTTCGAAGTCGAGGATCGTGAGCGTAAGATCTCGAAGCTGGGTGAACCGAGTGTCACCATTGATGTAGTCAGTGAATCGCGGGTACGGCCGTATTCTACCGATGATTGGTAGTCCAAGCTGTTGAATAGATCGTTGTGTCGTCAAGAGGATGATGAAATTCTTGACCGAGAGGGTCCTTTTGAAGGATGTGGGAGTCGTCAAGCTGCTAGGTATCAGAGGGTATTTCATCGAGGCTTCTCTGCACTCACGCGAACGAGAACAGTTGATGCTGTTTCAAAGCAGCCAGGATCCCACCCACAACCAGATCCTCCAGATGCTTCGGCTCCTCATATTCACCATACAGCGACTGGATCTTGAGATGCCGTGTGTAAAGCAAGCCGGTGTGATGCCCTGATGCGAGAGGTCTCCATGCCGAACTGCTCTTCGTTGGGCCGATCTCGACTACGATACGATTATAGGCGAGGGCGTAAGTCAGCTCCCAGATGGTGACGCAGGTTTTCGAGACGTTGAGGAGAAGGTCTCGTTGTTCGAGCTGGGGAAGTCAGCAACTACCGGACATCCTCCCGGCGACTCGATTACCTGAGTGAGGATCGGCTTCAGAATCTCATACGGCATGCGCAGGAGGTGGCATGGTGGCTTCTCCTCCTCCGATGCCATTTCGAGGGAGTGGAGACGCCCTGATGAGGGGGTGTGGTGAGGGTTGAAGGTTGAAGGTCGAGAGTTGAGAGGTGACCGCCCATCGTGCCTTCCCTAGAAATGGCCGTCACGGGATCGCTCGTCAGAATAGCGCGTCATCATGAGAGCGAGCGCGCTACAGCCAGTGACGCAAGGTAGGGAAATCACAAGGCCCGTCGGTCTCGTCATCGTCGAAGCATAGTGTGCCCGTAGGAGATGCTTGACTCCTAGCAGTAGGTGAGATAATCACCGCACTCGCATCGAGAGGCGAGGTGATACTGGAACGTCAGTCCATCGGCCCCTCGAAAAGAACTAGGAGAAGCGACTGCCGCACCCCTATGCCCAACATTCGCGACATCCGCAGTCGAGGTAAGGAATGTGCGCAGGATCAGAAAGTACTTCTGTTACTCCCGTGAATGCATCTATAAACTCTAGGTTCTTTGTATTTGCATGCGGCGGTCTGGGGAACTGAGCGAACGATAGTGCTGCTCTAGAAGCGGTCAATTTTGGGAATAGCCCGGCAAGGTGTTAGTGACGAATGAGCAGAAGAAAGAAGCCCTAAAACGTTCCACACGTTTCCAGAAGGCAATTAGCGAGCAAAACATAAGGGCGTAGATGATTCATAGCCAAGTCATCCTTCATCTCTCATTATATTTGACCTGCAAGTCTCCGATTCTAATTTCCATGGTTTCTGCGGCGGAAGGGGAAAAAGAAAGACTTAAGTATATACCTCACATCTAGAGCAGCACTATACATAGCATCTACAAACATGAGCGTTAAGTATTCAGCGTGCTAAACGCGGGTCAGGTGGGGTCAGGCCTTGAAGCGGTGAGCCTGTTCAAGTTCGTGGTGCAGGGCATTAGGAACAAGGTTTGCAGGCTCACGATATCCTCATTGCCCTCTCTCGGGGAGATAGGAAGGTGTGTTTGGCGAAACGATGCTCGTTCGGGATGATGTTGATAAGACCGTGAGGTTCATAAACGCGGAGTCGCACTTCTCTAGCCGCGCTAATCCCAGTCGGGTCGTAGTACGAATTTCACATCCGAGGCTCTCCAAGGCTGTCCCTCATCCGAAGCGGGCTGTTTACGTCAAGTAGGTAATGCGCGAGAAGTCTTGAACTTTCTCCAATTCCGCTGCATACACAATCGGAAGTGCTTCGCAGTTAGATCATGACCATGACACCCTACGCATCCGACTACCCATCAATCCCCTTCGATCCCGCATACAAAAAGTTCTTCGAGGACTTCTACGCTACGTCGGATACACCCGATGCGCACGAGAAGTACGTCGACTTCTTTACCAAAGATGCGACGTTGATCATGGCGTCCAAGAAGGCGGAGGGTTCTGAAGGTCCGTCCCCGCATGATTGTCCCTCGCGCAGCCCGCAGAGCTAAACTTAATGAAGAAATCCTCGCGCTTCGAAAAGGATTATGGGAGAAGGTAAACAGCAGGGTCCACAGCCCGCGGAAAATCTTCCCATATGGACCAAACTCCGACGAAGTGATGCTGCACGGAACGGTCAAGTATGGGTTGAAGGCCGGCGGAGAGTCAGGTCTAGACTGGGCGGCGTATGCGCATTTGACGAAGCTTGATGGAGCTGTGAAGATGGACTTTTATCAGGTGTACTTGGTGAGTATGCGATTGCAGTTTGGACCTTTCAAGGTGCTAAATTGCTGTAGGACACCGGAGCTCAGAGTAAATAGACAGCGAGAAGGGGCGTTGAAGGACGTAGTGACAGTGTTGGGAGCGACAATATCTGCGCGGACTGTGAAGTAGAAATGCATTGTGAAGCCTGGGCGATTGTGAACGTGGAGGCGAATGAGCGCGGGGCTGCTTGGATCGAGGATGCTCATTGAGGCTGGAAGGATATTTCGGGACATGCGAAATCCTTCTAGAAGTATCTGAGCCCAATGAAACTTAATCCAGATTCTCTTTTCAATGAGAAAATACCAAAACTATCTCTTCTTCGCACCCATCGTCCATGTTCCGAATGCCGCCCAAAAGCAGCCAGGGGCTAGCCACATCCGGACACCGACAAGACGGCAACGGCAAGCCGAGCCCACAAGCGAATTTGCGCTTTGACGGCCGAACAGTCATACCTCCCCGAAAGATGAGAGAAACCTGCTTCTGGCCCAACCCGACTGCTGCCTCGCTCCAAGTCCACACACCCTATAACTTTACTGCTGATTTTGCAACCGTATATATATTTTATAGCTTTCCAAAGCCTTCAACAAAATCATTCAACGCCCGGTTAGCTCAATCGGTAGTAAGTAGAATCCCAGATCTCCTATGGAATCGGTCCTAACAACACAACAGGAGCGTGAGACTCTTAGTATTCACGTCCTAATGGAACGGTTGCAATCTCAAGGTTGCGGGTTCGACCCCCGCATCGGGCTAGTGCATTTCTTTTTGCCCTTCTGCGGCCTTCTTTTGCCCCTGCATGTGACACAGTGGCCGGGGCTTAGCTCAGATGCTAGCGACGAAGATGGAACCGCCAGGTTGATTGCTCTCATCTTTTTGCAGCCTTCAACTGAAGGACTGACCACGCTGGGCTGAGTGCTGCCTTTCAAGACCATGAATAACGCAAACACCCCTTCCAATACTACTACCCAGCATCAAAAGACTGTACTTACTCCTCGATCCAGTAACGCGTTCAGAACATCCTACCTTTGTAGAAGCGTCGAAGCTCTTTCATTAGGTTCCATACCCTGGCACGAAGATCTTCGATTCAGCGCCCGAGAAGCTACCAGCGGGAACGACCGCAGCCCTGGGAAGCGAGGCTCTCGGGTCCGGGAAGATCCTTACGTGGTGAATCCTGGTCGGGCACTCCGTACCGCATGCTCCCGCCCGGCCCACATGGTTATCCCCAGGAGTTCGTCGAAGTCGTGCAGACATCTCGTTCGGTTCCGCCAGCTACACACAGCACATGAACGAATGACCCCACAGTCGCAGCGCTTCGAGATCAGAATGCTACAGTTGAAAAGCTGTACTCGGTACCGAGATGCAAGAGAGTAGTATTATGCTCTATGGAAAAGACTTTTGGAAATCCGCAGGGTTGGCATTCGAACACGCTCCCGATGCAGGTATTATGTCCTCCGCTCTACCGCCCGTTCGCTATTATCCCTGTGAAATCTTGCCTTGCATGCCTCTCCTCTGAGGTGTGACTAAGTAAGCCGTTCACCTTCTATAGCGTCTACCCCGTACCATTTTCCCTTGACGACACACTCCTCACTGGTTCGGAGGTCTGGAGCCTTCGCTGTGCCGCGACCTCGTCTTATGCGCAGGTGCGCGCGTAATGCTCCCCATCCTCTGCCTCACTGCCTCATGACTCCTACTCCTCGCCAGCTCTTCAGCTTCCATCGCGCTCTTCTCCTCATCCGTTTCAGGCTCCCTGTCCCCGGAATGCGACCTAATATGATGCGTCGTGGCTCTCGTAATACTGCCCATACGCTGCCTGACCGCACTCCTGCTCCTCCTTCTCGACAAATCCCTATCCTCGGGCACAGCGCCTGTCGTATCCATGCCCTCTTCCCTCCTCATCTGCTCGTCCTCTTCAGAGTCTTCGGCGAATTCGCCCATCTTCGAGGGTCGCCCGCCTAAGCTTGCGAGCACAGCTTTGTTGTTGGCTGTCAAGTCGTCGAGGATGGTGAGTTCGCGCGCGGAAAACCAGCGCGGCATGAGGAAGGTGCGGAGCGGTATGAGCGCGATGATGAGGACGGGGAAGCCAATCGCGGCGATGGTTTGGGAAATGGCGACTGTGACGGCGACGCCCAGAATCTGGAGGCCGATGTAGAGCGAGATTTTCTTCCGCGAGACGTCGTTGAGGGGGTTCTGAGGTTGGAGGAAACGTCGTTCGGAGTTCAGGTAGATGAGCTTTTGGAGGATGCCGTTAGTTTCGATGGAGCCCCACTGATCAGAAAATGTTAGCTCAGTTCATGTGACGGGAACGGAACGTGACGGGGCGTGGATACTTACGCCGACGACGAAGAAGACTCCGCCAAATACCGCGGCGGGCATTGTATGCAGAACGACGAGTAACGGACCCGTCATCGTGCCCCACAGCGCGAGACCCATGAGGAAATGCGAAACGCGCTGTTCAACAACTGCCGTAGCTTCAACGAGCGGCTTTCGAACCTCAGTAATATCGTGATCTTTCGTTTTGATGACGTCGAGGCGCGTCTCATAGTTGGTAAGCGAGTCAGTATGCACGGGAGCTTGCGGGACGAGGCCGTTTGGCATTGGAAGGCCGATAACGCCGGCGACGAAGGTGGTACAGCCGAGGAGGAAGAAATCCCAATGGAAGCCAGCGGGTTTCTTGAGAGGGAACTGGCGGGCTTGAGCAGTCAGACTCGACACATTATGGTCGTAGTAAAACAGCAACATAGTCAAGAAGCCAAAAGGCAGTGCCACGAAGATCCATCCGATGTCGAGATTCCAAAAGTCGATCACCCAGTTCCTCGGCTGCGTGGGTTGGAAGGCCTTGGTCGTCGGCACGAATGTAATGTGAGTGCTCTTCAGGTTTCCTGGAATGTGAGAAAAGCCCACCCAGAAGAGCGTCGGAAAGACGTATGCATAGTCTGCGAGGATGCCGCGGAACCAAGGCTTCCAGATGACGCTGCTGCCAAGCTTCTCGAGGCCATATACGGAGCCGAAATACAATATGGCAATCAGGCAGGAGAGGTAGCCGGCAGTGCTCCCAGCGACGCTGAACTCGTTGACAAGTTCCTCAACGCCTTTGACTGTTTGGCCAATCAGCGTTGGGTGAGATTCGTAGTACAGTGGGGAACTTACTCATATAGATAATGCCGACGTACATTCCGAAAGACTCACTCGAGAAATCCGTAATGTATCCCATATAGTCACAGTAATTGCCAAAGGAGACTATCCAGTGGAAGATGGCCGCCCAGATACCCGTCCAGGCCATAACCTGCGGATAGAGAGTGCTATCGTAGTGTCCAACGATGTCGTAGATGGTGTAGTTGAAGAGAGAAATCAATCCGGTCACACCGACGATGGTCAAGGGCTGGCAAGCCAAGATGCTGAAGACCATTGCTGCTAGGGCTGAAGCAAGCAGCGCCTCATTGATGCCGAAGAACTCGCCAGTCCGTCGAGTCATATCGAGCGTGAAGGCGATGGCCGGAAGGAGGCTGTCATCGTCAGTGGGCGGCCTTCTCGGTGAGTTCAGGCACTTACTTCACAAAGTACATGCGCACTGTGCTCGCGAATGTTCTGTATGTCCATGCATCTTTGATATCGCTCCAGTAGTAGGGTAGGCGCCGCTTAACATCGTGATACATGCCGCGTCCTGGGCGTAGTATGCGCCATCTTCTCCATCCTCGCTGGTCCTGGAAAGTGTACGTGTTGGTGGTTTGCGTTCGCGCCAGCTTCGCGTCACCCGATTCCCCGGAGTCGAATTGGGCATCCATATTAGTCGCAAAGGAGTCTCTTCACACGTGGGTATGAAGTGGGAAGATGGAATGAAAAGAAACGACAGGCAAACGCCTGGTTGCGTGAGTGTCGTGCTTGATGTCGATAAGGACTGCCGCCATGGACCCTGGGGCAAAGACACTCTTATATTACCCAACCCAAGCAGCATCCGTACTGACGAGTAGCACCATGTCGGCGCCACGGACGCTAGCATCTTAGCATAAAGTGACTTTCTTCTTACCTCGACCCGCCACCCGACATTGGCGCAAGTCGTTGCTACATGTGCAAAAGACGGGCTTTGCGGCCCTTGCGCAACACGACTTAAGCTTGTTGTTGATCTGGATGCCACTCGCGCTTGCATGCAAACGTCGTTCTTGCGGAGAAGTGTAAAGCGGAGCGTAGGAGTGACGTCTAACGCCAAGACAGCCGTCTCTGGATCGGCGAGCTAGCCGAAGCGAGCGTGGCTGCTGCTGATGCTGCTGCCCAGGCAGTCATCCCGCCACTCCCTTGCAACGTCTTCGATGCATCTTCTTTGTAGAGCATGCGCGCAGGCATTTTGGCTGTCCTCGCCTCTGTAGGCCGAGACAGGCGCGACAAGACGCAGAGTCTTGCTACTGCCAGTTGCGCGTGAGGGCCGGGCGAGGTGCAAGTTCTGCCGGCCTTTGTGACGCAACACCATGCGGCTGGATGCAGCAAAGCGCGACATGTGACCGCGCCGACCACCCGTTGCCATAAAGCGCCAAGTGCCGGGCTGCTCCCGCTCCCGGGACCTAGACCTTTGCACGCCCATCGTCACGGTGAACGAGCCCAGGAGGACAGAAGGGTCCTGCATACGAGCCATTTCCTCAGCATCGGTGCATGGGAAGAATCAGGTTTTGAAACACAAGCGTCGGCGCCTTCTTTCAGCCTTCCGCGTATATCGCGACGGCCAGTCCCTAGGTCATAGACGGACGGGTAGGACTTCGACTTTCGCATTCGACCCGCTATCGAGAACCAGACGTCTCGGCTATCGGCCAGGAGGAATATTCCGGCTTGTGCATCACCGAACCGCGGCCGCGACAGTGGCCTCTGACGGCGCTGACTATATGCAGCAAAATGATTCGGATTGAGCATCTCGATGGGCTCTCAGACTGCATCAATCAGGCGATACAAGAGCATCTCGCCAGGGCAAATATCGACTGGCCGCGCGACCTCAGCCATCCAATCTTGCGGGTTGAGGCCTTCTTGGAAGATGGCGCACAAGGAGTGCAAGGAACCCTATCTCCTCGGTCGGCACGCATCGCGTCGGTACGTATTAAACCTTGACACTTGACATGGCTCAGTCGCTTGTCCTGATACACTCCTCTAGCGGGGAATGTAGTTAGTTGAGCCGCACCCTTCTATATCTGCCTGCCGGAGTAACGCTCTAGTCAGTGTGCATGGCTGACTGTTCGTAGAGTAGGATGGACTTGGCTGGTATTGTCAGTCCCTCCCCTAGTCCGACAACAAACGCTCCGGATCAACGAATGGGGTCGCCAAAAGATGGCGAGGCAACAGACGATGAAATAGCTTCAGGGAGTGTCAGCTCGGGGCCGGAAAGCCCACGCCGAAGAGGAACAGGAGGTCTGCGCGTTTCCCAAGTCCAAACAATCCAAGAGGACCTTAGCGAGCACCAACGTCGAATGGTCAGCGACAATCGAAGCTTCCCGAAGCGGCGGAAGGTTGCGCCCGAGAAGTTTGTCTTCCAGCCTTCCACCCTCGACAAGCTGATCATCGGAATCTGGGAGCAGATCCACGGGACGCTGAACTTGGACCCCCGAGCCATATTTGAGCAATTTCAGATCCCTCCTGCCGCGAGTCTAGATGCGCTACAACCTCGAGTCGATGACACGGCCATTGGGAATATCAGCATAACACCGACATTAACAAATGATGCATTCAGTAGGATGAACATCTTCTGCCGCAAAGTCACTCAAGCAAGTCGTGTCTGCCGGTCCATCGAGATTATCGTGCAAGCGCGCTGGACAGAGCTCTTCGAGGAACAGGTCCAGCTTCGCATTGCTGCTTTGCCTCAGCTATCTCCGACGAAGCATCGCAAGGCTGCCTTTATGGAGGCCTGTCAGGACTTTGGCTGGTCGGAGAAGGAACTTCGGAACAAGATGGCGATCTGGCGTGGCTACAAGGAGGTAAAGGATGCAGCGGGATGGGCTGCCTTGGTCTTTGCCGGGATGGGGATCTACCGTTTCTGCAAATACCGTGTCGAGTTCAGCAAGGACGCGATGAAGCGGCTGCAAAATTTGCGCAAGAGATTGGAGGTGGCCGCGGACACTCTCCACCCAAACTGGCGACAGATCTTGTCAATCGTTGGGGTGTCATCCAAGCTGCAATATACCGGCCATCCGCACGATTATGTCGTCTTCGAGGATGGGGCGGATCCAGTGCCCCTCCGCTCGACCTACCTGCAGCAAGATCCCTACTTCGACTTCGAGCAGATTGATGAATCCATCGTCGACGAGAGCGTATGGGGGTGTGATGATCCCCGCTGGGTCCCTCAGTCGAATGCCGTGGTACAAGCGCACGGCACATACATCTGTGCCGTTTGCAGCGAGCAGCAGTCAGACGATCCAAAGCTCAACTCCTGCTACTGCTTCCCAAGGTTGTTCGGCTGTGTCAAACGCAGTCCTCCGCCTGTCCAGGTATATCGGACACCCGACGGTCGCAACAATGGATTGCTTGCATTGACCCCCTTCGAACGTGGAGCGGCCATTGGCGAGTTCGTTGGATTGATAACAAAGGATGTCCGACATTTAGATGTTATGGACAGCTCTACCGCGACGACGAGCTATCAGATATGGCAGGGAAGGCAGGGCAATTATACCCGCTTCATCAACCACAGCTGTAACGCGAACGCGCAGGTCACACAATTCACTTGGATGGATACCCAGCGTGTCATCCTCGTGAGCAAAGGAATCGAGGCAGGCGCGGAGGTTTTTGTCGATTATGGAGACCGGTACTGGGCAGGCTTAGACAAAACATGCCTCTGTGGAGAGTCTTGTTGTAGATATAGACGGCGCAACTAGATGCATAGGCGTAGCGGACCATTGCCCCAGCTGTGGGGCCTGAACTGGCGTCCATTAGAGGGTGAAGTGGGCTTCTAGGCCTCTTTTACACTTGCAGCTGGAGTTTTGGAATTAGACGGAGGCATGCATCGGCGTTAGTGCCTAGGACGAATAGCATCTCTCTCCCTGAGTTGCGAGATGAAGAGTGAGGAGAACTTGAACTGAGGTCCACGGAATGCAGAGGACGCACCGACACATCGCACAGTCCAAACACCGCGTGGGAGTGAAACAGATGCCGGTCCGTATTCGTGGCATGCCTAGAAGACATGCTGGACGGATGGTCAAGCTGTCAATGGTCCGTCCGATTTGGGACAGTGAAAATGGGAGTGCAGGTCAAAATTAAGGGATCCGTGTGGGTCCGTGCGCTTATCGATAACACTAGCGCATAGGACATAGCCATGAAATTTCGTCTCGACGACATTCACGACACAAATAAAGAGCTCGATGCCATCTAATACTATGAAGGTCTTTAGGAAAGGCGTTCCGGAGGTTTCCCCAGAGTCGTCATCATATTCGTCAAGCGATACGTCCGACGCCGAACTCTCCGACTATCAAAATGGATCCAGAAAACGAAGGAGGCTCTCTCCAGAAGAACAAGAGTCGGAATCAGGATCAGAACCGCAGGTAGCTCCACAAGTCCCAGCAACATCTACGATCTCAAGAATAAAAGCGAAGAAGACCGGGCTGGTGACAAAAGGGGATGAAAAAGTGGACTCGGTATCCGCAGCATTGACCGGGAAGGAAAAGACGAGTTTTGCAACGTTAAATGTGGCACCGTGGTTAATTGCATCGCTGGCGGCGATGGAAATTAAGAGACCTACGGGTATTCAGAAGGCGTGTATTCCGGAGTACGTCAGCCAGTTGAGCTTCGCTACTCATAACAGCTAACAACAGCTAGGATTTTGGCGGGCCGAGACTGGTGCGTTAGACGGCCGTCCGAAGAAAACAGGCTGACGGCTATTTCTAGTATCGGCGGTTCCAGAACTGGTACCGGCAAGACGGTTGCTTTCGCCGTCCCAATACTGCAGGTAAGTACTGCGTCAGAAAGTCCAAACACCGGACATAATGCACCGAGATATCAATCCTCGCTTCGGGAAAACTTTGCTAACTGGTGCTAGTACGTAACCCCTAAAGTCCAGACGGTTCAGGCAATCGATCTACAGAGGATCGGCACCTCATTTCATGAGCTTTACTGATCTCGACTCTAGAGTCTGGTCGCAGGACCCGTGTGGTATTTTTGCGGTGGTCATGACGTGAGTATATCTTCTAATATCCTTCAACCTGCCCGTAGCAGTCGGAAAATCTGCCTACGACTTGGCCTTCTTCCTTCTCGCGCCAGCCACCTTGAATCACAGTTTTCAAAAGATTTGGAAAGCTAATGGCCTATGGATATAGTCCTACAAGAGAGCTAGCCATCCAAATCTACGAGCAAATCAAAGCTATTGGCGCACGACAGTCCGTAAAACCTATCCTAATCACTGGCGGAGCAGACCAGCGGGAGCAAGCACTCCAGCTAGCTTCGCGGCCACATGTAGTGATATCGACCCCAGGACGCCTCGCAGAGCATATCAAAACCTCCGGAGAAGACACAATAAGCGGACTCCGCCGGGTTCGCTTTGTTGTCTTTGACGAAGCAGATCGACTACTCGCGCCTGGTAAAGGAAGTATGCTACCAGATCTAGAGACTTGCTTGTCCGTGCTGCCCCCTCCTGAGCGAAGACAGACTTTGTTGTTCACCGCTACCGTTACACCAGAAGTCATGGCGTTGAAGGAGAAGCCAAGACCAACGGGACGCCCTCCAATATTCGTTTGCGAAGTCGATACGGAGACCTTAGCTATTCCGCCGAAACTCCAGCAAAAGTTTATTTTGACTCCGGTGACGCACAAGGAATGTTATTTGCATGTCTTGCTTGGGACTCCAGGTAAGCAGGGACAGATTCGCGGCTATGTCCCAGCTGACATCGTGGCTAGAAAATGTGAAGAAGTCGGTGATGATTTTCTGCAATCGCACTCAAACCGCTACCCTCCTCGAATACATGTTGCGCTCACTCGAGCACCGGGTAACGGCTCTACACTCGGGGCTGAAGCAATCTGAACGTGTCGCCAACCTGGCTCGCTTCCGCGCACAAGCTGCGAGAATCCTAGTCGCGTCTGATGTTGCAGCCCGTGGTTTAGACATCCCCGAGGTAGCATTGGTCATTAACTACGACGTCCCTCGCGATCCGGATGACTACATCCACAGGGTACGTATGCTAACATTCACCCCCTGGTCATGTCTCGGTCTTGAACGCTCGAGATTTTCCATCGCAGCTACTTCGAACAATCTTTTGAAGCCACTCTAGGTGGCGAGTGAAGGAGAAGCGTTACTGAGGCACGCAGCCGTCAACTTTTTGCTTCTTCCAGCTCCTAGTCTCCTACGGAGGACGTCTGCTAACGTGTTCCCACTATAGGTCGGTCGAACAGCTCGTGCCGGACGAGTAGGTCACAGCGTTACGTTGGTCGGACAGAGAGACGTCGACCTCGTACACGCCATTGAGGAGAGAGTGGGACGCAAGATGGAAGAGTATGAAGAAGACGGCGTCAGTATCGAGGGTAGAGTGGTGAGGGATGCACTCAAGCCGGTTACGGAGAAGAAGAGGGAGGCTATGCTGCAGATTGAGGAAGGGAGGGATGTATTGGGGAAGAGGAAGACGGGCATGCAAAAGAAGAAGGTGTGATATTGTGGTCTATTTACTCGGAGGCAGTTAGGAGGTGGAGTTAGGGCGATCGCGTCTCCCTTAGTTTATCTGGCTTTCTTGCAGCATCAGGTCGTTGTCATACTCGCCAAAACCCCGTGGAACGGTTCACTGCTAATGTGGAGAAGACGGAAGTATCCAACGCCGTCCTAAACCCTACCTAGAATCTGTATCCGCTCGTCTCTGTTTCATACATCACTGTGTTCCACTTGAATAATTGGCAACGCTTTTCAATAACAGGGAAACCCTTTTCTCTTTTCCATTCATCTGGACTATACAAGAACAGCACCAACATTACTAATACCGGAGCGGTCTCACTGCACCTACTGGTACGTATCAACACCGCTGAACCGCGAAGCGTAAAGAATACAGAGTACATAATCGACTCAGTCGACCATCTCCCAATCACCCTCTACACCACGCGTTCCGCGGGTATAATCCGCAACAGAGACGCAGCCAGACCGTTCCGCCAGCTCAAACCCTGCACGTAGATAAACCGGCGAATCAATGAAGTTGCCCTCAGAGAGCGAGATATCAGCAAACCCTGTGTCGATGACCAAGCGCCACGAGGCCCCGTCGCGGTCACCGATCCAGAGTGGCTCCATCTCAAGGAGCTGCGACAACCGGTACTCATGCTTTCCTTCCACGAAGACTCGAGCCTGCACAGCGCCGTTAGTCGCGCCGCGGATTTCGAAATGTTCGAGAAGACTCACCAGCGCCTGATTAAGCTCCATCTGCCACTCCAGGTTATCTCGCCCCGGCAGCATCTGCCACTCAGCACAAATCCCTTGCCGCACCAGCGCCCACCGCGCCTTCTCGCCCATCAAGCGCGCAAACAGCCACTGGCTGCCCTGCAAATCTTCCTCTACGAAGGTACTCTGCGGCGGATTGCGCTCCATCAGGTTCTGCACCGCATCAGAGAGCGCGTCTACAGCTTGGCTTATTTGATGGATACTGGGAAGTGAAACGGATGGAATGCAGTCGACGACCTTGTTCCCCATCTCGACGGCATCGCGGCCCTCGAAGGCGCGGTTCAGTCGGGCGTTGAGTTCTTCGGTGGCGGTGTCGGCGAGGTCGGAGACGTGGTGCTTGAGCGTCGCCCAGTCCAGGGAGGCAGCTTTCCGGTGGAGCGCTTTCGTAAACCGCTTCGCGGTCGCGGTGGGAGACTTTAGGGCGACGATGGCCTCGTTTATCCAGGTGCCGTTTGTCTTGGAGGGAACGATGTAGAGCGCGGCCGGGAAGGTGACGGTCGTCGCTTTTTCGTCGAAGACTGCAGCGTCGCCATTGAAGTATAGCGACGTAGCAGGCTCGATGTTAGATTCTAGTAAAGGCATCTTCCTTTTTTATTTTGAGCTGCGGGGCGCTTTTTGGGGGTGTGAGAGAACTTTTAGTTGTGTGGGCGCTATTGCTTTGGACAAGAGTGTGAGATATCAAAAGTTATGACGTAGTGGTGTGTGGGTGTTAGATCTGAGGAGAGAGAGAGAGAGAGAGAGAGCGGGGGTGAAGCTGTGTGAATATACATTACGTTGCATAGTGAAGGAAGTGTGTTGTAAGGGTACAATGTGCGTTTGCTATTGTGCAGTGAAAAGCGGTCAGGACTCCGACACGACGAGAGAAAATGACCACGATTTCGCACGCGACACCTTTAAGGGAGCTTCCCGTCACAAAGAAGGAAGAATAGGAATATACTTGGGCTAGCGGCGTCATTAGGTTGCCGGTTTCATTGTGTCTTTCCAATGTCGTCGGTGTCCCCAAAGCTTCTTCACTGGTTTTATAGCTTGACGCGGCGCTCACATTGTGCGGTGAAGTTGAGTAGATGAGTGTACCAAACAGCTCGAGATGTTTACCTGCCTACGCGCCTAACCCTCAGGCTCAACCTCACTCTCGCTGTCAACCCAAATTTTTGAATTCGCTCTCATTGCAAGGGCAAGACCAGTCCAGACTTAGCTCTCGCTCCGCAAAATCATGATCCTCATTCACTAGAGGCATATCCTTGGTGCGTCGCCTTCGAAAAGAGCCGCATCATGGGATTTAGGCTACACACGTGGAGGTATTGTATGTACTCCAACCATTCAAACTGCTCTCGCCGAGAGCTGAGAGGAGAGAAGACAGCCCCTTTGCCCGGTCTGTGTGCGTCTACGCCTTCAACGGCAGTGACGAGTGATCGCTTGCAGTGCAGTAGGAGACAAAGGGCGCGCTGCTTCACCTCAAGGTAAGTGAGCAGCTTCTATTACCGCCTGCAAATGGTCGCAGCCTCCTTAACAGGCCACGTAGCAGTAATAGTACAACTGGGGAAGTGCTAAGGTGAGGATGCTCATGGCGAGGATGGGGAACGAATAGATCAAGTGGCATACGGGAGCTGCAGTCAGCAGAAACGTGCGAGAATCCTGTTTCTCGAGCGGTATCGTTCAGCCCCATTACAAGATGGATCTATAGGCGTAGCTGAGAGGATGCAGCAAAGTCGGCACAAAGTCAGCAGTAAAGAAGAAAGGAGCTGAAGTAGCTGAAAACGGCCCATATGTAAGCATCGAGGATCGTGGATGTCTTCAACACCATAGTTTCACTCTATATTTTCAATGATAGGTTGCAGCTCCTGTCAGCGTGGCTGGCAGAGACACAGCTGAAGCTGTTTCAGCGTGAACACCCTGCTGCCACATGGCGACATAGAGGTTGAAGATTACTTCAGCTCGCCATCAATCAGCCACAGTAGTCTCGAAAAGAGGGAAAAGTATCGGTAGAGAGAGCAGGACACCGAACAAAACGGAACATAAACAGGCGATGTGTAGATGCGGTAAGTTGCTAATAAGCTGTGTTCAAAGCTACCATCGGCACGCGGTGTAAAGCTCGGCTGTAGTTCAGGAAGTCTGTCTCGTCAATGCTCTGAGGACAACGTCAACTTCCCACTAGAATGACCGCTAGAAAGCTCTCTTCTATCTGAGGGGAATGACAGACGTCTCCCAAAGACGTGCCTTCCACTACCATGTTCATGGTGTACATCAAGTTATGTTGGAAGCCGGGTAGAAGCTTCCGGGGCTTTCTCCGCCGTGGAACTCCCACCCGCGGTTCCCCTAATATCCGGCTGCCAGATGTTTCTAGGCAAAGGATCGAAAGTTTGCAACCACAGGAATTCCATGGGAACATGGAGCTCAACGGAACGCCTTTTCCACTGCCTCGAGACTGCAGCTCAAGCGGTGTCTCTCCTTTCACCCTGAAACCATGACCTTGCCACCCAAACTCTTGCTATCATCGCTTCTCCTTCATGCGAGTGCTATGGTGCACTGGGTGCAGAGTATCGACCTCGGGAGCTTGTGAAGGTACCTTTGTGGAGAATGCCGTGGCATTGCACTGATCACAGTGCATCTTGAAACGCGTGCGCGCACCTCCGGCTTCCATACACAATCCTAATTGTGATTAACGTATCTCGCGACGCTGCCGAAGCCTTTACGATCACTCCGTAGCCCGTGTTCCTCAGGAGTTCGCATGTCCGCTTACCAATGCTGTCACATGGTCGAAACGTCCACGAACACCTCCTCGAGCCGCACCATCTCCCATCACACATCGTCACATAACGACTCCATCTCATCACCTTCAACCGTGGTCTCATCTACATCTCAGAACAAGCGGGGTACGTACCCTTCGCTTCATCTCGAGATGTGCCGGGACCAATATCACGTCCAATTAAGCTCACTATCCCGCAAAAGATCATGGTCCGAGCGCGACAGGGCATGTTCCATGTTCGGTACGTAATTGTGCCTGGAACTTGTGCACTAGACTGCTACTTGCCCCACTGCTCGGACATTGGGAGCCATTATTCTGTGCGGAGTGAGGCTGGCTGCTGACGACGGCGCCGAGGCGATCGGATAGAGCACTCATAGCTTCGGAGTGCAGAGGTCGGAAGAGGGTGCTTTGAGAAAGTGGAGCCGTGATGATGCGAGTAGCGATGCGCCCCCGCGCTGTTCGAGCTACGAATTGATGCTCTTCCGCTCGAAACGGTCTCGATCTTCGCAAAAGCCACAAGGTCCACGTTTCGAGCTCCAACGGCCTTCCCTGCCTAGTTTCAGGAACAAACGGCATGCCTTCCATGGCTCGCCCTACAAAGATTTGCCACTACGACGGGCAGCTGCGAATCCCTCGGATCGCCGATAATGCAACGTCTCTTGGCCCACTAGGTACAATGCCTAGGTACATCCCTCTGCACCTGTTTCACACAGGGCAGGTCCTCGAGCAGAGCTCTGCACAGTGATGAAAGGCGGGACGGGCCCCGCCGTCAGTAAGCACTTTGAGGTTCGTCGAGCGAATGTGTTTTGATGGATAAATGCGTCGGGCATCGGTTCGCTTCCGCGCGTGCTTAGCGGGCCTGAGGGTTGCGGTTGGAAGGATTCAGGTTTTGATGGGAGGAGGAACGGCACGGACTTTTCTAGACAAAAAAGGGTACATGACGGCAGGTACCGCATGTCGGAAAAGCGCAAGCAGGTGCTGAAATTGGGTGGCGGGATTCGTCGGTATACTTGGGCCGAAGTACCTTCGCGAAACGGTCTAGAGTCTCAGCAACGAGGCGTAAGGCTAGGGAGGGCAATAAGTCGATATTGTGGACGGCGACGAGCGTGCATACGAAATGATTGACGATGCATATTTTCCTATCGCTCGTTATCAGGACACAGAGGGCAGGAGTTGGCCTTGGTGCCCTAGGAATAGCCAATGCATGCAATCCCTGTCGCAAGCTCAACCTGAAACGGGGATTCACCATGTAAAAAGCAAATGTCCGACAGAACGTCAGTTGTTTCTTGCAGTAGTGCCATTCGCCGCTATAACGCTGGACATTTTCATCTCTAGATAAACGATGGGAACCGAGCGAGAGACCCGCTCAATGCAGTGCTGTTGATGCCCCAGGCTCGTATAGGAGGCTCCGGTGCAGTTTCCCCAGATTTCAACGGCGACCGTGCGCGGCGGCACCGTACAGTAGCGAAGATGCAGATGGAACACGAACGCCAATAATGATGACGGCGAGCCGGCTAGCCGTGGCCCTTCTTCGGCGGGGCTTTGGGAGGGGGTGAGCGAACGGTTCTTCGCTCACCGAGGCAATTGATGGACGGTGAGGCAAAGGCGCGAACGGAATGGGCAGAGAATCGTGCCACTTTCGGCAGCGAGTCTAGGTGCGACGCTCACAGTTCTGACGAGCGGCCTCGATGCGAGGGCGAATGCCCCATGGAGCACGGCACGGTTTGCTCAAACAGGAACCCTTCCTCCCGTCGCCTCGACGACCTTGATGACATCGCTCTTCAGGTCGGGGATCCCGTCGATGAGGTCTTTCGCTAGTGTCTCCTGCAGCAGTCGATATGCGTTGGTCCGGCCTTTCAGCATCTGATTCATGCGTTGCACGGTCTCGACGAATTCGCGCGTGAAGATGTCGGGATTGCGGGACCCTTCGACGTACGCGGTCACTTCGGGCGGTATGTCGACGTGGACGGACGGCGCGGTTTGCGACAGCTTGACGAGGCTCTGAACGAGGGACTGACTGCAGGCCTGGCGTTAGCGGCGGCGCAGAAACCGGTGCTGCGGCGGATAGCGTACATCTCTCGCTTCATTGCATCCTGCGTCGGCGCGCCTTGGTGATCAAACGACTGCACGATGAGGTTGTAGAGGTTTTGCACGATGTCCTTCAACTGCGCTTCGACCAGAGCGATGGCACCTTCCAACGTCAGTGCTGCGCATTTCGTTTTGCAAAGAAAAACATACCTTGTGTGTTTGGCGCCATTTCGGTCGGCAATGTGCGAAAGTCAGGGCTGCTCTCGGTCTGTGTGAGGTGTTCTTGCTACCAGTAGTTGCGGAGCCAAGCCCGCTCGGAGTGGGTTGTTCCATCCCCGCGCATCACTGCAGCCTCAAACCTCGACTGCGTTCACTCTTGCCTGCACTCCCCACACCAACGGATCGCACTGCCACCGAGCGCCCGAGGCGCTATTCTGGCTCTTCGTCTGCGCAGTAAGGGAGCGCAGCCATGAGCATCAGCCGGCGATGACGGAGACAGCCTCTCGGGAGCCTCGTCTCCCGCAAGCGCAGCCCCCAACGCTGCAAACACCGAACTCGTCTGCACCAGGAAGCACCGGCAGCAACTTGCCAAAACCACCCCGTGGGCAGGGATCGACGCGCCCGGCTGAGGCACAAAGGCCTCTTCCTGACACCACCTCAGATAAGGCCACCGCAGCCTTCATTCGACGGACTCTCTGCTCCCACAATGTACTCCTCGGGAACGGCGAGAAGGGACGGAACACGCCACGACCAATCGAAGAAGTCCTCCCGCCGCTGACCAGCTCCAATGGGGTCGACCTCCAGTTGTACGCCATCATTGCCGTCATCATCAAGGAATTTGTGCAGACCTGGTACGCAAAAATCACGCCAGACCATGTCTTCGTGAGCGAGGTCATTCAAATCATCGCCCATTGCACAAGAGCTTTGGAGCAGCGACTTCGGAAGGTCGATCTTGAGGCCCTCCTGCTAGACGAGATCCCTGAGCTTATTGAAGCCCACCTCAGCGGTAGGTCCTTCTGGTCCTTGGGCAGCAGCATAAACACAATCTAACGGCATACCCAAAGCGTACCGTCTCGCCAAACAGCAAGCCGCCTCTCACCGTTCACTGGTTTCAGACCCTCGTATTATCTATCACACCCTCCATCCCCACCCTGCATTGACTCCAGTCCCAACCGAATCCGTGCCGTCTTCCATCGTTGAGCAGCGGGAATGTGAGTCTGCGTGGCGCCAATTGCTGGTCCAGGGAGTATTGGCTGTGTTGCTGCCCACCGAGGATTTGGAAAACGGGTGTCTGCGAGCCCTAGTGGCAGAGATCTTCGCCGAGATGATCCTTGGGAGCGGCATTAGCAGCAAGGCATGTGAGGGTTGGCTGCTGTGGGAAGGTATCACGAGAATAGCTGAAGTCCTACAGAATGATGGCGTTAAAGAGGAGGACTCCCAATCAGACTACGCAAGCCTGGGGCAACCGTTGAGCCGTCTCGAGCGGTATGGGCTGCTTTCCCCGCCCGCGGCCGAGCAGAATGGGCCTCCCGAGCCGCTGTTGACCAGCGGACGACGTCATGAGGATGCGCCCATGACCATCTCGGGTCTCTTCTGGGCAGCCGTTCAATATGCGTTCCTGGCGGGTATGGCGATGCGCGCGGTGATCGCTGCTATTGCGACATCCTCGTCTCTGCCACTGAGACCTGCCACATCTGCTAGCGAACTGTCACCCGTCGGGGCGACGCGCCAATCGCAACAGCTACGGGTGGGTTCTCCAGCGCTGGGCGGCCCGCTGGCCTCGAAGCGGCCCATAGTGAGCATGAGGATGTGGAGCTGCGCATCGCGACTTGTGGAGCTGGACACACGCATGCCGTGGCTTTCAGGCGTCATATCACTGTTGCGGTGGGGAACTCTGGCCGGTCCTGGAAGGGTGGGTGACACTGATGGCGTATTGGACAGGTGAGTACGATAATGTTCTCTTATTCTTCTCTGGTTGGGCGGCCACGTCAAGGGTCCGTCCGGTGCAACACCTTGTCATTCGGCTGCAGCAGGCCCCGCATGGAATTTCAGTCACTTGACCTGAACACCAGCGAATGCGACGGCCCGCGGGCTCTCACACGCAGTCACCCCGTGCCGGCCTGCATCGACTCCTGCAAGCCCCGGCACCCGCTCCCGGGCGGCAACTCGAGGCGTTTCGTGCCCAGCCTCGTGCTTGGCACGAATCTTCCCATTCCCTCAACATCGTCGACAGGCGCATCATGGTGCTGGATGCCCGACGAGACCGACATCGCAGGAGTCTTCATCGATCCGCCGTATTCGAGGTCGCACACGGCGTCGTCGTGGCCCTGCAGCGAAAACGCTGGACCCTGTCCCGTCTTATCGCGGCCCCAGTTTCTGCGGATGGGCCGCTTACGCGCCCGGTTGATCTACCCACATAGTTTCGTCTAGCTCGGGACTGGCCGCGCTTCCTGGCGCAACACTCGCTCGTCAGGAATGCTCCTCATGCAACCCAGACCGCCAACGAAGGGCGCCTCATTTTTGTCGACCGCTCACTCGGTTGGCGAACAGCGATATCGCTGCCATCGTACTGTGGCGGCGTCAGAGGACGTCGTATCGAGGACAATTACTCTTCAATGATCTTACGTCGCGCAAACCCTATTTCGACCACCATCTCGGCTCCACGTCGAATATTGGATCTTTATGGACCTGGCAAACAATATCCTAGCGCAGCGACGAGTCCTGCTGTGCTTCAACACCACTATACGGATACTCATCGCGCGTTCTTCACATGCCGGCGACTATTCTCGACTGCTCGCTGAAGCGAAGACCGAGCGCCTCACTTCGTGGAGCCGATCTCCAATGATGGTCTCTGTGCCGCCTTCGCTTGTCTCGCACCCCAGATTTCGCATCTCACCGTCTTGCATGTTCTCCTCAGGCCATTCCAGGGCTCCCGGAATCCCTGCAAAACTCTATTATTCGTCGTCTGACTGCATCCCGCGGACTTGCCCACTGGCCGGGACGCACTGCATACGTTTTGCATCATTTCGCACCAATCATGGAGCTTCTTCATGCTGAATTTTCAGAAACTAACCCCTTCTTTCCTCAGGTTCCTATCTCACACGGTGCAAATGCGAGTCCTGAACCCCGCCTTCCTTCCCATCCTGCTCCGCACCCTTCGTGCGACACTCTTTCCTAATAACACACTAGCTCCCCCACGGCAGCCACCCACCGAGGAAGAAGCGAAAGAAATCAAGCGACGCTGCGCCGCCACGTTATTGGGCTTGCTACCAGCGAGAGTGGCTGCAGCGTTCTTCGCGAGCACAAGCCGAGCGGAGCAACTTCGGCAAGCCGAGGAGCTACTCGACTGCCTTGACGACGCTTATCTCAACAAACATCTCATCTTCCAGATTGTGGAGTTGATTGTGCTTCGATTGGTCCCGGAGTTAGGGGAAAGAGGGGTACAGGAATTGCTGGACGAGAGGCTGGGGTAGCCCTTGATGTGTCATGTGTGCTTTCCAGGGAGGTGGTTCAGGCGTCCGCATACTGCCCATGTGCTGTGGAATGTTGCTATACCTACGTGCGAAAACCTTTTTTTTTTTTTTTTGGCCCGCTAGATGGGCGGAATTGGCGTTCTGGAGTCGCACAATATGGACCGTTATGGCAGAGCATGCTCGTTAGCTGCAGTGGGGTCAGAGCTTCCGCATGGCTCAGCGTCCAAGCTCCTCACCGCCAAAGATATCCATCGAGACCCATCTGTTCGCCAAGTAGTTCAAAGAGCAATGATTGCGATTTGATGTGGATTGCATTCCAGCTCATCAGGCATGGGCTCAAACTCCGCCTTCCCCTATCGCTCGCAGATCGTTGAGGGGCCTGTTTGAGAGTCCTGCACCCGCAATTGGGTGCGCAACCTTGCATCCGCATATAGTCTGCCATTATACATATTACAGCGCATACAGCGTCTCCCCCTCGAATGGTACACGAACCGGGCCCCGAGGAGAGAGGCGCTGCCAATGAAAAAATTCATTGGAGGCGCATGTACGATCCTGACTGCATTCCGTGTCGAGCACCTGACGAAATGACAGCCACCAAGACACAAGAGTATATCCATAGACGAAGATGCAGGACGACGCAGGCTGGCAATGCGGCGGGAAGTAGTTCATTTGTACACCGCAAGTCACTCGCTGCTCGTCTGCCCGCTTGGTCGAACCATTTCCGGATGAACCGGATCTCGTATACGAGCACCAAGCCAATGGGCGATGGTCAGGGCAAGATGCGAGACTATCGTCAGTAACCTGCGGTGTACAAGGAATGTACTTGTCAGTTCATGTGAGTAAGAGAAAAGCTATGATGCGGTGCAGGGCAGAATGTACGCCGGAGCTGGGGCAGCGAAGCGGTCTGTGGGCGGATGCGTCGACAGCTGGTTATCCCGAGTCGCAGGCACCGTCACGTCTGACAGCGACACGGCTGCTAAATCCGTCAGGTGAGCAGATGATGGAAGCGTTCTGGAAGGTGCGAATTGACGGGTGTATGGGATGCTGACTGCTGACGATGAGTCGCGGGTGGCCGGCACTCGTGTTGGTGAGAATCGCCTCGTTCAAAGCGGCGGCGAGCCTGAGGTGGGCATCTCCGCGCCGCAAAGCAGCAGCAGCGTTACAGATGGATGAGCAGACTGTCCACTGGCGTAGTCTAAGGTCGGGGATGGTAGTGGAGGATATTGGAGGTGCAATTAACCTCTCGCAAGGTCAGATTAGCGTTCCAGCGTTCGCTGCTGCTGCCACCCGTCCGTCCCAGAGACAACGGTCATGCTGCTTTCCTTTCCGTGGTTCGCTGCGGTCAAAGCTTTGCGGGGCCGGCAACGCACTGCAGTGAGAAAATGTGGATGTCGCACAAAGAACTCCTCAACTTCGAACAGTGTAGTCTATCCGAAAATTCTACCTTTGGACCTGCGTCGCGTATGCTGGTGTGTTTCAGGTGCAAAAATAGCGTGCCTTTGGGGGCATACGACTTGGGCTTAGAAGACGAACGGCTGCGAGAACCAAGGGGCCTCGTGGGTTTAGAGTTTTGAATTTAGCAGAGAAGCGAGGTAGTAGGGGCTGGCGTTGTGGATGGCTGGAAAAAGAGGTTGAACCCCGCTTCGAAGGTTCGAGGGCTGGTTTTTCTGACAGTTCGCTATCGCTAGATGACGTCGGAGGCTGCGGGAGGGTTCGCGACGAGGCTGCGCTTTACTCGTTCCTGAAGTGCTGCTCCGTCGGTGCAGGACCCATTATCGTGAGGTCTGGAAGCATTGTCAAGACTACTGTGGACTCTCCTTGGAGCCAGAGCGTTCTGTTGAAGCTGCAACCTAAACGCGCGATAACGGCGTGTCGTCGAAAAAGCAACCAGTATCCTGACTCGAGGTTCCGGATGGCCATTGACCTGGACGACTTACCATACCGGTAAGTGCTCACCCCTCACGCTCCTTCGCAAGATCCTTCCTCCAGTTGAGGTCAAGAAAAGCAGCCAGCATAGCGCGCTTCAGCACGAGCATCGAAACAACTGTCGATCAAAACCGGATCTTCGCATCCCACGTTGCGCTATTCATGATAATCAGGGGCCGGAGCATCAAACTGGGGGTTAAACCCCATCGCGCAACGAAGCCCGACATGTGGCGTTCGTAGGGCCCATGACTTGTCTACATATACACCCCACACTTCCATGACTAGAAATGGCAGTCCCGACGTCGCCTACGAGTCAAGACGACGGCGGGAATCTGTTTCTCCTTGTGTGATGAATCTCGCAGGGTGTGTGGAGCCGGGCGCGTGTTGCGCATGACGATGTTTTGCGCCACTACCGAGTGGGGACGCGTAGAATACGACGACTTCCGGGGGTTAAGGAAATGAAGGAAGCGTGGATGTAGGAAGGGGGATGGAGATGAGCTGAGGTGTTGCATGAATAGGGGAGAGAGAGATGAAGCAATGAAACGTCTGTAATGCGAACAGCAGGTGGATTACTGTATGGAGCACCAAACATATTCGCCCAGTGAGAGAAAAGTAAGAACTGCACCTCCTCAGACCATGATATCCACGAAGAGCAAGCTCCAGCTACGATCCCCCCATTCCCATCCTTCCGCATACCCGAGCTCGCTGCGAATAGAGATACTGCAACGCCCGTCGTCCGCTGACACGCATTGCACCCCCATCCTCCAATCCTAGCATATCATACAGTACATCTGACGAGTGTGGGATGAAATACGAAAAGAAACCAGGATTTTCTCCCTCACCGTCTGACATGCTGGCTGACTGACAAGGAGACGTTGCAGTGCCGTACCGTCAACGGATGGCGGCCCGTCTCGCTGCTGTGCCAGATGCAAGGACCCGCGCGCAGCAACCGTTAAAGAGCGAAATGCTTGCAAGGAGCATCATACATCATCCTGCTGGGTTAGACACGGGATGCGCAAAAACTATGCACCACGATGGCGCAGCTGCGAGATGGTGTCGTACGGTACGCTGTGAGTGTGCTGTCATGTAGCGACGTTTGCGCAAGCGCTGGATGTCCAGCTGATATATGGACATGACTCGCGCTTGCGGTTGGAGTTGTTGCGCTGTTGGCTGGTGGTATGTGAGGGCGTCGGGCAAGAGAGCGCGCTACGATACGGGCGCTTACTGTAACTTGGGCAGGGACTACGAGCAGTAGGTCAGGGGAACGATAGCTCGCGGCATCAAGGAGGCGGACGCTGCAGGACGACGTTCGGCATCATTTCTGACAACGAGAGGGGCTAAAAAATTTGGTGTGCTGGTCTGGGGATACACCGTCCTACTTTGCTTGTTCGTTTGCCGCCCCAACACCACCACTTCCATGCTTCATAGTGTTCGTGCTCAACTCAGATGCTAACTATAGCTTTCTAGCTGACTTCGCGAATGTACACCTGTATTCTGTGCCTCTTATAATGTCACTTCAAAGTGCCACCGGGTTCGTTGGGCAACGGACCGGAAGCTGTACTCCACGTGACGTCTACTTCTTCCAAGGTCACATGCTAACAAGCACGCGGCAATTGGCCAGACCGGGGACACTATCACAATCTTCACAGACCAATCCTATTCTCTGCCTCCATCCTCGTCCTCGCAGAGATCTACTTTTCCTCCTCCCACAACGCAATGTCACACAACGCGTTCTCCGAAAAATCCTGCTTTCTTCCCTTTCGCACAGACCCGTTCCACAGCATACAAAGTCAATCACGTGCGGACCCCAAGACCCCTCAATTGGAAAATCAATATGCAGCCTTATCAGGGCGCAACCCTGCTCGCGCTGCAAGCGCCATCGGCTCAACCTACCACAAGCATCCCAGACGAGCAAAACCCTCCTAGGGCTCGCACTACAGTTGCCTCCGACTATCTTAATATAGGCCCGATTACGAGCGGACACATGTGGAGCGAACACTATATTTGACAGGAGCGTGGGACACATGCTGGTGGAACTGGATTAAAGAGGGCAGGGCGCCGGTATTTGGTGTTGCTCTGGCAATGCTGTACTCCGCAACGTTGGACCCGTTGGCGGATGGGCTTGCCGAACGTGCGCAGGAGGGGAGAGGTGGGCCGTCTTTGCTTTTCCTGTAAAAGGACCGTTTGACAAAAACAAAAGTAGCGCAAACGGAGATAACGCAGAAGCGTCCTTTGCTGCTCATGAGGTTCTCTTTACGGGTCGGACCGAGGCATCACTTTTCTCACGCAGTGCGGGAAAAGCAGGCATCACAGCGACGCTATTGAATGCTTTACTTTTCACGGAGGCGTTGTCTTTTAGCTCCGTCAATCAGAGGACGAAGCCCAGGGGCATTAGGCATATCGACTTTTCGACTCAATCTACTGATGCTCGACACCTGACTTCTCCAACCTGCCTTCGTCTTGCTGCCCTACGCGATCCTACCCTTTCGGGGAGGACGAGATCTGGTACCTTGGCCGCACAAGCGATGACGCGGCAGCACTTACCCTGATCAATTGTCTGGGACACGTCGCTTGATAAAAATGGCTTGTTGTAACTTGTAACGTACCTTTAGATGATCTAAGGAGCAACGTCCGCAGCAGCCGTGGTGTAGCTTAGGTAGTCGTGCCAGCGTACGCCTCGGCCTGCACTCAACGGCTCCACGGCCCCTCCCCGCACACCATGATCTTCGCAACCAGGGCCTCCCAACCTGCCAACTGTCGCCGCGGACGTCAAACCTAGCGTGCTCTCCGCTCGAGCAAACAAATCAAGAAATTCCAATAGGAGCCGAAACACGACGTCCTGCACAATCTCATTTCTCCACCTGGAGTCCAGGCACACGCGTACATTCCTCAGACCATCCAGACACCGTCGAAGAATTTCCCGAAACCAGTGCCAATCCCGAAACCCACCCCAGCCGACACCGATAAGGCAAGATAGTCAGCCATCATCTGACGGCCCTGCCGCACCAGCCAGTCAGCATCCGGGCTCGCTTGAAACGTTTGAACGCCTCGCAACATGATTGGACCAATGTTTCACTTCGTACCGGCATCGTATTTGCAGCAGCAAGGAGTCGGGGAGCCGGGAAAGGGCTCTCTCTTCGCCGGCAGCACATCAGTACGCACCGTACGGTGGCCCGAGACCTGTCGCCTATAGCCCTAGTTTAGCAGTCCCGTGAAAAGGTCCCATCACGCAAGCAAAGTTATCTCTCCGAGATTACTCAAGGCATCCATCCCCAGCAATCAATCGAAGCGTTGAGGAATGCTAGTCTCGTATCGAAGCAGCAAGTGTATCACAACTGCCAACCTCACACTGGCGTCTTTTGACGTTGGAATTAGCTCTTTCAAGACAAATTGATTGCAACCGCAGCGGTGCGGTGCGCTGCGTATATGCATCATGCCTTGGAGGCGCGCAATCCTGCGTCTGCATTAGCCTGTGCTACGCAATATGTACGGTGAAGCCCTCGCAAAGGTCGCCGAGAAACGGGAGACATGGTCGTTTGGAGGCAGGTGTCCCTTTACTGAACGAGTCGATCTCCCTTTTAGCCAGCCAGACGTTCTAGTGCGAGTCGCTCACTGCGCAACCTCGCGAACCACCTTCCGAACCTACCGTAGCTGCCATGTCCGACCCTTACGCGGAATCAAGCTACGTATGTACTGCATGCACAAGAAAACCGACGTGTTCATGATCCAGTGGCAATGAAGCGCAAAAACTAAATTTGCTCATCAAACGGGGCCTCCAGCTATTTCCAAGCGAGGCGCAGGGATATTGCTATATCAGACTGTAGTTAAGGAAATGCGCACCCCCCAGGCGTCTCAGAGTGAGATCGCTCAGGAGAGTGCGTAGAGCGAATCAGGCCTAGGGAAAGGTAGGAGGAAAAGGTACAATGATAATTGCCCGCGCGAGCGGTTACAGTCTTTTTGGTCGGTGGTCGGACAGGAAGGAGATAATGACATGCTCGAGGGTATAGAGAGGCCGTCGCGAAAGAAGAGTAGTAAGACAAAGCAAAAGAAACAATCGACTGAGAGAGCAGGAGATGACGATGATCATGCTATGATGCTGATGCTGAAGTGCTCGACGTTCGATGCAAAGAAAGTCCAAGTCCTAGTCCTGGCTCCGGATCGGCCTACGTCCCAAGATCGCAAATGAAGCGCTTGGTTGCCAAATCTCTCCTCCATGTCCTCGTGAGCCAAGTCCTACAGTTTCCTATGTTACTCCGTGTCCAAATACCGGAAAGGCGTGTCGCAAAAGAAAAGCGTCGTAGCCGCAAAGGTCCGAGGGACGTGTGCGTCGTCGCCGTGCAGCGATCAGAAAAGGAACTAAGCCTGACAGATACCACCCAACTTTTTGTTTGTGCCACTAGTGCAACTCGTCGATGGTATCGACCTTGGTGACCGAACCGAAGTTGGGCTCGGAAACACGGCGTATCCCAGACCCCAGGCTTTCGGAGTTGCGCTTGATCTTGAGCTTCTCCATCAGCTTCCCGATAGTAAGGTACTCTTGAGGCTCGACCACAAAATCTTCGTGTTGCTGCTGGAAAAAGGTCCAGACAAGTTCTAGTGCGCGGGCAGCTTCCTCCTGCGAAGGAGAGCCGGGCGATGCGCTATCGAGATTGATGGGATCAGACTGGGACACGTTTGGCTGCTGCATCGGAATACTGCCTGGAGCAGTGGGTAGCGGCGGTGGTTGCATGGAGTTGGAGACCTGCGTGGGTGAAGCACCCATCGCATCGTCGATAGCACCCATTGAGGGCTGAAGCTCGTCCATGGGGGAATCGAGTGCGGTGGTGTTGATGTATTTAGGGGTCAAAGCCTCTGACGATGCTGGAGGAGACATGTACTGCTCAACACCGATAAGCATTGGAAACGTTTGGCTCCGCGGTCGCTGAAAGTTGCTGCTTCCTGGCTGGCCTCGCGCTTGCTGACTGCCCATAAAAGGATTGGGTCCGCATGCTGAATCAGGCGTGAAGAAGGGCGACGAGAGCGAAGTCGGGCTGGTAGGTCCGGCTGAAAACGACGACGGCGCGGTATCGGTGAACACACTAGAGAGCGACGTATTACTCTGCGAATGGAACGGACGGCGGTGGCTCGAAAAGTCCTGGGTATCTGGGCTTTCTGTCTTGAGATCCTCTTTGCTCGGTTTTGCTGAAACGGTGACGGGCGAGGGCGATACCCCGCTCGGAGAGGCTGGCGAGATACCTCCTGGCGTATGCACATTTGATGGCGGATTCGATGTACCCTCAGACTCTTCCGCTATTGAACTCTTTCTTGACTTCGCACCCATTAGATTATTCTTCTGCTTGAATTTTTCTAGCCAACTGGTGCTGTTCGCTTTCAGGTGGCTGTCCGAGTTGCCGACGGTCGTCGCAAAGAAGCGCGCCTTCTCTCGGATGATGGCGTCCGTCAATGGTAGGCCTTGCCTCTGGTGATTTCTCGCCCAGTTGGCAAGGGCTCTCTCAATGTCGGGGAACTTGCCTTTCGACCTTTTTATGGGTGATCGGCTGCCGTCGTCCTGGTAAAGATACTTCTCCTTCTGGCGCAGCACTTTCGAGACGGTGCTACGTAGCGGTCAGTATGGTGCGGTCTATATTGCAGCTTGCATATGTACCTTCTCTCCACGCCGAACATTGCTGGAAAAGAGTCAGCCACTCGGGTCTAGTTTGTCAGTGATGGATCTTCGCTCACCGCCAATCTCTGTCTGCTTGACAGTGGGATGCTCTTCGTGGTAGAGGCACATCCTCCGGCGGTCCGCATCCGTGAGCGTCTTCCGTGGGGTAGACGAGGTCCGGCCGGAATGGGTCGAAGTTGCTGACACCGCTGATACTGGAGTTGCGGATGCGGGCGTGATGGGCACCGGCGCCGAAGGGAAGATGGGGGGCACATAGGTGGACTGGCTGGTCAACATGCTCGGCCATTGGGGCATAATCAGCGGCTGGAGCTGCGGATGCGTGGTCCTTGGTGGTGGTTGCGGGGGATGCATGGCGGCCGTATAGAGTGGCTCCATGGGCAGCGGGGCATAGTTGCTGAAGCCATTGTAGTCCTGCACCGGCGACTGGTGGTGGCCATGATGGTATGCGCCGCTGTCGGTCCAGCTCTGGTGGTCCTCATAAGACTCTTGGTGGTGCTGCTGCTCGTGGTCCATGTGCAGCTGGCTCATGGCTCGCGGCGGTGCAACGAGCGAGGCGGTATCCGTGCAATTGCGGAAGCGTCCGTGTTAGATGGTGGGCAGAGGGCCTTCGAGGACGGGCATCTGCACCGGCGCCGTGGAGTTGCTGTTCCTGGGGGGCGAGAGTGACCTCAGTTCGGCGGCGCGCATGCATGCATGAGAGCGCTCTGTTCCTGAGGCGAAACGACGACGGGCACGGCAGACGGCGGGGATGCAGCGGACAAAAGAGGGCTGCGGTAAGACAGCGCAAAGCCAAACCGCTAGGTGCGGCGCGGCTGCGAGTGAATTGGACGGGGGAGCGTGGACTGCAGGGCGGAATGCCTGGTGCGGCCTGCAGCGCGTACAGGCGTACTTGAACAGCCAGGCAAGTCTGGTACGGGCCCTTGTGCGTGCGCTGCGGGCGGCGGCGGGTTGCAGCAGCGGGAGCTCTGCGGAGGGGTCTGTTTTGTTTCGAGCCTAAGCACCTTGTCGGCGTGAGGCCTGGCTTGTGCGCGCATCCCGGCCGCCCTCAGGCCAAGCGACACCGCAACGCGAGCGCAGCGGTTGGGCTTAGCGCAGTCGGGGATGCGCCCCTAGAGCGGCGACAGATGCGCCCGGACGCGGGCCACGAAGGCGGCCGCTGCGCCTGAGCAGCGCTGCTCCCTCCACGCTCAGCGCGCGGCGGCAAATGGGGTCTCTAGGCGGCCTGGCAGCAGGATCATCCCATCACGGCCATCGCACAGCACCGCTCCCAGCGCCGGCTAATCTGCCTCTGCCAAAAGCGGTCGCGGCCAGAGGTGGCGCGCCATATTGGCTCCGCGACGGGCTCCTCGTGCGCCTGGTGCTGCGTTGCTGGCCGTTGCCGTGCGCTGGTGGCGTGCGACCCAGAAGACCGCCCTCGCCATGACGCTCAGGTACGCGAGCCCGGCGATTCCCACGGCCCGGACGAGCGTCAATCATCGGCGCTGCATAAAGGAGACGCCGCCGCGAGTATTGCTGCTGCCCGCTTTGAGGCCGGGAGTCCAAGGGCTGAAACGCTTTCGGAAAGGCTGCCTCGATGGCGCCCATGCGCGGCGAGCCACCAGAGACACTTTAGGTTTGACCGACGAGCCACTCAGGCCCGCGAGCGATGACAATTAGCGCCCGAGTGGCAGCCAGTGCTGTGAGTCGCTAGCCCGCCCGGCACCCCTGCTGCTTTTCTCCGAGTCGACCACTGCTGGAATCAGTAGGCCAATGGGGCGCGCCAGCATCAGAAGAAGAGGCTAGAAAACGATCGTCGTATTCCTGAATTTCCGATCACAATATGGGAAAAACAATGCTGAGACCGTTCCAATAGCCTCCGTCGATGCGTTACCCACGAGGCCCGCTGCGGCACCTACGCCTCTCGGCATCGAGACGACGGCCTGTATTGACTAGCTCTCGGGAAGCGTTGATTTGCCGTAGTCGCCAGAGCCCTGGCGAATGAGTGCTGCGATCGCCGTGTAAGCAAAATGCTTCGACCGAAATAAACGTGCTGATGCCTTTGGACTGCTTTTAGTACTGCGCCCCGGCCCAAGCCAACACGGAAAGCCGGCCTGGAGCTTCGCCTCGCTCGCGGCCATCCTATGGGAACATCTAGCATTGATACGGGATTGAGACACATAAGCCATCCTGTAAAGCCTCTCGCACCACTCGCGACCTGCTGCTGGGGTCCAGGGACTGGATGCCGTCATGATTCAAGTCCCTTGGCGTCTTCTAGCGTTTGATGATGGTGACTGGTCACAGCGTGAGTCCGGGGAATCCAGTCAGGAAGGAGATCGGACTCACTGATGTCTTCGTCGGCGAGCTCATGGCTTAGGCCCACGCGCTGAGGTTGATGCTTCACAGACTTTCCGTACACGATGGCATGCTTGAACTGTTCCACGATGGTCTTGTGGATTGAGTTACACTGCCGTCCCGTTAGCGACCCCTATTCACCATCCTATCCGCGGGTGACGTACGAAATCCTCGACGGTGCATGCGGTAGACCGGAGTACGACTGGAGCGGAGTAGTCAGGCATCTTGCCCTTAGGCTTCGTGTAAACCCGGACGAGGTTCAGCTTCTCCCACATCTGCTCTAGCAATTCGTCAACATTCCAGCCGTGTTCTGCGCTAATTGGGCAGGCATTCGGAATTCGATACAGCAGATCCAGCTCCTCTATGGAGATGGCATCAATCTTGTTGAGGGCGTATATCACCGGGATATAGCTTCGACCCTTCGCTTCTATTATATCGATCAGGTCGTCCACGGTCGCGTCGCATCGAATCGCAACGTCCGCATTGGCCATACGATACTCCGCCAGCACGGCCTTGATCTCATCATGGTCGATATGCGTGAGAGGGACGGTCGAGGTTATGTTGATCCCGCCCTTGTCCTTCTTTTTCAATACAATATTCGGCGGACTCTTGTTGATTCGAATCCCAAAGCCCTCCAGCTCGCTCTCGATAACGCGCTTGTCGGTTAGCGGCTTATTCACATCTAAGACAATGAAGATCAAGTGGCACGTCTTTGCAACGGCGATGACTTGTCGGCCACGACCCTTTCCATCCTTGGCTCCTTGGATGATACCGGGAAGATCGAGAATCTGGATTTTGGCGCCATTGTAGACCACTTGGCCAGGGACAGTAGTAAGGGTGGTGAACTCGTAGGCAGCGGCCTCCGAATGTTGACCAGTCAGTTTGCTCATAAGCGTACTCTTCCCCACGGACGGAAAACCGATGAAGCCAACGCTCGCGACACCCGTCCTAGCGACGTCGAAACCAACGCCACCACCGCCTCCGCTCGAACTAGGAGTGAGCAGCTCCCTCTTGAGCTTAGCAAGCTTTGCCTTCAATTGACCTGCGACGCATGAGCACGTATGCGGACCGATCGGAGGCTATACGCGAGATACCGAGATGGAAAGAAGTGGCTTTGTTTTTCTGGGTCCGGGCCATCTAAGCCATGGCGTCAGTCGCGGAAAGGGAGCGTAGATGAGGGCGTCTTACTTCGGACTCGATCTCCTTGATCTGCCCCGCCAGACGTATTAGCAGCGTTCCCGAGCATTCTGTGGGCGGTCTGCACTCACTTTGTCGACAGTGGTCGCCATTTTGAAGTAGTAGTCAACAGCGAGCCGGCGGAAGGCAGAATTCGGAACGTGTTCGTGGTCTGTTGCGCCGTGTACAGAAATTTGAGGTGAGGCTGCGCGATGATGCGAGGGGCAACGGCGGATAGATTTTCCGGCCGGGACGCACTAGCCTTACCTCCCCGACGCAAGCCGAACGCCTTTCACGTCGCCGACTCGTTTGTGTCGTACGGGCGGGGCGTTCCAAGGTTTGCTTCGCATAAGGTGGCATGACGAGATGCGGCTGACTGACTAGGCAGTAAGGGAAGCACGGCTTCGGCCCATCGGGCCCCTTACATAATGGAGAGTCGGTCTGGAAAGAGTGGTCCACGTGTCGTAACACTATCTCTACGTGTGCCTCTTTCAACCCTTCGCTATCATCTCTTATCGCTTTGTGGCCTATGCTCTATATTAGTTGCAGCGGCCCGTCCCCGGTGTTGTGTCTAACAAGCCAAAGCCTCTTTTCCGCCAACATCCACAAAATGCCCGGCTTTACCCACGAACAGCCGCCCAAAGACAACCTCCAGATCCTCGTGAAGTCCCTCACTGAGAAGCTTGGGCCGTGCTCTGGAATTGATTCCGACGATGTAGATGCCGAAGAGTTGCAGCAATTAATGGAAGATTATGTCTCAGACCGATCCGACTGGGAGAAGTACTTCTTTCCGGCTTCCAACATGAACTATACGCGGAATCTCGTTGACAAGGGCAATGGAAAGAGCAACCTAGTATGCATCGAATAGCTCGAAGAGATCACTCGCTGACTTGATTCAGCTCATCCTCGTCTGGTCCCCGGGAAAAGGCAGCCCAGTCCATGAGTAAGTGACCAATCTTCCCCGAACTTGAATTGGCTACCCTCGGACGGAACATCGAGCCTATCGCTCACACTAAGTGCCGACCCGACGTCCTAGGTTAAGCAAAGAGGAGGAACTGTCTATGCTACACCTTGCCCACCCCCGTCGAAGCGCCCAACTGCTTCATTATAAATAAAAAGACGGTGCGCTGTCGGACGCTATCCCTCTACGAAGATAATGTCACATTAATCCGCCGTCAACTGCTCTTCCACAGTCAACCACTGACTTGAGGTAGTCATGCCAACGCCCACTGCATCATGAAAGTGCTCAAGGGCCGCCTCACCGAAACCCGCTACTCGTGGCCAACCATCAACCTCAATAACGACGAGGACCGTCCGCTCGAGATTCTCTCTCAGAAAACCTACGAGGAGAATCAGGTCACGTATATGTGTGACAAGCTCGGCTTACACCGCATCTCTAATCCGGATCCCGACGAGTACGCCGTCTCCTTGCATTGTAAGTGTGCTCCTTCTGCTTTTGGACGTGCAATATGTTGCTAACGAAGAGCAGTATATACGCCGCCGAACGCCGCAGTTTATGGATGCAACATCTTCGACGAGGAGACCGGACGTTCAAAACATCTCAAGAAGTGCACCGTGTATTCTGAATATGGTCATGAAAAAGGGGAGGGGAGGCTATGATGCTCATGCATCTCTAAGCTCCCCCAATATGCTTTACGACTGCCTCTTTCTCCTGGATCGACTCAGGTCTGGTTCATGGCGTTCTAGAACTGGCGCACATCGCATCATTGCACTTCTTCTTTCGGCAACAGAAGCTATTCGTTAAGGTCTAGTATGGGGAGTATCTCTTTCATTCTGTCCGAACAAGCACAAGTCTTAGCATGATGCGAATGCGACTTCTGTTTCATCCATTACACCCTTCGAGCCAGGGCTGCTGCCGTCAATCGTCGCATTTCCAAACCCATTAATCGTGCAGGTTTCTTTCTGTTCATTTGGTGAGTATTAACTGTTCCCTCGCTTGATAGGGGCTTTCTCAAACTCGAACCGGTCAAAAATCGCAGATGTTGTCATTGTACTACTATCGCAGATCGTGTTTTCCATAGACTACCTTACGCTTCCGGTGAAAGAATGGAACAGTCATCGCGCTACTCCCTTCGATAGATCCACGAGACTTGCCAGGTAATCTAGAATATCCTGGTTGATACCCTGATGGGAATTGCCCCCTAGTCGCAGTGCCTCAATCGCAGGATATTCACTCACTACCACAAGGTAGCAAACTCCCCGTTCACGGAGCTATATATACAAACCCTCTTCTCCCACCGCCACATACCCGCTCTCACCATTCAAATTACGCGCAACCGACAACCAACTTTATATGTCCGAACTCAACCCACGCACTTTCGCCGCGATGTCGAAGTTGACCACCAAATACGGCCGCACCGGCACACCGGAAGAATGGCGCAACAACGACCAAGAGCATACGCCCTACCGCAAGTCCGTCGGATCGACCGTTAACTACTCCCGTGACCTCACTATCGACCCCGAACTCGCTGCTAGGGTGAAGAAGTACGTGGTGGAGAAGTGGTGGGCGGATTTGTGTCGTAGTGCAAATCAGGAGTGCTTCTGGGATGGCTTGTTTGAAAAGCAGTGGTTTGATGATAACGGTGTGCTTGATGTGAAGGAGCCGGCTTTTCGGAAGATCGTGCAGTCGCTGGTACGTCGGCCAGTTTGATGTGGTATTATATGAATGCTAATGACGTGGCAGGGAATCGTGTACATGCATATTGCCAAGAACTTCGGAGAGGAGACCATGGGCGGATGGAAGCTCCGCTGGGCCATGGACAAGAACGGTGAAGCGTTCATCCATGTCGTAAATGCAGACCTCGACAGGGGCTTTGGCATGGGCCAGCCAACTTCCGGATTTCTCGACTACGCGAGCGAGCTGGCTGCCTTACGGAAGCAGCGCGATGCCGGGGAGTATCTGTAAGGACCAGTTCCGCCCTGCAAGGACTGTCAGCTTACCTACATTTAGGACAATCCCGAAGGACAAGAAGTTCTACTTCGACCAGCCCACCCCCAAGCCTGAGATGAAAGGCGAGGGCAAGCAACCCCTCAAGGACGTCACCAACACACCATCCTCAGGCATGGCCGAAATCCCAGTCACACCAGCAAAGAAGACACTCCCAAAGGCAGAAGAATCCCAGCTTGACAACGAGGAGTGGACCATCATCGACGACAATGGCACTGACGGCAGCATATGGGACGAAGCCAAGAAGAAAGGTCCACAGAATGACGGCTATGCCTATGATGTCAAGGACGCAAAGCCGGCCCGGAAAGGCTGGTTCTGGTCGCGATAAGGGTGAGGTAGGAGTATCTTTGATGGGGTGAAGGCTTGCGATCGTGTGGCGTGGTTCTTTGTGGAGGCCTTTCGAAGCCATGGTAGAGTGCATCAACACTGCACTATTTCATCCTTATATGGGGAGTCGATTGCGTTGTGCTTCAGGCGCTGGAGTGTTCCATGGGTACTTTCTCGGTTCATGCGGATGCTGGAACGACAGTTATGAACCGCATGTGGGCGCCTTACACCAGTCTTATATTCGATATGCGGAGATAGAGAATGTACTCGGCACCAATAACCATTGGTGGCAGACAGTGACTGACTCTCGAAACCATAATTTGGTGCCAAGTGTGATGTGCAGAATTTTGGTGTCCATCTTTCATCCACATTTCAAAAATATCCTTTCTCTCGTTATCCATCTTCAAGAAGGTCTTTAAACTTGCAGATTCTTGCGAAATTTCGTCTCCTTTCGCAGGCGTCCCCAGCACTCTCCGACCCTCAAACGAACGACCTACCTCATTGCCACACTTCCATATAATAAAGACCCGGATCCGCATTTTGCAGGCCACATCGTACTAGTCGCGCATCTAGATGAACTCATCACGGAATTTAGAACAATCGTCACCACGCAACTCACCATAGATCGAACAATAGAAGACATCAGAGCAGTTGTCGCTCGCTGTTTCCCACTACGCGAGATCCGAAGACAGCGCTTCTCAGGCGGAATCGCTCTCGACGAATATCGCGATACCTGGCTCGCTATCCGCAACATTGCAGAGCACCAGTTGCCAATGCCGTGGGAACGCCTTTCGCTCTGCATCCTTATTTCGCTTCGAAAATCTGCATCTAGTTCTACAAGGCCTCCGCAATATTGAGAGGAAGGAGGTTGAGGACTGTCCGCCATTTTGCTTCACGGGCTGTGGCACTCATCTCGTCGATCAAATCGGCTCGTCGCTGGATCCTGTGCTCAAGGCGCGAGATGCCAGGCTGGCGGGTTATCTGACGGGATTGGAGCGGAAATATGGGGTTCCATCGGAATAGGAGTCTGAGGAACGTGATGATGGCTAACCTGGTGGTCACGACGCTGTCGGTTGTCATTGGGGGCACTCAGGAATTGAGTAGTGTGAAGAGGAGGAAGGGGGTTGCGGTGGGCAGGTTCTTCAGATTACTGAATAGTGTGTCTAAGAGCGTTACGGGAGGAGACGACGTGGCCGACGTTGTTTGGTGGGGAATAGTGGTTGGTGAGGAATCCAATAGCCGCATGTAACGACTTGGGTGTTGAGGGGCTGAGTTTTGTTCATGGCTAGTGCTTAAATGACGGGTCTCGCATATTAGCTGAGCAAGAAGATATTCTTGTGCGTGGGGATTCTGGTTGGCCCTCAGAGAATCCGTGAGACTCAGCCCGCACGTGCCGGAACAGTCTGGCATCATGTGTACTACGAATAATGATTCCAGCCCCAAGTCCAAGCCCGGCCCCTGTGGCTCGCAGATGTACCCCATGCCGACTGATATGGTATCTCCAGGGCGGCTTCGGCGGAAATTGTTGTTGTTGCTTCAAGCCATAATCTGCTGGCAGCGGATCATGGCGGCTGTTCAACAGTCCTCATGAACAACGTCGAAGTGGTTAGAAAGCTACAAATGGCGCCTTCTTGCCAACCGCGCGAGGTGAATCAATGGAGGGGTGCGTAAGGCGCCGCTTAGGGTTACCCGGCTCTGGTCATACTGCTTTTGTTGCGTAACATCGGCTGGGGGCTCGTGCAACGGCGAGCAGAGCAGGACGCAGGGTCCTCTCAGTAGAGTCGCAGGTTCCCGCGCCCATTGCATATACCGGATCATTTAAGCGGGTCATCTCCGTCCTCGGTGTTCCTTAGAAGTGCCGGTGTTTCATGGCGTTCATTGTGCCGTGTGCGGTTCTGATGTGACGGCCTGGCGCTTGCGTGTACCTCAGGAGGGCTGAAAGAGAGCGGGCAGCTTATCATTGAGTATTCCGTTGACTAGACAGAGGGGCAGAAGGCCGTCAACGAATATACATGGATGTTTGGAGTCGACGTTTCAAGTGATCTGTTCGATCGCGTCATTAGCGCGCCAAGCGAGTGGATCCCGGTCCCGATGCTCCTGTCCCTGACTGACCTCATCTTCAAGATCTCGGGCCGCACGACTCGACCACCACATCTCGCCGTCGACACTCTCGATGCCCGCCGACGAACGATAGCACTTTGCTCCAATGCACCCGGTCGTCTCTCTGATCGTGGAGAATGCGCGTAAACACCACCATCTCCTCGTCCCGCTGCTCTTCGCCGTCCTCGCCGCCGTCGCAGGCGTCCACGGCCCAGTCCACCACCAGCTGCTCGTAGCTTCCGTTTCATGGGCGCTCGTATGGATACCGACTATCTTCCGCGCGGGGTTGTGGACGAGCAATGCCGGAAAGAGGAGGACTACAGCCTCGCTGGCGGGCGGGTTCCTGGCCCTGTCGCTCATATGCGACAGGGCTGCGTGCGATAAGGAGGGCATCTGGTCGACAAAGGTCGCTTTGGTTACGTCTATTGATAGCTGAGCTGACATTAGCTAGGGTTTCCTTCCGCTCGTCGTTGTGTTCATCTCGGAAAACGACTTGCTGTCCAAGCAGGTGGGACTACCTACGTACGCTCCTGTTGACGATTCCCCCACCGAGAGCAGCTTCAACCGCGAGCATTTATCGCATCCGAGGTCATTCAGGCTGCTCGCTATAATTACAATCTCCGCCTCCGTCATACTCGCGACTCCCTTTAGCACGTCGCCAGCCTCCGCGCTCGGAATCAGTAGCGTCATCTTCGCCGCGACCGGCATCGTACTCTTCGAAAGCGCCCTAAAGTCGAGTAAGGATGAGGGGCATTCCGGTAGAAGAGGGCTCATGTCCGCTAACGGCACCTTCTCGCGCCGCAATTCCGCCAGCGCTGGCCAGAAAGAGCAACCCCTCGGCGGGCTCAGGGACGTCGCAGCGGTCATGACGGTAATGTGTGCGATCGCCACGTACCTGATGGAGCCTGCCATCACACCGGATGCTATCTCGTGGGAGCCCGTCTACAGAGAGTTGAACGGGGACTGGAAAACGCTGCACCATCATAGGACCATGCAGCAGATCCTCATGATGGTTTGCGTTAATGTTCTCGTGAACGTGTTAATGTTTGTCATGGTAAGTGCTCGGAACCTTCTCTGTCTCTACTTCACACTTTTCATTCCAGCGCCCAAGCGTGGAAGTAAAGTGCGCGCCCCAAAGTGGGCCTGAGCAAAGGCTGCATAAGCGCTCCATTAGAAGTGCATTACAGCTGCCAGCAGCAAGAGTCCATCCTAGCTAGACTCTCCATGATTGATACAGAGGCGACCTTCGAAGCTTCGAATCTGCTTTTGGGTCCATGCTAACTTGATTGATACAGCTTCTTCAGCAAGGCGCTGTACATACTTCATTCTTGTCCTTATTTTCGTACATATGCGCTAGGCTAAACCTAGCGGCATCTTTTTCGGGTATATGGTTCACCATCGTATATGCGTCATCGGCACTTCTGTTTCTATACGGTGCTTCATCTTCTACATCATTTGTGGATATTCGGAGTTCGATACGGTTTAGACGAGTCCTCATTGGAGTTACGGCGCTTTCGATCGGACTGCTACTTTTTCGACATGCAGCTGGGAGACCATCCTATGTCTCGCCACGCAAGGACGCTTCGGGTTTCTATGCGTTTCCTCCAGAGACGCCATTCGCTCCGGTCCCAATGGATTTAAAGAAGGGGCATCCCGCGGCCCAGCTGATAGATTCCGCCGAGAAGGAATTCCAAGACCTGCTCAACAGGCAATCCAAGAGCTTGGCAGAGGCTGTGAGGGAATATCGGCGGCGAAACGGCATCGCGCCCCCACCCCATTTCGACAAATGGTATGAATTTGCGACTCGCAATGGAGTTGTTCTCATCGACGAATACGATACTGTCACACGATCCCTGCTGCCGTACTGGGCGGTGAAGCCTTCGACCATTAGAGCGCGCATAAAGAATGCTCTGGGCCACGAAGATAGCGCACTAATCGGGATGATGATACGAGATGGTAATGTGGCCAAGATTGAGGGTGGACCGGAATGGCAACAGCAGGCGACGACCGGAATGATGAAAGACTTCATCCAATATCTCCCTGACATGGATCTTGGCTTCAACATCCACGATGAGCCGCGAGTGGTAGTCCCCAACGACCATCTATCCGCCATGGTCGCGAAAGCCCGAGACGCCGTACTTCCCGGCGTCATGAAGAATGAAAAGCCTCGGAATTCCTTCTCGAAGCGCCCTCTGGACATGAACGACGGAAAACAGTTCGAAGAAGCCCAGACAACTCGCTTCAACCGTTTTGCCCACCAGCAGACCTGGACGCACGCACGCCTCTCCTGTCCCGCAAACAGCCAGGCGCAAAACTTCGAAGACCAACCGCCCGACAATCTCACCTCCTATGCCGCATCCCCCCTAAAATACGTCTACAACCATACCGCCTTCTCTGACATCTGCAACTCGCCCTCGCTCTCCTCCACATTCGGCTTCTTCGAGCGCCCCAACGCCTTCAACATCATCCACGAGCTCACGCCCGTTTTCTCGCAGTCCAAGATCTCCAGCTTCCAGGACATCCTATACCCGAGCCCGTGGTACTGGTTCGGCAAAGTCGGGTACGACGAGGACCACGATACTAGCTGGGAGAATAAGACAAATAGCTTGTATTGGCGCGGCTCGACAACGGGCGGGTTCAGTAGGAATGGTGGATGGAGGAGACAGCACCGTCAACGGATAGTGAGACGCCTGAATGCGCCGGATAAGGTTGGCATGTTCATCAACAAGAGCGGTAACGACAAGAATCCCGAATATGAAGTCCAAGAAGTGGACCGCAGAGACTACAAGAAGCTCATCGACGTCAAGTTCAGCCACATTGGGCAGTGCGACCCCGGAGACTGCGACGCGCAGAAGGAATTCTTCGAGCTTACGGAGCGGGTAGATGGGCAAGATGCGTGGTACTATAAGCACCTGCTCGATATGGATGGGAATGCTTTCTCGGGCCGCTTCTACTCGTTTCTCCGGTCGAAATCGCTGACGTATAAAATGGCCATCTTCCGCGAGTGGCACCAGGAGTGGCTACGGCCATGGGTGCATTACGTCCCACTGTCTCTGATTGGCGACGAGCACCTCGACCTCGTGCGGTGGTTTAGTGGTCCCGATCGGCCGCAAGCACCAGTCGACGGAGACGTCGGGCACGACGCCAGGAAAGGCGGAAACGGTGACTCGCTCGGTGAGAGAAAGGCGAGGGAGATTGCGGAGAGGAGTAGGGAATGGGCGGATAAAGTGCTTAGGAATGTGGATTTCGAGGCCTGGTTCTTCAGGCTGCTTCTAGAGTGAGCACTACTTCCTTATTTCGTTAAACATTGAATTTGCTGACAATCAACGCAGGTACGGCAGGGTCATCGACGATGATAGGGAGAATATCGGCTATGCTGGTCCTTAATTAACGACCATGATGGACGGACTGTGTATACTTGGAGTTCGGTGTTGTGCATGTGTGGATAGAATTTTAGCGAGGCATTCACTCAGTGTATAGACTGGCGTTAGCTCTATGGTATGGTAATGTATGTAATTCGGGAGATGGGGCATGGTTGGTTTGTTGATAACCCAGTTAGCTCTTCAGTTTATATTAGCCTATCAAGAGGAAAAGTATGAACACCTCCTCCCTCTACAGCACAACCCACTCCCAACTAGTGAGAATGCTGCTCCGCTGTTTAATGGAGAATGTATTGATTGTGACACTACCGGCTTAAACCCTCGAGAGGCATTCGCAAAAGCTATGCTTAAAGTCCTTACAAAGCCCTGATCCACGTCCGATTGACATGCCCGAACGCCGTGTTTGCTATTGATACGCTACTACACTCACGTCGTCACGCCCGCGTATATACTTCACGCCTCCTACGCAAATTGCGCGCAGCACATGTTCAAGAGAACTTTCTCTCATTCATTCGGTCATTTATCGAGGCTCGCGTACATCCGCTGCGCTCTCTGTTTGAGCCTCTTCCATCTCTCGTGCGGAATATGCGGATAGAAGCTATAGCGAGCGTAGAGTCCATCCAGCCATTTCGCCAGACGTAAAATACCCGATCCAAACCAAAGCCACACTGGGCGGTAATTCTCTAACTCCCGTATCCAGAACCCACAAGAGCCCGGAGCCCTGTAAACGCCTGGTCATGCAAATAAAATATCGAAACACTTCACACCCCCTTTTCTCCTCTTCAAGCGCCAACCACTACCTGAACCCCCAAGCAGGGAATACACCGCCTCTCACACTCTCCAACTTCAAGCACTGATACGGGCTGCTCTGCGGATCGTAATACAACCCCTCCAACGCGCCATTGCTCCTCCTCAGACACACATAATAGAACCCACTGATAGTCAACCCGCAACCTGAATCATCGAAAGAGCCGTGTTCGGCATCCGTTCCGGCGCCACCCCAGTAATGTGTGCTTGGGTCAGGTTGATGGTTTTCCCGGGTCGAGCTGGAGTGGAACGAGTTGACTGCAGGGGCAGAGGAGAACGAAGAGTTGGATGGAGGTTGAACGGGGTCGGCGGTCGATCGGTTGAGCGATTTGACGAAGCAGCGTTCCTTCCAGCGCATGAGGATCCACTCTTTGCTCAGCACTTCGTTGAACCATCTTCGACTTGTTAGGTTGCGGACTATCTCCTCATCCGTGAGCATCTGGAACGGTGGTAATTTCCTCCAGTAGGTGGCGTCGTTGCTTGCGCTGGATTTGAAGGATTCGGTGAGGAGGGTGTGCGTGTTGAAGTCAAGTATCTCGCCTTCAAGGTATGTCGTAATCGACGACGTCCGAGTGAACGGTTGTGGGTTACCGTCTATCGAATGGCTAAACAGAGTCTGATGTGGACGTGGGTGTGACGGGACGTTGTAGGCTTCCATAGTGGCTGACAGGGACATCCTACTGTAGTCGACCGCGTGGATAGTCACCTTCACTGGCCACCGATCTTGCTGCGGCGAGTGAGATGTAACGACTTCGGGGCCTGAGGTGCTTCGACTTCTGGATGTATAACCGGAGCCCAGCCACGTCCGGCCAGGAGGCTCGAAGAGAGTAGAGGTCATAGAGTCGTTGTTCCGGAAGCGGTACAGCGTTGTGCTTGCTCCTGGTGTGGTGGTAGTGACAGTAGAAGTAACCGTGGTGGCGTGCTGGCATCCTGATAGCACGGCACCAGGTGCTAACCACGATGTCTCCGCTGGCGGCGGAAGCGTAAAGGGATCTAGGACGAAGTCTTGGTGATCATCACAGAAGTAGTCCTTGGCCAAGAAGCCTGCGTCTATAGCGTAGTTTAGACTCTCGTCGAGCGTATTTGAATACCGTATCCGGGATAGGTATTTGATAGTCTGTTCGAGCATGGGCGACACGGTAGAAGTTGAAGCCGAGGTGCGGTCTAGGTAGCTTCGACGATACGAGTCCACGCGCGCTAGCACATCACGGTCGCGGGCCTGTTCAATCGCTCGGTCGAGTGAGGTCCGGTCGGAGAGGCGAGACATGCCAGCAGCCTGGCGCGCCGTTTCAGAAGGCCCGTAGCGGTCCCTCCAATGCGTATGGCTATCCGACCTGGTGACAGACTCTCTGTCAGCATTGTACCGCTGGCTGTGATCTCGGGTGCGGGCAGAAAACCGGGGATGCCGCCGCACAGACTGCAGGATAGCGGCAGACCTCAGAGAGCCGTCCGCCGACTGCGACGGCTGGTTCGAGTTGAGCAGCCTGGACACAATGGCGCGCGAGCGCTCCCTCTCCGAATCGAGCTGTGAGCGGCCCAGCACGCGCAGGATCTCCGGGTGGGTGTTCGGCTGCTCGCGGCGCAGCTCGGCCAGGATCTGGTCGAGCTCGTCTTCGTCGTCGGCCTCGTTGGCGGGCGACCAGTCGTACAGGCTGTTCTGGCTGGGGACGCGGTCGCCATACGCAGCGCGCGGGTCGTCGTGGAGGCGGCCTAGGCGGTTCATCACCCGTCGCAGGCGCTCGCTTCTGTCGCGGTGTTCCAGCTCGCTGCGCTCCCGCTCCAGCGCCCTCAGCCGGTCGCGCGACCTCTCCAGCCGCCGCTGGTCGTGGTCCTGGGCAGCGCGCAGATAGCGCAGGCTCGCGTCGGCGTCGGCGTCGGCGTCCTCGGCTTGGGTCGTCAGGGTGGCCGCGAGGTTGTAGACGTCCTGGGTGACGGGGCTCTCGAGCGCCTCGGACAGCGCCGAGATGTATGACGGCGGCGTTTGGGCACGCCGTCCCGAGTCCTGCACAGTCAGAATGCGTCTTCAGAGGCCGCGGCTGGCACCCGCTGCGCACGCGCGTGCGGAGAGGACACAGAGGGTTGCAGCCGGGCGAGGGGACCTGGCACCTACTGCGGGCGGGCTGGGGTTGCGAGAGTTGGCGGGCGGCATGGCGGGACCAGCGAGCGATGCGATGTGCGCCGGCGCAGGTGGGCTTCGGGCGCTGCTATGCTCGGCCGGCAGGGGCAGCGGGCATCGTGGGAAGGGCGGACGGGGAGGATGCAGACGCAGATGCAGATGCTGGCGAGGCTCTCGCATGTGGTGGCCGGCCGTGGGTGTTCGCACGTCGCAGGCCGGCCCGGCCGCCAAACACAAAGAGCCGACCTGAGGCAGCACCGGGACAAAGCCGGATTCTGCCCGTGCCACGCTGCCTCGCTGCACGCTTTTGAAACAGGCACCGCCTATTGTAGACGTCGCACACTCGCAGCACTCCGCCTGCCCCCGTCCGCCGCGCTCTCATTCCCCAGCTGTTCCCGCGGCGATCCCAGCACGCTGGCTGCGAGATCCGCAGAGCCGCCGCCCGAGTCAGTGCATGTGAGCGCGCCCAGGGTCTGCCCCGACGAATGGCCTCCGCACTTGCTTCATGCTTCTGGGACTGCTGCTGGAGTTGCTGAAGTTTCGTTTTTTTATTACATTTAGACTGCTATAGTAGAAGCTTGCTTCTGCCAGCATCAGATTCACTCCGCCAGGGAGTGCTTCTTCCAAGACCCAGTCCTGAAGAGTAGGAGATGACCCTACAGTCCCTGCGCTCCAGCGTCTCGAGCAGATGGAGAAAGCCAAAGAAACCCGCGTCAATCAGGAAGTGCAGTTCCGCAAGCAGAAGACCGCATTCCTGAGAGCCAAATCCGCGCTGGGCGTACTCGTGTCTCGACCGGGAACCTCGCTCCTCCACCGCCCAATCCATCCTTCTGCGCAGGAACAGACGATTACACGCATCCCAGATGCCTTGCATAACTTTTGTCGCCGCCCCCCAGCATGTCCGGCTGGCACTCAATGCCAGTCTGAGCAGGCGAGAACGTAACTGCGTCCAATCATGAGTGGCATGCCATGCTCAATCAAGAGTCAGCAGCCGCCCAGTACGACATTAAACAAAAACAACCGAGTGTGCCTGCCTCGTAGCCGTGAGGCTGTCTGTATCCGTCTTAAAATGCCCGACATGCAAACCTCCCAGAGATGCAAGACCCAAAAGAAAAGACCTGGTCCGGCCGCTGTATGCAGGAAAGGCGACATAGGAGACAGGCAAAAAAAGAGACGCTCGCTAAAACAACAGACGCTACACTAAACGGATATCAAGGAAATTTGTACGAGAGAAGAGAGTAGGAACGCTCAAAGCAGTCGCTAAAATCGATGAAACGCCGTCCCATGCTTTGGTATGATGATGTTGTACATCACTTTCGTGCACATCGCATATCGTCTCGTGTCGGGCGTCGCAAGGCTGTGCGCCGCAACCCGGGTGTAGGAGGGGGAAGAAGAAGGGGACTGGCCAGGTCCGCGCTTCCTGGGCTTCGACAGAGGACAGGTACCACGCTTCTGATCCTACGCGCTTACGTGAATGCTGCGTACTGTGGTGCGAATCCAGAGTCCCATCCGAATCCGCTGCTGAATCCGCCGTGCACGGCGCTTGACCCGCATTGCTGGGCCAGCACGCTAGGCAGGGGAAGCGCAGGTATCGGGGCGGTTGCCGGAGGCGGGCTGTAGTACTGGCTCGTGGTGTTGAATGGCTGGCTGAAGGAGGGGGTCGGCGACGGTAGTTGTACAGCGTCCAAGCCCATTGTACTCCAGAACGATGGTTGCGTTTCACCGCAGGTAGCAATGGTTGGGCTTGGTGTCGAGTGAACGGTCCTCCAAGATTCAACATGCGCTGGCTGTGACTGCAGGATGTGATGTCCTGGCTGCCACCAGTTGGATGCGCCCGGCGAGCTTGGGAGGAGCGGTGCTGGTCGGACAACGTCGACGATCCTCGGAGGAGGAGGAAGCAGCGGGAGGAACAGGCCCATGATGGCGCTCTTGACGTCCTCACCTCGTCCTTCAAGTAGTTCTCCCGCGCCCTCCTCCTCCATCCCCTCTAATGCGCGCGCGCCAGTCCGGAAGACGTAGCGGTTGACGGCCTGTATAAATTCGTCCTGGAGCTTCTTCAGCTGCGCCTCCTTCTCGGGCCAGTTCCAGGTGCTGGCGGCCACGTCGACCGAGTAGATGTCCTTGTGGTACTCGGTAAGCGCCTCGATGGTTTCGGGCGTGAGCTTGAATGCAACCTCATGCTGTGAAACCATGTCGACGTGCACGACGTATGCCTCAATGTGGATGACCTGGTAGTTGAAGATGGCCTCGACCAGCGGGTTGGGGTCCTTGCGCAGCTCCGAATCGGGGGCCTTGGGGACCATGATGGAGCATAGCGACCATATAGCGTTCGAGCCGGACAGCGTTTCCGTGAGGCATCGCGTATGCTGCTGGACGCTGTTGAGCGGGCGCTTCACTCGGTTTATCCGCTTCAGCGTCTGCGTTAACCAGGGCTCCACCTTGGAGTTCAGGACGATGTTGACGGTGGAACGGGGCGCGAAGGCGGCGGCCGAGGCGGGCAGCAGCTGGATGGGCATTATGGCTGGGTGTGGCGGTGCGCGAGACGATGCGATATTATATGGGACGGCGGGATCAACGAAAGGAACAAAAGAGAATGTAAAAAGGATGTCTCAGGCGGAATTACGTTTTTGCTGGCTCGCCTTGCAGTGCGGAGGAGACAAGAAAAGGACGGACGAATGAGGGGAGGAGAAGGCGAGGTGAGAGGTGGAGGGTAGGGAAGGCTAGCGGTCGAGGGTGGCATCTTGTATTAAGAGCGCTGACTGACGAGGGGACGGTGATGGCCCGCTCGGCGTGGCCACAGAGCTCGGCAAGGGTGCATCATGCACACTGCCCCGTTTGGCTGCACTGCGCATCTAGCTTGATTTAATCGTGCATATATGGCGAGAGCTGCAGCTGCAGGTCTAGTCGGATCCTAGCTGACCGGCCGACACGGCGACCGCGTTGCTCACGCCGTGGGCGCGCGTGGATAGGCGGAGGCGGGCAGCGAGAAGATTGCGATGCCCTCATGGCTGCCAGAAAGCCAGCCAGAACCTGCAGGCGGAGATGAGGAGCGCAGCCGGCGCTCATCAGCCTGCGCTGCACATGGCAAAAAGCATGTTGGGACCTTTCGATACCTCCCAAGGCAGCTGAGGGCCGCGCTCACGGTTGACCATGCACATGGGGCCCGCAACCTGCTCGGATGCGCGCAGGCAGCCCGTACTCCAACTACACGCCACATGCGAGCGAGCCGGCGCTCTGCTCCTGGGGCGCCTGCTGCTGCTGGGCCTCGAGCAGGTGGTGTCGCGACATGGCATCCCACGGTGCGGGATTCCAGAAGCTTTGCTCAACATCCAAAACGAGCGCGCACCGCAGCGGGGTTGCTGCCACATTCGGCGTACGCGGGTAAAGGGACGATGGCGGATAGAGTGGAGGCTAGGGGTTCTGTCTTTCAGGTTGGAGAAGGTGGGAGAGTTGGACGTCGTCTTGGGTCGACGACAGGACGACGTTGCTTGGGGCTAAAAATGGGCCAGAAACAGTCAGCCCAATCAGCTGGGATAGCCGGGGTGCGAGCAGGGGTGCTGTCCGCGTCGAAAAGCCCTCTCGCGCGGCCCTCATGTGATCGCGACCGCGCGGGCCCTCAGACAGACACGGTCCAGAATAACCATGGCAGCGTGCCATCGTCGAGTAGCTCGGGCGCGTACTGAAGCAGACTGCGCGACCTGCCTCCAGCATCTTTCGCGGCGATGACGACGATGGCGCGCGACGCCCGCGGGCCATGGTGATTTCCGCTTGCAGCAATAGCCGGGAACGCCGCAGATGCGCTGTGGCAGTGCGCGGCGGTGATGGCTGTGGCAGATGGCGACATGGCGGGAGATCCGAGATCCTCCTCGGAGTCGCCTCTGCCGACTTCGCACATGCGCACATCCGATGTCCAACCGGTCGCCTATCTGCAAGACTAAGCTCCCTTTCCTTGCAACGAGTCGCGCCGGCCGAGACTGCGGTAGTCTACCAGAAACCGCGACGGTGGAGCTTCTACTCGTTGAGCGGTCTGCATAGAGTGGCCGTTTCAATGCTCGTCTTCCCCTTTCGCGCCCTCTCCACGATTGGAACAGAGTATCCTCTGCTGAGGCGGACCGACGCGATTGCGCAAGTCCTGACGACGTTGAGCGACCCCGGATTAACCTATCGTCGACCCATATCAGCGGTCCTATCGATAGCAGCCGGCGTCTTCGCTGTTTCAAAATCTGCACAGGCGACGCCGAAACCTGCAGCTCGGATACTGACGACTGCGCCTCACGCCTCACAGTCGGGGGCCCGACGATGCGCATCCGGCTCGGCTGTGGCGGCATTCGCCAGTCGACTACCGCCGCCCTCTTGGTCGCGAGGGATCTTGCTGGAGAATGCCTTCCCCACGAAGGCGCACTGTTGATCGTGCATCTGCGCATGAAGCGGTATCGTCCCTCTTTGCCAGTTTCGGATGCCCCTCAGCTCGACAGGGAACCGCGCGAGACGGGATCCCGCTGTCATGTGCCCACTAGCCGGCTACAAGCGGCGAAAGCCAACTCCAACTCCAACGCCCAACATCTTCCGCGCTCCGTCCCCAACCCATCTTTCCATCTGTTCTTGCTGCTTGCGCATCCTCCTCGCCATTGCCAATGAGCAGTCGTGCAGGTAGGCTCTCTCTAGGCGTTTCGGAATCTGCTGGTGGGAGTCACGGCCGCATGCGCGCCTGTATGTACGCTGCATGCGTAGCGACGTGGTTGGCGTTGACTCATCGCGAGAAGAACCGGACGGAATGGTAGGCCGGGAGCGCAGTGTGCCCGACCACATGAACTGCAAACTCCAGCATCTGTCATCCTTGATTTTTGAGTTTCGAGTCTGTTTTCCGTGTTTTCCAATTTGATTCTCGCTGCACGTCCATCTCAAACTCGTCCAATGCTGTTGGATGCCGTAAGCCTCGGGAAGTCACTAGAGGATACATCTTCACAGGAGCCGGTCACGAGTACTTCTCCACCGCACGGTCCGTCAGCGTCTGGCCCCGGAACGGTACCTCGATGGTACCTCCAGTACGCCACGCGGGAAAGTCTGGGGAAGTTGTACAGGCTCGCAAAAGTCGCGCAGGACCCCGTGCTCGGCCCGGGACCGATCTCCGAACATCTTCATCTGGTGACCAGTCCAGTCGGCCATTCTTCACCTGCAGGACATTCGGATGTTGGGCCCTCATGCGTCAGCGTAGGGCGCAGTCGTTGGCGAGTGTCCATACCGCGCGTCCATCTCTAGCTGGCACGCATCTACCGCTCGCTATACGATAAAGTTTCGAATTGTGCTTCAGCGCGCGTGCGTGAAGGTAGGGCAGCCGAGATGAATCAGCATCAGGAGATTTAAGGACGAGTTTAGGGTTACATGGCCGGGCGTTTAGGTGAGAATGTCTCAAGCATCCTGAGGCGGGTCGGTTGTCAAGTCTAGTCCTGCCGAATAAGGAAGCGACGTTGGACTGCACGCACGTTTCCGCTTGGCGAAAACTCTTTGAGACAATCATGCTCGCATTACTGGATGACCGCGTCCGAGCAGATGTCCATTCATGCCACGGTTCTCGTTTTATCGTCCGCTTCGTTAGCTTCTACAGTTCCTCGACTTCCCCGTATTTATTTCTTACTGCCACATCCGACAGTCCATGATGCTTCCCGTCTTCACTCATCCCATATCCTCAAGATAGCGTGCTCACCGTCACTCTGATATGCCTTTGAGTTCTTCAACCGATTCCTATTTTGCTCATGCTCCTTTTTCCACTTCCGACGGAACAGCCAGGCAAGATGGCCCATGGACGCCATCAAGAGCGCCATCCGGCCTCCTGAGAATCCAACACCCCAGGCTAGATCGAGTGTTCCATGGGTTGTGGAAGAACAGGTACATCTACGTGACTCCACCACTCTGCGTCCCTTCCTGTGTCTGCTTCGTTCCTCTAACCCCAGCGCTCACATATACTACCAACGCCTCCGCGTACGCCGCCGACCCCACGAAGACCTCACTACGTCTTGCATCGGTAAACAACGCTACAAACGCCGCAAACAAGAAGGCAGACAACGCAACCATGCCAACCCCGAGGCCCCTCGATCTCTCACTAATTGCTCTCAAACACGCCATTGCGCCTACAAGCAACACAGCACAGAACACTGCGCTCACGCTATAGTTCAGGATCTGGACGCGCCGCGCGGGGAAGTCGTAGATGTCTGAGTGGAGCTGGGATGGTTTTCGCTTGCGTTCCCATACGGTGTTGTTGGCAAACTGGTTGCAAGGGGGCGTAGAGTATACCTGGAGACACCGGCCGCAGGTGGCCCTGAGTAGTCTGCTGAGGCGGTCGTCATCGGGAGTTGGTGCCACGGCTACAAGATCCTCTGGGCCTTGAATGATTCTCGCACGCATCGCGGACGGTGAGGATTTCCCATCTTCCTGCAACGGAAGTGATCGCGATGGTCGTGAAGCGCTTCCCTTCGACCTGCTCCTCACGCTCATTTCTGGATACCACGAAAACACTCAAAGATTGTTTCTCCCGCTTCGTAAATCTCTTCTTCTCCGCCTGAGGGTGTCATGGCCCATGATGTACCTTTCCAATGAGCCGAATGGAAGCCCCTCCCCAACCCATCATTCAACAATGACGTCCCATTCCAAGCCCTCCTAGACACAGGTTTGAACTGCAATGTGCTCAACCAGTCATGGGCTGTCGCTCAGGGACTCAAGATCCGCATCGACCCGCAGCATCGAGACCAGATTTCCTTACCATCAAAAGGGTAGGTATCGGCCATCGGCCGACTATACGTAGACATGCGACTGCCTTACGGAAGGGTCATGCCAGTGGAATTCGAGGTGCTTAAGGACGCCACCACACCTGTCACCAACGGCGTAGCTGCGATCTTCGACCATGGACTTCTCATCAGATATTTAAACGCATTCTCCGAATAGGCTAGGGGAAAGCGTGCCGCAGAGCCTTTTCATATGAATCCTAAGTCTAAGTGGCGAAAGATGACTATGGAGAAGGCGAGGCGACTTTGCGAGGGAAGTACAGGCGGCTAGGCCCTCACGTAATCTGAAGCTGGGCGGAGATGGTCCAGGATCAGAAATATGAGTATGGCAGAATTGCTATAACGGTTGAGTGGGCGCCGTCCAGGCGCTCTATGCATAAAAACACCTCAAAGGCTCTCACCATTTCCATTCTTTCTTGTAACAGCCCCCAGTCTTGAGCGGTTTTCTTTAAATAAAGTTCCAAGAGATGAGCTCAAATCTACATGGAATGTAATCAGTTCGAATTAGTATGTATGATGCCGTACAAAGGTAGTGGGTAGAGGCCGAGGGAGCCCGGCCTCCACGAGAGATGGTCGTGTCTCGACGTAGACTGCTCCGGATAGAGTCGGGCCGCTCCGGACGAAGCCCTGACTCAGCACCTGCAACTCGGCAATTCTCGTTTTGGTGTGATTCATCAACTGCCGACTGTATCCAAGGCCCACAGTCTCTGCTATCGCTCGTACGAAGCTTAGCCGCTGGCGACACGTCGCCGGCAGTTCTCGGTCGCACATTAAACGCGAGCCGTCGGTGGCCAGGGTAGCACAGAGATCTGGCGTGTGTAAACCCGAATCGAGTCAGCGCCAGGCGATGCCACGATATATGGGCGTCAGCCAAAACCGGGGAGAGTCAGAAGTAAGCAAGGGGATCACCGCCTTCTAAATGAACCGACCACGGTGAAGACGATGGCGGGTGGTGGAAATGCTAGAAGACGGATGGGAAACGGCAAACGGGTGGTGGAAACGAGACCCCGCCCCCGCGATCTGGCTTCATTGCCAAGGCCGGGGAGAAGCCAGCAGGCCATCCCTTCCAGAGGGGACCTTTATCTCCGCTGACACAGGCTGGCGTCTCTCTGTTAGCTACCTCAACTGCCGACTCGCATCATAGCTCGTTTTGCGCAATCCAGCCATGCCGAATCCCGCCCCTTCGACGAGCACGTTAGAGCTCACGGCAATCAAGCCCTGCGGCGCGGCTGCTGCATCCTATATACAGCGCCGACCAGCCCTAGATATGAAAAGCTGAGGTGTCCCTTCCTTAATATCTAACGACTTCAACACCCAAGATATTAGGCACAATGCTTCTCAACGAAGTACTTCCGCTGCTCGTCCAGTACTGGCCGCTGGTCCTTGCCTCCCTCGTCGTCGCCTTCTTCCTAAACAATAAATTCTGGAAGGGATTGAACAAATACCCGGGACATTGGGCGGCCGGGTACACAAACTGGTGGAGATTCTGGGATGTGCGGGGGAGACACCATGAGTGGACTGTGATCAGGCTGCACAGGGAGCATGGCGATATCGTGCGGTTGGGGCCAAACGTTCTGTCGTTTGCGGACCCGAGAGCTATCAAGACCATTTATGGCTTGAATAAGGGCATGACGAAGGCACGTCCTCCGCAAGTGCTTTGGACCTTCTCGTACTAACTTTCCTCTCCAGTCCGACTTCTACCCCGTCCAAAATGCCGTAGCGAAAGGCCAACGCCTCCAATCCCTCTTCTCCACGACCGACGAAGACTACCACGCGAAATACCGCCGCTGCGTCAACAATGCCTTCGCCATGAGCTCGCTCGTCAACTACGAACCGCTAGTCAGCTCCACACTCGGCGTCTTCCTCGATAAGACGCAGGAGCTGTTCGCGCATACAGGCAATACTTGCAACTTCAGCCAGTGGCTGCAGTACTTCGCTTTTGATGTCATTGGCGATTTGACTTGGAGCAAGCGCCTGGGATTCGTCGAGGAGAACAGGGATGTGGACGGTATCATTGCTTTCCTGCAGAAGTTTCTCAGTTACGCAGGGCCGGTAAGTTGCAGCGGGGCGAACCTAGGCGGGCTTACCTATACTGACCCGTCATACAGATTGGCCAGATGCCTATCCTCGATCTAATCCTCGAGAAGAACCCAATCCGGATGTATGCGCAGCGCATTGGTCTGAACAGTACCGTCTTTCCCGTGACACTGTTTGCACAGACACGTTCCAACGAGCGCGCTGGTGAAATTCAGAAGATTAAGACATACGGCCTTCCCGATGACCTGCCGAATTCTCGTGGAGTCGACCTTCTCTCCAAATTTGCCCAAGCCGGCCACGATCATCCGGAGTTCATGGATGATACACGCATCCTGACGGCGTGTACGTCGATGGTGTTTGCGGGTTCTGAGACCACTGCAATTTCCCTGTCTAGCGTCTTCTACTTCCTCCTCAAGCACCCGCAGGTATATGCCAAGCTGATGGCAGAGCTGGACGAAGCCGTTACAAATGGTACGATTGAGTCTCGGGAAGATAAGACTGTGTCCTGGGCGGAGTCTCAGAAGCTTCCGTACCTGGACGCGGTTGTCCAGGAGTCTTTCCGTATGCATCCCGCAGCCGGCCTCATTCTGGAGCGCATCGTTCCGCCACAGGGAATGAACATCCTTGGAGAGTTTATCCCTGGAGGCACCATTGTCGGATGCAATCCCTGGGTTTTGCACCGTCGTCCTGAAGTTTTCGGTGTGGATGTGGATGCCTTCAGGCCGGAACGTTGGCTCGAGGCGAGCCCCGAGAAGCGAAAGGAGATGAACGGGACCATGTTCCAGTTTGGTGCCGGTGCACGAACTTGTATTGGGAAGAACATTAGTCTCTTGGAGGTCTACAAGCTAGTGCCGAGCTTCTTGAGACGATTCGAGGTAAGTGACCGAACTCCAATACACGTAGCTGCAAGTTGGGTTAACGAACTACAGATTGAGCTCGAGCACCCCGAAGCAGAATGGGAAACGCACAATGCGTGGTTCATTCGTCAAGCAAACTTCAACACTAAGTTTAGGCCCAGGGAAGTATCTCCATGACTGAACAGTACGAATTGGGGGTTAGAACGATGATATGAATGTGCATGTATCTATGTTTTGGCTAGCGTATATCAAGATTGTTAATACACAAGCCTTTGATGTGAGACGCGATGACTTCAACCCGACCAGCTCCGGAGAGACGCAACCTCTTTTTATGCTAGTATCGGCACCCGAAGTCCTAGTTCGCTCGCAAACTCCTGCCTTGTCTATATCATCCTTCAGACGCCCACTGCTATCCTTGAATATCCCGGCTCCTATATACTGCTCCGCCGAGAAAATTAGGATACACGCCGCAGACGCCTCATCCGAGCATGGGAATGTGCGTCATTGGGATCCTAAATTTCACTAACCAATCAGAAACGTCGTATTACCCCACCTTACTGTCTCAAGTAAGTACAACCGACCCTCGCGTGCTTCGCATATCTTCAGTACCTGGAATTGACGATGAAGAGGTACATCACGTGTGGAGGAGTCATCGATAGGTTTAGGCGAGCTAGGGAGGTGTATAAAAGCTTGTGAGGCTTGATTGAACCTCCGGTACTAATCAACCCCACCGGATCAGAGAACCTTGATTGCAATCCGATAAGAGCAAGGAATCAACAATGGCATCACCAGAGTATCCCAAAACAGCCGTCAACAAGCTGGGTCGGCTACCCAAACGAGGTGTGACAATCCCTTTCCTTTCAGGAATGCGAGCTCACTGAACACACGAAGGGGCCTACGACTACTCCACCATACACACAATCATCAACACCTGCCCCGTCCTGCACGTCTCCTTCAACGACCCCTCGCATCCCTTCCCCGTCGTACTCCCCATGCTAGGCTGCACGGGCAACTTCGCCGCCCCAAACGCAGACCCCAACACCTCGGAGCAGGATATCTATATTCACGGCTACGTTTCCGGGCGGATTTTCAAGAGCGGGAAGGAGGCTGAGGGGGAAGGCTTACCGATCACGGTCGCTGCTTCACACATCGATGGCCTGGTACTAGCTCTGGCTCCGTTTCATAATTCGTGCAACTACCGCTCCGCTATCGCGTATGGGTATGCGTCGCTCGTCACGGACCCGGAGGAGCGGAACTATGCTATGACGCTCATAACGAACAACTTGCTCCCGTCGCGCTGGGAGAAGTCGCGCAACCCGCCGACGGCCGCAGAGCTCAACTCGACGTCTATTCTGAGGGTTAAGGTCGCGTCGGCGAGCGCGAAGGTGAGGGCCGGTGGTCCGCATGATGATCGAGCGGATTTGAAGGACGAGGCGCTGAGAGGGGGCATCTGGACTGGTGTGGTGCCGGTGTGGCTGCAGTGGGGAGAGCCGATCCCTGGGGCGGATAATGGGTATAAGGAGGGTGAGTGCGAGGAGTATATTGAGAGGTGGAGGGTTGGGGAGAACCAGAAGAATAGAATTCATGCGTACAAAGCTATTGAGGAGGAGTGATGAGATTTGGTTGGCGAGAAGAGGAACGGCAGTGCGTTGATCATAAGGGGGAACATCGCACCCAGGAGCGTATCAGGAGCTTTTTCATCATGCAGTCTACTGACGGAGCCATACTTTTCTTCAGTTTGTTGCTTTAATTGGGTTATGTCTGCATTTTCTTCTTGGTAATTTTTCCTATACCAGGTCATACGTCATCACATCCCGATTGAATACGCATTCGCGAATGATTCTATAGCCCAGGCTAGAATACCGCATATGTTAGAATACGATAACTGCCCCGGAGGAAATTCCGTCTGACCAAAAAGTGTCAGAAACACAGTCCATTTTATTGTATTAGATCTCTAAAACGAAGTACTCAGGAACATATGGAGTGTGGCGGACGAAGTCAGAAGGACCAGTTCCCGACAGAGCTCATGGAGTAGACTCGAATCCTGCTCCGAACATCGAAATATACGGCCACCTCTCCTCTTCATAGGTACCTCCAGACAGCATGGAGACTTCCACATCTCTTCGCCGAACCCCGGGCCAAAGTACCAGAAGTGCGATCCATATCGCCTTCTGTCAAATTCGCACGTCTCTCTTCTCCGCTCGTTAAAGCTACCAGCGAAGGAATATATGTTGGCCAAACGAATCATGTGCGGGAAACCACACGCGCCCCCCCCCGAGGACCCCCTGCCCCCAAGCCATGTCTTCCCCGTCGGCATTCGAACCGCGACCTCAGATCCAACTTACTTAGTTACAATGTCCTGCACTCTTGCTCTAGAATCACGCATACGACAATGTAATGGCTCTATTTCTAGGTTTCCCGAAATCCAATTCCCTTTGGTCGTTAACGATGGGCGTGTCCCCATCTTGAAAGCTTCTACAATATGATGTGCCCCTTCCTCCTAAACACTCTCTTCGCCCGTCATTCCTTCCTTGCGGACGTCCAGACCTTTGACTGGAAGAATTGCCCCAGGACTTCCATGTGCTGCGCGATTTTTCTTCAGAACAGGTCCGATCCACCTGACGCCTTCTCTTGTTCTGCCGTCCCAAAAGTTCACACTGTTTCGAACCATGAGAAGGGCCGAAAGTGACAGAGGACACTAGTCATGCGCCTTCTTCCACCCCAAAAAGACTCAAATGCCTTCTCAAATGCCTCTTTGTATGTGGACCACAATTTCCCTGAAGAACGAAGCGCAGCGGCTCCCATTTCTCCGCCCAAAAATAGTCTGCTGGGCCGTCGACGGACGTCCTTCCAAATTGCCCTCCATCTACTTCATGGAGTTTACTGTGGAGAAACGAAAGGCGCTCATACTTCTGGGATATATGCTCACCTGCTCTCTTAGTAAAACACAAAAGGGCAAGCAACATAAAAGCACAAGACAATGTCTTTTCCATCTCTCCTCTTTGCCCATCCTAAAGTCGTGTCAACCGTCTACCCGCCGTTTGAACCGGAGACTCCGAACCGCGATCGAAAAGATCCTTGGTGGCTTTTCCACATGTTCGGAATCTAGGTCGCGCGAAAATATATCTGTGTATGAGTACATGTGGCTGCTCTGCTTTCGCTCCAAATATAGATGATCCAAAGACGTTTCGGGCATCCGAAGCGCATACAAAATGACGATATGAGTTCCCCTCGTGCCGCCCGGTAAGGTTGAGCCAACTCAATTTACGTCCTCAGCAACAAAAACGTCTTCTCTAAGGAAATATGGAGATCTGAGTCTTATGGTTCCTCTTCACTCGTCTCCAAAGTCAACACAGTAGGGACAAATAGCTTGGACGTACAAATACGTCGGACAGCTCATCTTCCGCAATGCGAACGGGAGCGTGTCCTGAGCGTCCAAAATCATTCGGTACAAGCTGTCATGTGGAGTCTTCCCTTCAAAACCCTCTTCCTGAACACTTTATGGTTGCCTTCTCTCTTCAAAACCAAAAAAAAAACGCTAATCTCCCCGTTCATGCCTGGGAGACCCCAAATACGCTCCCGAAAGCGACGATGACTCTCGTGCTCTCCGCCAGTGCTTGAACACCACATTCAGCATAGCATCTGAACATGTCCTGGGCATTAAAAGCGATCGCCCACCTATCTCATGCGGTGTCCGCTCCCGAAACTGGGCTTCCACTGAACTATGTGTTCTCTCTTCTCCTGAATACATCCAGCCCGAACGGGAACATTTTGGAGATAAAAATGGGGATGGCACCCTTGAACGAGTGCTCCATCTCTCCTGCCGGCTAAAAGCGAAGGCACCCAGTGATCATACTCTAGGAACCAAAATCACAGACGCCAGACAACATGCGTCGTCCTCGTCCAAAAACGTCAAAGCATTTTCTTGGAGACCCTAAAATCGGCGACAAATCCTGCTTTCTCTTCTTCTACTTCCCCTCAGCTAAAACACTGCTCACCATCATTGTATATTTCCGGACTCCAAAAAGGTGGAAGAACTGGTACATATGCCGCGTTCTTCTCTCAAAAAAGGGAGTCCAAACAGCTCATGCGGCTCGTCTTCCAATGCAACCCGTAGGCTTTAAGGCCTCGCTGCCTGGCCTTGCGCGAAAAGCAATCTCCGCTAAAAGACGAAACCTATGAGTCCGATGCTTGGGATTGGAGGAACTAAAAAGAGAAAGTCACAACATCGATGGTGGAGAGAACGAGTATTGGGGTTTGGCATGGGGAACAGGCGTGCAGGACGTCGGCGCAGCGGCAGCGAAAGGGAGGTTGATGACGATGAATAACATTTGCAAGACGCGATATGTACCCCTGAGAAGCGGAGCAGTGGTGGATTGCGCGGGCTCCTGAGTGGCAATGCGTGGTATTAGTATTAGCTACTTGATCTATGGACCGCTCTTAGTGGGTTGAGCTGAACAAAAGAGAATAAGATGCCCTGGGTGTGTCTGGTCTGGTACTCATACATCCCGCTAATGCAATCCGAGTTCGAAAAGACAGAATTCCTTCTTAGCCCAATACTCCGCGCCATGCAACCTGGTGGCGACAGCCTCCATTGCACTACTCGGAGATCCGCTTTGCGTCTCATAGCCTCACCCTCCCCTCATCCGGCCGCCCCCCAAACAATCCCAAGAAGCTCCCTCCTCTCTCCGCCCCGCTAGCTCCACCACCCGCATCCCTTCTACTCCCCCTCTCCCTCCGTGTTCTCCCCGAGCCATCATCTCCACCCAGCCACTTCGGCCTTGAGAAACTGAAATCCGTCGTCTCAAACGTGTTCCGTACCCTCTGCCCAAAATTCTCAAAGAAATTTCCCGTATCCTCATCATCTTCGACTGGCGCTCTTCTTCTCTCCGGTATCGTTCGTCTCGTGTTGCTTGCTTCGCCGTTTACCCGCCTGGAAGTGGAGGGAGGGGTGTCTCTGTACGGCTCGTTGGGTGCGGATGTGGGACCGCGATGCGCAAGGCCTAGTGCGTTCCCATTTGCGCCGTGGATTTCGCGGTCGATGAGTGCGCGGCCTTCGCGCCAGCCGCCTATTCCGGCGAGCTCGTCCACTTCGTCATCTTCATCCTCTAGTAGGTCTCCGAATCCACAGACATTCCGCACTCTCTTGTACAGCCCAAATGCCGTCGCCAGCACTGGGACGATGATCAACACAGGGAAGTAATCGGAGAACCCGTGTCCCAGCGGTGTGAGCACAATATACTGCCCCAGCAACCGATAAAAACTCGTCTCCCTTACAAGCGTCGGCGGCATAAATGTGACGAAGTTGTAGGCCAGCGGGACGGTAAGTTTGGCCAATTGCAGACTATACCAGGTAGCCGACTCTTGATAAGTGTTCCGCCGGACGAGGGCGCGATTACCCCAGATCTTGACCTCGGTGAGTGAGAAAAAAGTGCATGTGCACATATAGCACAGCCAAGCTGCCGCGATGACTTGTCCGCCAAAGCCTATCTGTCCGCGGGAGGAGGGCGGATGGTGGATTACGGTGAGGCCGATGAGGGAGAGCTTCGGGTCGAGCGACCGGATGCATTCGGACCATACTATGGACAGCGAAGCGAGGGACGTGACTACCCATGCGACGTAGGATAGCGCTGGGATAATGTGCACGTGTAGGTGATATCGCATGTACGGCGTGAGAAGCGTAATCCGGTCAAAGAAGCCACCACTAAAGGTCTGGAACTGCGAATTCGTGAACTCCAGCCTCTGACTCGCTTTCGAATCGAGAATCGCCTGCGTCTTGACCGCTTTCTGCACCAACCTGTCCCACTCATTCTCAAAGCGCAGCTTTGCATGCCGCGCTCTCTTCAACCTTCTCGTCAGGTCCGCTAGATACCTCTCCGTAATGACGGGGGGAACCGTTGTGGCGGTCGTCCTCCCTACAACGCTGGCCCTATTCTCGGGCAAACTGCACTTCTCCGCTAACTCATCAATCCACTCTTGAAAGTCTCTCGCGGTGCCGTTCTTCCGCTGCTTAAGCTGTACGACCTGCCATTCGTACTGATCCAGCTTCTCCAGCGCCTCGGTTAACTTATCGTGAACCTTCGGTGCCTGTGCTTGCAACCTCTTTAACCGTCCGCTAATACTCGCATAGCGATATATGCTCCTCGGGAACGAAACGAGGCCGTGTCCCATCAAGTATATCGCCAGGACAAGCGTATACGCATACGCCAGCGCCATGATCAACGCCTTCAAACTCGGGAAGTTGAATCCATTGTACCAGAAAAAGTACACCAGCCCTGCAACAGAACTCCCCAGAATGATAGCATAGTAACGCCCGTTACTCCTCAGCGAGTACAAGAATCTCGCTTTCGGCTCGCGATATCCCGAGTCGCAGTATTCTCCCAGCAGCGGTAGGATCGCCCACGTCAGCGCGAACGTGAGCCAGTACATGACGCGCCATGACTTGTATACGACCTTGACGGTGAGCCATATCCCGCGATTCCCATCGGTGTCTGTTCCAGCGGAGGAGGCAAGGTCGATAGGCACCATGAGCACGATGCTCGCAGGCAGCGCGATGGCGAGGAAGACGGGGACGATGACATAGGCGGGCGTTGTGCGGAGCGGGAGGTAGTAGCGCAGGAGGAGCAGGACGAGGGCGCATATGGTGAGTAGGGAGAGGGCGAAGAAGGCGGTCGAGCCGGCGGGAGACGATGTCATCGCGGCGGTAGGTTGCGTGCAGGGGCGCGCATATATGTTGGTTTACTGAGCGCTGGAACCGGCGGGCTGTGGTGTGTGGAGTCGGTGCCTGGCGTCTTCTGAGGCGACGTTGCGACCAGATGCTGACTTTAATGGAAAGTCACGGAACGCTTCAATCACACGCGGCCGGAAGAAGGCGCGTTCCGTCCCTATGCTGCCCTCATCTTTCCTTTCAGTCCTTTCTTCTTGTCAACACTCTGCAGTATACGGAGGTGCCGCAATCGTTTCCGCAAGCCGTCTCGTTCGCTGTTGTCGTGATGTCGTGACCAAATCCTATAATCCCTATGGACCCTGAGGCGCATCCACGGCACGGCATACGTTCGTCATCCGTCTCGGCGTCCACTAATCACCGAGCTAATTCCGCCCCTCACCCAATCCGGTTAGTCGAATCTGAGACTATGCCGCTGAGCGATTGCATCATCCGCATCTTGCCTTCTTCTCTATCAGTGCTGCGGGGGGCGCAGTCCGCTTGTTACTAATCCACTGCGATTCCAAATCTCCATTACCACCTTCGGCTCCTCATCTGTTGATACCAAATACCTTTCTGCCTTCAGGCAAACGACAAACCACATAGGTAAGCTCTCCCCCCCAGTATATAGTGCGCCCATCTTCGCCTCTCTCCGCTCTTCTCACATCAACACTCCCAAAAAGCAATTCAAACCTACTGATAACCGCTCCACTAGAGCGCAACGTCACCAACCGCCAAACTGTCCTTCCTACGCCGCTTCTTCCAGACGCGCTCCCCCAGCCCCACCACCATGGCAGCCACCAAGACAAAGGTCGAATCCATCATCGACGAGAACCCCGTCGCCGTCTTCAGCAAATCCTACTGCCCGTACTGTCAACAGGCCAAACAGCTGCTCTCCCAGAGCGGCGCAAAGTTCTACGCCATCGAGCTCGACCAAGTCGACGACGGCTCCGAAATCCAGTCCACCCTCGCCGACATCACGGGCCAGCGCACCGTGCCCAACATATTCATCGGCAAGAAGCACATTGGTGGTAACTCGGATCTGCAGGCGAAGAGGCGTGATTTGGAGACGCTGCTCAAGGACGCTGGTGCTGTTTGACCACCCGGCTCTCAACCTCGGCTCTAGCTTTGGGTGCCCATCGAAGGATAGATTCGCGGAGGAAGAAGTGAATGGATAGACATTTAGCTGCTACAAATACTAGACATGCGCGTTCGACTACCATCTGTGCTTTGCAGGCAACTAGTGACAGCGACAGCAGATACAATCGGATAAGGTCTGATCGTGGCGCCAAAAATGCATTCCGAAGAGTAACTCGTGAGAGATCTAAACAGGGGGTAGTCTTGAGTTTTCCACCTCTGCTGCTCTGCTCTGCCCTGTCTTGCGGTCCTACCTCGTACACCCATCAGCATCATCTCGCTAACCAGGAATGAGACATTGCTGTAAGACGCGGCCAAGGAAAGAAGGGACCAATATGTTCCATGAGTTGCCCTACTCCCGTATAGAGGGCGCGCTGCAATGCTCAAACCTTCAACCAAGCCTAGGCTCCGCCTCCGCTCTAAAGCCCTGATCATTAACTGTATCTGAATGCTTATCGTAACCTCATCCCATGCACAACATCCCCCTCCCTGCCACTCCTTTAGGTTTGCATGGCGTCTGTATAACTCTGCGCTGCCGTCGTTGCGAAATACCTGACGTCCACATCGTCGTCCTGCTGCAACTTCTCCAGGTTCGGAAGGATGCTCTTGGCGATGAGGTCCTGCCCCTTTTGGCAGCCTTGCCCAGGCGTGCCTGCCTTCTGCAGCGCCAAGACAGTGCCCTGCTCCGGCAACTGCTTGAGGGTATCGATTAGGACAGCGTACGACTTGGCAACGTTGAAGCGGATGTTGGGGATGTCGTCGTTAACGAGTCTGTCCATCATGGGGAGGATTGAGGCCTCGATCACATCAAGGCTGAGGGCGGGCGCAAGAGTCTCCATATTATTAGCAGGTTGCAGATCATGGAATCCGTCGAACTTACCGAAACAGCAAAGCAGGTGGTCATTCGGTAGAGGTAGTTGGGGTGCTGGCCCATGGCCATGACCTTGGGGACGATAGCCTCATTAGCCCACTCCACGCCAAATACCTCGGTGAGCTTCTTGAGGTTCTGTGTTGAGGCCTCGCGGATAGAGAAGACGGTGTCTCCCAGCCAGCTCATGCAGAGGCTGCTCAGCTTCTCGTCGAAGAACTTCACGCCGAGCTGGGAGGCAAGCAGAGGAACGTATTCAATGATAGCCAATCGCACGCGCCATTGCTTATCCTCGGCGAGCTGGACGATGGCGGGAAGGAGGGACTGAGAAAGGAGTTCAATGCCAATTACTGTGCGTCATTAGTAAGCACCCTTCGTCATAGAGAACGCAGCGTACCGTTATTGACGAGCTCAAGCTTTGAAATGATGTTCAGCCGGACATCGGGGAACTCGTCCTTGAGCATCTGCAGGAACATAGGAAGAAGATGTGAGATGGTTCTAGACCGTGTTAGAGCAGGCACGTGGTCACGCGCATATGGCTACATACTCGTCTTTTCCGAGAATCGGGGCCAGCCCGCTAATCTGGGTGCCAAGAGCAGCACGAACATGCTGCGACTGATCGGAGACAAGCTCCTCGATGCTCGGCATGACCTCGTGGAGGAGCGTCTCCCGTTCCAGCAGGGCGCAAAAGCCTAGGGCATAGTTAGTGATATGCCAAGACGCTCGTGAAAACGCTGCGTACCAGGAATCTGCCCCGCGATAGCACTCCGTACCTCCGCCTCCGTGTCTTTGAGGAGCTTGACGAAAGCAGGCACCAAGTCTCGGTTGACAACCTCTTCGTCGACGGCTTTCGCGATCTAGACTAGATTAGCCTAGGCCCTGTTTCAGCGGCAACCTCAACCAACCTTCTCGAATCGGTCTGCCACCATGTAGCGCACTCTCCAGCTCTTGTCTTCAAATAAGCTTCGCAGAGCTGTGAGTAACACGCCATGGCTCGACTGCTGCTCCTTTGGCACTGCCTCTGCAATCGCAATGAGAATATCTACCGTCAGAAGCCTGACGCTGTCCTGGTCATCCGCCGCAAGGTGCTGGAAGAGGGGGATCATCTCCTCAATCACAATCGCTGGGGGCATGCATTTGATGAACTTTGCCAAGTTGTTCGCTGCCTGTCTCCGGACCATTGGGGTATCGTCGTGCACAAGCTGGCCATAGTGCTGTCTGAGGGTTTCTTGCGACGGCGGCGTGGCTCGGGTGTAAGGGACGCAGTAGAGGCCGGTCGCGGAAATTTTTGAGGTAAACCAGTCGGCCTTTGATAGGCGCATGACGAGCGGGATGAAGAACTCCTCAATCTGTTGCTGTGAGAGCTCCTCGCAAATTTTGTTCAGCGATTCGACAGCCTGGGTTCATCAGCAGAGTCCCACGCAGTCGCGGCCTTGGGCGCAAACCTTCTCTCGAACAAGCGGCTCTTCTATCGCCGCGAGGTTCTCCAGAGGTGAGAGCAACACATGCCCGTATTCGGGACCGCCGACATACTCGACGAACTTGCCCAATTCCTCGCTCAATGCAGTGAGCACCTCATCTTCGTCCTCGACAGACTCTGTAGTCCTAATTAGCCTGCCGATTCTGTATCTCCGTGACTTCTTGGAGCCTACCGTCTAGGAAGGGTATGAGCTCGTCCCGCGTCCGCTCGGCGCCCAATGCCAGTGCTATTGTGTTCAGGCGGTGGATCGCGTTCAATCGCAGCAGTACATCGTCGTGCTTTAGCTCATCGATGAGAACGGCGATCGGGTAGAGCTCGTCGTTTTGATTTGCCTCCATGTTGCACGGATGTGGTGGGTCACGAATGGGCGGGTTTCGAGGCTAGGGAGTGGCCTCGGCGGAGCTCAAGGGCGGGCGTCAGGTAGCAATACAGGGAGGCAAGTTCGCGTGCTACGGCCCTCAGAGAGATGTTAGCTGCGCGGCGCGGCGCGGCGGGGAGAGCTGGGACGCAGCGTTGGCAATGTTGACGTACCTGGTGTAGGCGAGGAGTGGAAGGCGGCAGAATCAGGGTTACGGGGTCGGGGCAGCTTGCGGGGGTGGTGGCAGGTGAGGTATAGGGGGATCAGCCTTGCGCCCCGGAATGGTGCAGTGGGTGGGCGGCGGGTCGTGGTTCGGGGCTTGTTTTGTGGTGTAGTTCCTGGACGTGGTGGGCTGCTGCGAGTTAACGACGCCAGGGCCAAGCAAAATGATTTGAGCCACCCTGCCCCGCCACTGCAATCTCAGTCGCAGCGCCCTGTGCGTGACCGTCTTTTCACTTTCGCATCCGCCTTCCGCCCTCGCATCTCACCCTGAGGGCATCCCGGGAGAATTTGCCTGTACATCTGGAGCTGCCATTCGTGGGTGCGGGAGGCTACGCGCCAGACGCTCGTGCAAAGTAGGATACCAGGATCAATTGAGAGAAAGAGGGCCCAAGGAGCATGAGCAGCACGGAAGACGCCGCGATGCAGGACGGTGAAGAGCAAGGAAACACGAAGCCTATGCGTGGCGAGAGCGAGCCGCTCCTAGGGCGACGAGCATCATCTGTGTCCCGCGCAAGCCAACTGCTGCCGAAACAGCTCACCACCCGCCATGCATTCGCTGTCCTTGTCACCCTTCAAATTGGATCCGGCATCTTCGCATCACCGGCGCAGGTTGACCATAATGTTCCCTCTCCTGGTGCCGCCCTCCTGGTATGGGTCCTCGGAGGGCTGTTGTCGTGGGCGGGAGCCGCATCTTTCGCCGAGCTGGGCACTGCCCTTCCACTCAATGGAGGCATGCAGGAGTATCTCAGGCACGTCTATGGAGATACCATGGCCTTCCTCATGGCCTGGATCTACATCATGGCCGCTAAGCCGTCGGCAATGGCTATCCAAAGCATCGTTATCGCCGAATCGTTTGCCTCCATCGCTTCTCGCCCGTTGTCAGAATGGCTGCTGAAGCTCATCGCTGTCGTGGCTTTTGTGGCCATGGTCATTCTCAATTCCATCAGCACCAGGACCACCTTACGGCTTAGCGAGTCGTTTACAGGCATCAAGATACTCACGGTCGTTCTGATTGTCGTGGGCGGCCTGACGGCTGTCATCGTCCATTTTGTCGACCCCGACTCCCATCTTTCAGGAGGGACGGACTGGTACACGAAGAACTGGTTTGGTACCCGAGCGCCCGCTCCAGAAGGGGACCCGGTCGACTGGACATCGATCAGCGGATGGGAGCGCTATGGTCATTACTCCGCGGCCATCTACGGGGGATTATGGGCTTACGACGGATGGGATAATGTAAGTTGCGTGCTACAACTGGACGTTTTTGAGCCCTCCCTTTCTTCCGAGTCATTGGCTGAGCCGGCTCTGATGTGCAGGCAAACGTCGTTGCGAGCGAGATCCGCGACCCCGGACGAGCCCTACCGCGAGCCATCAAGGTCGCCATGATCGTTGTACTGTGCTCTTACGAGCTGGTGAATGTTGCCTATTACATCCTACTCCCATGGGATACAATGAGCTCCAGCGATGCCGTGGCGGTTGTCGCGGTAACGACGGTCTTTGGGCGCTGGGCTGGCATAATCATTTCGATCCTCGTCGCTCTCGCATGCGCAGGTTCGATCACAAGTAATGTCTTCACGGTTGGGAGACTTGCTGTTGCCGCTTCTCAGCGCCACTACCTTCCGGCTTTCTTCAGCAAACGTGGTCTACCTAAGCTCCTAAAGCGTTCCCCAGCTCAAACACCGATTCCTGAGCCGGATTCATCGGACGATGCACCTTTGTCGCGGACAGTATCTGCCGTGGAGGTGGATACGAGTGTGGACTCGAATTTCGATGCTCCTATGCATGTACTCCTATGTACCCGCTCTTGGGCCTACTGCTAACGGCGCTTCTAGCTACGCGAACATTTTAGTCCTCATCGTTACACTCGTCTACATCCTCACAGGCAGTTTCCGAGCCCTCGTAACGTTTGTTGGTATGGCCATGTGGGTTTTCTACGTAAGTACTGTCGCTGGACTGCTCATCCTTCGTCGACGGGAGCCGCAGCTGCACAGGCCATACAAACCTATCATCGTCCTTCCGGTAACATTCGTTGTGGTCGGCGTTCTCGTCATCGTACGCTCCGCCATTTTCGCGCCCATACAAAGCGGCGTGCTTGCAGGACTCTTAGTCGTCGGCGCTCTGATCAGCCAATTTCGTCATAGGTGAGCAGCATACTAGAGCGTATGGTTGAGTCATTGTATCCATTATCCATTATGCTTTATCCCCTATCTCAGCATACCACCACTATACGGTTGATCCAACTCCCCACCTTTTTTCATCTTCCTCCACCGTTTGCAGTGTGCCTTTCGAACTCATATCCGAGTACACCTCCGGGGCCTTGGGCGGCGGCAGCGGCTTATCCCACTTCACGACCATCCTACTCCACCTCTTATTTCCCCAACTAGCCGAGCTTCTCGAAGCCTTGAAACTCCCGCTCAATATCCTGTCGAAGAATGGCACGTCACCGAATACCTTCCTCACCAACGGCCTCAACGTCGGCAACACACCCGCCACCAGATAAATGCCCGATTCCGCGATCGTCCAGCAGAGCGGCTTGATATTCTCGTATGTAATGTCGTTGAAATTGGCGACCTCCAGGAAGGACTGGAACCTCATAATCGCAGCCACGATACCCGCGATGCACACGCTGAACACAAGCCCCAAGCCAACTTTCGTCGCCGGTGAGACGTTGAGCTTATATAGCGCCGGTAGCGGAATGCCCACAATGATAATCGTCGTCACCACGTTGGGGATACTCAAATACCGCCAGAGCGACAGCGGCTGGATGGCGCAGGACCCGGGCCCCATGACTTCCCAGTTCTTGGAGAAGGGCTTACAGTTGGCGAAGGGAATAACAACTTGGACTAGCAGGATAGCTAGAACGAGGATAAAGGTACCTTTTATGGCGATGCGGGTGCGCGGACAGGTCCGACTTAGAATGGTGTGGAGCAGACAGAGGATGCTGAGTTTGGAGAGGGAGGTTGTGAGCGGGCAGACGATTTGGAGAGCCGTGTTAAGCTTGAGGGCTGTGGTAATGGTGGTGGGTGTGAGAGACATGAGATGGCGCCCTGCGCCGCCGATTTTGATGGAGACTGCAGCTTGTTAGTAAGTATTCGCGGGAATATAGCGAGATTATGTGAGGACCTACGTATTCCAATAGTGATCTTGGAGACGCAGACCAGGTACGCGCCCGTCATGAGCAGCGTCATGGAGAGATTCGCCTTTTGCTCGCCAGGTAGATACCGCGCTGTGTACAGCAGTACCATAAACGTCGCTTCGATAGCCAGGAAGGCGATGCACGTTGCCATGAGCGGCGCGCTGGCGTCTTCTGCCAAATAGGCTGGCGACAATTGGCCGTTTGGTTGCATAATAGACGTGTTGTCGTCGACCAGCGACGGTGTGCAAAGAAAGTTGGAAGACCACTGGGTATGCAAGTAAAGTATGTGTGAAATTTGAAGGATTCTTGAGCGCCTGAAAAGCAAGAGACAATGCAAGAGCGGGAGCGGGAATCCTTCTCGCCTTAAAACGCCCTAGATGGCGAACATTCTTGACCGTTGCCGAGAGTAGGGTGTGTGAGTGGTGTGGTGTGGTATTCTGGTGTATGTCCAGCGAGGCGGTGCTGTTGCTGCGTGTAGACTAGTGTACGCGCGGGTTAATATAAGTTAGCGTACGGTACAGCCTCGTGCACAGCGAGCCGGTTACGCAACGGCCCGAGGGGATGGCAATGTAGAGAGGCGGCCGGCGTGACAAGTGCAGGTGCTGGGAATGAAGGGGGGATATGTATAGATGCCCGACTGGCGGGAATACGGGTATGCGCTCCTTCGGCGCAGGGTGGGCTTGGAACTGTGCAGTTTCGACGAGGCGTTCCCTGGAGGACGAAATTGCAGTAGAACACCGAGTTTCTGTGTAACTTTCCGAACCACTGCGATAGGGTTCTCACCCTGCAAAGCGGCGGCGAGCCCGTGTAAGCGCCCCTGCCTCCCCCCATTGTTATCAGTATGTCCTCTTTTGTGTACGTGTTCGCAGATCAGCGTCTCCTAAACGGTGCACTCACAGCACGGCGAGCAAATGGATTGCGCGGTAGGGATGAGGATGCGGGTGCAAAGGGCGCTACGGGGACCAAGATCGGGGACCAAGATCCGTTTAGCGAGAGTGGATGAGGCTGAGGGCGGCACGGCAGATCGGTCACGCAATACAGTACCTGGACCCATATGGTCCGTATGCGTGGTAGGACTTGGAGGCCTTGAAGCTTGTAGGGGCTCATGGTTGGTGTTTCGTCTGAGGTCCTGGTTTTGCGGGCGTTTGATGGAGAAAGGCGCTGGCAGCTTCGGGGACACGAGCAGCCGCGGACCAGGTCAGGAGTAGCAGCACCGTGTAGATGTTGCATGTGGACAGGAGTGAGTTGACCGCAAATGCTAACGTGCAGACTTGATACCGTTCGGAGATGGGGGCCAGGGGACGCAGCGGCTGCGGGAAGGGCGCTGCACGTATTACCTCCGCAGATGGTGCAGGGCACCGAGAATTTCGGTTTTGAGAGCGGTGTTTGAGTAGATTGGGCTGAGGGGATGGTAGGGTCGGATCGCATGGGGCCAGGGAGAGAAAATGGTGGAGAGGAGCGAACGGGAGGAGAGATGGCATCAAAGTGTGGCTTGCAACGCTAGCGGGAGCGGGCCGAGGGAGTTGAATCAGCACACCCTCACCTTACCTCCGATACAATACATCACCAACTTCATTCTCATGCTACACAGTCTGATTCCATCTCCAAGAGTAGACGCGTTGATTGCTAAAGCTCGACACTTCGGCGCGCCGCCGTAATTCTGCATGTCTTCTCGTCCCTCATACCCTCCTGCATCCTGCAGTATCGCGCCCCCAACCTGCGTCAAGTCCGCGATGTCGTTTGAGCAATGGAAGAGATAAATGCTGGCACCTGCACATGATCGGCCCCATAGGCTTATAAAGGAGATTATGATGTGAGACTTCGACTCAGGCCTGCAGGGGCGACATCGCAGTCGCTTCGAGGCTCGTCTCTTTCGATCATGCGCGATGGCGACGGCGCAGCAGCGAAGCCACTACACAGGTGGAAAGGGCATCCAAGGACCCGAATGCCTATGGAGCGGAACGAATAACTCAAGTATCACTGGAGCGTCATCCTGTTAGGTTAGGCCAGGCCGAGTGGGAATTCCCGCAAGGACGCAGAGCTGCGGGCGACGCCCGAAGGCTGTGAGAGAGAAAAGGCGAAAGCAAGGCGAAGAGGAATAGTCAAGACATCACAAAATTGTCACGAAGGCAGGAGACAGAAGAGTCAAGTTGATGATGAAGAGTTCTTTGTATTGAAGTATGGATGTAATGAAGACATGAAGAACCAGATGAAGACCAAGCACCGACTCAATCCGCTGTGAGCTCGGTTAACTCTATGCTACTAAGCACCCTTCGCGGGGTGCTTAGTAGCATAGAGTTAACCTAAGGAGCTATGTCACTAAGCAACCATAGCGGGGGCGCTTAGTAACATAGACTTAACCTAGGGAGCTCACAGCGGATTCAACCCTACCAAGAGCACCTCCACTGAGAATGAGCCAGTCCGAACAGATGAATCTAAACAGCAGAGTCTAAACTACCTAGCAGTGTCCTGACGCTTTTTTTTGCGTCGATGATGTATTGATATACGTTGAGGTATCTGAAAGAGGTTAGAAAGAGGTCAATAAAGGAAAGAAAAGGGCCGACTTACTTATTTTGGTGGTTGCAGCGAATGTATGTGAAGGAGTGAGGGGACGTGAGAAGAGCATGACGTTGAGTTGAGGGTAGAGGCGTCGGAGTAGAAGAGTTGAAGTCGTAGTGTCGAAATAGTAGAATGTGTCGAAGTGGTAGATCGTATTGGCATGACGTGCTTTCCTGTCGTTGACCTGACCCAAGTGGGCGCCGGACAAGGTGCAGCAGTTGAGTTGGGATGATGGCGGTCGGTCGGGTCGGGAGGAGAGAGACGACGGAGGATTTGAGATGAAGGGCGAATGGGAGTGATGTTGGAGCTGATGTGGACATCGTCGAAGGAACGAAGTGACGCTGAGAGGCGTCACTGCGGTGAGAGCAGCATCAGGATAGTGATGGCACTGATGCGAGGAGCAGCTTCAGTCATGGGTTTTTTTTCTGTGAGGTGTCAGCGATGAGTCGGACGAAAGAGGGGAAGGGTAATTACTGCTTGAGTGACTGAAAGCCGGCAACGGCACACATCGCTGATGGAAGGTGCTCATGGTGTGGTTGGTGTGTTGCCGAAGGCATTGGATGCCGATGAGGTGTGGCAAAGGTGAGGTCAAAGTCTAGTGATGACTCAAGGTCGATGGGGCTGAAGGTCGACTTGACATGAAGATGTCATGGTATTGAGATGAAGGATGGTTTGAGGTCGACTTCATGGTGGGTGGGTGATGTTGTTTGTTGTGATGACGTCAAACATCATGAGTCTTGGCAGACATAGTATTGAATTTCTGTGACGAAGTCAGTACATGAGGCAGGTGAAATGAGATGAAGTACTGACGCTTTGATAGCTGAGATGAGAGGGAGAAGCCACTTCATGGTGGAAAAGTTCATTGATGTTGTGGTGGTGGGTGAGGTGGAGTGAGGAAAGAAGTGAGGGAGGCGGCGGGGCGGGCGAGACTATATAGACGGGGGGCAGAGGCGCACGGGCCGCTCGCTTAATCGTTAGCTAAGCAAGAGCTGGCGCTGGATCACAGTCGGGAGCTTTGATCAGGTCAGGAATTGCGGGTCTGGATCACGCGGGAGCTTGTTAGGGCAGGCGGTGAGGGAGCGGGAGCAGGTGAGGGAGTCCCAGATCACACTCGCTTAACGACGGCGCACGCCCATTGGCTAGGCAGAGCACCGACGGCTCTCCAGATCGCAAGAGAAGGGCGGAAAGAAGCGGGCGGCAGGCACGAGACTTGGCGAAGAAACTGACAGCGGGTCATACGGTCGGACATCGCAAGTCACAGTGGCGGCAAGCTGAGCCGACAGTAGGCAGCAGCAAAGGCCAGAGATATGGCTCGGTAGCGGTGATGTCACCGCCGGGTCAGGCGGCCGTTGCTTGAGGAGAGCGGGCAGTGACTGCCAAAGAGGGGAGAGCTATGAGGTAGTCGGTGACGCACAGAGGCTCGCACCGTCGAGCGGTCATTGGCTCGTTGGATGACTCGTGCTCGAGCGAGGCGGGGGGAGGGTGAAGTGACGGCCGGAGAGGTTGGAGGGGATAGAGCTACGAGCTGGCAGGTGAGAGACTGTGACGCGTCTCGCCATAGCGCGGCCGGTAGCAATGAAGCTGGACCTCCCATGCGATGAAATTGACCGCCAACACCTCTTCACGTCCTTGTCTGCCTACTATGTTGTGACAGTGACTCTTATAGTGATCCTGGCGCGAAAACAGGAGCCAGTGTGGACGACCACTGCCACGAGGGTGATGGCGGGTGTCTCATGGTCTGAATCGAAATCACTCAACTCCAGGCCCAGGCTTTATTCCAGTGCTCTTCCTTGAAAGACTTGCCATCGGATTCAACGAGATGTGATGGAGATGCCGACGTCGGTCGATGACGAATCGTCATGCGTACCGATGGCAGGAACCACGAAGCCCACGAATGCTGAAGGCGACATCCTCTTAGCAGCTCGAAATAATTTTTCATCGCCGCGTTACTCCGAAGGCGTCATACCCACGGTGATGATCTTCTCTGGAGTTGTTAGCCTAAGTTCTGTGCACCGATCTGAGGCCCAAGAAAATAGCTCTTCCCTATGTCACCGAGGACGAAAGCCAGGACTATTCCAATGCATCTCAAGAGTGGATTCAACACTGCCTGCTTTTGGATGGTGAAGGGCGATGGACTGCGGACATGTAATTCCTTTCTGTTGTTCGATCATCAAAGGAAGAGCATAATTGGAGCGGAAAGGGACAGACTGCTACTACCATGATAGTACCTACAGCACGCAGTAGAGTATCATTAGAGTATCAGAGACGTACTGCGCATAGACGTAGTACTGCTCTAGGCGTCTCCTCGGCCGCGAACGTTGATGATTTACTCCGCCCTGCCAACCCGCACAATTTCCATCACTACTCCACGGAACTCCGAACCCGACTCTGGATATTAGATAGAACCGCAACGTACGGAGGTACATTTTGGTACGGTGATAATGACGTCACCTCGTACGGTCAGAGCGATGCCGACTCTGAATGGAGAAAGGGCAGCGATTGGAAATGGTACAGGCGATCTGTTAAGCTTGCAAGGTATCTAATGCGGGGAATAACGTAAGATTATAGTGGGGTGCCTTAGGAGCGATATAATAGAACATCTCTGACCTTGATGCACTATCAGCATTTCCTCTCCGACAGCTCACACCCCAAGTTGTCGTGTCTTACCGAACGAAACAATATTGGCCCCTAGTGAAAGACAGACACACTATGTCTCTAGCTTGGATTACCGGTTTAGGGTTGCTAGGTTTCAGCTTACTACAACTCCTGCTTGTATGCTCAGCTGCCGTCGACATTATCCGTATTATGATTTATGATACAACTAACTCACGTCAACAGACCCTCTTCTCTCGAGCTCGCAGTCCACTTGCTTCACTTCCAGGACCGTGGTATTCGAAATGGACGGGTGCAGTGTTGCACTTCCACTTTATTCGGGGCCAACGTCCCCCATACGTCCAACGCCTGCATGAGAAATACGGTAGAATAGTCCGGATCAGTCCCAACCAAGTCGACTTCTCCTCTGTTACCGCCGCAAAGCGAATCCACTCGTACACGCGTCCGCTGCGCAAAGGCCACATGTACCACGACCTCGCTGGTGGCGGCAAATTTGTCAATATCTTCAGCACACAAGACTTTGAGTATCACCAGCGCCATCGGAGGCTGCTCTCGGCCCCATTGTCAGAGTCCGGGCTCAAGGGCGTGGAACACGTCGTGGAGGAGCGAGCGAAGCTGGCGGTGCAGAGGATCGGGGAGGAGATGAAGAGTGAGGGAAGGGCGGATGTGATGAAATGGTGGTTGTTCTTTAGCGCGGATGTAATTGGTGAGCTCAGCTTCGGCAACAGCTTTCGCATGCTCGAACGGGGCAGTGTAGGTCACCCGTCATCTCATTGCCGACCCTGTGAAAGATGTGCCTGAACGAGCGGCAGTCTGACGTGCATGTCGCTATAGGAAAATCAGTACACCCTCGATCTCAAGATGGTGTCCAAACTCGGCGGCCTACGCGTTGCGTTCCCAGCACTTACAAGGTTCGCCTCCCACGTTCGCCTTCCGATCCTTACGGAGGCCACGGCCGGATCATTGCGAATGCGAGCCTATGCCCAAGAATGTATCCAACGGTACGAGCGCATCGTCGCGGCAGACCCAACGAACCCTAAGCCCACGCTCTTTACGAAGTTATTCCGCGCCGGAGAGGAGGGCATGTCGCAACTTGAGATCGTACAGGATGCACAGACGTATATATCAGCGGGCAGTGACACCACGGCGCATGGTTTGACGTTCTTGGTCTGGGCCGTCTGCCGAGACGAGGAAGTGAAGCGAAGGCTAGTTGAGGAAGTGGCGACGTTATCGGAGGGATACAAAGACGAGGACTTGAAAGTTTTGCCGTACTTGGACCAGGTGATACACGAGATCTTGAGATTGTATGCGTCTGTGCCGGCTGCACTGCCTAGGGATGCACCTTCAGGCGGCTGCGAAATTGATGGATGTTGGATGCCGGAGGGAACTACAGTTTGCACGCAGGCATATTCCATGCATAGAGACCCAATCGTCTTTTCAGAACCTGGACGGTGAGCCCATCGGGGCCGAACAAAGGACGACGCCGAGCGCTGACAACTACAGATTCTTACCTTCCCGATGGGAGAATGCGACGAAAGAGATGACAGACGCGTGGATGCCCTTTGGTGGAGGCGCTCGGAGTAAGAACGCCTCGCAATCATCTAGCCGTTCTCTGACTGATTATTTGATAGTATGCATAGGACTCCATCTGGCGATGATGGAACTTCGCCATGCTACAGCCACGTTTTTCCGGGCGTATCCTAATGCTAAGGTGTCGTACAAAGATGGGTTTAGGGACGATGATATGGAGCAAGTCGCTTATTTTCTCATGTACCCTAAGAATAAGCGCTGCCTTGTTGAAACCTCATGAGTTGTCTAGTATACAGATTAGCCGACTGGAGGTGCGTCAGGGGGTCTTCTTAGTATATGTATCTTGGTTGCTATGATGCTTCCACGGTAGCGGATCCATTGTCTTAGTCAGAGTTGAGAGAATATGCTAGTCAGTGACAACTATCCACTGAGAGTTCAACTCTAAGAGCTGAAAGCTGCATCCGCAATTATGTCATGGACCAAACGGATGTAATAGCTTCCGCAAGCCGTCTCCAGGCGGTCGGATCGTGCGTCCTAGGTGCCTAGCTCTTATATGCACCTGTCAGTACATGTCCGGAATATCGTTGGTGTGAGGCAGTGCATACGTGTTTGGAAGCCGACGAGAAACCGCGAGTAGCATGTGAGCCGAGTTAGGATTGCTGCAGTGAGGCTTCCATATAGAGTTGACCATCTGTAGGACGCCTTAGCGGCCGTGATATCCTCACCCGAATGCCGTCTGTACGATGAGCACAAGACAACAATACTGAACAGGGAACGACAGGAGCGAAGCCTTGGGCCGTATTGAACGGACTGCGTCGAGGTCGGTGAACTGAACTTGCTTCGGACGGGATTCTAGACAACCGGTGACACCACGCATGCAGGTTTTCCATGCTCCTTACATGTGTCTCTCCTCCGTCGTTTAAACCCCTATCAGGTCACTGAGGTGGGTTCCAAATGAAGGCTCCAGCTCGGTATTCGCCAATCCATGGCGGGCTGCGGTTCGACCGGATCGTTGCTTTCCGAATTCGCGCGCCAACTGTCCCGGCTGTACCTATACGATAGCTGCTCTCGGATGCTTCTCACCTGGATGTGCTGCGCTCAGCTGTGTGACGATGCCGTCAGCCACACGAGCCGCCATCCCTGCGGCTGCGTTGTCGGATGTTGCCAGCAGGTGCATTGGGCGGCTTATACTCTCAAGTGGAAAATGCGTCCAGTTGAGCGAGTATAGCGAGACTATAGCGAGGACGTAAGGAAGGTTGGATAAATCGAGCCCTTCAGTTTCTAATCTTAGAGCGGGGTGCAGAGGGGCTCTGCTGTCGTTATTGTCGGCACTGTGCCTGCCAGGGTCAGCTTCCCAGGATGTTCATGCACTTGGTCATCTAGGCGATGACGCTATTGGCGCAGAGAGCCACTACAGGCGCCCACTTTCTTCTAAGGTGCTATTATAGAGACCGTTTGATCAACTCGAGACTAGTATTCAACCGTCGAGTACAGTGACGTGTTGGCGGGCGCTTCTTGAGACAGGAGAAACGTAAGGGTGCCGGGTCCGCAAAGATGGGGGGGTTTGGCCCGCCAAGTTCGTGTATCGCTTCCTTCTGCAGGATGCTGGAAGCTGCAGCAGCCGGCCGATGGACCGTTTCCTTTACCAAATATGCTTCCAATGGCGCGAAACAGAGAAGCAGGCGTGTCGTTGGGGTCTGAAAACCGGTTGCTATCCTTTCAGCTATGGACGCTCTTCGGACTCCTTTGGCGTTTGGGCGCAGGCGGCTGCCGGCCTGGTTCGATGATGGAAGAGCAGGTCCAACGTCAGCCACCGCGGGTGCTAGCTCGATGTCCAGTGTCGAATTTCTCGATTGGGTGGATGGGTAGGCGTTCGGGGGGCTCTGTCGCGTGGTGTCCAGGGGTGAAGTGGTCGGAGTACAGTCTCTCGGGCCCTGGGGGTGACGGTTCGGGAATCAGGCTGACCCTGAGGCGCGCTCTGGCTGCAACTGCTGCACAATGCTGGTCGAGATGATGTATTTGGGTGCGGCCCCAACGTGAGAAATCATATGCTGGCGGGGCGCGGTCGGCTGGCGGGCGGGCAACCAACCCGCCCGCAGCCTGTGTATGGGTGTCCCCTTTCTAGCGCAGAGGGGCGGGCAGTCGAATGAGGGCCGTCTACGTTGCGGGCGGGTTTTGAAACGGCGTCGGAATCCGCTCATAAGGGCGGGTAGCCTCAGCGGCTGCGCGAGTTTTGTTGATTCCTGTCTCGCGGGAGTTTGACGACAGCCTGCGCCGCAACATCTGATCGCTGGCCGCTGAACTCGGTCCACGCTCCCTCTCCACGGTCAACATTCACACCCTCGTTTGCTGCCGTGCGGTCGCGGCTCTGGCGACTCTTTCCTGGCTGGGCACCCGCATGCTGTCCGCCGGCCACAGGCTGTCCGCTCGTCGATATTCCGCCTATTCCACTTCTCGGCAAGCCCAGCTCGCACGCGCCTCCATCCTCTCCACCACGTCCAGCGCCCCTCACACATCCACCTTCTGAAACTCGCTCGAGTCGCACCCTCGCGGCCGGAAAGACGCCAGGCCCAAGCACAGCGCCAGCACGCCCGCCCGCCCGTGCCGTTCTCGCTGCATCTCACGCCTGCCTGCTGCTGCTGCAGCGACTTTGGCCCGCCGCCCGTGCCTGTCAACGTCACGTTCATCGCCCGAGGGCAGCACCGGCCAGCCCGCCCCCCAACGCGCCCTGACCGCTGTCGCCGCCGGCAGACGTCTGGAGTTTGCTGAACCGTGGAAGAGTCGGTCAGTTCTTCGGCTGACGGCAGCTACCCGCGCTGCTGGGACCAAGCAGGTTGACGTGCAACCTCAAGCCCACACCGCAGACACCCCTCATTCCTCTCCCCCAGATCCAGCCCGACATCTCCACACGCTTGGCCGCCTAGCGACGCGCTGCCTTGTCGCTCCGCCACGAGCCGCTGCCTTGCGCACATCGCCTTACCGCCAGAGCTGCTGGCGGCCTCACATACACCATACCGCTAGGCGGAAGGCCGCTCGTTTAGACAGTCTATAGATGCTGCCGTACGTCGAAACAACTTCGTCGACACCCCCGCCCAACATGTCGTCCCCCGCGCCCCTCCTTCGGCCACCCATCCCCGGTGCCCGCTCGCAAAGCGGCAGCCGCACCCCTCGTCTTGGTCTCTCAATACCCCCATCACCACATGCCAGGCCCGTCGTCAACGGCACAAACGACGCCCAGAACCTCGCCCGGCCGACCCCTCCGCAGCTACGCCTCGCGACCCCGATGGGTACGAGCCATACACCACACGAAGGACGCCCTCATCCAAAAGGGCTGCCACCGCTGCAGATCGGATCATCAGGCCTCTCAGCAGGAGGCTCAAGCGATACGAGCGCACACTCGCGATCAGGGAGCTTTGGGGAGGTGCAGGCGAACGGGTCGGCGTCATCCTACTCGGCTGCCCTGGGCTTTCCTGGTCTTCAAAGACCGCACCAGGGCTCAGATCCCATATCTGCAATATCACAAGGCGGCAGTGAAAGTGCGCCATCAATGGAGAGGGAGGGTAGCAGCCAGCCGCTGCCGGACCTGGAGCAAATGGCTGCAGACAAGGGTGCGCCGCTGGACGTGGAAGACTTGGATGATGCGGGTTGGAAAGCAGCAGCCGCAAAGGGCATGATTGAAGAGAAGGGCGGCCTAGGAGAAGGCGCAGGCGGCGCAGTCACAAAATGTATCCTGAAAGGTGGGAAGACCATCTTCGCGTTGAAGGTATTGCATCCTGTCTCCGCTCATTGCCCACGCTGACTTTGTGCCCAGATCATAACTACAAACCCAGACCCCGACGTCAAGAAGCAGATTGTGCGCGAGCTTTCCTTCAATAAGAACTGCGCAAGCGACCACATCTGCCGCTATTACGGTGCTTTCATGGACGACAGCACCGGCACCATCAGCATTGCCATGGAGTTTTGCGAGGGTGGCTCTCTGGATTCGGTCTATCGAGAAGTCAAGAAACTGGGAGGCCGGACTGGGGAGAAAGTACTCGGCAAAGTGGCGGAAGGTGTCCTGAACGGATTAACGTACCTCCATTCTCACCGCATCATCCATCGAGACATCAAGCCCAGCAACATTCTGTTGTGCCGAAATGGACAGGTCAAGCTATGCGATTTCGGCGTCTCCGGCGAGTTCGGAACGAAAGGAGACGCTAACACCTTTATCGGGACGTCATATTACATGGCACCTGAGCGGATAACTGGACAAAGCTACACCATCACCAGCGACGTGTGGAGCTTGGGCGTGACACTACTTGAGGTCGCCCAACACCGATTCCCTTTCCCCGCGGACGGTACAGAGATGAACCCTCGTGCTGGGCTTATTGATCTGCTTACTTATATCGTGCGACAACCGATCCCAAAGCTGAAGGACGAGCCAGAGAACGGCATTCGGTGGTCGGAGAACTTCAAGTACTTCATTGAATGCTGGTATGCATTTTCCTTTCTGACGCGAAGAGAACAGCAGCTAACAATCTACAGTCTCGAAAAGGAACCTCCTCGTCGAGCCACGCCTTGGCGCATGCTCGAGCATCCCTGGATGCTCGAAATGAAGACCAAGAAAGTCAACATGGGCCATTTCCTCAAACAAGTATGGGATTGGAAGGACTAATCCCGGTTCCACCCATCGCTTTCGATTGGACGGGCGTCTCCCGTCCACAGCAATGTTCTACTCATCTTCTTGGAACCATATCTAGGGTCATGTGCTGGACATAGATTAAAGAAGACCACATCATCTCGGCTTCGTTTGGCGGGCACCACGGAGGAAAGCACTGTCATAGGCATGCATTAGGCCCTTCAGTATGAGGGACACAGGTCAATGTTAGCTTACGAGCTTGGAAATGTGAACAGGGTATGCGGGATGAAGACAAATATCTGGTGGTTGTGCTGTACACTTGAGCCCACCATTACATGGCATTGGCAGGCGTTTGACTCTTTATTCTGGGCACAGACGTAGCATAATCGCGCAACGGAAAACCGTGCGCCTTGAATTAAAGGGATACGACTCAAGTGGCTCTGCCAATACAGAGTGCTACATGCATTTGATCGGAGTCTTTTCACTGCGAATGCACAGTTAGGGACGCGTACAGTCATAATATCGGCCCGGAGATTATCCGAATCACTCGAGGTTGGAGTCATCGACAACAATTTGTCCTCCCAGCCAGCGCTTCATGCCACACTTACACAACTCCCCCGAATCAATTGGGCTCTTCTAGGCGGTTACATACCAAAGACGAAGGCTTTTATCTCGCAGCCAACCGAACCCGTACCGTCTCCATCGAACTGGTTTACCCCACCACGTTGCCCACCACAGCCGTCAATCCCCCCGTTCGCTAGCATTCTCGGCCCAGCATGCCTACGATAACGGTAGACAAGGCGGCTCTCTTCAAAGAGCTAGGAAAAGAGTATACAACGGAAGAATTCGACGAGCTATGCTTTGACTTCGGCATCGAGCTGGAAGAGGACACGAGTCATAGCACGAAACCGGAGGACCAGGCGCAACCGCCGCAATTGAAAGTTGAGATACCCGCGAATCGATATGACATGCTGTGCTTCGAGGGCATTGCGTTGAATCTCAGGGTCTTCTTGGAGAAGCAAAAGCTGCCGGAATGGAAACTTAGCCCACCAGCGTCCGGGGAGCTAGAGACGCTTACGATCAAGGAGGAGGTACGCTCTCAGGATATGGAGAGTGAATTGATGGCAGCTAACGTGCTCACCTTCCACAGACCATGAAGATTCGGCCGCTCTGCTCCGGCGTTGTGCTACGGAACATTAAGTTCACTCAAGAGAGATACGATTCCTTCATTGCGCTGCAAGACAAGCTACACCAGAATTTGGCTCGCCAGCGGACATTAGTCTCAATCGGAACTCATGATCTTGACAGTGGGTTCACGTGTAAGGGAACGCGTAGGCTGTGGCTGACAGAATGCAGCGATCCAGGGTCCCTTCACATACGAGGCTCTTCCCCCGGAGCAGATTGAGTTCATTCCTCTGAACCAGACCAAGAAAATGAACGGGAAGCAGCTCATGGAGTTCTATGAGGTAGCTAGGTCCCTTTTCCTGCCGTCGAGAACCCGACTGATTCAGAGTAGAAAGACAAACACCTCGGCCGATACCTACACATCATTCGAGACTCGCCCGTCTATCCCGTGATATATGATTTGAACCGCACTGTCTTGTCGCTGCCCCCGATCATCAACGGTGACCACAGCAAGATCACACTCGATACAAAGAACGTCCTCATTGAGATCACGGCACTGGACAAGACGAAGGTCGAGCTTGTCAACCACACGCTGGTCGCCATGTTCGCAGGATACGCAGAGTCGATAGAGCCGATTAAGATCATCTCACCGCACAACAACGAGTCACGGGAAGCTCCGGATCTTACCCCGCGAGAAACACAGGTCGAGGTTGATTATCTGAATCAGGTCACCGGTTTGGACCTATCACCGGCTGAGATATCCAAGTTGCTATCGCGCATGGGCTACACCATAACTGACTCCCGCTCAGACAGCAACCTCTTGGATGTATCTGTGCCAATTACCCGGGCGGACGTTCTACATCAGGCCGATATAATGGAAGACTATGCTATTGCATACGGTTTCAACAACCTTCCGCGCCAGAACCCGAACAAGTCAGCCACAATTGCAGCCCCACTCCCAATCAACAAGCTCAGCGATATTGTGCGGTTAGAATCGGCAGCTGCTGGATGGAACGAAGTTATGCCTCTCATCTTGTGCTCACACGAAGAGAACTTTGAGTGGCTAAATCGGAAAGACGACGGAAAGACGGCCGTCAAGCTCGCCAACCCGAAGACAGTCGAATACCAAATCGTGCGAACGTCCTTACTACCCGGGCTACTCAAGACTATAAACTCCAACAAGCACCATGCAATGCCAATCAAAATCTTCGAAGTCAGCGATGTTGGCTTCATAGATCTGTCGTTGGAAAGGAAGAGCCGAAACGAGCGGCACTTTGCAGCAGCCATCATGGGGAAGACAAGCGGATTCGAGCAAGTGCACGGCTTGCTGGACAGGCTGATGCTGATGCTCAAATCGGCCTTCATTACGCGAGAGGAAGGTCTGCAAAATCCAAAGTTCTCTGGGTACTGGATCGAGGAGGTTGATGGTAAGTCGTGGTTCGAACACTGGAGGACTTGGCTAATATGGACAGATCCAACCTTCCTCGAGGGACACGTAGCTGCTATTAAGCTGAACATTGATGGCAAGAATGAGACTGTCGGCGTTTTCGGCATCCTGCATCCGTCGGTGTTGCAGAAATTCGAAATACCGTAGGTCGCATCTGGTCCCAGGATCCGCAACACTGTTACTAACGCGCTTATCCAGATATCCCGTTAGTACACTGGAGTTCAACCTCGAAGTCTTCTTGTAGCCAGTCGGTCCATACGGTTATAGGCGCTCTTCGTGCATAGGAAAAGTTCGCTTGAATTATAGTAGATACCTAGATTTCATTGCGAGAATGAAAGAGGGTAGATTTGTGTCACACGACTTGCGACACGCTGAAAAGCTCCAATCACCACTTTGAACCCCCTAAAGTAGCCGCGCGCAATATTCAATAGGGCGTTTCTTACCTTCAGAGCGCGGTTCGGGAAGCGTTTCGGACCGCATCCCCTGCATGCGGCACAGCAACATGGGCGCCTACCTAGGGGCCAACCATGCGTGCACCAATAGCACCCGAGCTCATATCTATTGCGAAGTGAGCCCTCATAACCTCCACAATCCCAGGACCCTTCACACGCTGTTTCTTCTTCAATAGCTCAGTCGACCTGACGTTAACCCCGTTGTGGCTGCTATGGACGGCGAAAATTTGTCTCTCATTTCCAGGCATAGAGATGTGCTCGAGAGGCTTGGAGATCGCGAGCCATCCACTACTTTGGAGGCGCAGGCAGTCATCGAGAGCATTAGAGCTGAGAAGGGTCATCTTGACGAAGAGACACTACATGAATTGAACTCGATATCGGATCGGAGTCGCCAGAATGTCTTGCGAATTGTCGAGCTGAAGAAGGAGACAGAAGCAGCATATACCAGAAGGTAGCAATAACACCCTCATGTGCCCGCATGCGCTAACGCTATTCAGCATCTCAGAACAATTGTACTCTTCGAAGTACCGATTGCTGTATGAGCTTGTTCAAAATGCCGACGATGCCCTCTATCACAAAGCTCACGCGAACAACGAGCCACCTTACCTGGGTTTCACGATCACGCCTGATACTTTCGTCGTCGAAACAAACGAGGACGGGTTCACGAGAGCTAATGTCGAGGCCATATGCGCGACGGGAAAGAGCTCCAAAACGGCTTCTGCGGTCGACGACCACATCGGCGAGAAAGGTTTCGGTTTCAAGTCTGTCTTCTCCGTAGCCGACGAGGTTCAGATTCAGTCGGGTGTATGGTCGTTCTACTTCAAGCATCGCCGAGGCGACGATGGGTTGGGCATGGTCACGCCACTGGATGGTCAATTCGGCGCAGAGTCTCAGGTTGGGACACGGATAACCCTCAAACTTTCGGAAGCCGCAAGAACAGAATATCAGCGATTCCTTGACGCTGTCGCTGATGTTCCTGATACCACTCTCTTTTTCCTCCAAAAGCTGAAGATGATAAGGATCAACATTACACGGCCAAATTCCTCATCATCGGAGACTAGAGAAATTCGTAAACGAGTCAGATCATCCGGACGCAAAGTAGTACTGACCCGGACGACGAGGCGTCCCACGGGAGGCATAGCAACAGCCGTGACGGAAGAAAGTGTCTACCACGTCTTCTCTCATACTGTCTGGCGCATGCCGCAAGATGACCGACGCAGAGGTCGAACCTGGGCAAAAGTTGAGTTGGCCTTCCCGGTGAACGAGGCCGACAAGCAACCGAAGCTATCTGAGCTCGGCCAACATGTTTTCGCCTATCTCCCACTGCAGAGATTGCCTCAAGTACAGGTAAGCCCCGGATCCATCGTCAAATGAAAACGCCTGATCACGTTTAACAGTTTCTCATTCAATCGGACTTCATCACCTCTGCAAGCCGCGAGAGCGTTGTAGACTGCGCTTGGAACGATGCTATTAGAGACGGTGTCGCGCATGCCTTTACAACCGCTGTAGCATGTTTCGCAGCCGCTGATCACCCTTTACGGTATTCGTGGCTCGCCTATCTTCCTACGAGGCCTATGGAGCATCTCTGGAGACCGCTCTACCCCTCGATTAAGAGAATGTTGCAGGACATGCCAATACTGCAAACCTGGGAGGGCAGGCGCTTCAAAAGTCCTAGCTCGTTACGGAGAATGACACCACTAGCTTTGCATCAAGGACAACCCATCTTCAAGGATCTTCCCGAGGAAAAATACCTGGCCCCAGAGTACGATACCGCTCACGAGACAATTCTGGACGACCTCGGCGCAACCAAGATCAATTTTGATGACATGTTGAGACGATTGGAAGCGGATCTCTTGAGGCCTACTTCGGATTTGCGGACACGAGTGCCAAGCGATAGTTGGCATGAGTCCTGTGCTGCCTTACTACTGCTGTCTTTCTCAAGCCAAAACCACCGTTCAGTACAGCAGCGCATGAAGAGGCTGGCGATTATTCCACTCGCCGGTGGACGTGCATGGACTGGCGCCCCAGGGATCAGCTCCGGAGGTCTCAATGAGATATACTTCCCCAGTACCAACGGTGTCCCTATCCCCCGGGATATTAGCTTGCATTTAGTGGAAAGTGCTGCAGCGGCCTATCCCAAGCGCAAAGACTTGTTTCGAAAACTGGGGGTCAAAGAGTGCGCAAAAGAGATCGTCTTCTTAAGGATTGAAGCAACTCACAGATCGCCAAACATTTCTATCGAGTACAAACCACACTTCCGGTACCTATTCCATTTCCATCCGCAACCCGCGTCTCTCAGAGAATGGATCAAGATTCCAACTGAAAGAGGATACCTGGAGCCAACATCCGCGCTCATGTACTTTCTCTCCAATCGCGAATACGATACGCAGCAGCTCCTTCCTGAAAGGTTTAGAAGCAGCGAGAACGACATTGCTACATTCGTCAAACAAGACTTAGCCGAGCTAGAGCCATCCCAGGTTCGTCAACAGGATCGCACTTGGAAAGAATGGCTTGGACTAGCAACGGGGGCTCTCTATCATCCTCCCCTGGTGCAACGGGCGGGCTTGTTTGGCTTGGAGGTATCGAAAGTCTTATCTGCTGTTCTCGAACACAACCCGAGAAAGTTTGTGGGTGCATTGAAAGAGCACTGGGAACAGTACCGAATAGACGCTCATCGTGTCAGAGTTCAACTCGGAGAATGCGATGTTCCTTGCGAACCCGCAGAATCCTTTCCGCTCCAATCGACGTACATTCCTACTGCCGAGATCAGATCGGAACTGCAGAGGTTGGAAGTTCAAGACGGTTTTCCCTTGCTTCGGCTACCCTCGCCCACAGAGAATTCGAATCACCAAGAATGGCGATTTCTAGAGGAGCTCGGGGTCCGTTTCCGAATGGATATCAACTTCTACAAGCTAATCCTAGGCCATCTGATGGAACGAAGCAATACCACCATGGACCGTGTAAAGTATGTGTACGGATGCGTAGTGCGACTTACCACAGTTCAAGATCAAGAGGAACTCAGGTACGAAGACCGTTAAGCTCCCCAGGGACTTTACTCACGGAATGCAGGAGTTTCTTTGGATCTCGCCATTCAATCGCCTATTTCGATGGTTCCAACACGCTGAAGTGGACTACCCCCTCGAAATGTGTATGGAAGGGGCCCGATTTCCTCAGCGTCAAAGTGCCTTTGGAGAATCAATACGGCGAAGAAGGGTATCTTGCCACCCTGTTCCGCGTGTTCTTGGGGATACGTGATTCAAATCATGGAGATATACTAGATGAGCTCAAACATAGAAGGCACAACTTGACTGCGAGCCGCTGGTCGCCTTCTGACGCCGAGAAACTGTACCGATTCCTGGATGAGACCTTACAAGCGGAATTCGAGTGGCAGTCCATCAGGTGAGCATTGCCGTAACCTCCCTGATCCTTTCTAATAATGGTCCTTAGGGGAGCTTTCAACCGGGAAAATTTGGTGGTGGGAACTGGCGGGCGCTGGTACACACTGCAATCATGCTTATGGAGAAGCCCGTTCTCGCTGGCCGACTATCAGGACCTTTCGACAATCTATCCAAACCTAGAGCGATTCTTCGTGCATCGCCTCAAAGTCAAGAATGCAAATCCGGCGATGCTCATCAACGATATTAGAAGAATGGCACAAGAGGACGCTCCACAGATCGATGACATCCGTCAACGCCTCGTCGAAGTGGGCAGGATGATTGCGAAAGGAGGAGATGATGTGACCTCCTCCACGGCTCTCGACAGACTTAAGGAGGTCAAATTCTTGCCCAAGAAGGCCGCGGATGGCAACTCAGTCCTCGTCGGCATTGACGATGATTTTGTCATCCTTGATCACAAACGCTACGGTGATGCTTTCGCACAACACTCGGTGCTTCTCGCTTTCGCACTGGATGAGGCGCAAACTCTCGATAAGCTATTCCAGTGCTTGGGGTTGACGCACCGCTATCTCTCTTCAGCTGTAACAGAGCTCTCTACCGTGGGGGAAGACGCGATCGAGAGCGAGGTCCTAGGAGAACAGCTCCGCAGCAAAGCATACACTCTCTATTGGTAAGTGCGCTTGCGCATCTACACTATCTCTCGATTACCCTTCCCAATCCACCCGTCGCACTGACATAACCAGCTGTGCGACCAAGTACAAGAGCGTCAAAGCCCTACGGGGAGAACGGGAGCTCTTCGAACAACTCTCGCTTGTCCAGATCTACACTACCAACAACATGACAACAGACTTAGTCCTCAATCTCGGCACGATGCAAGTCAGAGTACAGAGTGATCGACTAGCGATCCACCACGAGCTACAGGAAGGACAGCTGAAGATCTACGTGCCCGCTGATCAGCGCCAATGCAAGAGATGCTACAAATTACAGCTACCCGGTCTCCTCGCGGGCTTCCTCGGTGTTCTAGGTGAGGCGACCCATGATATATCGATCATCCTCGAGACCAATACCCGGGACCTGGAGGACACAAAGTCGCTAATGGATATTCCGGATGTTGACTGGATCGAGCGGCCGGTGATAGAGCTCCCTGCCCCGCTAGAAGATAGAAGTCTAAGCACGCCTGCCCCTGCCAGGCGTCCTTCTGATATCGGTAGCGAGAGCTCGGAAGCATCCTCAGCGCCTTTGACGCCGAGCAGGAATGTTTTCACGCCAGAATCCACTGCAGAGCAGAGTGGGCGTGCGAGCCGCATTCCATTTGCTGATGATGTCAGAACTCCTCCAGTGGCTATGCCGCCTCAGTACGAAAGGCTCGTCGAGCAAGTTGTGTGGAGTGCGCAGCGAGTAAGCTACGCGCAGGGTCGAGCGAATTCAAACGCCGCACCCGCACGCAACATACCACCTTTCAATGCGCCGCCCGATGATGACTTTGACCACGAGCGTACATTCGGGAACCGCGATAGGAACGAGATGGCGCATGATAGGAGAATTGGCGCTGCTGGGGAAGCCTACGTAAGTCTTCGCCATTGAACATTGCAGCCGCGCTCTCTAACCGCCGTTCTGCAGGTCTTCGAGATCCTCTCCCGCCTCAACCTGTCCAGCTTTAGTCGCGACAACTGGCGCAGCACGATCAGAGGCGAATTGCGAGGCCATTCTCGCTATGCGGATATGGCTGACTGGCTCGGCCGCGAGACGGCGGATATAGTCTACACGGACAGGGATGGCGGCTTGACCCAGCATCTCAGAGAGCACTGCTTTGGCGGCTTTCCTGACAGGATTAGTGAAGACTGGGACTTCGCAGTCCAGCCGATTGAGTATTTCCTAGAGGTGAAGACCACGACGAGTGCGTGCCATACGAGGTTCTTCATGAGCGGGAGTCAGTTCCAGAGAGTAGGTACCTTTTCTTTCTTTCTTTTCGGATATACTGCTTCCATCGACGTACGGGAGGGTGCTGACACACTCGCAGATGCAGGACATCGCTGTGCCAGACTTTGGTATGGTGAGGCAGGTGTACGTCATCTTTCGAGTGTTCAATGTGACGTCCCGTGAGGTGGGCATGAAGATCTTTGTGGATCCTTTCAGGTTCCGGGGTCGGCATATTGACTTCGAAGTTGGGACTTGGGTTGGCAAGGTAAGAGAGGGAGTGTGATAGAACTCGAGACATCGCTAGAGTACGAGGCCTAGTCTGGGCTGTGTTATGGCGTTTGTTGAATGAAAAGAATCCTCCATTCGTTTGATGAACGTTAGCCCGTCGTGAAAGAAAGAATGAAAGAGGAGTCCACTATGTTCAGAAAACGAGATGTTTGAGTCTCCGGGAAGGTACCTCCAGAATTTAGAGAGCAGTGCTTTTATTCCTCCGTCCTAGCTGTGTAGGTCTTGCGCTTCCAGCTTTTGAAGCTCATACGCATGATCCATAACCTTCTCCAATGCCGCCTAGGAAACCCTTTCCCTTTTCTTTTCACATCCTGCTCTTCTTCTCCGGTTGTCCTATAGCTGCTGTGTCCTATGTAGGTTCCGGTTTCATGGCGTGGCTGGAGGACGCTGCAGATTTTGTCGCGCCAAAACGGGGATATGGTTGGGGGAAGAGATTCGATTGGAAGGCCGGACGGGAAGGTATGCCGAGTTAGAGGCTACATGAGGCAAAACAGAGGTCGAATTAGGTGATGAAGGACGCATAGCTCCAAACGTAACCGGATCCATTCTTGGCTCGTCGTATTCCGTAGCTCTGGCCGTCTATGTTAGCCGCAGGCTATCCGGCTTGAACGACAGAATATAAACGTACTTTGCAAACATTTCCCGCATTGAAGGGCGCAGCTTCACACGAAGTCAGTCGGATACCCTGGCGGACTGTCTGGTCCCAAGGTCTGCGTACCAGTCGTGGAAATCATCAATCCTTCTTTTTCTGCACGTCACCTCTGACGTACTGAGCGCCCTTCTCAGAAGCCATGAGCTCAAGTTTCCAAACGAGAAGGCAGCTCAGAACCCAGGCGATTGACGCGACAGCCCAGATTCGCGGATGCTCTTGGATCGAGCCGGTGATGGTGAATTCTGACGAGGTAGCCATTTGGGGGACGCGTTGGAGGTGAGAGGAGATGACAAGGGCCGAGAAGAGTTGTAGTGGGTATTGGTCGCGGGAGGGCGAGAAGTAAAAGAGCGATGTTTTCTGGTGAGACGAGGTCGTGCGGCGTGGTTACCTCAGGTACCTCTTTCCTAATCAAGCTGTGCCAACATAAGTGCTTACCGGGCTTAAGCATTGGTAATTCCATTCCCACACACAACACGATGTGTTCGCACCGCGATTCATCTTCTAGAATGCCGTAGCGCTCGGCTAGTCTTTCACTTCCATCTACCTAGAATGACTTATCCGGCAGAAGGCTGAATCGGCATGCCCTGGTGGCACTGCAATATGGGTAACCTTTAAAGGTGTGCGACTGTGCTCAGAGTGAAAGCGTCGTCGTAGGATTGCGGACTTCGTGGGCTGTCTGGTGGATGAAGAATCATCGGCGTACCCGTCCTTTACGCTTGGGAGGAAGCAGTCTGTCATGCTGGCGTTTGCGGTGCAAATTACGACGATAGAGCGGACAACTCCAATGGATAAGATCAAGCAGAGATTAGGGTACAGGCCGAAGTTTACCACTAGCGAGGGACTCGAGAGGGCTGTGAGGTGGCGCTTAGAGGGAGTACAGGCGGGAAGGGAAGGTCAAAGTGGATTGAGATGCACGGCGTTCGAACGGCGGAATCTCGCTGTGCAGCTACTTGTTCCGGATGGGTCGAGATCTCCGTGGGTCCGTGTTTGTTGGGAGGGCGCGCGGGGCTCTATCGTGTGCGTATCGATATAGAAGTGGCTACTTCAGTACTTAAACTTCTACTAGGCGGCGGAACTTGAATCGCTTTTTCTCTCCTTCTGTGTCCCGATGCATCATTCAAGCGGCTCTAAGTGGGAGTTCCTAGAACGACGATGATCGAAAGGCCGACAAGTAGACGAAAGGGCCGTGTCCTCTATCTTGATGAATTGTCCATGAGCCCGAGGTCTCTAACATTACCTAATCCATACACTACGCATTGCACACGATACTGCAAACAAACGACATCTAGCACTAACCGGAGACTCGTAATCGCTCTTGGAGTAGGTCCGGTCACTTGCGAGGATGCATCGCCTTCCCAACCAAGCCGACAGACAAAGACAGGACCGTCCCAGTCTACACCATGAACGACCCGCCACGGCGACTTCGCGAGAAAGACGAGAATTCTAACGGGGAGCGACGGAAAAGATTGTTACAAGTGACAATAGGGGGATGGATGGGACGTTGTAGAAGAGAGGAAGAGAGATCAAGATGAGTGACTAACGTGGTCACGACGAACACAGATTTTATGTTGAAGTGATGGGGATAGCGGAATATGTGAGAGGAAGGACTGAGGGTATGAAGGTGATAAGTGGTATGGGAAGACGTCTAGCATAACATGCATAAAGGACTCAACGCGTCAGGGGCGCTGATTCTTCGAATGGCTCGAGACTGCATTGTGCGGAAGACCTGTGCACACGTCTTCCTGTGGGACCAGACAGCTTCAGTCAGGACATATACTCGCTGTAAAGGGGATCCTGGGATCCCTCGAGCGCTGATCAAATGTCGCCGAGTCTTCTGAGAGGTGCTGATGGGCGGCGTTCTGTAGGACCGGCAACTGCGCGAATTGAACCACCGCTGTGCATGGCTGTGGAGCAGCGTTTTCCTGGTCCTCTGAGACCAGGAGTATTGTGTTCTTGCGCCAGAAGCGGATCTCGACCGGGGATGGATAGGCTGGAAGCCGGGTGAATGGCTAGGCTCGTGTCTACTGTGAGAGTATTAATCGTACATATACGCTTTCCGGATACACTCTCTCCAGGACGGAAATTTCAGGCTTCCTGCGGCGGCATCCGTGGTGACATTGGTCGGGGTTGATTGAACGGCCATGATCCCGTGCCCTCGAAAGTGACCGTACAACACCGGTTCTCTTCCTCGCACAGGTCGGCTGGACTTTTGAGACCTTAGGCATCTTCGCACTTCCACTCCCCTCCAGCCGTTCTCTTTTCATCGACGCCATGTTGGCCTTGCTGGACTCCACATCCTTCGCGCCTTGACGTGGCAAGGGAGTTTGCTGCTGCCGCTACTACTGCATGTGTCGTGGGCTCTTATCGGTGTTGGCATTGCGCTGTTTTCAGGCTGGGCTCGTGAAGGGCATGGTCGGGAGTTACTAGTAGCCATGCGCTATCATGCGGTGCTCGACATGGCCTAAAGGGAGCGAAATGTCCTTGATGCACTCCATAATCCGGCAAACGAAACTGGACTGAGAATCTTGAATGAATGAACAGGATCAACAGACAAAAAGCGAGATTTAAAAAAAAAAATAAAAAAAAACCCCCCGACAAAGTGGAGGAAACACTTTTCGTAATGAACTTCTTGGGGTGCGCGAAAGGTCGCGTTTCAAACTTGCTGGCGCGGCAGTGTGGGGACAAAATAGACCGGACTACTAGGCAAATAGCAGGTTGGGACGCGTCCTACTAGGTAGGTCTTGAGCAACATAACTAGGCATGGAATAGGAACCAGAGAGTAGGCGTCTGGAAAAACCAAAGAATCCAAGACACAGAGCCATTTAACAGAGAGCGGCCTCCTCCGGGAGGGCATAAGTGGCATTCCAAAGTTACGGAGGGCAAGCAGGGGGAGGGGGGGCGTTCAACTGCATGCCACAGCCTCGAGTCCTAATAGTGTCCGGCGACAGCCATGGGAGAGTGGTTCCAGTTCAGTCGGATGATGCTTTGGGACCGTCCTCGATGCTTGAGTCTACCACTAAAACTCTGATATGATGATACGCCAGCGCTACTACGAAATCCAGCCCGACTTGACGTTCATGTGTGGGAGCCCTTAAACTTAGATATCCAAAACGGAGCCTGTGAGGCTGCTATGCAATGCTTTGGCTTGAGGGTAGGACTATGGCGCACGAGTTGAAAATGGTGCCCAGTAGGCTCATGGAGATCGAATCGGATCAAATAGACCTTCCTTCCACGTCGACGGAATGTCTAGAGGACGGATCGCGAATAGAAGCCATCCAAGCTCAACCATTCGTAGGACTGCCGACTCCTCCATGGAGGTTGTAGGTGCTATATCTGGCTGTTCTCTCGGATGTGTGATAATGATGTGGGAGTGGACGAGGCGGAAACACACGGACATGGCCTTGGATAGCGGAAGGACATAGGTTCGGGGATGGTGCTCTAGTCGGGAGACGTGAAGGGCATGCTGAAGTCTTGCGAAAACGTTGAAGGGAGGAAGGATCGAGACCGGTGAAGCAGGACTGTTCGTCGAGGGACTCTGGTGGTCCCGGAAAGCGTTGAAGGGGAGGCTGGTGATCGTACGAGCTCCTTTCTGGACGGTATCAATTGCATATCAATGGCCCACCCCGAATTATAACCGCGAACCCAACGAAGATGCTCTGCCGTTTCGGCATCCAAAGTCGCACTCTCGGCGTCCAAGCGTTCACGAGTCGAAATTTCGCTTCGGCAACAAGCTTTCGTAAAGGATCTATTAACAGGCTGATATCGTCTAAGCGCTATAGAACCTCAGATCAGCACTGCTTGGCAGGGGAACAATTCACCGTTCGGGAGAGATGCACCGGGCGAAAGCGTTCTCGATCCTTCGCACTCTCCGGGCGAGGCTGGACGAAAGGCACGAACGGCAAGTGAATTGCACAACTTGAGGCGGTCAACAGTGTTCGACTCAGGAGCCGCAGAGCCGTTGCGCCTTCTGAGTGGCTGAAACTGGCGCGACCACCACGGTCCAACAAGACGGCAGCTGATGAGGAAAAGGCACCAAACTTGGGCAAAAGGTTCACCCCGCCTTGAGTGCAACAGGGGAACTGCATGAAAGGCGTTGAGCGAGCGCGCTCAAGGGTTCGACAGCCGAAATGACGCTCGACATGTTGGGTTTTGGGGTGCGAGAGAGGCGAGCCAAGAGAGGAAAGTGCGCGAGGGCCACGTTAACCGAATGGAGAGCCGCCCATGCTTAATTTCCACAAGTCATGAACGTGCGCTTGATGCTGGACTGCTTTTTTATCGATTCTTGGAGCGGCACGCCTCGCGAACGGGCTCAGCGTCTCGCTCTGCGACCGCGCGAACCACCGCGCAGACGAAGGAATACAAAATTTGGGCGTGGCCTGGCCGGCATCGCACGAGACGGACAGCGTTATCGCGTGTGCAGGCTACTGGCATTCCGACGGGAAATCTCCGTATAAACATCTCGGACTTTTGTTTCGGGGCTGCAGAGCGCTCGCTGATGCTGACCTCGGGAGCTGGCCAAAGAGATGGACATCGGTGCTGGCGGCGATGGAGAATCTGCAACGCTGACACAGCAGGATCCGATGCCATTTCGGGGACGAGATCGTCAGGGCAACCCGCACACCTCCCCTGTCACTTGCTGTGTGTTGTCCGCCGGTCGAGGAAGCGAGCAATGGTGTTGCGCCCGGCTCTCCGATAAGGCCTACCCCTGACGGCTTCGCTGGAGTCTAGCCGCTAGCCCCACGACTCCACTGTGCGCTCTTCCACCGCCCCCGTGCTGCTCGAGGTCCGACTCAGCGACAATGGCACCAAATTCAGCAGTCATCGGCCGGCGCGTTATGGTCGCAAATTACACTGCAATAACCGCCCGGCTGAAGCTGTCAGCCCGCAGAGCACACAGCAATAATGGGGTCTCGACTCAGCAATGCGAGAGGCCCTGCGCCTGTCCGTTCATCTCAAAAATACGACCGCCACAAACTACTTTTTAAGACAAACCTGCCGCTCTAGGACTAGCACCAGGGGGGCGGCTGCTGTGAATGGCCGTTCTCCGGCAGGATCGCTGGGTTCCTGCGTTAGCGGACGCAGTGCGAAGACCACTCGCATGCACCGAAATCCGTTTGCCCCTGCCGCCCGCTGCATGCTCTCCTTTCAGTGGCCAACTGTTTCCGGACCGCGCTACCGTGCCCGCAATCTCCTGACTGCACATAAGTACTCCCTCACTTCTCGCTGTCCTTCTTTCCTCACTTCACTCAAGCCAATCTACGAGCTCAAGTCCTTTGACCACCCGGTCGTCCATTCGTTGCACCTAACTAATACTATCATTAATAATACCCACCGCCCTCCAACACTCTTCGAACTTTTCCATTTCAAGTTCTATACCCTAATCAGTCAAAATGCGCGCCTTCATTGCTGCTGCTATCGTCTCCGCCGCCGCTGCGGCCCCCGGCTACGCGCCATACGGCTACGCTCCGGAGTCTTCGTCTACCCCGGCGTACACCCCTCCCGCCTATACGCCGGCCCCGAGCTCGACTCCTGCCTACACTCCTCCGGCTTATACCCCTAGCCCTCCCGCCTACACTCCGGAGGAGAGCTCTACCCCAGCTTACACTCCCCCGGCGTACACCCCGGCTGAGTCTAGCTCCTACCCCGTTGCTGAGTCTAGCACTCCTTGCCCCGAGTCTTCCATCCCGGTCTACCCCACGGAGACTCCCTCTCCCTATGTTCCCACTCCTCCGGAAGAGACTCCTTGCACTACCTCCACCACCATCACGGTGACCATGCCCTACCCATCCGGCACTGGCTACCCGCCTGCTCCCTACCCGTCCGGCCCGGCTTCCTCGGCTCCCTACCCCATTCCCTCCGGCACTGGCTACCCCGTTCCCCCGCCGCCTGCTGGCACTGCTTCCTCCACTGGGTAAGTTTCATGCCGCACTCACAAGAATTTCATGCTGACATCGCACAGTGGATACGTCAAGCCCACTGCTCCTCCGGAGTTCACTGGCGCTGCCTCTTCCCTCAACGCCGCTGGCTTCGTTGCTGGTGTTGGTGCCTTCGCTGCTCTTTTCTTGTAAACGTCATCTCTTCAACTGAGCTTGCCTTCCGGTAGGCTATGACTTTGCATGATGGAGTGCATTGGTTCGGCTTATAACCCGGGATGGAATCCCACTTGTACATGGCAAGAGTAATTGTAATCTTTGGGGGAGTGTAGCTGGTGGTAGTTGTCAATGGGGAACTTGATCTAGACTTTCTTGTGCCTTACGTTCTGTGATCAGTCTTGTGCCATATCACCTGTGACCTCTTGTCTTTCCACGTCTTGATTCTGCTCTCGGTGTCAGGAGGGCTGCGTGTACAGGATGCATTTCCAACCCAGCGTTATGAACTGTGTAATTGCGTCCGCGTCGCCTTTCCGTAGCCTTCCGCCCGATCGCACCGTTGCCCGCGCAATACTCCTCGACACGCTGTGCAAACTCCTATCATCATCTCAGCATTCATCGTATCGCAGAAAGTTCCACCGACGTCCAAACAAACTCAGAATGATCTCCGCTTCATTTCGGTCCCTCCCATGGTCCCGGGGCACCTTTGTGGATGGCAGGGAAATCACGACCGCGTGGCCTGCCAGGGGCCCAACCAAGGCTGGAAAGAACACAAACCTCATCAAACTGTATTTCAACGTCGCTCCAATCTCCCACCGCAATCAACCTGCGGCATGCTATCGACGAGGGAACCATTAGAGGAGGACTGCCGATTGCGCAATGAACTGGAGGGGATATGGTGAGGTTGAAGTTGGTGCGACATACTGTCGCAGCTCCCACGAGCGAAGCGTGGGCGCAAAGCAAGGAGGCCGGAGCGACGAAACATTCCCCTAATCCTTTCCTTCCTTTGTTTCGCATCTCAGCTTGTGTAATGTTTCAATCGCACGCGGGTGGTCACGCGACGACGGCCCTCGAGACACGTATACAGCGGCACGCAAGGACAGGATTTCGGATGCTGGTTTCCACGTCATACATTCTTCCCGTCGCAATAGGAACCAGCGTGGCATCCAGCGGCGCATCACGAGAGGAAGAGGCAGATTTGGTGCGAGATGCGATGAGGATGTGATGGCGGGCGGCAAAGGCTCGCGACCCATCTGTGCCACACAGGACCGCCTTCGCGGCGCTGACCGACGGTACAGCATGAGACACATTCGTACGGGTCACCTCGAAACTGGCGTCTACTCTTTCCGCAGGCATCCGGCGCTCGAACAGTAGCTTTATTCGACAAGGTGAGGTCAGCGTTGCATTGCTTGGATAGCATCTCGCAGAAGACGGCGCAGGGATTCACGGCTGGTTGGGAACGGTACCTGAATATCCCTTTACACCGAAGCTTACGCTTCATCGACTACCTGCGCAGGGCAGAGAGCAATAAGCATTCAGGAGTCTCAAGAGCAATCTTTCCGGTCGATTTCGAAAGCCTCACCTAATCTCAGGAATCAAAGCATTCTCAAAGCTCATCGCAACGCCACGAGCAAAGGCTTGCTTCACCACCGCGAATCCTCACCTCCCAATTGCCATGCATCACGATAGTGGGTTTTCTTGGTCTCTTCCTACGCGTCTCATCTAACAGGAGATCAGCGCTGCCAAATGCTTCCAAGTCTCACCTCAACATGCGTGAGGCATGGAACCACCCAATCGACCGCGCGCATCCTTATATCAATAAATGTCTTTCGTCTTTTCACCGTTCCTCGCTAGCCTTGGACTACTGCAGTCTTTCCTGCCCGCTACGCTGCTCGCCGATTTCCGACGAATTGTAAAGACACGCTGTTTGGCCTTACACTAGCGTCGGAGATTTAGAAAGGGGGCAGGTCGCGCACTGCAACATTTCCCCAAAAGGGGCGAGCCATGATTAGCTTCCTTCCCCGGATGATTGGATTGCTGAGAAATATTTGCTGGAAGCCTAAATCATCCCAGTGTCGATGGGTTAGGCGGAACCAAAGGAACCATGGTTCCCCGGATTCTGCACAAGCATATTCTAACGGTAGAATCCGCCCGAAAGGTCGAAATTGGCTTGCGCCTGATCGCTCTAGTGACCTCGTGCTGACTGGCATGGTACTCACGCCTCAAACTTGACAACCAGTGGATGCGCTAATTGGCACAACGAATGAGCCAGCAAAGGCCTTGTTCTACTCTACCCCTGTTGAACACTGGCAGCAGGTCAACGTAACCGCTTAAAATGTTGAACTCGTAAAAATTCGTTCTTGTTAAGATGATTACATTGTTGAGGAATATTAGCTGGAAGTCTGCATCATCGCGGTGTTGATGGGTTAGGCGGAACCAAAGGAACCATGATACCCTTGTTGAAAGAAGAGAACGGCCTTGGTTAGACCCGAGCTTGAGGTTGTTGTGTCGGTCGAAATACGGGAACGGGAAGCGGAAATGCTAGAAAATGGTAATTCCGTGGGTGTGAGAGAGTGAGCTAAAAGAGTCAGGACATATGTTTGACGCTAGGGGATTTTCATATAAAGAGTTGAGAGGGTCTTCATTGCACAGTCTACAGCTCAGGGTACCTCGTGGTCTCAGAGTTCCGGCATCCAGGTCCACGGATTCGTCCATCGGTCGTTCAACATCCTCCCTTCATACACAAGGTCCAGCAATTGCCTCAGTCGACTCGCCACTATCAACATGAAAACCTTCGCTCTCTTCGCCGCCCTGGCGGCTACCTTGCTCGCCGCACCCAATCCCCCGAGGCCAGCCGAATGCCCACGCAACGCCGTGCAACCAAACGGCATGCTTCCCCAAGGGTACATCCGCCCCCATCTCATGCTCCCCATTTCCGCGAAGAGGCCCGGTAGGGTGTTCCGGCCAGTCGACTGGGACATGGGCAAAGTGACCCCCAAGGACTTTTGCAGTATCATCCAATACGAACTCGACCCAGCCGACACACAGGGCAAGATCTGCAACCTCGTGTTCGACTTCCCCCGGCGCATGGAGGCGCAGGGCTTGTATGAGTTCTCCGGCAGCGGCAAGTTTAACTTCACCGGGTATGCGATTGGAACGCGCGCAGTGTATGGCGTCACGACGTACAACAACCAGCCTCCTCTTGGACCGAACCCGCCGAATCCGCCAGCAGTCATGGAGCCGGGCAATTCGTACATTATCAAGTCCGAACCGTGCGGCATTCCCGCTGGCGTCCGCGGACCGGTCACCTTTGCCTTCTCTCTCTGCTCTGAGGACACTCTTTTCGTCTTCGAAGAAAGGCATTCTATCTGCCCGCTCGGCTTTTACATCATTCTAACGGATGACCCGAATGCGTAGAAGGTGCTGGGATGCAGGAATGTGGGAAAGAGGACATCGTTGGAAACTGGTCTGTTAATGCGTAATGTTGTAGTTCACGAGCCGCTGGGAATTGAGGGCCTTCAGACTGGGTAATCCATAGTCGACAAAAAGCATCTTTTTTATCTTCGTTCTTCAACTCATGTTCCGCTCTCTTCCCTCCGCAGCCGACCACTGGCGTCTCATACTAATAATAATTACCACTTTACCCTTACCCAACATTTAGATTGTTTACTTGAGCATATATACTTTAGATTACCCTTCTCTTCCTTACTTGCTGTATATTATTTGTTAGACTTCGCAGCCACCAAGAGTATGGCTAGACGTGCTTCAGCTTTTGATACTGTTGCTGTTATTTCTCGTGCCGGGTGTTCGCTTCGACATTTGAACGGAACCAAATGCTATTACTCGACACTGAACACTCGACAAGATCCCTACGCTGAAGAGAACGCGACGGGCGAGAAGTCTACGACCGCGAAGCCTACCACAAACATCACCAAGCACGAGGAGATCACCGACGAACTTCTCGAATGATCACCATATGGCTCAACATGGCGATACTTGTCCAGAGATGGGCGATGCGGTGCGGATTGCTGACGACAAGCGGCGAGACGGCCACAAACGTATGTACAGTGCGCGTGGCGGTCAAGGCGGAATCCCGGTTGTGCAGGCCAAATAATGCAGAGGCGCACGGTGGGAGACGGTGTTTTTCCTGCCGCGCCTGGCCGCGCCTAAGATGTTCCAAAGAAGAGGAAGATGCCGGGGATACGGGAGGGAGAGAGAAGCAGGCACCAAGCAGCATGGACGAGGGAAGGCATGGAGTCCTAGTAGAGGAGAATGCGGATAGAGACCTACCGGGAAGGGTGTCCAGGCTAGAAGATGAATCAAGGGAGACAAATGCGGCAGTAGGGGTCAGAGAATTGGAGGTAACAGCAAGGGCAGAGGGAATCCTTAGATTGTGGACCGTAAGAGTAACTTCGTCATCTTGGCGAGGCCAGACGTGTTGTATCCAGCATCCTAAAGGCTTTCAACCCTTCTACTTCGTTCAGATATCTCTCGTTACGAACTCCCACTAAACACCTTGAAGGGATGCGCCTCCGTATTAAACACCCACGCGTTATTCCCACCTTTACTAACCTGCCATTCCGCCTCAGGCGCATGAATCAAATAGCTGTACTTCAACACCTCCGCGAACCAAAAGCTCTCCTGGAAATCGGTAAATCCCCCGCCACCCTCCACGTTCACGTTCTCGATGCTCGAATACCCCGACCCAACCCTCGTCGTCGCGTTGATCGCTAGAAAAGCATCCCAGGCCCACTGCTGATACTTCGTGTCGCCCGTCGCCCGATACGCGTAATAGAAGGATTCGATCACCTCGGGACGCAGTTGGTAGTTTGCGTTTCGGATATAAAAGCCGGATTTGTTGAAGAAAGCAGCCTGGTCGGCCGGAACGTCTGCACTGTCCCAGCCGAAGACCTCCGGCCCGATACCAGTGGCGGTCGCGATATACGTCTCATGACACCCATTCACCAACTCAAGACCATAATCAATGTATTCCTGCTTTCTAAGGACCTGGCCACCGAGGATGAAATTTCCACCATCGAAGCAAGCGAGATGCTGCGATACCAGTGAGAGGTTCTGGCCGTCGTACATCGCCACCCAGGTCAGATCTGGGCGCGGGGCAGGATGCGAAGTCAAATGCGCAATTGTAGAATCGGCTGCTAGGACCCAACGATCCTTGTACGTAGAGTACCGGTCCGGGTCGTACACATACATCTTGATCAGGTACTCGTAGAAGGAATCGGCACCTCCGATCCAGCCTCCGTGCGCGTCAAGGAACGAGCCGTTTATAGGACTGATGTCCATTCCTAGAAGTCCAGGCCAGGGTTCGCTGGAAGGTGGAGATGGGTTGAGGAGGTACGATTCCGCCTTCTCGGTGAGGGAGGCATAGGTCGTGTTCCCGGTCAAGTCGGATAGGCGAACCCATTCGAGGACGAGAGTACCAACGGTTGCAAGTCCGTTCACGCCGCCGTCATTACTGCGGTTGTTGAAGTCCAGATTGTTGTACGGGACGCCAGACGGTGTGTCGAATGCGTACGACAGCGCATTCGCCAGGTTTTGGGATTGAGTGAGGAGCGCGTCGACGTTGGTCTTATTGTCTGCGAGATCGGCTAGTGGTCCAGAGAGGAAGTCATAGCCGGCGAGCATGCCGCCCAAATACCGAATCGTCGTCTCGAACAAAGAGACCTCCGTTGGCGTCTGGAAATAATTGATTGTCGGGATGTATTCTATGATCTGATTGACAATGTCTTTTTGTTGCATTACCAGCGCTGTGCTAAGCGCGTCCACGGCGGAGGCACCCCATTGATTCCTGAATGCACGGATTAGCTGCATGCCGTCTTGAGAGTTTCAGAGAGTCTTACCGCGAGTTACTGAAGCTATTGGATACGGGCTTCAGCTCGTCGTTCGGAAACGCGTATGTGTAATACCCATCCCATGCGGTCCTAAATGCATCTACGACAGCTTGAGCGCGCTCTTCCGCCGGCGGCATATCATATCTTTTCCCATGGCCCTTCAAATCGGTTGGTGCGTTTTGTGGAAGACATAATGCCGTCGGGAGCAGCGCTCCGAAAGCGACGGCGGATTTTATTCGCGTCATTGCTGGCTCGAGTCTAGCCGTCTAGCCCACTCAACGAAACGGCTCGAAAAGTAAAGAGAAAAAGAGGGGAGACTGGCAAGAGTAGGAGAAGAGAAGAAAGGCAGCAGCGAACGTCTCGCAAGAAGATAAAGGAGGTGGTTGCCTCACCCGGGATTTATAGCTACTGTGCGCGGGTAGCATCCGTTATTAGGGACAACGGGGATGTGGGTCTTGGATTGATGACAGGGGCCTAAAGCTCAACTGACCACTCTAGCCGCGCTGTTAGAATCTGCCCACACCCTCTTCCTGGGGCTAGGTTATAATTAACGGGTTCACATTAGCACGGGATGCGGGAAGCTGTGGGCCAAGCAGTGCGGTAGAGCAAATGACGGCGTCACTGCTCAGGAAGGTGTTACCACAGCGTTACCTAGTTCAAGTTGCCGTGCTCGCGCTATTGAAATGTCGATCGCTGGAGCTTGTCAGCAGGCCTGGCGCAGGTTCCCAGGTTCCCATGCTGGCGTCATTTCGCATGTGAGCTGGCAGGGCGGAGCGCTCGAAGGATTCCAACTCCGGTGGACACGGAAGGCTTAACGAAACGGGCAGCTCTTTGGCTAATAGACACGTGGGAATGGGCGCTTAGAGAGGATGGAAGAGGTGATTGCGGCGTTGCGCTATAGGTGAGATACGGACCAGCAGGTTGGTTGAGAGATGGTACCTGAACGCCAAAATGCGGGGTGATCTGCCTCTTAAAAGCCCGTGCGGACGCCACGCTCACTTCCGCAGCGCCCAGCGCGTGTCTTACTCCCACATCGTCATTGGAGACAGGCGAGTTTAAGGGAGATCGGTGTCAGTTAAATGGTTCAGACCAAGTATGTGTGCATTCCTTCCAGAACCCGCGTGTTTTAAATGAGCTCTGTGAAGGCCCTTAGCATGCGGCCCTGAAGGTCTACCCTAGGACAGCACTGTCCATGTAGTCTATTTCCTTGGGAGGATCGGCGACGATCTAGCTCCCAGTTCATTGCCCTCTTCCGCGGTAGCGGTCATCCCCGACAGGAGGACCACGAGCCCGGCTCAGTGCCACTGTCATTCTGATCCCTCTATCTAGGTTTGCCTTGGGCGGGCGCCTGGTCGAGAGCCCAGCAGAACGGAGCCTCCCTAGCCCCTGAGTTTCACGCAAGTGTTTCGTAGCGGGGGTTCGGTTTCCCGGGGTCGGCCGGGACCGGTAGGTTTGCTGCTGTGGTCTCACTCGAAGAAACCGCCATCGCTCTCTTCAACCTCCTCCTTGGGCGCTGCAGCTTTAGTGTCTTTGATCTGCAGCTTCTTGTGATCCTTTTTCGTGATCCTGCCCTTCCATATCTCGTCCTTCGGTCCCGGGATTGTGACTCCCTCCTTACTCTCTCGGAGCGTCTCCAGTGTCCCGTCTTCCATTGCTTGTTCCACCGCCCTCCATATCTCTATATTGCCCTTGGGCCCGTCAATTGGTTCGGCACTTTGCTGATTCGTCTTCCCGTTCGCCGGTGGATCTGTAGATGTACTCTGCTCTGTCTTCTGCCTCGGATACAACGAGACGTACGGTTTCAGGAGAGGATAGTACAAGGTGTAGCTGACGTCTACCTCTGCATTGTGAATCTTGCGGAGTAAGTCCTCGCGCTCAGGCGAGTCTTCCACTGAGGAAAGCTGTTTGTTGAGGCGCTTCACGACTCTCGACGCTTTCTGCCTTTCTACTCGCAATTAGCATTCCCATACCCATAGTTTCGCCATGTCCTCTCTCCAACCGACTTTGACTGACCGAAGAACCGTATATGGTGGTATTTGCCGATTATCTTGTTCCTGAACTCCGCTTCTCGCTCGGCAGCCTGCTTCTCCGCGAGCTCATGCTCACAGGTTGCAAGCTCCCGTTCGCGCTCGATGCGCACACCGGCGGGCATTTTGTGCTTCAGGTCCTTGTCGACATGGTCTAGCAAGCGTCTGAGGTCGCGAATACGGCTTTTGAGGGCGCTCGTTGAGTCAGCCTTGGGTTCGTCGTGCGAAGCATTCGATTGATTGTAACCACGCTTTTGTCCGCGCGAGTTGAGCTGTTTTCGGCGAGGTTCGAAGTTTGGCCGCTGCTTCTTGGGATTTTCTGCGACGCTGTCTCCGCTGGCCGCTTCGTGGTGCCTCCGCTTCTGCGACATGGTTGCTGCTGTCCTTATATTCTTGACAGTCGCGGAAACTTCAACCAGAAGTTTTAGCGGGGCGGCAGAATTGTTGACCGCCTTGAGGCCATGGCGCCAGGACCTCGACCTAATCACGAGTGTCCCATCGTTGACCTCCATATCGCACGCCACGCCTCGATCGAAAAGGTCGCTGAATGATCTCAACATGTTGAGCACGCTCTTTGTGCGCAAACTCCCTCCTTGACGACTTTCCTTTCATGAACTTCCCCTAGAAACCAGCTCACCGCCCGGGTCCACATTGCACTGGTGTTACAGATTGCTAAGCCAGTAATATGGAAGCAGCCATCAGATGGTCACCTCATGCGACCCAGCATACTCCACGGTTCCTTGTCATTGACGTCGCCGGGAATCGCCTACGGCTTTGTCAGGTCGACAAGTTTGAGAAGAGCAAGGTGAAATACAAGCAAATATGCCTCCGCGACAAGCTACCCAACTACACCGCCTTCGACTGGTCCAAACGGGACGAGACCATAGTCGGCATCGGCTCGGCTTCAGGAGAGGCCGTCATTCTGCAAATAGACCCGGACCGCCCCCAGCAAGAGTACATGCATGCCTTCCCTATCCGACACCAGAGGAAATGCAACTCCATAGCTTTCAGCCTGAAGAATTTTGTCGCTACGGGCTTAGATCGTGTCCGGAACGACGTCTGTCTCAACATCTATGATCTAAATAATCCTAATCTTACTTCGAGCTCAGAACCATACAAGAAGTTGGCGAGCTCAGAGGCTATTTCCAGCATCAAGTTCTTTTCCGGCCAGCCAGATACCTTAGTTGCAGGCGTTTCAAGGCAGTGTATTCGAATTTACGATTTGCGGGGTGAGTTAACGACAGCTTCCGAGGAGAAATTTATCACCAGCGCTAATGCCGGCCAGACTCTGCTACCTCGGGCGTTGCTCAATACCCAACACGGCAAGTCCACAACATTGCTATAGACCCATTGGACGAGAATTATTTCATCTCAGCCGGCACCACTGGAGATCCTACCGTCTCTGTTTGGGACCAACGGTTCGTAAAGCAGAGAAACACTGGAGATTCTGCCACTAGCGGATCTGTGCTAGAGTTCAGGCCGATAGTGGACAACAGCCATTCAGCAACTATATGGAGCTTGCGCTATTGCGGGACCAAGAAAGGGACTTTCGGCGTTCTGGCGAACACGGGCGAATTCAAGATCATTGAACTCGCTCAGCATTCGCACAGGCTGGAGCCACACCAAAACTCAAATAGCGGCCCGTATGCTCAGTCATGGGTGTCTCAACACTACACCAAAATCTCCCACAATTTACGATATCCATGGTACGATGAGAGGCATCGTCAAGCAGAACAAACTCGTGTCGTGGCCTACGATTTCATGGCGGTCGGGAGCCCGTTCACGGGACCATGCGCGGTCGGTCTGTATCCGAACAGAGATGTCGAGGTTTTCAAGTCTCCACCTCCGGCACCTCGTATCAGCGTCACGGCACTAGAGGAGATCTACAAAGACAGAACTATCATTGCTAGACCCAGCCAGCGCCAAGGCACTGTAGCAGAAGATCTCATCGAGCTGCAAAATAAGGCGCTAAGTGAGCAGCTCAACATCAAGCCCGAGCCAAGAGACAGTCTTAATGGAAGGCTGGACAAGCTCAACATTGACCACCCGCATCAAAGTATCCCCCCGCAATCGGCTACCCAGTCAAGCCGCCAAGTGCACGAGGACGTCCTTACATTGGCTTATCCGGACGTGAAGATACCGCTTCCGGATTATCTGAAGGTACTTCAAACACAGAAGCGACGATGTCAGGAAGGCTACAACCTCGACTGTCGAAAAAATAAGGCTATCGTGGCCAATGATCCATGGTTGGTCGAGGCATGGAACCTAGTCGAACGAATGGACGCACATGCCTGGGGTGACGGCATGGTAGGCGCTGGACTGGATCTAAAATACCTTGGCGTAGCTTCCATCTGGGCGAACGAGCTCACTATGTACGATCAGCGTCTGATCGATCCAGACACGGAAACGTCGGAGGCCATCATGGTCGAAGCGGTGAAGGATATTTGCGAGCACAAGGAGTTTCCGCCCTTTTCCGGCATCTCTACCCAATTCCCGGACAACCGACAGCTCTGCCTCTCCCTCTGCGGTTGGAACCTCTCCAAAGTCGGCCTGCGCGAGCGCTGCTCAATGCTCATCGACGGAGGCCAATACTATAAAGCCATCGGCCTCGCCGTCTTCCAGGGCTACAAAGATGTCGCTCTCGACATTCTCAAAGAAACTATCAGACAAAAGCAACTCGAAAACATTGGTCTCGGCGCTGTCATAGCTTGCGACTCCGTGAACGAAGACCAGCGCCATCTCTGCGCCTGGATGGCCGACATGACCGACGAACCCTATCTCAAGGGCCTCCTCGCCTACTTCATCAGCGGCGACTGGACCACCGTCGTCGAAATGACACAGGTCTCCCTCACGGACCGCGTCGGCGTCGCCCTCAAATATCTTCCCGACGAAAAATTAACGCACTTCCTCCGCCTCTGTACCCAAGAAACAATCGCCTACGGCAATATCGAAGGCCTGCTGCTCACGGGCCTCACAAACCGTGCAATGGACCTCCTCGAGCATTACATCGCCAAATTCGGTGACCTACAATCCTCCGTACTAATTCTCTCGCGCGCCTGTCCGCTATATATACAAGACCCCCGCTGGACGCTCTGGAAAGACATGTACCTCAACCAAATGCAGGTCTGGCGCACCTTCCTTGAGCGCACACACTACATCAAAGAGCACAACCTGCGCTGCGTCTCCCGCGAAGGCCGCAGCATAAACAAGCCCTCCTCCCCTTCTCTCGTGCTCCGCTGCTCGCGCTGCCAGCAGAACCTCGCTCTTCGCAAAGACCCCAAGTCCACACGCCAATATCTCGTCCCCGTCAGCGCTTCCGCTTCCAAACACCACACTGGCCCCCAGCCACGGCCCCACCCCCCTAAGGGTGCCACTTCGTCGCCCGCATTGGCGTGCCCGAATTGCAACATGCAGATGCCAAGGTGCGGAATTTGCATGATGTGGCTGGGTAGTCCAGATCCGGCGAAGGTGGGCGCGGCGCAGACACTCAAGGAGGAGGATCTGGAGGCGAGGCTCATGGTTTTTTGTATGAGTTGTGCGCATGGGTTTCATGGCCATCATGCGAGAGATTGGTTTGCGAGGCATGCTATGTGTCCGGTGCCGGATTGCCAGTGTATGTGTGGCTTGCTGAAGTAAAGATGAAGGACACTTATAGCTGTGCGAGCAAGAAGAGAGAGAGAGCGCGCGATATGAAAGGTTTTCGATCAAGGGGGAGTTGAGCGGACAGGTGATTATCTCAAAGATTCCATGTTCACTTTGCTGATCATGGGGTTCGCACAGAGACGAAGTGACCGGTTAGACGGCTTCCTCTAGCTAGATTCACGTATTTTGTGGATTTGCCCGCTGACGCTGGGCCCGCCGTATACACAATGCTTTCAATCACCTAAAGGTGCTAAACACGCTTGCTATCATTCCACATGACACACGTCCATTTGATCTATGTCCCCAGCCCCATCCATTCCGCCGACGCTATAGAATACGGATCAATCATTTATGTGGGCTCAGACCAATCGACTTGTTCTGTTACTGGTCCCCCACCAGCCGAGTAACCAATCTTCAGCCTCAATCGTAATCTCGCAGGCGGCGGCTACCCGCTGTTAGCTTCTGTGTCATAGTATAAGCGAGCCCCATTGACTTACCCCATTGACAGCTGTTACCCTCATCTGCTGCGTGGCTTCCTGTCCGGCATCTAACTCGCTCGTGCTTATAGGCTGAAGTTGTAGCTTCTGACTCCTGGGTACAGCGGCCTGCAAGCTCACGCCTGACAGATGCGAGAAACTTCCCACATTACGGAACCGTGCCAAGACCTGGATGGCATTGGCGTCACGCTTGAGCTGGAACGTCACATGGAGGTCGTTTTTACTGTATGCGGTATGCGGCGGCGGGCCAGAAGCGACTGGGGGTGTAGAGGTCTGAGGCGGTGGTGAAGACATGCCACCCATACCGCCGAGGAGGTCCAAGGATGCTGCTGCTGGAGCTTGTCGAGTTTGGGTGGGCGCGGGAGAGGCGGACGGGCCAGCGTTGAATAGGTCCATGATGTTGGCGACATTTGAAGGTGGAGGCGAGGTTGTTTGAGGTGGTGGTGACGAGGCAGACGGGCCGCCTCCACCAAGTATATCCGCGAGTAAGTCAGCACTGTGAGCCTGGGAGCCATTGGCTGTGCCATTGACGTCTCCAGGCACACCTGAATCGCCCATCAGGTCAAGCAACAAGTCCTCCGTCGCTGCCTGTGTGTGCTTCTTCTTGCCAATCTTGGACTGCCGCTTGCTTTTGGTTGCCTCTCCTAGCACTCGAGATTCTTCGCGAATCTCTGGCGGTGGCATCTTCTCAAGGACGCCTTTCCTAATCTGGTCAAACCCGAAGAGATTGAGGTACTCAACAGCGCGCTGCTGGACTTCGACATCTAGGTTGGTGTTGTATCTCTGCAATAGTCGCCGAAGACGTTCAACTTGGGCAGGTTCGTTTAATCGCGTAGTGAGCTTGATCGACGCTGTGACAATGTACTGCGTTACAATGAGCCCGGCGTAGCTGCTGTTGAGGATCGACTCGAAGAGGTCGACGATATCGCTCTGTCTGACCTCCTTGACTAGCTCCTCCTCTTCGTACTGTCCCCCTCTCAGCAGCGCATCTCCGTACTCTCCAATCACCCAAGAGCCCGCAAGAGTCAGACCCTCCTGGGTGATATCTTCCTTCAAAGCAGCGTAGAGCTTCTGCACGGAGTAGGTTTGAAGATCGGGGGTGGTAGCTATGAGTCGGACAAAGGATGATAATATCTGCTCCTTCACGTAGTTGCCGGCCTGGTCGATGTTAGTGTGACTTTTTACAAAGGGTCATTCATCTACGCACAAGCTTCAAAACGCGCAACATAGTATCAACGTGCCACCTCTTGTTCGGCGCAAACCTATCAGCAGCAATGCCGATCTGCGAAGTCATCACAGGCTTAAATTCGTTGTCGGCAACCTCAAGAAAGGCAAGCAGCTCCCGAATGAGAACACGGACATTGCTCTCGTTGATCAGCGTGAAGCTTAGGTCAAGTGCTCTTCTTCGGATGCTAATGTCAGGATCGCGAAGGCAGTCCAAGATGGTGTTTCGATGCCGCTGCACAGCGTTCGGTTCCACCGCAACGACCTTGATGAGCGTGTTCAGGGCTACATATCTGATATTGTTGTCGCGGTTCGAGAGGAATTTTCCGAGAATATTCACGCCGAGCACGCGCAGACCTGAGTCCGCTTCGATGTCCAGGATGGTGAGGACGGCTTCGTAGAGGATTGAGTTTCCGACGTTTTTGGAGGACTCGGTGTTCGTCGCAACCTACTACGTTTAGTACTTATACAAAGCGCTGTCGTCCGATATCGTACCTGCGCCAGAATATCGTTGATCTGCTCGCTGACTTGCACATCACCGCGTCCCAGTACGCGAAGCAGCTGTAACAGCTTGACTTGAAGGAACGGATCCGTGATCCCTTGCACATCGTGTTCTGGGGCATATCCGGACGCTGAGAGGCCCTTCAAAATCTTTACCAAACTGGGGACCATTGGCTTGAACATGTCCTTTATGCCATTCTCGTCGTCCTCTGCCTCATCGGCCTCGCACAGACTCACCACGAAGTTCAATCCGCATAGCAATACGCCGTGGTTCCGGTCTTGAAGGAGCAGCTTCGCCTTCTCCAAGAAATGTTCCTGCAGATCAGGCACCTTCCGGCATATTCTCATGGCACAGAGGGCGGCCTTCCGCCGTATATAGGGATTCGCGCTTGACAATATGGTTTCGACTTCGGGGAAGAGGTCTCGTGCCATTTCGACGGAGGCGATGTTTCCGAGGGTACAGAGAGCGAGGCCGACGATGTACTGGTTCGGGTGGTTGAGGTCGCTAGGCAGTCGCATTAGCATTCCCAATCCCAGCCACGTAACGAGACGCATACTTCTTGAGCGAGTTTGTGACCAGCGTCAAAACCTCCTGGTTCTCATCCAGCAGCAGCATCGTTCCAAGGTACCCCAATCGCTTGTCCGCAAAGCGCGGGGAGGCCAGCAGCTTCAGGCATTCTATCTGTCCGAAATGCGTTCTCTCGCCGAGCGTGAAGAGATATAGGAGCTTTGCGACATTGTTTCTCCTGCAACACTGTGAACATGGACACTCGGCTGAGGCGTGGGTGCTGCCCACCTCACGTTGGAGTCGTGGCTTTCCTCCCTAAAGCTGGCTCTGATTGCCGCACTCTCCTTCTGCACCACGGCGCGCTCGTCGGCAATCGTCTTTGCGGCACGCACGTTCCGAATGAACTGCTTTACTAAGAATTCCTCAGTATCAGGTCTGAAGCTCGGGCGCGATGCTTGGCATACGGGAAGTCATAGTGGTGGCCTCAAGGACCCCACCCGGAGGATATTTGGAGGATCAGGTGGTCGGACGGGCAGTGCGAGGACACTGTGGTCAGATTCTATTTCGCGGTCCGGGGTGACGAACGTAGCTGAGGGGGCTGTTTCCGATGTTTGGCGAGTGCTTGCAGGCGCTGCTGACTATTCCAGGCGAGGTTCCTTCCCTCGTCGGGGAATTGTTGTTCCACGGGGAAGGAGCGAAGGGCCCAGCTCGAAAAAGCTTAGCACGTCTACAGAACACCGAGTGACCGCTGATGTAACCAGCTCGGCATGTCTCCGCGACTTCCGTCATCGCGCCCGTGGCTTGTTTCTGTGAATTGTGTGCGCTTGCATGGGGCTGCAGTAGTCCCATCTGTACACATTGTCTATGACCCAATTCGCATCTTTTATCTCTGCAGGCTTTCCCTTTCGGTGTGCAAAGCCACCCTCCCAACCCCTAGCCCTGGCCATCTTATCCAACCGCGGTACATATCCAGCCTCGATCGGGGTGCGATTCGGGCTTGGAGGCGATCAACGCTCACACCTTTGGCTGGGCTGACACCGCCTTTAAATCCGCGCCGCCCACGCTCCTTCGCGCCTTCAGCATGCGCGCAACTTCTCTCCCATAATGGCTGAATCCACCTCCATTGAAGCCCAGAACGGGCACGCGCAATACCACCAACCGCGCCCGCGGAAACCTACCAGGATTGATCTCTTGAAGCCGCAACCGAGCGACGAAACCCTGCGGCCGAATGGATCCCTCAAAGAAACCGCATCGGGGGTCTCGAGGTATGTAAACCGACGCCGGAAGAACTTCACGCGCTGACTGTTGTAGCGGCCGCACCACGCCCATACCCGAGAACGCGCCGCCCTCTGTAAAGGCTACTTCGAATGCGCGACGCCAGATCCGCGCTGAGCAGAGGCGGCGCATCTTCCCCTCTATCGAATACGTCGACCGCGTGTCCCACTTCGACCCGACGAGCGACTACCATGACTTCCGCGGCTTCTTCGTGCTCTTTTGGATTGGACTTGCCATCATGGTCATTACGACTATGTTGCGCAACTACAAGGAGAATGGAACTCCTCTGCTCATCAGGCAATGGGAGCTGTTTACAGAGAAAGTCTGGGAATTGGCCATTTGCGACGGAGCCATGGTAGCCAGTACTGCGTGGTCGCTTCCTTTGCACAAGCTATATATGAGCGTCAATGGCTATCTGCGCTGGAACAGGCTGGGTATGGTGGTTCAAAGTATCTACCAGGCCATCTGGCTCGTTTTCTGGGTCTCGTATGTATAACCCCATACCCCCGCCCTGAAGACTCGAAGCCACTTCGGTCGCGGAACGCACAATGGGCGCGGTTACGGATGCTAACTAGCGAGCAGCTACCCATTTGTCAGAGACTGGAGCTGGACGGCCCAAGTCTTCTTTACCCTGCATTTGCTTTCGATCTTCATGAAGATGCACTCTTACGCGTGAGTCGCAATCGTGGGCTGAGGCCCTTCCGGCATGCTAATGCAAACCAGCTTCTACAACGGGCATCTTAGCGAGACAATGCGCCGGCTTAATGACCTCGATACCCCAGCCACTGCGTCCAAAGCAGCAGCATATAGGTATCCGAGACCGCGGACACATCTCCATGAGATACCCCAATCTCCTTCCCATGAGAACGCCGACGAGTCTGAGAAGGAGAAGTTGCGCCAGCTACGGGAAGACCTTGCTTTCGAGCTTGCATCGCCGCTTGGCCACGTTTCCTACCCGGAGAACCTCACTCTTTCCAACTACATTGACTTCATCTTCTGTCCTACTCTCTGCTATGAGCTCGAGTATCCGCGGACAGCAAAGATGCGATGGATGGAGCTCTTCTACAAGACGCTCGCGGTGTTTGGATGCATTTTCCTGCTGACCATCACCACCGAGGAATTCATCCTACCCGTGCTCGATGAGTCTACGATTCGGCTTGAAGCATCGACTGGTGCTTCAGACTTCGCACTGATTCTCGGTGAGACAATTGGCCGTCTACTCTTTCCGTTCATGGTCGCCTTTCTACTCGTGTTCCTCGTCATCTTCGAATACATACTGGGCGCGTTCGCGGAGATTACGCGTAAGTGCATGGATCTGTAGGAACCGCCAACACCATTACTGACTGGGATAGTATTTGCCGACCGTCAGTTCTACTCGGATTGGTGGAACGTATGCGATTGGCTAGAATTTTCGCGGGAATGGAATAAGCCGGTCCATCACTTCTTCAGGCGCCACGTCTACTCGGCCTCGCGAGGCCATATGTCTCGTCCGGTTGCGACGGCCATCACATTCCTCATCAGCGCCCTCGCACACGAGCTTGTCATGGGCTGCATCACGAGAAAATTCCGCGGCTACGGCTTCTTCGCCATGATGCTCCAGATGCCAATTGTAGTGGTCCAACGCTCAAAATGGATCAAGGGTCGCACCCTCCTAAACAACATACTCTTTTGGTGCTCCATGATTCTTGGTCTGTCAATGGTAAGCTACACATCCTCTCACGGTGTGGAATTCTCCGGATAGAACGACGTACGTAACAGCTACCCTGGAGACCTTCACAGATGCATACAATGCCAAATGAGCATGCACGACGAGCCGTTAAATCCGGAGAATACCCTACCACAAGAGACACCACCTCCCAATGCATCGAATAAACCGCTGACATGGCTTAGATGTGCGCCCTGTACGTTCTCGTGTAAGTAAGCGGTCTCGGCGTATATACCCTGTGTAGCATTTACCGGTAGCATTCGGGGAAGGACTGGGCGATATACCCCTCTCGTTACTGCTTTGGATTTGTTTAGACTGTGCATACCGTTGTCGTACATAATGCAAATATCTCTTATATCTAGAAAGGACCTACGTTTGCACGCTCTGCATGGCCGTATCTATTGTTCACCCACCTAAACCCCAACTCTCTGTTGCTTTATAAGTAGGTATGGTATAAAATTGTCAAGTACATAGGCAAATTCGGAAGCGCGTCCCTAGAGATTCAGCTCGCTATATCTACAACGCTTTTAGCGTCTTAACAATAGAGAAGCAGAAGGCCGTCAGGTGCGTATGCCTCCGGAATTCCTCCTGTACTTAAGACTGTGAAGCACTCTAGCCTGCGTAATGTTAAGTGTTTTCCCTCTCCTAGAGAAATTCTCTCTGCGGTCAGAATTATGCCAAGGATTACTGAGGATCGAGAGGGAAGACTCCGTGAAACATGACAAGCCCGCTCTTGCGGTAGGGGCTTCTCCGGATCTAAGGGCTTGCCGTGCAAGTAAGATTAGCTCGTCTATTGTACGTACCCGCGAAGGCTTCTAGGGTAGCTGTTACGCACGTTATTCTATCCGGAGAATTCCACATGAGAGGCCCGCTACAAGGAGTGCGGCGTGTACAGTATACAAAGGTACTATGCTGACGTCGATACGGCCGCATCGGCCTTTCCTTGGTCCAAGGTCTCGGCCGGCCGCTGCGCCTCTAAGCGGGAATCGGCACCAAGCCCCCGCGGACCCACCGTGAAGCCTATGACGTTGTTCTAATTTAGGTTATGGTGATTGCCCGCCGCATCAGCCTCGCGGATCCGGGCATAACAACAATTTGCGTCCTCGCGCATATCTTTACTTCTTTCTCGGCGTGTCTTCTGAAGGTCGATACCCAGCTGCTATGTTTACCACATAGCGATAGAGATACCGGAGCCCACAGCAGCGCTCCACGAAGACGGCGGAAGCGCAACAACTGTACCCTGCAGAGCATTGTTTGGCCCTCTGTGTTATATCCAGCTTCCACCGTCATTGCCCACACTGCTGAACTTCGTCGGAAACTCAGAGAAGCATGTCGGAGCTTCACAAGGCGCTAGAGTGCCTCCGACCCAAGGACTATAGCGAGGTCCCTACCGACGAGCTCCACACGTTTCTCTCGGACGTCTTCTCTCAAGCCGAACTCATTGCCAATTCTGTCCCTCCTCCGCCCAATGGCACGCCCTACGAGTCCTCGCGCCGCTCCCGCTCCGACGCGAATGGGGCGACCTCAGCCGCAGACCTCACAATTTCAGACGCGCGGAGACCGTCGCCGGCGAAGGAGCATGTAGGGCTACAGAAGGCATGGGGGAAACCACTGAAGCTGGGCGCAAAGGATGCCGCCACAGGCATCAGCGTGTTCAAGATGGCAGGCCATGATAGGCATGGAGCGTGGTTCGCTCGGACGAGCGTGCATGAGGGTTTGGGGTTTGCTAAATGGAAGAGGGCTATGAAGAGGGAGTTTCCAGAGAGTTTAGAGGTGCAGGGTGGCCCGGGAGAGGGCAACGTGCGGGGCATTGGGGGTGATAAAAGGTTAGAGGACATCGAGGTTGAAGGGGTGGGCAAGCTAGAGGGTACGTCATACCTGGTAGCCAGTCAATCATGGAGGTAAAGGGGGAAGATTACGAGAAGCTAATATTTCCTGCAGTTTACCAGCTTTCCGCCCAATTCCCTGGACCGACTTCGCCTCGAGAGTTCATAACCCTCCTCCTCACGTCCGCCAATTGCCTGAGCGACGCCTCAAAGGTCGGCAATATCGTACCGCGCCATTTTATGGTCGTCTCAATACCCGTGTCACACCCGGATGCGCCGCCACGAAATGGGCTCATACGAGGGCAGTACGAGTCTGTTGAGATGATTCGAGAAATTCCGCTGTCACCGTCGTCCAAATCCGCTTCAGCTTCCACTCCTGATCTCCTCAACCACGAGCGAATGAAGTCAAGAGAAAGGGGTGGCACAATAGGCTTCGCGGAATCCCGGGGTCCGGAAGCTAAGGGAGAGAAGATTGACAGAGGAGACGACGATGAGGATGATCCAGAGGCAAATCCGGTGGAGTGGATAATGATAACGCGGAGTGACCCTGGAGGCGGTATCCCTCGGTTCATGGTCGAGCGAAGTACTCCATCGAGTATTGTGCAAGACGCGCAAAAATTCCTCGATTGGGCTTGTACCAAGGAAGACGAAGAGGAACCAATCGTGGAGGACAGAGGCAGGAAGAGCGTTGAAAGTGACCACCGCTTCTCAGTATTTGAATCAAACGGCATTCTCGCTGGTGTGGGAACTAGCATTGCCGACAAACCCGACCTAGCCACCTTCCGACGGCCATCACAACGGACAACCGACAAAGGGGATGGACAGTCCGGCATCATCAAATCAATGGCAGATACCCTAGAGTCCTACGTTCCAGATTCCCTCAACCCTCTCCGCCGGTCAGAATCGCAGAGCTCGGTCTCGACGTCATCATCCATCGACTCTTTTGCATCAGCAGAGCAATACAATACAGCGACCGAAGGCCTCCCGAGGACGGATGGCTCAATACCCACTCCCTCTACTCAATCCGAACAGTCCCTCGCCCTCGGGCCGTCCGGTTCAACCCACCATCACCATACGAGCCGCGAGCTTGAAAAGATAGAGCAGAAACGCGATCAGCTTAAGGAGAAGCTCGACCAAGCCCGCACGAAACAGAGCCAGGAGACACAGAGTGCGAGCACTAAATCAGCCAAAGAACTCGAGAAAGCAACCGAGAAGCACAACCGCGACCGGAAGAAACAAGAGGACAAATTCACAAAGGAAATCCAAAAGCTTGAAGCCCGCCGTGAGCGCGAGACTAAGAAACTCCTCGCACGCCAGCAGAAGGAGGCTGATAAGAACAACCTCCTAAAGACGCAGCGCGAAAGGGATGAGTGGAAAGAGAGAGCGGAGCTCGCGGAGCAGGAGAACAAGCTGCTTAAGGAGCAGATTGGCGAACTGCAACGGGAGAACACCGCGCTCGTGGCAAGGATGGGGAAGACGGATATGGGGCGGGAGTTGCTAAAGAATGTTAGGGAGGAGATGATGGAGGGGAAGGGCAGGAAGAGGAGTAGTAGCCGCGCTAGCGCAGGCAGTGGGACTAGTAGGGCGAGTAAGGCGAGTGGGAAGAAGAGTGAGAATGTGCATGAGGGGAGTGGGTTGGCGAATGTGGAGACTGGGAGCTGAAGCGTGGGTGTGGCTTCTTGACAGTGTGCATTTCCTAGGACATTATTACTTGGATTCGGACGGGTTATTACCAGCAATGAGGTCTGGTCTGAGTTATGGCGGAATACGGCTTTCATAGCGGCATACATACCTGGGACTAGCGGTCCTTCTTCTCTGAACTTCCAAAAAAAACAGTGTACATATGCTAGCCTTCCGAGTCCGTTACTGTACATCTGACTAATCCAGATTAGGCTATTCTCCACAGCCCTTCATCCACCCTCCACCCACGTCATTTCCAGCTTACACTACGTTTCATATTCTTCGAAACGAAACATTTTTAAAGGTGTACCTTGTGTATTCACAAGAGCTCCCCGAATTGCATCTTTCTTAGCGAGTAACGGAGTTCCTCCGATAACCGGCCGCGTTTCTTGGATGAAGAAGAAAGAGCAAGGAATTCAAACAAGACTTCGCCGTAGAGCTAGGTGATATCGACGACCCGAACCTAACTCGACAAAGAGGAAATACGACGAAACAGGGCAGGGTACCCTCTTGCACCAGAGAAGGTTCTTGCACAAGATAAAGATTCCTTATCAATTCCGCTCGGAAGGCACCATCCATCGACGACATCCTTCACATACGGTCCCACGGGAGAAGTCGCGGCAATTCACGTCGTCGCTACTAACGGCGCGGATATCGCGTATATTACTTGCAAAGGGACCCAGGCTTCGACATGGCAGAGGCTTCCAAACCTACAATCCTAGCCTTCCACGGCTCTGGCAGCAATACCACGATCCACACCGTCCAACTAGCCCGGCTGAACCGCCTTCTAAAACCGCACTTTAATATCGAAGTACTCGAAGGTATACCTTCTTCTTCTCTCCCCAATTCCCCTTCTTTCGTTCTCACCAACCTACTCACCCCTCCTCCCACGAACCCCTCTCCCTCTCCCATACCCGGCCCCGAACTAGTCAGACAGACGACGATAGTAAACCTAGCTAACAAAGAAGCAAACAGCACCCTTCCCCTCCGCCGCCGGACCCGGCATCCTGCCCTTCTTCGAAGGCTGCGGGCCCTTCAAGCGCTGGATCCCGCCGGCGGAAAAACTCAGCATCTCGGGCATGAAAGCAGGCGAAGCGTCGCCGCACATGCCGGCGGCCGTCGAAGAGCTAATCGCCTCCACCGTGCCCAGCATCACCCGCGCTCAGGGCGGCAAGGGGAAGGTCGTTGGGCTGATTGGCTTCAGCCAGGGGACGCGCGTGGTCGCGGGGCTGCTCAAGGGCGCGGAGATCTGTCGAGCGCTGGAAGCTGCTGGGGAGGACGTCTCGCAGATCGGATGGCTGGGTTTTGAGTTCGCTGTGTCGGTGTGCGGATCGTATCCGCCGGCTTTGATTCCGCCGGCTGTGTCTGCTGCTTTGGCGTCCTCATCGCTATCTGGGGAGCAGCAGAAAGAGTTGGTAGAGAGCAGGGTTAGCATTCCGACGCTACATATCCAGGGCAGGGAAGACGAGTGGGCGTGGGCAGGGAAGCTGTTAATTGAGGGTGTGTATGAGGAAGGGGAAGGGAAGAGCGAGGTAAGAGAGTTGGCCATGGGGCATCATTATCCGGTGTTGCAGGAGGATAGTGAGGGGATTAGGGAGTGGGTCTTAGACACGTATCGGAGGACTGCGGAGAGAGAGAAGCGGTAGAACCTAGAGGACCTGATTGCAAAACGGACGGAAGAACGTGAATGAGCAGTACAAGAGCACAAGGAGTTAAAGTTATAAATCGAGCTCTGTTAGCTATTGCTACAAGCTGAACGGTGCTCCGGATCCGCCAACCATGTTACGCTTCCTACTGTCCAGCGCTTAAACACTACGAAACAACAAGCACAGAATACATAACAAGGGTATCGTAGTCGCCTCATCCCATCATCGTCAACCTCTTGTTGCCACCTTGCTCACGTCCTCTGGTCTCGTGCACCTTCTTTCCAAAACAGAATGAGAAAGGCCGTTCAATCATCCTTCATTTGTGAATAGGAGATGCCGAAGCTAGCATGAGCGGCCGTGTTCGTGATGATATGCAATAAAGCAAATGGAAATAGACTCCGTGACCATGCCGAAGGATAAAATTTTGCAAGGAAAAGTGACATGCCCAGATTGAGGGTAGCCAAGAGGGAAGCGCTACTTGAGTACCCTGTCCACTAGGGCCCTGCTGTTGCTCATGCAGTAATACAATCACATTGAGAATGGACCGGTTCCGACGATGCCTGCGTAATTTCGTCAATAAAGAGGGATGGCCATGCTGGGTAGGACTACTCCTAACCCATCATTTCGCTGCCCTCTCCGAAATCTTCGTCCATTTCTTCGATGTTCATGCCGTGCGCCTGGGCGGTGACGTTGAGTATCATCTCAGGCTCCTCACTCTCGTCGAACATGTTGCCATCAGGATCGAAAATCGGGGTGCGTCGATTAGGGGAATCGGCATTGAGGTAGTTGCGCAGACGCGAGACGCCGACACCGCTGAAAACACAGAAAACGTCGCGCTGATGTTCGTTGAACTCTGGGAGGGGGTTAACGGTGTACTAAGGCAGACAAGAGAGGTGGGACAAACCTGGCGGTGCTTCGCGGCAGAACACAATGAGGTCCTCACGGAGAAAGGCTTGGACACCAGTCAGGCTCAGATGTGTTAAACGTGGGCAGTTGTTCAACAAAGCGTGGATGCCCTATAATCGAGTCAGCAATGATAAAGTCAAATTTGGAGTGTGGTTTGTCATACCTGAAGAGTCAGGTTCGTGCAGTAGCTGAGATGGACCCTCTCGAGAACGCTGGGAGCCACAGGTCCGCCGTGTCCCACCTGCTTTGGTTTGGCAAGCGCCAGAATGCTCCGGTCCGTAATGTTGCCGCATTTCACCAGTCCTATCCGCTTCAATTTCGGCAAAGTTGCAAGCTGCATGACGGAGTTGTCCGTGAGGTTGGTACAGCACGCCAAATCGATATATCGGATTCGGTTGCACAGCTTGACGAGCTGTGTGACGCCTGCGTCTGTGATGCGTGAACAATGACCCAGGTGGATATAGTGGAGATTCTTTCCGAGGCGTGTGATAGCCAGAACCGCGCGGTCCGTTATGTTCCGGCATTTGTTAAGAACCAGGTTGCGAAGCCGGGGAGCGGCCTGAACTATCTTCTGGACACCGGCATCCTGCAACTCGCCGCAGTCCGTGAGGTCAAGGATGCGGAGAGCGTCGTAGGTTGCTTCCAGTGGAAGGCGAAGGAAGGCTTGGTCGGTCACGCGCCAACAATGAGCCAGACGCAATTCTCGCAGGTGCGGTCCTTCCGTGATGAGGGTGGTGATGGAATCATCTTCGAGGTTCTTGCAATCGTGGAGGTCGATCTCGAGGATGTAGCGGCAGTTTCTAGCGAAGGCGATGATGGACTTGTCGGTCAATTGAGAGCATCCGTTGAGTTTGAGCTGCAGACGTCAGAAATGCTACATTGTTCGTGTGTCATTGTCAGTACTAACCCGCTTCAAGTGTCTGCAGCTCTTCGCTACAGCTTCCAATGACTCGTCCGTAACCTTCTTGCAGTTGGTGATGTTCAGACCCTGTAGCCGAACGGCATTATTGGCTAGAGAGAACATGGTCCTGTCTGTAATGGCATCCAGATTTGTTACATCCAGCGCGAGGAGGCTGCGATTGTCCTGCAGCATTGCGGTGAGGCTGAGATCGGAGAGCTTCGTGCAGTTAGTCAGGGTCAGCCGCTCAACGCGTTTGCACCCAGACAGCGGCGCTAGAGTGCCGTCGCTGACTTCGTTGGCGAGGCCAGACAGGTTCAGGCGTTTGATCAGACTGGCATACTCGAAGAAGCTGTCCGACTTCCTCACCGTCGCGATGACGCTCTTGATGGCGCCCCATTTGCCCGTCTGCGGCCTGTGCCACAAGAGGCCTACGCTGTTTCTCGCCCATTCTCTCGACACAAGCATGCAGTGCTTGAGGTCGCCCGGCGAGGAGAGCTTGGCGAATATGGCGATCATCAGCTCTGCGGGCAGGCGGGATATAGGAGAGACGCGGCATCTCTCTTCGATGGCCCGCCGGAGGGCTTCCTCGTCTGAATCGGGCGAGACGGAGGGCGCGAGCGAGGACTGCGAGTCGTTGGCCTGGAGCATGATCGAGTCGTTGTCATCGTCGATGCCGCGCTCGGGGGAGGTGGATGCGGAGGTATCGGAGCGGGAGGCGCTGACGTCGCGCTGGGCTCGTCGGGAGCGCGTCATTTTGGGCTGGCTGGTCGTATGTATGTGCGTAATACTGTGTGTTCGTCCACTGCTGCGGGCGTGGGCCAGGTCGAAAGGCTGAGAATGTTCGGTGGTGTGTTTGGACGGGGTCTGCGAGGTCCGCAATTGGTGGTGGAGGGAAGGCGGTTGGCGGGTCGACTAGTAAGCGACAACGCAGCTGACGGGCATTCACAAACAAGCTGTGCGGTGCAGTGCTGTGAATCTGCAGAAGCGCGTCGGGGCCTGGCAGGAAACGGGGCCGTGCGGGGTGGGAATAAGGCGAGGAATCGCAAGGTCGTGCGCCGTTTCCGTGGTGTGGTGGTGTTGTGTAGGGCTGGGGGAGCCCGCTCGCTAACGGCGCTGTTATGGCGAGGGTGGCGTCGAGGGACACACTAACAGCAGACAGTGTGCAATGGCAGGTCACGACAGCGTGCGGTGCCTTCTCTGGGGCGGCAGGCCGGTCGAAGAGGTCGGAGAGGGAGCTGCTAAATACTCAGGGACGAAGATGAGCGGAGAAGGGCCGTCTCCAGAGCCAGGCGTCGCGGCCGTCTGCTGCTTGGCGGCGGCCGGGTTGGCCCTGCGCGCCTGTCGCATCAACTCTCTTTCGAGCTGCTGCTTGGGACGAGACGGTCCGCCCAAAGTGACTGCTGCTCCCTCGTCCTTGCTGTGCGGCCAATCCCCGCGCCGCCATCAGCCCCCCCGCGAGGCTGCCCCGTCGGTAACGCGGCTCTCTCTACCACCGACTCCTCTCCCAGTGCACGCTGGCAGGCGTCATGTGTCGCAGCAGGCATACGCACCTGACTGATGTAAGTCGTACCCCCATTGCCCGTCCAACCGCCGTCTCACGACGTCGCGTGAAGGCGCGAGCCGTGATCTGGAGAGGCCTGGAGAGCGTCCCAGATCCAGACCCGGGTCGCTGCGCTCTCGAACGCCGGTTCACAGATCTGAGCCAAGCCCCTGGCGGTAGCCGCAAGCATCGTTCAAGCTCCCCCAAGCCTCCATCGTCGGGCATTACTTCGACGTCTTGCATCACCCAATCGGCGCCTGCTGCACCCAAGTCTGGTCCGCACCAAGACCGTTTACTTAGATGACATCGGCGGCCGTGTGGCGGGACATGGCGGCTGCAGGGCAACGACAGCGTCTCCGCCAAAAGGAACGCTCGGTCCCGAGGACGATGATGGACCGCGGCGAGCCTGGAACCTGATCGACAGGCCGAAACACAAAGTGCCAAAATCGGTAATCTGTTTCCCACCCTCCGTATCCATAGATCTGCAGCACTGCACGATGCTGTCATCGCACACTGTCGACCTTCCTAACCGTACACTACAATCACTTCCTGACGGGCTTTAGAGCGAGCTATACGCATGTCCTCGGTACTGTGACTTCCGCGATCACGTAGCCTGTCGGGCTACTACACAGTAAGCATATCGGAATTCAGACCCCGTCCTAGCGCCTTAAGTCGAAGGTTTGAGCATTTCATTTCTCCGCGTCCACGACTCCGTTTGAAAACATCTTCAACTTCCATCTGTCTGCTCTGTCATTGTGGGCTTATCCTCCACGCGGATACCGCCTCGCGTTGCTATACCACGTGCCCTACCCTCTCCATCCGCCAGGCTTGGCAGAACAGCTTCTACTCGCCGGAGTTCGCGAAACCAAAACCCAAAGCGAGGGATCTACACTCTGCAAGCGGTTGGAATACCCCTCCTTGATGCATCGCGAACTCCGATGACATCGGGGATTAAAACGCCTCATCCTCTCTCGGGACCGAAACCCTCCGCCCCCGCAAAACCACTATGCGACTATCCCCTATCGATTCGACCCGCAGAAGTCAACATTAGGTGCTTACTCTGCTGTGTTCAGGTCTCGGTTGGACTCTCGGTTTCCCCGCATTACAGAGTTGTTCGATTGCACAGCACATGGCCTCATTCCTTTCGGGACCGAAATGACACAAGATCCCCACAGACGAGTATACGGGCGATCTCGTATCTGCAGCACGGCGGAAAAGCTGATATCAGGCGCTGGCCGCACTTTCCTTCAGATTCTTAGAGACGTGGTATGATGGTGCAGCCACGCTCGCAACTGGTCCAATCAATCTTAGACATGATCTGAGTCTCATACGCGATATTCAGCCTCATACCTGACCCCATTCTATACCTGATATCTCGCGACCGGAACTTGGAGATCAATTGGATGTTGCTGTGGGCTGAACGGAGGCCATGGCCTATTCTCATCGCTGATAGTAGGGGTAGAGGAAAGGTAGTTGGCTCGACAATAGAGGTCCTGCTCAGCATCTTCCTTACGTCGACTAATCTTGCTCCGCCTTCAACGCCGTTTGCCTTCCGCTCCTTTGTATAAGTATACCCTTCCCCGGCGCACCTCTTGCTATTCTAGTCTTGTTCATCATTACACATTTACTTCTTTCACCCTCCGATCCATTGCTCAAAAAGGATGGCGACAAACGGTACTCCAAGGCTCTTCTTGGATGATCAAGTGGGTCCGAAGAATTCACTTCTCTACGACATTCTCTGGCCAAGGGCCGATCTACTCAAACGGATCGATTTCAAGCTTCTCTTCAAAGATTATCCCAGCGCCGGCCCGATCCAGATTGAGCGGGAGAAATCGTTTCTTGCACGCGAAGCTAAGGCGGTTCGTCCCGCAGTCGTCGACTGGCGTAACCGAAACGGCGTCAATTATCTCTGTAGCATCGTCAACCAAGAATCCGGTAACTGTTGGGCCTTTGCTTCGACAGCATGCCTGGAAAGTATGGTCCGAATTGAGCATGGCTACTGGGCCAAACGATCTGAGGGAGATCTCCGTGATGGCAGTAGCATCGGCTGGGTCATTGACGACGATTTGCCCAACTCGGCGCAGTACAACAGCTAAGGTGGACCATACGCCTGGGAGCTCGATTGGTCTCTTAAGAGTGGAATTGCCGACTATGGCTGTGTTCCATGGGTTCGTGACGGTAAAGATTGGCGCCCAACAAGGGATCGTTCGGGACGAACGACCAGGTTTGGTGCCTGGCACGACCTGCCACTTGAAGATCAGAAGGACTGGTTGGACACCACGGGTCCTATCGTAGCCCACATTGTTGGAAACGACGCATGGGGCTATGGGAAGCCGGGTACTGATGTCTTCCACGTACCAAAGGATGCCCCGGCTCCGAAATGGGGTCACGTCGTTCTCATTGTAGGTTATGATGACAACCGCCAATGCTGGTGAGTGCCTTGGATATACTCACAGCTTAACGGTCATGCTGATATTGCCTCTCTAGGATCGTCCGCAACTCCTGGGGAACAGGCTGCGGCGATAAAGGATACATATATCATGGCTATGGAGAGGCGGACATTGATAAGAACCAAAAGTTCGGCATCCGTGGAGTGGACCCTGACCCTTGGATCAAACGGAGGCTCCAAAATGGATGCTTCATGCAGACAAGCAAGGGGGCACAACACAAGAACTTTGAACTCCTGACAGGCGGAGCCCGCATCAAGCACTGGTCCCGAGATGACACCACGCTCAAGTGGACAGTTCTGCCCAGCGATCCTGGGAACAAGCTTCCGACCACCGGTATCCCAGCCGTGATCCAGACGACCTACGACCGCAACCCTTCAGCTGTCTATTGGGAGGCCACCTCCAATGCCATCAAGCATATCATCTACGACCAGAAGACGTCGAAGTGGTCGCTAGATGTGCCTCAGGATCCAGCCAAGATCCCGACCAACATCTAGGGCTTTCCGGGCTTCATTCAAAGCAACATCAACAGCCCCGGAAGCCTCGAAGTAGTCGTTCGCGGCACGGATGCTAGACTTCATCACTGGCGCCGCGGCGGTCTGCGTGATCCGCAGACCGGCTATGAGGGCGAAGGATGGCAAGAGCGCGCTGTCTTCGGTTGCGACTTCAAGATGGGCGGGCCCTCGCTCGTGCAGGCGAACTACCCTTCAGAGCGCAACCCAAGATACCCCACCGCAAACGAAAACTTCTACCTCGTCGCGGTGCGCAACAATGGCAAACTAGCCATGTGGTGGAAGGACTGCACAGCCTGCCAATGATACGAAGGCGAGCACTTCGGCTCCGGCGTCGGCGAAACGCCCGTCTGCATGATCCAGACCAACCACAACACCGACAGCGAGAATGATGTTGGTGACTTCCACGTCTGCGTCGCCGTCAACGGCCAAGTTCAGCACTGGGTCAGAGACAATTCCGCGCTAGCGGATGAGCGCCCTGTACCAGGACACCTGGACCCTGTGTACTACAAGGAGACGAGGAAGATGAGATGGCGCCTTGCGAATACTTTCGGAGCTAATGTGAAGAACGTGTGGGGGATGGTGGAGAGCGCGTCCCATTTCAATATCGAGATTGTGGTGGAGATGACGGATGGGAAGATCGGGCATACGTATTTGGACTGGCCTTCGTGGAAGTGGTGGGGTCCTTATTCTACCGGTATTGATGCATATGCGAAGTAGGTTGGACTGAGGCAACATTTAGGCTTTCTTTCGTGGTTGGTGGACGGGTGCGGGAACGAGATCGGGGCGACGGATGAGCGCAGATGCTACAGTCCACGATTCCAGGTGTCTTACTGCAGTTTGCATGGTAATGAATGCAGCCACGAGGTTGACAACAAGCGTGCGGAGTGAATCGTGTGCAGTCAGGTCTGTCAGCTTCGTTGTCGCGGCCGCGCTGCGAGCGGCTGAGGTCTGACTGTCCCAATTGGTATTAGCGCGATCTAGAGTAATAGCCACTTTGCGCCACAATTCAACCACCCGCCGAAGGGCAGACTCCCTGCATAATCATACCTCCGTAGGTAGTTGGAAAACCAAATCAGAATCCTAACCTTTGAAATAGTCTTCCGTTCTCTAGCCATGCCTTTCGAAGCCCACAAAAGTCAAAAATAGCGATTTGGGCAGTTGATCGTCGTTGACGTGCATGCATGAGTGGCTTTGCTTGTGACCGCCTTCAACAGCGCTGGGACCTTGAAACCCGCCAGGCACACGCCTTATGACCTCCGCATTCTCACCCATCACACGTCCACCATCTTTGCGCCTGAGTGCTGCGTCCGCCGGAACAAGCGTCACCTACATGCGCGCTCTCTAGGTCGCCCGTCGCTCCTGCTTCGCTGCAGGGCCCTCACCGCCCACCATGTCCTCCTCCGCTCGCTATGCCCATCCCGCCGCATCTTCAGCCGCCCCCCCGCAAGCCGCCTATCGTGCGCCGGCTGCCGTCTCCCATGCACCGCCGGGCACCTTTGCCCCAGGGACGAAAGTCCAGGTGGGCAATCACCGCGTCGCGATTGAGAAATACCTTTCCGAGGGAGGCTTCGCCCATGTCTACCTGGTCCGCGTCCCCAAGACCGACAATCGCACGCCGGAAACTGCGGTGCTAAAGAGAGTTGCGGTGCCGGATAAAGAGGCGCTGGCGAATATGCGGACCGAGGTGGAGACCATGAAGAAGCTGAAGGGCCACAAGCACATCGTGACCTACATCGACTCGCACGCTTCGCAGTTGAAGGGTGGCGGCTACGAGGTCTTCTTGCTCATGGAATATTGCTCCGGCGGGGGCCTTATTGATTTTATGAATACCCGGCTACAACACCGACTCACGGAGCCAGAGATTCTGCATATTTTCTCCGATGTGGCCGAGGGAGTCGCTACGATGCACTACCTGAAGCCGCCGCTATTGCACCGCGATCTCAAGGTCGAAAACGTTCTGATTACTGCGGTTGGCTCCACCAGGATATACAAGCTCTGCGATTTTGGATCGACGGCGCCGCCGCGGCCTGCTGCGACGACGGCTGCGGAAGGGAGGCTGATTGAGGACGATGTGCAACGGCACACCACGCTGCAGTACCGAAGCCCAGAGATGATTGATGTCTACAGAAAGCAGCCCATAGACGAGAAGAGTGACATCTGGGCATTGGGTGTGCTTCTCTACAAGTTGTGCTATTATACGACGCCGTTTGAAGAGGTGGGACAGATGGCTATCTTGAATGCGACCTTCAAATTCCCCTCCTATCCCCAGTTTTCGGATCGCATAAAGAAGTTCATATGTAGGCGCATGCCCCGAAGGAGCCAAGAGAGCATATGCTAATTCCCGGCTAGCCTCCATGTTGCAAGAAAACCCCAAGAATCGACCGAACATCTACCAGGTGATTGTTGAAGTCTGCTCTATGAGGCATAGAGCCGTGCCAATCAAAGATGTATGCTATTATTTTCCATATAGAACTTAGCTGCTGACACACTACAGATATATTCCAATCGAACCCAATCAGAAGACCGGAGGAACCAGCAGCTACCGTCTCCGGAGCCGAGTGTCTCTTCACCCCCTATAATAGGACTTCAGAAGGTCACTCCTGTTCAACAGGTTCAATCCATCCCAGACATCACTCCAATGAGGAGGGGACGGCCGACGGCTCCAGTCCAGGCACCGACCGCCGCAAAACCCAGTCCTTCTCCAATGAGAGGAACGGCGTCCGACCCGTTCGCAGCTCTCGATTCAAACAACGTGGAGGTGCGAAGAGCGGCTGCAGACGAGCTAGCAGCGCGTTTCCCTTCGTTGGACGAGTTTTCATTGCTGCACGACCGGGGCCAGAAGTTTGAATTTGGTCAACCACCAACGAACTCCGATTCCCAACTCGGCACGAGAGTCACGCAGGCTCTTGCGGACGAGGCCTTTGCGTTTCCTCCCGCTACCAAGGTGGAAGCAGCACCACCGGCGAAGGCTCCCTCAGCTGTTCCTTCTGCAGGCATTTCTCGGGCTACTTCCGTCAAGAAACCACAGAAGTATGAGCCGGCCAAGGTCACCCCACGTACCTCCAATCCCACCATTCATCAGCCAGTCCCGCAGCGGTCGACCATGGTATCTACTGGGGTGCAGACGTCCCCTTCAGCTTCTCCTGCGCCTGCTCAATCTCCACAGAAGTTTCCTGAAGTCAACAAACGACCCATCTGGCGCGTGCCGGATACAAATCACCACAACCGTACGCTAAGCCAGCCACGGAAGTTCGAACCGTCTCAACCCAGCCCATCCTCCCTCAGGCCTGATCACACTCTCCCACCTCGTCCGTCACTTCTTGACTCCTCGAGGTCCAGATCACAGACCTCCACGCTCACGATTCCAAAATCTCCGGCGTCTTCACGGCCTTCGCTAGAAAGCCAGCGTCCTTCTCCCCTAGACCTTGGAAATGCTCTGGACAGGTCCAAATCTGCGAACGCCCAGCGACCGGTCAGTATTCATGTTGAATCCAACCTCGAGTTCCTTCGTGAGCGCGAAGGAGCCCCCGGACGTAGCTTTGATGCACCTTCGCTTTCAAGGGGTCCACCATCTGCAGCGCTTCAAGACTCAGACTCAGAAGCAGACGATAGGAACATCACCTCGAACGTCGGCTTTCTGCGCGCTATGGAAAATGAGGAATCGAGCCAGAAGAAACATCGCCGAAGCAGCAGTCAATCGAAGCATGCCAAGCGCTCTAGTCTATCCTCAATAACGAGCAACACCAAGAACATTGTCAAAGGCAAATTTGGGGACGCTTTCAGGAAATTCGAGAGCAACGCTCCTCAAGACCGAGTCCGGGAACCGCCACTGACCCCTACCGACCAACTTATAGATCCTCGTGGCAAGGCGTTAACACCTATCGCGGGCTCTGAAGCTACAGGTGGACCCAGCGATGACGAGCGCGCCATTGATGAGACTCAAGATCTGCCACCAGAAGTTCGCCGCGAACTTGAACGACGGCGGCTGTCGCAAGAGGAACGTCGTGTCGAAGCAGCCGCAGCCGAATATCGCAAACGTCTCGCAGACCAGGGAGAGCATGGGAAAGGCAAAGCCGGTCCATCGCGCGCTTCTACAATTCAAACCCGCGTGAAGAATTTGCTGGACGAGAGTCAGAAGCAGTCGCCGGTCAACAAGACAGCCGAGGGGTATGGACATTTCACCGATTCGGGCAAGGCGCTGCCTAAGAGACCCCAGGATCAGACTGGGCTGAGAGAGCGTCCAGCTATTGCCCGCAAACCTGTTGCCCTGCCTCAGCAACCCCAGCCTCCATCCTCAGAGCTCCAATACGCAAAGCCCAGGCCAAACATCGCACATCCGCCTACGTCTTCCTCCGCTCCGCCAGCAGCGCACCGTACAGCGACTGGTCCATCTTCTGCACGACCCCTGCCACCGCCGAAAAAGCAAGCTTTGCGTACAGGTGGACCGAGTGATTTCTCCGCGGCGAAGCAGACCTCCGTTGTTGGTGGCACAGGGAGAGAAAAGCCGCTTCCACCTGTTGCGGGCAATGCCGGCGCCGCGGACGAGGATTGGGACGTAGACAGCTTCAGCAAGCGATATCCCAGCTTAAGCGGGCTAGAGATGGTGGAGACGGAGATCCCGGCGCGGGCGAGGACTGTCCGGGACGTATAAGTAGATGACGGCATATCTCGACGTTGGATTGTTGCAACGCCGTACCATGACATAGAACTGCGGTGGGACTTTTCCTGATTTGATCTGCATGATTTAGCAGCAGCATAGAGCAAAGCACTTATTTAAGCGTCTGTTACGCCTGCCTGCCTGCCTGCCTGCCTGGGTATATAGAAACGGCATTACTGGATAGTCAATGAATGTCCCCAATCTATCCCTCCTTCCTAAAGCAAGCCACTTATGATGAAGTTCAACGTACAGAGACTAAAAAAGTACTCTCTAATCATCTCTTACACCGTCAGTGATGCTTGGGCGTATGTGAAGAAACGGGGCCACTACTGCCTGAAGGAAATCATGCTCAAACAGAAGGGCCTCGTTTGAAACGACTACTCTCTTTGGAGTACTTTATTCTCCTCGAGCCCTCGTCCCCAAGCAGCACAGGGCTATTGAGATAAAGTCAAGACGTCCCTGTGCAATGAGGAGTGCTCGCTGATGTTGAGAGGAGAGGAAGGTAGAGAGGGAGCACAAATCGACAACACTCAATGCGCACAGTTGGATGCATGCAACCCATTCCCGTATATTTTGATATCAATGGCTGACATAGCAGCCGAGATCTATTCGACCCCCTAAGCCAGCAAACCATCCCTACATGCCATACCATTCCCACCCCCTTACCCACCCTTCATGCCGCACTCCATGCCATGCCCGTTAGGCCGCAGCATACCGAACCGAGGCGAACCGATGCAGAAAAGTCGAAGAGAGGTATCGAGAGGAAGGATATGAAGGGCGGGTAGGAAGAAGATCGATTGTCTACTGCTCGGTCTGGAAGTAGTTGAGGAGGATGCTGCGCTCCTGGGACTCCTCGCCCCAGTCGCGGACGACGACGCAGGAGCAGTTGACGACTTTGCGCGGGTTGCCTTCGCGGTCGATCTGGCCTGTTCCATGTATTAGCACACATGTCGTGCTCAAGTTCCCCCAGCCAGAACTCCAGCCTTGCACCCTCTCCAGTCCAACAGCCCTCGCCCAGCCCAGCGTAAGCCGATATGAGATGCATGTTACGTACACAGCCCCGCCCACTCGCCCAGCTGCTTCCCATCCGGGACCTTAATCAGCGGGATCTTGTGCTCCGAGCACAGCGCGACCACCAGCTTCTTATACGCCTCCTCCTCGCAGGCCTCGTTGAGGACGCACATATGCGCCTGACGACGGTCGAGCGCCTTGGAAGCCTCCCGCAGCCCGCGCGCAAGTCCGTCGTGGATGAGGGCGAGCTTGAGGACGCCCTTCAGGGCCTCGAGGACCGACATCTGGCCCTTGCCTGCGGAGGCATCGGCGCTGACTTCGACTTCGGCCGCGGCGGACACTTGGGATTGGGCGTCTTCTCCGTCCGACTGTGAGGAGGGGGGCGTTAGCAGGAAGCTTTTCTACTAGGTAGGCAATCGGTGGATGGCTGGATGCGGCAGACTTGCGGAGGCTGAGAGAGGTATGAGCGTACCATGATGACTGGGATGCTATCTGTCGGCTATCCTCGAAGATGTATGTGGGTGGGTTGATGAAGGAAGTCAAAAGTTCGAGGTCAATATTCGCGAATGGGTGTGGGCGGGATTCCCCGAGAAGCGAGTAGCTTCGAGGCTTGGCACCATCCGCACGTGACTGGCACTTTTCGCTCCACAGGCTGAGTATTAACGTGAGACGGAGGCATTGAGAAGAAGCAAGAGACAGTGAAAATAAGAGTAACTCGTGACAACGCTGCCTCAAAAGACTGGTGGTGACTCTGCGGAGTATGTGGCAGTGATAAGTCGCATTTATTTTTCATCCACATCCTGCATCCAGGAGGACTTTGGCACTGGTTCGCAAACCTAGATTCGTCTCTGCAAAACTACCGCTGATGACCTTCAGTAGATAAAGGCAAGTAGACCATCACCCTATATAAAGGTACCAAAGTCAACTGTTTGAATGGTATCTTTCTCGCTATATGCATTCTGCACCTTCCTTCACTGCAGCCTTTAACTGCCGCCGCCACTTTTGGACCAGCCGTAGCCATGTTCCTAGCACCCAAGCCTATCCTCGAAGCGCTTCAGCTTCCTATTGAGAAATTAAGAAACAACCGTATCGGAGATATAAGGACACTCGAACAGAATAAACTCTTTATGGCATGACGCCATCCCTCTTGCACTCATGGACGCGGAAACTCCCAAACGACAACTAAGAAAACACTATCGAAGCTGATGGATGGCGGACTCTTCGGTCCGCATGAATATAGTAATCAAGTGTAAAGGAAAGGGATATCAGCAAGCCGCTGTACGCTATCAGCCAAACGTGAAATACAGAGCCAGAAGTGTGACAGCGCCCATTGTACCGAGAACGCCTACGACATAAGGAAAGACTGGGTATATAGTAGGTGGACGCTACATGACGATGCAGCAGCAATTCTTCTTCTCCTTCTCTTTCTCTTCGGGGGGTTCGGGAAGACGCGTAGTCGTCGGTTTCGGAGAGGGGGCCGAAACCTGCCGGTTTGAAGTCCGGGACGGTATACGAGGACTTTGGGGTATCGTCGGCGTGAGCTTGTAGCCGCCTTGCTCGGTCGTTGGCGACTTCACATTGGTATCAATCCGTTCCGGAGACACCTTTGTCGGGCTTGGGAGTGGCCATTGCTCGTCTTGCTGCGCTTGTTCAAGGTCTATGGGCTGGATCTGGGAAGCGCGGTTGTCCGCGTACTCCTCAGTGTTCAGCAGCCGGAATTCCTTGTCATACATTGAGCCAACCCTGCCCTCGTTTTCCCACTGTTCTTGCTGCATTCTCTTGGCGTGTGTAGGGATAATCTGCTGATCTGGGGGTAACCGTGGATCAGGCTTGTACATGGTAGCAATCCATGGAGCCTCGCCTTCGGGTCGGTGACTGGTGCTGGGACGAGACAGCGAACCACCGCTCGTTCCGGGGCGTTTTACCGGGGAAGAGGTAGATGTGTTTCGAGGCTTCGCTTGAGTCTTTTGCGTGCTGGCTTTCCGCCCTGTTGGTGTAGGCTTGCCAGGCGTCTTCGCTTTTGGTGGCGACCCCGTCATAGGAGATGCAGGAGTGCTGAAATTGCCGGACATTGGGCTCCGCTGCGGGTCTTCGGATCGTCGTGGCTCATCCAGTAGTACTTGACTCGATGTGCTCCCGCTCCTCACTCTGGCGCCATTCGTTGCGATGGCGTCGCCATTCCAGTTGCCACTCTCTTTCCTAGGCCTTGGGAGCGGGGCGTCCCTATCGGCCAGCGTAGGCGGTACAGGAACCGGACTGAGCTTAGCAACAGGAATGCGGGAGGTGCTGGGCCTCACGCCGTGGTTGTTTCGTGCTGCGTACTGCTCCTTCTCTGCTGCAATCTCCGCTGGCGTTCGCAAGTCCCAGGCGGATGGCTGCGCGTCCCCCTCCTCGTCCGGTATGGGCGAAACCATCCTTCGGTTGTCCTGGCGATCGTCTCCATTGTATGCAGGATCAGTAGCCTCGGAATTGGTTCGATCTCGCGACGCATGTCTAGCACTTTGTGACCTGCTGTTTGAGCGGCTGGTGCGCCCGACCCTGAAGCCCGCTTCTTCCATTTCCCTGATCTCAATTTCTTTCAGCTTGTCACGGTGTATCCAGTTGTTCTCATCCTTCTCTACTTCGGTCCAGTTCGACGGCATCTTCGTGGGCTTCTTCCGGCCCTTGTTTTTCGCAGTCGCTCCATTTCGGCTCTCAGCACCCTTGTAGTATTCCAGAACACTATCCGGATCGCTGCTATTAGCGCTCACCTCGCCGCTTCCCTTCTTGTGTAGCTCATGGACCCGGCTCGGCGCGAGAAATCCTTGCTCATCCCCGTTGTGCTGCCCTTGTGGTTCTAAGGGAGAGCGAGGAGCCTTCAGCACCCCATTGGGTTGAGCACTGGGGGGCTCGCGGGGAGAGTAAGGATGCGCGGGCGCGACGTCTTCGGACATGAAAGGCTCTTGCTCGGCGTAGGATCTCTTCTGTATCGCGCGCGGTCAGCACGGTAGATTTCTCTTGGAGTTGCTGTAGATGGCGGTGCTGCATAAAGTAGCTGGGTGCGAGTCAAGTCGAGTTGGCGCTATGTGCAGGACGAGATGTCATAGTCTCAATAGCGCGCAGAGGTGACGCCAACCATGTGACGGGGCTTGTTGGATCGGAATTGGTATACGTACTGCGGTGTCTAGCCTTTGTACAGGCACTGCAAAGTCCCACGATCCTCGTCCGCCGTGGGAGCTACTTGGGGGGGTCAATTGCTGGAGCGTGGTCGGTTGGCGGGGCGATGCCACGGCCATAGGAGACGTCGGTCCCTGGGAGCGCGGGTGACCCTCTGGAGACGGTGAGGCTGGCCAAACGGCGGCCTTCAGAGCTTGCGCAGCGCACAGTGGCTCGGGCAGGGTAGTCGCAATGCGCACGGGGAGGTGTCGTGAAATGTTTCACAGCTCGGGGAAGGGGCGCGGCACCGCAGGGAAGGCACGACCGTGGTGCTAGGCGCGGAGAAGTGTTGAGGGCGGAGACGGGCGGCGAGAGGCTCTCCAGGCAGCGTTGAGGACAGCTACCGCGCAAATGCCATGGACGCGTGCGGAGTCGTGGGGAGCTGGAGGCGCGGTTGGGGGTGCGGAGAGGGGGCAATCTGCGCAAGAAGCACCGGGAGCGGACGTCCCTGCGGGTCGGCAGCGGCCAATTAATAGGAAGGGCTAAAAACGACTCAAAGGAATGGTAGCGACCGGCTGAAGGACGCCCAGCTCGCTCGAACGACGTCCAGTCGCTGCGGAATCTCGTGAGACGGGCGGTGGATGGGCGCGGACAGCGTTGGTGTGAAGGGAGGAGGTGGGCAGGGCTGTCAACGGCCGGCGCGCTGTGATTCGCGCTTGGCTCAATTTTCGAGGAGAGCGCTCGGACGTGCCTCCCTTCTAATCTGAGCCTGGTCCTTTTCTGCTGCAACTGGTCGCATAAGGTTAGAAAAAAGCAACGGTAGCCCGGAAAGCGTGATTGTGCTGCTGGAAAAGGAGCGCCGTGTCCTGCTTCAACGCCTCCCCCGTCTCCGCAGGAAACACGGCGCAAATCAAACCGTCCTTTGCCATGCGAACCCGCGATTCCGGAAGCACTCGCGCCCACTCGCGCCCACTCGCCGCTTATCTCGAGGATTGTTTTGCCTGACGAAAATCCCCCTCGGGCACTTCGCGCCCTAGTATCGGTGTGCCGTTTGGCGCAGCTTCGGGCTTGAAGCACCGAAGCTTAGCGGATAGCTTCGATCCAGAGATAGCGTCGGCAGGAGGCGATCGACTGCTTTTGTGGGCTGCTTCTAGCGAGCGAGTTCCGAGTGGGAGGATCCGAGAGCTCCATCGTCAGCCAGATTGCACGTCGCCATAAGCAATCCACAGTCCTGGAACTGGGAGCAGGGGCGAGTGAGGACATCTGGATATAGCTATACATCAGCATTATTAGTGGTCTGGAAAAATACACCGCACATTGGCTACCTCGGAATCCTTCAACGACGCGAAAACTGCAAGTCGTAGTATTGCTGATCCTCTACCAACCGAACGTCTCCTCATGCCAGTACACCTCATGCCCTTGGTTGACCCACTGCCTCACGCTATCGCTCAACTTTCTTGTCATTCGGCGTGGCCCGCAGGTAATGACGGCAACCCTAGCGCCTTTACTACACACCTCATCCACGATCGCTGATATCTTCGGTCGCCCCACCTTCAACTCCATTCCCTTCCTCGGCTTCTTCATCTCCTCCTCCATCGAAAGCAGCTGATCGTCCTCCGCCAGCTCTATCTCGTCTCCGTTCTCGGCTACCTGCAGACTCGGTCCCGAGCCTCGTGTCACGAAAACCTCTACGGCGCTTGGATCCTTCGCTCCTTCCTCTTCCGACTCTTCGTCGTGTGCGGAGTCGCTGCTGGGGAACGCCCACTGCGTGTCTGCAAGCTTTTGGACGGCCCAAATGAAGCGGATTTGCGGGTGGCCGGCGTGATCGGGGTCCTGAAACTCGAGTATGCTGCGATAGATCGGCATTGTGAACGTCGCACCGATACCGCCGGCTACGAGCAGTATCTGGTCGAATGCAGAGAAGTCGGGCAGATGGGTTGAAGCGCCGTAGGGTCCTTCTAGCGCTATTGGAATGCTAGGGGCTTCACCAGGAGCGTCTGTGGAAAGAGAACGCGCCAACTCTGCGAGCTGCTTGGTATTACCCTTCATAGTCCGTGCCACAAGAAGCAGCTCCTTGTCCTTGACCGGGATTGAGGCGACGGTGAACGGATTGGTCTGATTCCGTAATACGAACTGGTCATACGCCGTCGAGTACTTCGACCCTGTGGGTTGACTCAGGTAGACGTGCTGTCCAGGTTGCCATGTAAGAGCTGAGCTCATGCTCGCTAAGGGGATGCGGACTTCCACGAGGTTAGTTCCAGGTAGGAGTTTGATGGTACCGGAGTAGATCTTGAGGCTCTTCGTGCGAAAGACCAGGTGTAAGGCGTTGACCAAGACGACCTCCCAGATATATGGCCGGATATGGTGTACATGGAGGAAAAGCGGCACTACCAGGATATTTGCGATTACTACGTGTGAAACATAGAAAACTCGGTAGTTCCATCGCCGCAATTGGCCTAGAGCGGTAGTACTGATAGCTGAGAAGAGGGTGATGCTGATGATTCCGAAAATGACATCTTTATCCTTGATCCGCTTGGCTAGGAAGCCAGATCGCACGAAGAAGTTCAAATAGAAAGCCGCATGCAGACCGAAAAGGGCGAAGATAATGCGTCCCAAGACTTGATGTGAAGCTTTTAGTTGCTCATGAGAAAGCCGCGTGAGCCACTGGATCGGCGAATAAGGCGCCCTCATGGCAAGCAGATAGTGTAGCGGTAGCTGTGAGGCTCCAATCGCTCCGAAACGCTTGGTGAGATGAAGATAGTCTATGTTGCGTTAGTCGCCTCAGTATCTCCGAGCCGGGAGGCGGTCGAGGGGCCATCCTCACCATTTCCGGTGCGGACTACGCAGAGATACAACAGCCAAAACGTCCAAACGCCTCCTCCAATCCATTCTGTCCTAGTTCCCCAATCTGGGATCACAGGCTTCTGGAGCCACCACATCATCCGGGCCCAGCCTTGTCGTGATTTCCGTAACCATGTCCGTTTTCCGTCGAGGCGCTTGTTGAAGGACGGAGACCTCGGCCGCTCATACTCCAGTCCGTGTTTGGTGAGCCATGCTAGGAAGAAGCAAAGCTGAAATACGGCGAAGACGAACAGGACAGACCACTGCGCTACCAAGCCGTAGAAATCAAGGAGCTCTCTCCGCGCATGTTTTTGTCCCTTGTCCAATGTGACGAACTCGTATCCAAAAACCATGGTCGAGGGAAGGGTATGCCTTGCCTTGTTGCGTCTTTACCTTCTCTTTTCCATTCGATATCCGCCTGTCAGCCGCGTCGACAACGGCCAGCCTGAAGTGCTGTGCTGCGCTGCGCTTCGTAAAGTTGGGGTCCGAACTCCGCGGCAGAACTAGAAGGCCAGGGGACTCGGCGCGACTCCGCGCTTTTTTGCATCCGCGGGCCAGGAAGGCGTCGTATAGAGAAGAGAGGAAGTCGAGAAGGTCTGACAAAATGTTGATGCCAGCGGGTCCTTTTGTGGCACGTGAGGCTGACAATAGCACTGCGAGGTCCTGGCTAGGCTCGGAGGCCGAGCTTAGTGGCGTCGACTAGCTACCGCCACGATGCCCTTAACTTGCTCATAATAGAGCTATCGCAGTTCTCTAAAGGCCATCCGAGCCGTAGAATAGAAGCTGGTAAGAATCGCGAGTCGAATAGGCACGCGCATGAGGTTGTTCAGGATCCGTGACAATGTGTGCCTGAGGTTGCGAAACTATGGCCTAGGCTGGCGGCGTGGCTTGGGACCCCTCGTTTCGTCAACATCCCACCTAGACCCTGCATATAAGACCCATTCCCGGTCTCACGACTGTCGTTTTTTGGGGATATTCTCATGTCCTTGTAGGAGGATGGCACCAGATAGTAGCACCGACAAGATCCCTCTTTGGCTCGATTGCGTACGGTTACCGCCGACAACTATGCCCGCCAACCGCCGCTGACACAAACAGGATCCAGGGCACGATGTACGAAGACCCACCCTGTACCTCGCATGAAACGCTCACGTTGCTCTCTTGTAGGATGCCTACGCTCTCTTGCTTGCTGCCCACGATCCGCGCGTCGATCTCCTAGGCGTCACGACCGTCCATGGCAATGCTTCCCTCGAGCAAACAACGTTCAATGCCAGAGGCATGCTGGAGGCCTTGGGAAAGCGCAATATTCACGTCTATCCGGGCGCGGCGAAGCCAATCGTACGCGAAGCTGTCCACGCCGCCGATATTCATGGTAATGGAGTCGCCTTCGCGCATTGACAAGCGACTGATGGGAGCCAGGTGAATCTGGCTTGGACGGCGTTACATTGCTCCCACAGCCCATTGAACCGGCGGTGACCGATGTCGACTATCTGGAAGCGATGTACAAGGCCTTGATTGGTACACCACCGGAGACTGCCTGGTTAGTGTCAACTGGGACATTGACCAATATCGGTTTGCTCTTCCAAAAGTACACGGACCTAGCCGGACACTTGAAAGGTCTGAGTATAATGGGTGGTGCGGTCGGCGGCGGCTTCACGAACGCTCCAATGGGCAAGGTCAAAGACGAAGGAGAACGCTTCGGCAATTGGACTGCTTATGCAGAGTTCAACGTACGTAGTCTATTACTCTCTAGAAGCGACACGAGTCTAACGAAATCTAGATATACGTAAGCCAGCCCAAAATGCTGCAATAGCAGAGCGGACGCTTATCACAAGTAGTGCGATCCCGAAGCGTCCCATTTCATCTTCTCCCATCCTGTCCTCAGAGCGAAGACGACCCTAATACCACTCGATCTCAGCCATCAAGTTCTCGGAACCAAGACGGTCCGCCATACGCTGCTATATGGCTCCGAGCAACCTCTAGACGCTTCGACCGCAAACACCGAGCAAACACCATCCCCTCTCCGCGCCCTGTTCACACAGATCATGTCTTTCTTTGCCGGTACATACGCCGAGGTCTTTTCAATTACCGAAGGGCCGCCGCTACACGACCCGCTGGCAGTCTCCGCGGCTATCGATCCAGAATTCTTCGACGACAACGGAGGCGAGCGCTTCCGGGTAGACATCGTAACCGAAGGCGTCCATTCCGTCAATCAGTTACAAGTGGGGGAGCTAGGAAGGACAAAGGTGACCAAGTTGCCACCTGGCGAAGGTGGCTGCAGAATACCAAGAGGCGTCGATCTAGAAAAGTTTTGGGGGAGCATCGAGAGTTGCCTTAAACGCGCCGACTCAGTCAGTCCCATGCCGAAGATATCTCGCGAAGAGCTGGTAAAGCATGGGGTCTTCGTAGGCCTAGAATGAATGCAAACCACGTCCGTTGCACGCGAGCTGATTTGGGCTGAATGTATCCATAGATGTCGAAGGCCCGGATGGATGGGAGCCAACAACAGCAATTAACGTCTTCCAAGAAGCGAAACTCAATGCCGGAGGCGGCTCAGGAACGGCTCACGATCTCCAGTTCTCAGTTTAGCCTATTCACCTTTTAGCGCATTTCTTGCAGCCTTGAATCCCGCGGCTCCTTACCCGCCTCGATCCCAAATGCGTTCAGATCCCCGTTAACGCCACAAAACAATAGTTGCGGGTGGGCGGAGACATCTTGCGGGGTACGGCTGCACACGTTGCTCTTCTGCGGAAGAACTGCCAGCCGTCCGTTAGCAACAGCTCTTGTCTCCTCACACAACTAGGGGCTGAAGACAATCAGAGCCCCGAATGCGAGGTGCGACAGAGATCTGTAAGTGTTTCAGAATATCTACATATGCTCTACGAGATGCAAGCTTCTATTCATATCGGCAGTCTCCCGACAACCCGGCTATATTCATTTAAGCTTCATAAACAATGCGGTGCCGTCTCTACCTGCTCATACCATTTCCAGCTAGTCTGTCCAATCTATACCTGCTTCCCCTGTCACTCTGCCTTGTACCTGAATTTATCCGCGACGATTTCATGTTCTCTTCTCCCCACCTCGGTAGCCCCGGCCCTGGTGTTTGGATGCACTCTCTATGACGGTTCCCCGGTTCAATTGATTGTGGACATGATTCTAGAAGCGTGAGCCGCATAGCTGGGCTCACGTTGCCCCGTCCGCGGGATCAGGATAGCAAGCGGTGGATGAGGAATCTATTTATTGAGCATTTCCTCGATTGCCGGAGCTTCACCCTCGTCCTGCCTTCTCCTGCCACGAGGTCGCCTCGCGTATCCGCCACCATGAAGTCCTTCGTCGCGCTTTCCCTCCTCCCTCTCATCTCTGCCCTCCCAGGCCATGGTAAGCCCAAGCCAGCTCCTCTAAAGTACCCCGGTCTCGACGTGCTCGCGAAGAAGGCTGGGCTTCTCTACTTCGGTACCGCCATCGACAACGTCGTCCTCGACAACAAGCAGTACATCTCCATCGCGCACAACCGCTCCGAATTTGGCCAAGTCACCCCTTCCAACGGCCAAAAATGGATGTACATCGAGCCCCAGCGCAACGTGTTCAACTACACTATGGGCGACGAGATTGTCAAGCCGGCTATCAAGGCCGGGCAGATGCGGAGGTGCCATACCTTTCTGTGGCATAACCAGCTTCCCGAGTGGCTGACCAGCCAGAACTGGACGAAGACTGAGCTGGTCGGTATCCTGGAAAACCATATCAAGAACGAGGCAAGACACTACTATGATGAGTGCTATGCCTGGGACGTGGTCAATGAGGCGTACAATGATGATGGGACGCTGAGGTCGGATATCTGGCTTGATACGATTGGCAAGGAGTACATCGAGCTTGCGTTCAAGTTCGCGCGCAAGTATACAAGCCCGAGGACAAGGCTCTACTACAACGACTACAACATCGTAAGTCACTCCCTTTTCAGCTCCTCCATCCTGAAGCTGTTCGTTCGCTAATGCCGTAACAGGAGACCGTAAACAACAAATCCACCGCCGTCGCCGCCCTAGTCAAAGACTTCAAGAAGCGCCACATCCCCATCGACGGCGTCGGCCTGCAAGCTCACTTCGTCACCGGCAGCGCTCCCTCCTACGACCAGATCTCCGCCGCCCTAAAATTGTTCACCAAGCTCGGCGTCGAAACCGCAATCACGGAGCTCGACGTGCGCACCCAGCTTCCCGACTCCGCGGAGAAGATGGCCCAGCAGGCGACGGACTACACCAACGCGGTCAAAGCCTGCGTCGATGGGGATGATTGTGTGGGCGTCACGGTGTGGGACTTCTGGGACCCGGTGAGCTGGGTGCCGGAGACGTTCCCGGGGCAGGGCAATGCGGATCTTTTGGATGCGAATTTCACGAGGAAGCCGGCTTATTATAAGGTTTCGGATATGCTGGGGAGTTATGATTAAGAAGTGCTGAGAGTGGTTAGGTGAAGATAGGTTAATGTGTATACAATGATATTTTTGCGAAATGCGCGATCTCAAGATGGTGAAGCTAGGTTTATATAACGCTAGCATATTCTGATGTTTCTTGTGTGGATGTCACGAGCTCACGATGCCCATCACTCTCTAGAAGGGCACCTCATTGAGAAACCTGACTGATCCCGCCCGCTTGATATAGAGCAGCTTTCACGTGTAACAGGCAGGTAAGGTTATACACGCACACTATAGTTCAGTGAGACTGTATCAGTATCCGACCTCGTGAAATGCTTCGAGTGTTCCATCGCACGGCGTAGAGCGTCGGATCCTCCCCTTCAGGAGGTCGGTCGCGCCATATACTCTCCAGAGCAGGGTCCGCTACCTATGTCAAGATCTAGGCTAGCTGACTAGTATTTTGGGCTAGGTAGAGTCTCGCATGAGTTTGTCGCCATGCTGTGGATGTTCCCTTGTCTGTGTGGCTAGAAGCGCAGAGAGACGTTATCTCCAGAGCCGGCAGTCGATGAGCTCTAGAGCGTTTTTTTCACTCGCTAAATTCCAGAGGCATATGATTACGATGCATCTTTTGCATGGAGGCGCTTATGATCTTGGGTCATGGTGTAATAGTATGTTATGGAAGTTGGGAAGTTGGAAAGTCGGAGTTGAAAGCAATCTGCGACACGGAAAAATTAGACTCAATCAAATTATCCCCACTGCGCATGATTAGTGTCTTCTCCCATATGATCAATTACCTGTCCTCTTAACATTCCCCTCATCCATTATTATTGCGTTCCTCTTGGCATCCAATTTCCGCTCATCTTCCAAGACTTTCTGGGCACGCAAGACTTCCGCGCGCCATGAAATTCAGGCGTCCAATTTCCAAGGCCCAAGAGTGATTTCCAAGCCTTTCCGTACTCCCAAGCGCCTGCTCCCATTTTGATAATCATCAAGGCCGAGACTGCGATTGCGCGTCCCGCTGAGAGGAAAGAAGCGTGGAGAGCTCGGCAAGGCGGAATCCTGGGCTGCCCTGACCGTGGAATCAAGGTTTCCTTGGACAGCCATGCTTGGTATGACATACTTCTCCCAGGATCTGTGATGCCACATGCGCAGCATACCGAAAAGTCGCAAGTCCCGGACGCCCTAGTCGTGTTCCCCGCAAAACGTGTCCTGAATTTCGACAGCCAATAGGGCTTCCGGGTGCGGTATCCCAATTCCAAACATGTTCGAAAATAGCACTATGGTTTCGACGTAGCTGAGTGAGACCTTCTGAGTTTAGAAGCAGCCTGCGTCATATCGATACGCGTAACATGGCGCTGCTGGACTGAAGCTTACATGTAAGCGAAGGGGTACGCTATTAGGTGGAACGCGTCTGTTAAGAGAACGGACTCCGTGAATTACATTACACAGCTTGAAGATAACTTAGCTGAACGGAATGGCCGCGTGCGTTGGTGGAGAAAATGGCGCATGGCGTCCAAAGTCTCGAAAGGGATCCAGGATATGGATTATAGACACGAGGAACGTGGACTGCATGCGGTAATCAGTGGCCAATTTGTTGGATGGAGGAGTCGTTCGATACCAAGTCCGATCTTCGTTCTTGATAGTGGCAAATTGGGTCGGGGCGTGGTTGGGTGATATCCCTGAAGAATGGTACCTCCTTTTGTCCTGCCATGGTTGGCAGACGACATCTGGCGCAATTATGGTTGCTTCCCCTGCTGACACTTTGCACAGCCCCAAGGTTTCTACCCATCAGCCAAGCATCGATTATACGCCAAGTCTTAGCCCCGGCACTCGGCACTCTGGGGCTCGGCAAGAAGGAGGAAGGGCTTGTCCCGCTGCGTAGGTACACAAGCTGTTAAACGTCGAGGTGACAAAGTCGGACCAAGTTTGCGAGATAGAAGAACCGAACCATGCAAGAAACGCTGCGTTTAGGGGCACGCACATGAGGAGAACAAAGGCCAGACCATGTCGACGCCTTCTACAGGCCCTTCACTCCTCACATCTGAGAAGAAGTGGGAGAGAGCCAGTCAAGGTTGACTGGTTTCTGCAGCTCGATATCTGATGGTGAGCGTAGGGTTCTCTTCAACTTATCCTAGGCCCGCTTGTCTCTTCAGCTCGTGCATCCGGAAGCGCCGGATGTAAATTCGAACGTGAGCATGCCGGATTGTTCTTGGGATTATCTCGAGAGTAAAAGGGATTGTTTCATCGGGCACCACGAAGGCGTTTGGCTCTGAAATGTGCTTGGTGCAAAGGTGCAACGGTCTGAGGATTTCCCGGAATAGACTCGGGCGCTTATTGGATTGAAGTGTCATACGATGCCTGGAAAACGCTGCTGTTATACAGGCGCACCGTGTCGTCCTGCGTTGGTTAGCATGTACGTACTCTCCTTTGTCCATGCCGGAAGGTGCCATGCATGAGGGGACGGCTGCGTTGGACAAAGGTCGCTGGGGTGGTTGCCGTCGTGGAGAGCACGAGAGCGGTGATTCTGGGCGTGCTGGGCGAGCAATGGAGCAGGTTCCGCCGGCCAAGCCCACCCCTAGCGGGCATTAAGGTTTCGGTAGCGTAACAGCGCTGACCGCACGGAGCGCTGGCGCCGAGATGACTCCACGCCCCTTGGCTGCTGCACGCGTCGCACGGATAGGGTGAGCTGGAGGCCGTCGCTGGCCACGCCGGCGTGAGTGAGCTCGGGACGGTCGTTCTCGTCGGCGAGAAGGAGGGCGGCGTGCATGCGGGCATGCAGCTGCTGTCGCCAGCGGCGCGACAAGACTCGAGGCGCCGGGACGACGGCGAGCACAATTTGGTGGCTAATTCCCACTAAAAGCTTGGCACGCCTTGGCACGCCTAATCGGGCCTGGCGTGCTCCTAGCGCGATCACGCCGACGCAGGCTGAGGCAGGAGCGCTGGGCCAGCTAAAAGCCTTGGTCCCTCCGGGCGGAGGTCTGGTCCCGCCGCGCCTTCTTCCTACTTCGCTCCTGCTTTCCCCCTCGCGCAACTCCCTTTTGCACCTCGAATCACTCCTGGACGCGCTTTCCGCACCCGCGGGCCCTTCCTTCCTTTGTTTCCCCTGCTCATCTGCTGACGTCAGAAGGCGCGCGTCTGCAGTGTTTTCTACTTGGCCTCGGTCGACTGTGCCAAGCCTACACCCAACCCTCGATCGCCGCCGCGCATCAACAACATGAGCGACCAACCTCCTCAGCAGGGCACTGTGCCCGCGCAGGCAACATCAGCTCCGCAGCCGCAGCCGCAGCCGCAAGGAACGCCAACGCAGCAGAACGCTCCGAATCCTGCCTCTTCCACCGTTCCCGCCGACCAGCTCGTATGCCAGTGGCAGAACTGTGGCGAGCGCTGCCCCACAGCCGAACAGCTCTATGTAAGTACAGGCTCTGCAGAGGCCTCTAGGACGCGTGGAGGCGACGCGACATATCGCGCAGTCGCTTTGCATGGACGTGTCGGCGCGCTCGTCGTGCAGCCTCGGGTCGTTCTGCTCTCCTCACGTGACGGAACATTTGCTGACCATCGCACAGGACCACGTCTGCGAACGCCATGTCGGCCGCAAGAGCACCAACAACTTGAATCTGACCTGCCAGTGGGGTAACTGCCGCACTACCACTGTAAAGCGCGACCACATCACCTCGCATATTCGCGTCCATGTCCCGTTGAAGCCGCACAAATGCGACTTCTGCGGCAAGGCCTTCAAGCGCCCCCAGGATCTCAAGAAGCACGTCAAGACTCATGCCGATGACTCCGTTCTACTTCGCTCTCCGGAGCCCAACCGCGGTGGTCCCCATGGCGGCCCGGGCTATCCAGGCCAAGGCGGCAAACGTAAGTGAATCCCCTTTTCCCTACAATGAAATGACCTCGTCCTCTCTAAAACCGTCTCCCCATGTACCCCATTTTCCTTTCAATTCTAACTTGCGCACCACAGTGGTCGCTGACTTGCAGGCGCTTGCCGCTACAGCGAGCGGATACCAATATCCCGAAGGTGCCCTTGGTCCCAATGGAGGCTACGGGCAACAGCACCCTGGAGGCGCTCCAGCTGGCTTCTACGGCGGTCCACCCCAGAACTCTGCCTATGGCCCAGTTTACTATGCCGTCAACCCGACCCAGCAGTTGAATGGCGACTCGTATGAGATCCGAAAGCGCGCTGCGTACGATGCCCTCAATGAATTCTTCGGTGATGCCAAACGCCGTGCTATTGATCCCGCGACTTATTACGACGTCGGCCAGAGGCTCATGGGTCTCCAGGGCGTCCAACTCCCCGTCATCGGAGCCTACCAGGGCGGCATGTCCGAGTATGGCCATGGAGGCACTATGGTCGCTCAGGCTGCTCATCCTCCTATGCATCCTTACTCCTTGCCGCTGCCCAACCTCAGGACTAAGAGCGACCTGCTGAACATCGATCAATTCTTGGAACAGCTACAGAGTACTGTTTACGAGAATCCCAATCATGCGGCAGCTGCCGGCGTCCAACAGGCCGGCGCTCATTACGTGCCGACTGGCTCAGCCTACCGCTCCAGCCATTCGCCTCCTGGCCTCGCCACCACTCATCCTCAATCGTCCCATGCTTCCGCCGTCGCTACGACCAACAGTGAAACTCCAGCCTTGACTCCGGCTTCCAGCGTCCTCTCTTACACCTCGCAGCACTCCCCAGGTTCTGGACATTCCGGAAGCACTGTTTCGCCTACTACAAGGACGACAATGGGTAGTATGTATCCTACGCTGCCCTCTGTTAGTGCCATGTCAGACATGTCTGCCGCCGCTCCTTCCTCCGGCCTGGCGCCTGCTTTCGATGCTGATGGTCGCCGGCGATATTCCGGTAACCTTCTTCAGAAGGCTGCTCCTGATCGACGTGGTAGTGACCACATGGATATTTCAGATGATGGAGCATCGGCCAAGGAGTCTCGTCGCACTTCTGAGCAAGAAAACTTGCATCACAACGTCAATCAGCTAGCAATTCACTCTCCGAAAGTGGATCCTGCTCTGTCAATGCGATCTCCTAGCCAGGTCTCATCCGCGTCTACGGAACAGCCCAACGACGCATCGCAGCAGTCTTGGGTCGAGAATATCCGCACAATCGAGAGGCTGAGAGCGTGGCTGAAGGACAGGCTTGATGCTCATGACTTCCAGGAAGACGAAGACAACGACGACATGAAGCATGAGCGCCGGATGAGTGACGACGCACATAACCTATATCCTGTCTTGCGCGCAGTACAAGAGGGAAGAGAGTAAAATTTTTATGTGTTACGATCCGTCATGACACTGGCAAAGGACGAACCTTAGTGAAGGGGCAGGTGGACAGGCGTTCATGGTGTTCCTTCGGGCGGCTGTGCGGTTGATAGGAACGCGCGCGTGTTTGTTGTTGCTCTAGGTTTCTCTGCTACAATTGAGGGGAGCTTTCTATTTTCTCTGTTCTGTGCATCTTCCACGGTCACTACGGAGACATGGTCAGAATGGCAGTCTTCCTTTTCATCCTTCTCAGGGATGTGTATTTTTGCGGAGTGGTTATTCCACCAGCCGATCGCTTATCACCGCGGCCCTACTCTCTTCTTTTCCTCGACATGTTAGGTATGCGCTTGGACTCGGGTATAATGCTCAAAAATGTCTAGTCTGTAGTTGCGTGAACGCGACCGATACCCACACTCTTCCGAAGCTTCAATTCTACGAGATAATGTGCATGAGATGATGCCTCTGCCTGCGTTATCACTTGCCAAGACTTGTTTTCTATGACACAATCGGTTCGCCTGGCATCGCTACTCGCCCCCCCACCGCAACGGGGCCTTGAAGCGGGATCAACACGCCACCTCCCGCGCAATTCCTGCCCACGGATTCGGGACCATCAAAAGCAAGTTCCATGAGCTGCCCCACTTGAACGGGGCTGGGCTGCGTCTTTTAGACCCTACCTCGGCCTTGCTCCGATCCTGCATGTTCTTTCAGCCTCTGCTAGGACGAAGCAATCGGTACGCCTTCATACTGAACCCCCCGTACTCCCTACAATTAGTCGAGGCGCAAGAAGGAAGAAAATCGGTAGCGGTCAATATGCCAGGTCGTGGTGGTGCTGGAAATATCGCTCAGGCGCAGGAGCAGAGTCGTAGGCTCGCTGAGGTGAGTGAGTGCCTGATCAATTCGCATACAAGCGTTGCGTCTACAACCAGGGGGAGTTGCGACCAATCTTGCGGACATCCAGGGACTCAAAGCCCTAAACCATGACCTGCAAGACCCTAACCCGCCCACCTTACATACAGGACCTCGAAGCCAATCGTTCCCTTGCCTCTTCTGCGGCGTCGCCAGCAACATCTACGCCCTCTCAACCACAAGATTATGCTCATATGGGCAGGGGTGGCGCTGGCAACTGGTATCAACCGACGGAACTTGAAAAGGAAGGCACCTTTACGCAGCCTTCGGACGCGACCGCCATTCCCACGTCTTCGAAGCCTCATGTCTCTACGCCATGGCATCCGGAGACCCAAGAGCTGCCTGTTGCCAGGGCGGGAAGAGGCGGTGCGGGCAATTTCATGTGGAAGGATGAAGAGAAGGAGAGGTTAAAGAGAGAAGAAGAAGAGCGTACTATGGAGAAGGTCAACGAGAAAGTGGAGAGGGATGTTGAAGCTGGGTTGGCAAAGCCCGGTGCGGCTGTGCTTGGGACCACCAAGGCGGGGAGGGGTTGGTGAGGCTCAGCGTAAGTGTAAAGTTTGGATTGGGTAGGACCTCACGGGTGACCACTCAACATCACAAACATCTTCGTACAATGTCCATTTATTTGTATTATCCAACAGCCATACGGTGCTTTGGTATTCGAGCTGATGCTTCCTACTTTCTCATTTCAATCTACGTTATCTAGCGGAGGGTGGATTGTAGAAGAAGTTGTTGCTATACCCAACAACCCCTCGATGTGTTCCATGGTTCTCACCTCCATTTTGAGCAGATATAGTCGGGAATCTTCGGCACACTTTCAAAATCCTTCTCTCTTCATCTTTCGGCATCTGTTACCGGAGATCCACCGTAACAATAATTTACCGGCGCCCACAAGATGCCACTCGCTTCTCAGATGCTCATCAAGCCGCATTACACTCGCCTCTATCTTCATCCGCTCATCAACTCCGACTGCTCTGTCTCCAACCCAGCCCCTTGTCCATCCAAAATATTCCCAGACACCCTGCCCTAGGAAATGGCTAGTCAGAGTACAACGACACTGGAAGAACCGCTTGCCGTAGGGCTTCAACCAGGGCCCAAGACCAAATGCATCATAGTCGCCACGCAAGATCACACCCCCATAAGCTCGGAGAGAACGAAAAAGGATACGGCCCCTAAATCGACAGAGCGCAAGAAGCCGCCACTCAGCTACCTGCTTTGTAACAAATACGAGGGCTGCCGCATTCGGATGCCGAATTTCAATCCTAGGCTTTTGGATAGGATACGGAAGCGCTTCTGGCGCAGTAATAACTTAGCCACATTCGCAAAATCACCATACCCGTTTGTCGAGAGCAAGTTCTGCCTAGACGTCTGCCAACACCTGAGCCTGGACCAAGACGACCTCGACTTGCAATTCGCCCAAGGAATCGTTCGGGCATACTGCTATCACGGGTACCACGGTCTCATCAGACCTTTATCACGGGAACACGAACGTACCGAAGTAACTCTCACGCTCGGCGGCGGGGGATCTGTCATCATCACGAAACATTTGGTGCTAGCGCAGTTCCCGAGCGATGCTCCATCCTACCCGCCTCAGCTACTGCGCCGGAGATTGGAGCAGTTGGAGCAATCTTTGTGTCCTCATGTTTTTCTGGATAGGTGCGGGGGTTTGGAGGCACATGTACAGTGTGCGGAAGCACTTCAGGCTGGCGGATGCATGTGCTGTGGTGGCATCCATCGGTGTCGAGATGAAGGGTGCGAGACGGAGTGGAAGGCGTATAGGAGGAAAGGGGAGGAAGGGGTCGATGAAGTAGTGTTAGAGGTTGTTAGGAAGTTGTGCGGGGTGTTGGATGGCCGTGAGGGGAGGTAGTCGATTGATTGTAGAAAAAGCGGACTCGGGATGCGGCATCCTGAAGGCCCTCAAGAGTACTATCAGCTGTCGAGCTCGCATAGTGTCGGTCGGGGTGATTTGGTCCACGCGGGTGTCGGCGCCCTCGTTGGGCGAATTTGGATATTTTCTTGAATGGCTTCAGAGCCCTACCGCGTGTCGAGCGGGATTGCGGAAAGCCCACCTGCATGCTTTCACTACACAGATCGTTCCTAAGAAAATTTGCGTTGCCATGCCAGTCGGATGAAAGGCTGCAGATGCAGGCGTCCGCATAGGGCTGACAGACCACGTGATGTCGCTCCTTCCAGGCGCTCGATCAAGTGACATGGTCCGAGCTCTTTGTTTATCTTGGCACGGTATGACGAGCTCCACTTCTCACCCCACCCCACAGACCACGACAAGCCAATATCTACCCTGGCACGCCTCGACCACGAACCCTTTCCTTTCCTCTCAACACTTACAAACATGGCGCGGCGATCCGCCAGACTCCAGAAGGTATGCATTCGGCGCAAAGGCAAAGCGCAAGGTCGCTGGCTTTGTTTACGTGCTAACTCACCGCCATTAGCGCTCGCCCACTCCCTCCGAGAGGTCCACCTCTAGCTGGGAGACGGCGCAATCGAGGTCCTCACCCCAGCAGAGACGCCTGCCGTCCGTTGAGGAAGGCAATGAGTCGCAAGCAACGACTCAGCGACAGCTTGCCGCGCACCCAGCGCCCACCGAAATGAAGACGTCCCAGCGCCCGCAGCCGCCGACGGCTTCCACAGCACGCACGCCAAAGAACCGCACACCTATCAAGCCGACTGGAGAAGAGATGCATCCGGCGCACCACCACGCAAGTACGGCGAAAATGCTGGAGGAGGCGCGCTGGCTTGGATTCCAAGCTCTGGGTGCGCACACGGCGCCGCCAAAAGCGTCCGGTGCGGTCGTCGTTCACGCGACTCCTTCAAAGACTCCAGTCCCGGCTGCAGCGAGCGAGATGGATAACATCGCTTCCTCGCCGGACTTCCGGTTTCTTTTCCGGTTCAAGTCACCGCTCTCGGGTCTCAGTCCGACATCAAGCAGCATTCTGAAAGATCGCAAGGAAGACGCTCTCGCCGATGGTCGCGCTCTCTTCAAGGCGGATGAGTTCACTGCTCCAGCAGACGTGTCCCCCCAGCGCAAGACGGCTGTACCGAAGGGTAAGATGTCGCGCTTCAGCGATGTGCATATGAAAGAATTCAAGAAGATGGACTCAATCGCAAACCATGCGTCGTCGTTCCGTGCCGACCCAACCCGTTTCAAGCCCGCCAATGTCACACTAAAGAAATCTCCGTCGAAGGTTGATTTGCTCAAGCCTGAGGTGAGCCAGAAAGGTCTCAACAAGTTGAAGCGTACGCAGTCAAAGATGGACTTGGCAGAGTCAAGTACGAAGACGCCTGCATCAGGATTGAAGCGTACTCGGTCGAAGATGAATGCGGCTGAGCCAGCGACCCGGATTCCGCCGACACCGTTAAAGCGTACCCAGCCGAAGACAGATGTCACAGCATCTAGTCTCCCCCGCGCCCAGTCCACTGTGAGGTTGGTGCCCCCGTCGCGAGACGGACGACCGCCGACACAGAATGGCCCTGCTGCGAAGCGAGTCAAGCGCACTGAGACGGATGATGCTGCCTCTACCCGGCCAGTCTCTCGAGATGGCAAGCCTGAGGCTGGCACGCCTGCAGTCGCCAAACCTGCTACTCCAGCCCGAAAGATTACCTCTCAGACGGCGCTGCCGCGCCTCGCCTCCAGACTCATGACGCCCACAAAGTCTTCGCTTGCGCGATCGCAGAGCGTGAAGGCCGTCAAGTCCTCGTCAATGATTCCATCTCTGTTGCGCTCTACTTCCACGCGTAATCTCTTCTCCCCCACCAACCTCGCCCAGACCGTGAAGGATGGCGTTCGAGAGAGCATTCGCAAGACGAGCAACTCGGTGCAGCGCGTTCGGTCCATCCTCCGTACGCCCAGCCGCAAATTTTCCGACGACCTAGAAAAGATTGCCGCCGGCACTCATATGTCTCCTCCTCCTGGACTAAACCTCCAGAAGGCTCTTCCCGAAGTGCCGCGCACTGCTCCAGTCAAGAAGCACGTCAACTTCACAACCAGCACCTTGGAGCGGGCGGCTGAAGATGAGCTTGGCAAGTCTCCGTCGCCAATGAAAATCCGAGCCGGGTCGGAGGTTCCACCTGGCGCTGTCATCTATCCGAAGCTCCAGTCTGGTGTCGACTATCCCAACCTTCCAACGGGCGATGAGTCACCTGCTGCGTCTCCGTCTCGACGCCTCACTTTTGGCGGTGCCACGGCTAACACTCCCGGCGAGTTCTCCTTCAAGTCTGATAAGCCTATCAGCTTCGGCCCTGCGTCTACGGGCACTATCCGCATGGTTCGAAAGAGCGACGCCTCTTCTCTCGTCGACCCCAAGAAGCGCAAACTTGATACTCTCGAGGAGACCTCGGATAAGGAGAATACCGAGCCTGTGCATTACGAGGGACGTGCGGAAAAGAAGATGAAGCCCACCCCAGCTGAGCCTCCGAAGACACCGTCGAAGCTACCGCGTCGCACCCCCAAGCGTGGAGGCTCGATGAGCAAGTCGAGACTTGCTTTCTTGGCTACTCCGAAACGGAGCAAGGCGTGAATGATTTGCAGGCCGCCTGATGGTCTCTCTCATTAGCTGCCTGGTGCTCTCTCTTGGTTGCGATCTTCTGTGCGCTGTCTGCACCTCGATTCTAGCCGATGGGCACAAACGCTAGCCCTGTTATATCCGGCTGGGTCAGTATGTATTCGATCTCTTTCTACAAAATTGCGGTTATCATGTCGCGGGATTAATGTGGGGCGTCAAGGATGGGAAGCCTGGATGTTCATGTTCACGAATTTCAACGGCCGATCTCCTTCCGTCTCTTCTCACTGGCCATTGCCATTCCTCTCTCTTTCTCTCTCTTTGCATACTCGGCCGCAATGGTTGGCGATGGTGGCGCAAGGTGTTCCTTGGTCAGGCAAATTCAAGATTGTCCATTTTCCATCATGTCGTTCCTTAGGGCATTGCATAGCTCGGCATGATTATAATGAGCGTACTTTCTTCTGCATCCTTTACCAAATCAGATGGGCGTATATTCAGGAATACATGATCGTGTGACATCAAGTTGCAGCAGACAGAAATCGTGAGGCGAGCCACTGGTCATCTGACTGAGGCTTTCGGCAATGATGTGCGTGAGGATCTTCGAGGGTCTAGAGGCAGGGTCCGCAATGGCGATCTCGGATAACTTCTGATGTGCAAGGACTGTGTTTAGCACTAAGCGGGAGAACTCAGTTCAAGGGTTCCCACTGGCGACGGTACTCTTGCGCCAGGCCGGTCTCTAGATTCAAGAGCTCGCTGCATAGATACGATTGCTCGTACAGCCGGCCATTTGCTATCGTACACACCTGTGAAGGCTTTCAGGGTGGCTTCCACGCGCGCCGCTCCCTAGGTAAATCCGGAGAATTCCAGATAGAAACAAAACAAGCGCTGTAACGCTGTGAATGGGATTGCTTATATAAGCCAAGCCGAGAGAAACCGACCTTCGGCTCCTTCCCGGGCCACGACGTCAGTCCGCTTCCACATTGGACCGGGCCTCCGGCGAGCACCTGGGCAGTCTTCACCGCTGACAAGTCATTCCATGCAGCGCGCCTACCAATCCGCTTCGTGAACTAGCTTCTGCGTCGCTTACGCCGTGCTTTGAGGACCACAGCCCTGCCTTTGTTGGCGCTTGGCCATCAAACGTTCACCGTGGCGTCGATTAACACCTGGATCGACGACTTGAAGAAGTCCTTCCACTTCTTCCGCACACATCCTCTGCTCGGCACAACTCCTACGCCTCCTCCAACAACCGAGAACGTGCCCACGGACGCGATATCGAGAATATTGAATTTTCTGCAGCAAAGCAGCGCCACAGATATCACCGACTTCCTCACGAACCCCCGCTTCGACGACCCCGCGTACCTCACTACCCTCGCCGTACTATTAGCCGCCGTCTTCGTCACCATGTCCTGGTTTTCTCGCGCCGGCGGTAATTGGGGCGGGCGCTTCTCGCCCTTTGGGCGCCCAGGTAGTTCGCCAAACGCTGGCGAAGTTTCTGACTCCGACTTCTCCTACATCACCTCCGAAGACCTCGCGAAGGCCACAGATAAGGGCCGCAATAAAGCTTCCTCGCGGCCAGAGATAGTTGACTGGGATGACAAGAACCCTGATCGGGACACGGATGTTCTAGTCTTCAAGAACGGCAGGACGCATTATCCCACGCACTTCCCTGCGCAGAGCATACGGGATGGAGATTTGAGGATTAGTACAGTGAGGCAGGCAGCGGCGAAGAAGATTGGCGTCGATGACCCTCGGCGGATACGCATGTTCTTCAAGGGCAAGAACCTTAAGCACGACGAGCGGACCGCGCGGGAGGAGGGCCTGCGCGGTGATGGCACCGGCAGCGAGATCCTGTGCGCAGTCGGCGAGGCCCCGGTAGGCAACATGGCGCCAGGAGCCGAAGATGCTCAGCACACCTGGAGCGAAGGCGAAGACGAAGAAGACGACACTGAGAGCGGACTCGATTCAGCTACGAATGCTGCGACAAAGAAGAAGCCTAGGAAACGCGGCGGCAAGAAGAATAAGAAGAAGAGCGCGGCCGCAAACGCATCTGGTGCAAGCACGCCGGGTTACTCGAGCGCCGCTCCGGCCGGCGCTGAGTACTTACCCATCCCGTCCCACCTCCCCGGTCCTCGGCCTACCTCCGCTCCACCGGCCAATATCCCACGAGCAGCGACGCCGCAGACGCCGATCGGCAAGCTCGAAGCGATAGCATCCAAGTTCCACACCGACTTCGTCCCGCTATGCATCACCTTCATGCAGCATCCACCCGAAGAGAAGTCGAAGAAAGAGCTCGAATACAAGAAACTGTCGGAGACAATACTCACGCAGATACTGATGAAGCTAGATGGGGTGGAGACGGAGGGCGACCAGGATGCTAGGATGAAGCGGAAAGAATTGGTGAGAGAGGTTCAGGGAATGCTGAACAAGCTTGATGAGGCGATGAAATAATTGCAGTATGCCGGACGATCATGACTGCATATCCTAAGATCATGATGGCAAGGCGTTGAGGTATCTAGAATGGTTCGGGAGCAGTTCTCAGCGACCAGCGATAATCAGTTTCTCGTTAATGTGTAGAATTCATACTTGGGTATGAACGCGGCCTCAATGGGCGGTATCAACATTTCTCCAAGCGCAATTATTTTGTCCCAGTACAGGCCTTCGGCGCTCTGTCCCTCGGCATTCGTTGCCAAGTACCCTGTCTAACCAAGGTCGACGACATATGCAGCTTCTTTTAGCAAGACACCTCCGGCTTCAACCCGAACAGGTTCCTCCACTCCGCGTGGCGTATCTGATTGCAGGGGAAGAGAAGAGATGGGCTATCCTCAGTTCTATTGGGGTCGTCGGAGCGGTGTGATATCCTCTTAGAGTTGCGCTTGTACAATACTGACAAACATAGGCCCCGTCGAGAGATACGACCAGACTGTGCGGATCACATGCTCTCGCGGTAGCCGCCACGATATTCTCGCCTCGCCATCTCTCCCCAGTTCGCACTTCTCGCTTTCGGTCTCCTACAATGCCTGTCTTAAAGAGGGTGTTTAGGCAACGTTCTACGCACTCGTTTTATGCTTGGTATCAACGACTAGCCAGCGGGTCCTACTTAGTGAGTTTCGTGGATTCCTCTTCAGTGCTACCGGGACAAGGTAACATGCCATCGAGCCTTCCAAGGTTGATCGAACATTATTTACTGACTTTGCATAGCACGTGCAGGCGACTTTTGCGGCATCCTCGCAACCTCAGCTCCTGTACTGTTCCTCGCGTTGCCGACTTGGCGTTCGCCAACCACGAAAACGGCATTCGTATTTCCCGTACCCACAATCTCATGATATATTTTTAGCACCTGCGGGTGATCGGCGGTCTCTCGTCTTCGATCATTCTTTCTGATGATCTGGCGTGACTGCTACTCTTATAGGTGCGGCCGCCCTACCTCACTCGTAACATGAGCGAATGACAGCGAATGACATAATGTGTTTGGCAATATGGCGTCTCCACAGTATTGGTTTTCTCGTGCTCGTCCTCGTGATGAGCGTTACGGGCGAGGACGAACCATAGTGGGTGGGACATGGCGCTCAGCTTTCTAGGCGATAGACCTAGGTAAGGCTTTCATGAAGCACTAAATAAGTAGGGAGGATATATATGCTCGGTATGCCTGAATGACCCATTCATCCTTTCGCTGCCAACGAACAGTTCGACCGTATTGATCCCGCAGTCATTTTCATCTACTATCATCTGAATACCTTGGACTATACATTCCGACACCTATCAACAAACAATCGACCACCATGGAGCTTTTAGTGCTCCTTTCGCTGCCCCTTCTCGTAAGGGCGACAGCCAACACTCCCATTACCACCACTCCTCCGCCGCCCAAATACACCGTGCCATGCACCATGGGAAACGACAAACCATGCTCGGCCCTGCAGACGGCTGGCACATCATGGACCTGCACGCCCACAATGCCTTGCGTGACTGGAAAGCCTTGCGGTGGCCTCTGCATCGACATCTGGACGCCGCCGCCCGTCACCCCGTGCACCATGGGCGATGATCGTCCTTGCCTCCCATCGTCCCACTGCACTCCCACCATGACTTCCGCATGGGGGCATCCGTGGAAGGGCCAATGTATTGAGGGCGCTCCGACTACTCCTCCGCCCTCGTCCCCGACCATCCCTCCGCCTTGGACGCCGCCGCCCGTCACTCCCTGTACGATGGGAGATGATAAGCCGTGTGAGCCGAGTTCCCATTGCACCCCGACAATGGTCTGCACGACCGGGCTGCCATGCGGCGGCGCGTGCATCGAGAATCCTCCACCGCCCTGCAACGCGGTGCTGCCGACGCCGTGTCCTCCCAGTAGTTACTGTAGCCCGACTAGCTCGTGCTCAGTGACTGGAGTTTGCATGGGATCCTGCGTTCCATCTGGCACTCCCACTTCACCAACCACTTCGCCCACTGGACCCATAACTAAGTCCTGCAACATGGGCGATGACAGCCCATGTCTCCCAGCATCTTCCTGCGTTCCCACCATGTCCTGCAAGACTAATACGCCCTGCTACGGCGTCTGCAAGGAGATCTACGGGCCCCAGACTCCTGTCATCCCGTGCACGATGGGCGTTAGTGGAGCATGCACGCCGCCTGCAACATGCACGCCAACTATGATGCCGACGCCTGGAGTCCCGCAGCTCGGCCAGTGCTGGACACCGCAGAAGCCGACGTGCCTCCTCGATGCTCCGACACCTATGTGTCAATACGATAGCACTTGTAGCCGCTCCTATAGCACTTGTCTCCCGAGCGCGAAGTGTATCGGACGCTGCGAGCCTACTACTACCCCTCCAATCTCGATAACCCCTTCGCCCACGCCAACTGAAATCACCCGCTGTAACATGGGCGACGACGGACCCTGCATGCCTGCGAACCTGTGCACACCGACCATGCCCTGCAAGCCACATAGGCCCTGCTCCGGCACCTGCAGCGACCCCTGGACGGTCCCGCCCTTAACAACTTGCACCATGGGCGACGACTCGCCTTGTAAGCCCATCAAAGGCACCAGCGGCCACTGCACGCCGACCGAGTATCCTACCCCCGGTGTGACGCAGCGCGGACAGTGCATCTGGCCGCAAATGATCACATGTATCCTCAACAGGCCAACGCCGGTCTGTGGATTGGATAGCAGTTGCAGTAGGGGTTATACGTGTTTCCCTGGTGCGACTTGTGTGGGTAGCTGCGTGGCGACCGCGAGTCCGACGCCGACGCCAACAGAGGTGAAGAAGAAGTGCTGGCATGGGCGATGTGAGCATGGGTATAATTGTGTGGATGGGTGGTGCGTGAAGGGGCATCATTGGTAAAGGAGAAGGAGATTGCGGGGGAGGGAAGAGAAGGGATGGAAGAAGTGAAATGGTGTAGTCGTTCCTTTCGAGTGTGGAGTGAGATGTGGGAGGGATTACAGAATGATAAGGGGGCTCGAGTGATTGGGAATGAACGATGACTTTGATGGGACTCTCTACTGCATTCCTTTCCAATGTAAAGTATTGGATTAATGCTAGTACGTGCAATTATTCTTGAAGCGCCGTAACTCGTGATGAGCTTCTCTACTCTGTTAAATGCCCGCACTAGATTATTCCTCGGTATACCATTCCTTGTTGAAAGCATGCAGGGGCATCTTTCCCGCAACAATACTCTCCGCAACGATCCCTATAACCTCCCTCTTCCTCAAATTCTCCAGATCAATCCAGTCCGTTATCCCCTTGTTCTTATGTAGCCTCATTCTCCTTCCCCTCACCACCAAGCTCTGTATCACCCTCCGCGTATCCTCCGAATCCCAATCCCAGATCTCCGCAAAACCCTGCGGTAGCTTCAAATCCGGGACTTGAACCCCATCATCCTCGCAATCGACGATGAACTGCGAAATCTCCTTCGTGATGGCCCACACAAAAGGGCCGCATGCCCCACCACCGTCTTTATGGCACCGGTTGTGCCGTTTCTGGTGCGGCGTCTCGACTTCTACGTCCGATTCAAGTCTTATGAAGGGGTACCCGACCCGGCGGAGTAGCTTGTAGAGACCTTGGACGGCCAATCTAGCCACTTTAACGTTCGCAGTGGCTCTTTTTGGGTCACGGCACAATGAATCGAGATACCGCGCCCTCAGCACCTCGCCGCGGCAATCGGCAACGATGACAGACCAATGCGTGCCCACGCCGTCTTTAGAACTACCATACGTCTCTTTCACGTAGCCGTCGTTGATGGGCAGGATGATGAAGTCTCTCTCGGCGAACTTCCGCATCGAGCTTTTGTAGTATTTCCAGTCGAAGTCGCCGGCGTTTTCATCCTTGCTCGTACCTCCCTTTGATTTCTTGACGTCTGCCATGTGCTTACCGATTTCGTAGCAGTTCCGCGCATATAGCGTGTAGGATAGCGCGATGCGGTGCTTGTCGCACTTGAGCACGTTGCCGAGTAGATCGAACGACATGTTGATTATGTCGTCGGTGAACCAGCCGGCGGCGGCAAGACGACGGATGGCGAGAAAGTCCGCATTTGTGATTTGCGATCCTTCGAGGTCGTAGGCTTTTTGGTCGTTTGCGGGGGGGTTGTAGGGCCCAAGGCGCGCGGGGTGCAAGGTGGTTGGTATAGGAAGGGTTTTCGACGGCATGCGTTCAACGATGCGGAATCGGTGGGCATACTCGAAAAAGTGAGGTGGTCCGTGGAACAAGGGTGCATTTGGTAGGGGAGCGGGCGGCGTGTCGCGAGCCGCCGACCAGGCCGGCGGAGTTTCTGGATCTGTATCGTGGGTGAAGGCTACGTTGCAGTCGATGGAGTAGCGTCTGTGCCGACGAGAATAGTTGCCACTTTCCTGGAGTAAGGGAGCATGGTTGGCTAGGATGAAGGCAGTGCTGGTTTGGTGGCGGAAAGAGTCGTGCTTTAGCTGGGAGGCAGCGCCGAAGTCCCTCAAGTTGTTGGCTAGGATATCAGCAACCTTTTGGTTAGATCCAACGGTTTTGATATCGGTCATATGAGAGCGCTTCAATATATAAGCATGATTTTTGTCTTGCCTTGCTTTAACATCCTTAGGATCGTCGAAATGGGCGTGGGACTGGGACACGTATTTCCCCGCGAGAGGGTTGGGTTTAGTGGTCTTGCGGGTGAAGAGGGTGACGTTGACGCCTGGAATCCGTTCCATCTTCTGGTAGCTGGGATGCGACTGAAGCGTAGCTAAGTTCCTGACGTGGTCGCCGCGTTCGGACCATGCATCCCAAATTTGTACGTATTTTAAGGCTAAAATGGAGCACAATGGCATTGTCCAGGTGACGGGCCTTTGACGCCGTCTCGTCGCTTTGTGCAGGAAGGGAATACATATTCAAAATAAGGCGGCGAACAAAGAAACTGTGTTCGCTAGAAGGCTGTTGTCATGCCTGACCCGGGTTAGCAAACCAGCATTGCAATTCTCTACTAGCTCGGCTGTTGGATATGCAGATTCGCATCAGTCTCTAAACCAATATGAGTGTTTGCAAGGGTAAGAAATGGATCGAGAACGAGAAGAGCGAGTAATAGGGAGGTTAGCTCCGGGTACATCATGCAGCACTAGAGAACTTAGTCTTAGCGGCTTTTGAGAATTATCTACAGACAAGGCGCAAACGCTATACCGAAAGGCGTTCGCCAGGCACTGCGGCCGCCATTGCGATAGTCGAGAAAAGAAGGAGCCTGCTTTTACTTCAGCGACCAGGTGCCACTCTGTTGAATAATCTCAATCGGCCTGCTCTCGTCCAGCGACCTTCGGCCTGCCTCTAAGATGGCGGTAGTGGCGATGGTGTTCTTCAATGTGGGGAGTGGACGGCTGTCTAGCTGTTCTAGCGTGACCTTGCCCTCATTCAAGGCATTGACGGCGTCGACGAACTTCTCGAAGGAGACGTAGCCGTATCCAGTCTGGCCTGCGAAGTTGCCTTCCTCATCGGGAGCGTATTTCATGTAGAAACTGAGCTTAGTTAGTAGAAAGATAGGAGATAGATTTGAAAGATACTCACGGGTTATACCACAGAAGGCCGGTGTCATCGTCAGTGACATCGTAACCTCGCTTCGCCTGGTTGATTCTGACCTCTCCTCTACTGGCCATGTAGTGGAAGTACTGATTCGAATGCACACCAGCCTTCTGTGGCGCCGCCCAGCCCGCGGTATAGACGCCAGTCGCGCGCTTGCTGGGGTCACTCTTCTTCACCCAGTCTACCAACAGCGTGATAGTATCTTCAGTTTGCGGATCGCAACCCAGTTCGGTTGCAATGCCCTTCGCTGCACTGCCCATCACGCGCACCGGCGTGAAATCCGGGACCATAGACTCATGGATATCGATGTGATGCGAGTTGAGGTAGTACGAGATGTCGCTTTCCTTGCCCGCCCATGCCTTGAAGGTCTCGAGTTGGCTCCTGAATACGAAAACTTGGTCAGTTATCAACCCGCGCCGGAGAAAGCGGAGTTCTTACTTCGGCTGGCTCATATACGAGTAGAAGTAGTTGAAGTCTCCCAGTTTTGCGGCCCGGAAGCGCGCATCCGCGTAAGCAGGGTCGAACCGCTTGTGGTGCTCCACGTAGACGAAGACATTGTGCTTGCGTGCAGCCTCGAGCAGCTTTTGGTGGTGTTCCAGGAGCTTGACCGCTGGTTTCGTGACGAGGACGTGGTGCCCTTTCTCTATCGCGTACAGAGCAATCGGGTAGTGCGTGGTGTCAGGGGTAAAGATAGTGACTTGCCCATATTAGCTGGGAAGGATCCTGATGATGTGATGTGAACGTACTAGCGCTGCCTTTCGGAAGCGCGTCAATTGCCTCCTTGTACGCATCCGGATCGCGCTTTCCTGCCTTGGGGTACTCCTCGAACGACACGTCGAGACCGTTGTAGGCTTGCGAGATATTCTTCTGCAGATGCTCCCCTGCACACGATCAGCGCTGGACGGCAATTTCCTGCATCAGTTCCACGCCCGGATTGCACTTACTGATGGCCGGAAACTTGTCACCCGATACTCCCACCATCCCCAGCTTGCCGACCTTCCCTCGCCGACGAAGATCGAACAGTGTCAATCCTACAACTCCCACCTTCTTGTCTGAGGTCGAAGCCGCACCGCCCACGAAGCCGGTCGTGTACTCGCCTGTTCCGACCTGCGGAGTCCATTAGCACGGCTCTCGTGCCAAATGCGCACTGCCACGAGGAAGAGGCGGTGTGAAGCATGCAATGCTGGGCACAAAAGCAAACACGATACTGCAGGCTGCGGACGGCGCTCGCAGCTTGAGGAAAAGCAAAGAAAGTATTGAGCATGGACCTGCTGCTCCTGTGAGGGGTAGGCGTACCATCAGGACCTCGAGCGGCGCCATGGTTGCTCGACTTTTGGTATCAGGTGAGGAATTGAATCAGTGGTTTCGTCTGAAGCCCACGGAGGATCGATAAGAAGCGGATATCAGGCGGACGATGTTGAGAGGGCAAATATCGTGAGCGGCGGCGCGTCACGCGTCGGCGTCTGCGTCGGCGTCTGCGTCGGCGTCTGGAGTAGGGCTGAAGTACCCCTCCCATTGGCAGGCCTATCGATATACACGGAAAATAATGGCGCCCGCAATGAGGGGCAGCGGGACAAGACGACGCGTCCAGGGCGCGACGCTTCATCATTTTGCCGGCATCCCCTCGCCCAGCGCCCCATGGACGCCCCTCGGGCGAACATGGTAATCTTTCCCCAGGCCAAGAGGCGCACGAAGACGCACCCCACGCCGGTCGTCGTGCCGCCATTGGTGGAGAAATTATGCCCCGAAAATTGCGGAAGACGCAGCATTGACCAACGTCGAGGATCTGTCCTGCAGTGCCACCATATTCGACCTCCTCTCTGCCACCGACGGTATTTGGTCCCATAAGACCTCGATAATTTTAGTCACTGCTGTAGAAAAAGGCCGCAACCTGACCCGCAGTTCGCGCAGTTGGGCCCCGAACCTGCCCGCCAGCACCAGCCGGCCCACCGTCTGCACGCGATAGAGCTCTGGCCGGATCTTTAGCTTTTGTAGTGTCAAACTCTGTCCGCCCGGCGAATGAACGCCGCGGATTTGACGAGATCTCGACATTCAAGACGACGAAGGAGAAGACCGAAGGTGGGATGGCATTGGGCTGCGGCCTAGTCCAGCGCCTACTTTACACCGATTGCCCTCCACCTCGCCCATATATTAATGGCTGACCCGAATTTCGTAAGTCCTTCACTACCACTCGCTATCCGTTTCCTCTCTTCCGGTTCCCCAGATTCTTGTCTCTTCCCCGGCCTGCATTCTTCCTCCATACTCCTCTCCACACTTCATCAAACATGACTTCGGATAGCGTGACGAACGGCTACACCAATGGCGCTACGAACGGTTATGCCAACGAGCGCACGCCGCTGCGACCGGGCATCTACTCGCCGACTATGACCTTTTTCGATCCGGAGACGGAAGAAGTCGACCTGCCCACGGTCAAGAAACATGCAGTACGACTTGCCCAAGCCGGCCTGGTCGGTCTGGTAACTATGGGTTCCAACGGCGAAGCGGTCCACCTGAACCGGGCCGAGAAAGCAGCCATCACGCGAGCAACACGAGAAGCTCTTGACGAGGCAGGATACCGTGACGTGCCAGTTATTGCAGGAGCTTCCGAGCAAGGCATCAAACTCACCATTGAGCTTTGCAAGGAGTCCGCCGAGGCTGGTGCTGAGTACGTACTACTGGTGCCGCCAAGCTACTACCGCTACGCGATGGACGAGGATGCGATTCACGAGTACTACACGAAAGTAGCTGATGGGTCACCACTACCTCTCATCCTGTACAACTACCCGGGAGCTGTTGCCGGCCTCGACATGGACAGCGATCTCATAATCAAGCTGGCCAAACACCCGAACATCATTGGGACCAAGTTTACGTGCGGAAATACTGGAAAGCTCACGCGAGTAGCTCTGGCGACCAACGCCTGCACCACCAAGAGCGCCGGCAGCGGATACATGGCATTTGGCGGTATGGCAGACTTTACTGCTCAAACTGCAGCCAGTGGCGGCTCAGGTATCATTGCCGGTGGAGCCAACGTCATCCCCAAGGTCTGCGTCAAGGTATGGAATCTGTGGGCAGAGGGCAAGTACGACGAGGCTTTGGAGCTACAAAAGGTCTTGAGCAAGGGCGATTGGGTTCTTACCAAGGCCGCCATCCCAGGAACGAAGTCCGCTATCCAGTCCTACTTTGGCTACGGCGGCTTCCCCCGCCGCCCGCTGAAGAGGCTTCCCAAGGAGAAGGTGACCGCAGTCGCAGAAGGCATCCGGGAGGTTATGGAAGTGGAAAACAGCTTATGATAACGTCTGACCCGGTTTCCTTTCCTGCATTCGTTCATTATCATTTTCCCTTTGGTTGTCCTGGGTCTCGGCGCACTCATTGCCGAAGCTCGGTCTAACTCCCCCCGGAGTCCATTTTCACCAACGCATGTCACTCTGCATTTATGAGGGTTCCATTATTTGTACATAAATAACATGGGATGGGTAGGGTAATAGAGGACGGATTCCTTACTTGAACACCTCGGTGGAAACCGAGAATCTGCGTACCTGCTGCCATTTGACTGATGTCCATGATTCGTAACGCGAACGAAAAGGGTACAAATGCGAGAGAGACCCACCTAGATCCAACTCTACATGGAGATAGCCTCCCATCTAGTCAAATGGTTGAGACCGTTTAGGCCCGCCTTCCTTCCGAGTCGCATGACTGATTACCTGGTTTGGAAAGTTGTATGCACGACCGTTGTGGCTGCAGATCTGAGCCGATCCATTTATCGTGACGAGCATGCTCATCCATTAACAGCTGCGGCTTCAGCTCTTCCCTCGTCCTCATTGGCTGTATCGTTTGATCGCAGCCTGGAGGACGCTGGAGTAAAGGCACTGTATGTGGCCGTATACATACTAGCATGTCTGACTTTTAAACTATAGAAACCTGCTCCAAAAGGCCTTCATTAGGTAAAACGATTAGCATTACATCCATGAAAAGTTTACTAAGGTGGACCGCGAACATGGATCCCGGAGACGTCGTTCCAAGGTTTGGGTAGAGTCACGTGATAGACACTGATCGCAACTTTCCCAGCGGTGGGGAACGCAGCGCCACGCAGGACTCTATTTCGACCTCGCCTCAACAACTGCTTTCTTTTCTGCAGCCTTCAGAAGGGCCCCGCCCGTTGCGTTCGTACGCTCTTGAGGCCCAACGAGCCTCACCATGGACACGCGTTACCACTGGTGTGCCAACGCTGCCAGTTTCAGTACACGGCTCAGTGGGCGCTCCAGAGCCTATTCGAACGAAGAGTATGCTGCACAGGACCGAGACTACTAGTTAATCACCAGGACAGCGACCGGCAATTGGTAGGTATGGATATCATATGTATTTGCGCCTTCCCATGAAGCACAGATATTAACTATGCACAGACGAGTAATTTTTCGAGACTCCAAACGAAGGTCCAGACCTTCCATGCTGCGTTCCATCATCCGACCCATAAAACATATAATCGTACAAATGCCCTGGTATCTCAAATTTTTAACCCTTTTCCAAATCGCAAGACCGTTTCAAATCGCTAGTCCGTTACCGAGACTCGTCCATCGATATAAACTAAGGACCTCTCGCCGTTTTGCGGGAGTCATTTCTCGAGCATGGCCGTGGCCTTTGATTTGCGCCAATGTCGAAATCATTACTTTGCGGAAGTTCCGCTGCAGGCGCGGTCAATAAGCGAACGTCAAGTGGTGAAGGGGGTTTATCATACCTGGTATTCTGTATTCAATGTCACCACCGCTGCCTCGTGCGCTCGTACGATAGTTTCGCAAGCCCGAATGACGCCGTCGTTTGTTTCTGTGGACAGCTTGTCGGCCAGCAGCAGCAGGATCAAGCTACCTTGCAACAGGTACTGTGAAGCGAGTCAGCAACAGTTCCGGACATCGATCGGTAGTCGGTTGAAAGACTATCCGACCGCAGGGTCTGCACTTACCATGCCGAAGAAATATGGCATATACGAGAGGTCCGGATCCAGCTCCAATATTTCCTCGACAGCGTGCGCAGCAGAAATCGCGTTCGAGGTCGCGGCAAGGAACGATTGGGAGCAGATCCACATATTATCGTCTTCCAAGAGAGCCACAGGATCCCATTTCCCATGAAGGAGGATGTGGAGGACGTGCATGATATGCGTCGCATAGGCGACGACTTTTCTCGTCTGGTGTATCCACTCCCCGCGAACTGGATCAGGGGTACCATTGGCGTTGATTGCGGCTTCTTCGTTTGAGGGGCCGCAACCATGCTGTGCCTTGAATTCCTGGAGGCTGAATGCATATCTCTCGAGCTGGCGAACAATCTCCGACTCATACGACTCCCAAGATGTACGCTGTCCGAAACGAGGATGGTTCTTCTGCGCGTTGAGGTCGACGATATCGCCAAGTATAGTCATGAGCGGCAAGAAGAACCCGAAGACGTCGTGAGAAGTGCACTGAAAGGAGAGGCCTTTCCTCTTCGGTCCCGAATTGCCGGTGTAGAACTCGCCAGCCTGCCATAAGGTATCCGGAACAGGCTGATATAGATCCTCGCACTCGTTGTCAAGCATCGCCAGAGGCCTGTTATAACACAAGCCAAGGTGTCTGTAAGTCGGTTAGCAAAGCTTAATCTTAAGAAATAGGGGTCTCTTACCTGTCGATCATGTAGAGCAGCCACCACAGCCTTCGTCGTTCCTCTTTCATCTCCTCGATAAGGGCAGCAGTCGGGGTGCCAGCAGGAATATGCGCCCCTGAATTGGAACAGTCTGACATCCCCATGTCGGCTTCGTTATCCGCTGAGCTAGAATCCCTTTCTTTCGACGGGTCCTGGGGTATTTCTCTGCCTAACTTCAACTCCCTTGCCAGGCTCCATGCTGCGTTCCACCAACGGAGGCTGGCTGCCTGCATGCAAAGATGGTAGTCAGCAAATGTCTTGTCTTTACCTGTTAAAGGCCTTCAGGAGGAGCTTTTCGCAGTCGAAACTGCGACCTACATACCTTGTATTCGCTGGCTGATGTTACGACTCCTAAATTAAGATAAGTGGCGACGTCGTCGAGCGTGCTCGTTGGCGGCATCCCAGCGTCCATCCTGGCATCAAACTGTCCCATTACTCGGTCGACGCCGAATGCGTCGTGAGCAGCAGGGCTAACCATACCGCCGGAGCCTTGAGCAAAACCGTGTGAGGATGGTGAATGGACCAATGGCTTCAACAGATCGATCGTTAATTTCCACAGTTTCTGGCAGATGACCCCTCTTGCAGACGGTGACGACGTCAAATAGCTGGCTTCACTCGTCTGGGCGGCTATCCAAAGCATGCTGGAGAGTAGCGCGGGGCTACATTTCCGTGGTTTGTGTTGCCGTAAGAAGGAGCGCTTACGGAACACGATCCCAAGGATATAGGGACTGACCGGCTCAATGAATACGGATGACGAACTTTGGAAGTAATAGTCGAGAAGATCACAGGCCATTGGGACTGACATGATGGAACCAAGGTGAGGAATCAGGGGCTTCAATACCGGATACCTGCAGTGCGCCATTCCTGGATGTGAAGAAGCGGCGCTCACTCCAGATTGGGGCGAGGGAGTGTCGCCAGATCCGTAACTGTGGGGGGATGACTGTCGGACGGGAGCGAAATGCATCGGGTACCCCATATTTGCGAATTCGGGAGGAACCGTTACCGGCGTGCGAGAATCCTGGACGAGATGCATCTCGTTCATGGCGAACATCAACTCCTGACCCCGTATTTGCTGAGGCAAATAGCCTTCCCCGGCCCCCAGCAAGAGCGGGTCTATCATCATGTGGTTTACCGGAGGGTTGAAACCCGCGCCTGATTGCCTGTGAGTCTGCGCAAATGGGCGACAACAAGCCTTCACTTACTGCTAGGCAGACTTTGCCAGCCTGGCGATGACACACTATGTAACTCGCCTTTGCTACCTGGGAAATGCTGCGCTATCGGCGTTGGTTCTGCGGGCGACCAAATCTCGTCGTCCATTTCGGGCATCATGTCGGCCCTATCGAATTGGCCACCGGTCTGTATCGAAAGCCCGTTTCCATTTGGCTGGCCATTCTGGCCGACGTGCGCTGCGGCTTCCTCCCTCTGCTTTTGGATGTGTCGCGGCACCTGGAGGAGTAAATATCAGGGAAGCTGGGGTAGGCGCGGCCTCTAACCTTTCCTCTTCTTTTCTTTTCTCGGTTGTACTGACATACGTATTCGAGCTCTGGGAAGTGTCAGCGGCCGGAACGACGCGATGCGCATTCGCTTCTCGTACCGATACACCGCGAGCAGGGCGCTTGTCCGTTGCACCTCGTTCGCATGCGATGGCAGTGGTCGCACGCTCGACTCACTCTCCGCTTGACGGGCGCGGTGCCTCTGCGCTCCGGCTTGCCCATGTCTGCGGCAGCGGGCTCCATGGCGACGATGTACGACGGGAAAATCTGGCGGCTCGAGGGCGAGTGCGACGGTCACCGGAGGGAAGTAGTGCTTGGACGGTCATGAGATACTTGGGGAGCAGATGTGGGCCGCCGTCCACACTTAGACTGCCGAGGAGCAACGTCGGACGTGACGGATCCTGGTCGTGACGGGTCGAAACCAGGGTCGGGATCTGTGGCTTGAATCTTCCATGCGTCCACGAGGGCTTCGAGAAGCGAGGCGCCCTTGACCGCAATATCCAAAAACGCAGCCATTAATTGTGCCGTGAGGATTGGCTCGACGATCTGGGGCACTTGCCCACGGCACCCGGTCTCTGGGAGGCAAGTCGTTGCACGGCCTGCGGGGGCGCTACGAGATTACCCGTTTAGCCGGCGCGCGCTGAGTGGCTGCAGCGCCGCCCGGCTAAATTCCCACACGGCGGCCCCGCATGATGCCTGCCCGCCCCAAAGAACCCTATCGCTTGCGGCCTAGCGCCCCGACCGCACGTCAACACCCGCAGCGCGCTCTCGCACCGCCTTGGCAACGCCATCTACTGTGCACTGCTGTGCCTGAACGGACCCCTCCCTTGATCGTGGCTGGCATCGCCTGACCATCCGCAACGCCCATCGGCCTGCGCTGGGCGGCCAACGGCGAGCCCTCCGCACGACGCACCGTCGGAGAATTCATAACATCGTTTCCTATAGACGCCGCTCCCTTTCCCCGGACAACGACGCGCGCCCGGCGAGTGCCCGAGTGCCTGCGCTGCTAATGCATTTGCCCGCGCGCTCCTCGAATTTACGGCGCATGGCAGCGAAGCAAACACCAGGGCGGCGAGGTCTGCATGCCATGATGCGCTTCCTGAAACCGTCGGTGAATGACTCGCCTAGTCACCGCGCATGCCACGTTCGAGAAGCCGCATGTGCTGGCATGCCTACCTACTACCACCGTCGAAGATGGCCAAAACACCGTCTCAAGTTATGCGAGCGCAGCAAACTATGAGCAATGCGACCAGCAGCTTCGCTCGAATTACTCGAAGAGGAATGGGCACCACAGCAATCGCAGTCGATAGGTGCTGCCCTTAAGCTCGACCGGCCTATAGCTTTTCGTGTAGTGGTTGGTTACCGCTGTAACGCACGTCCCTCTCTATATCCAGCTACTACTTCTAGTTTACTTCGTGTCCGAAGCATGTCTATCCTTCATTTTCGCCAGCCCTGTCGACAATATGGACCCGTTTCACAAGAACCACGTGCAAGGGAACCAGGTTTTCCGAGCACTCGAGTGCCACTCGTCAACTCAAGCAGTCACTCCCCTTCGTCCTGCATCGCTGATCCTCGACTCGTTCTTCGAAGCTGCTTCCGTCCTCAGCCTGGAGTCTCGCGCATGCGTGCAATCAAAAGACCTGTTTGCAGCACCGCCGGGCCGTGAATAATATTCAAGCAGAAAGACAGCTTACCTTCAACGCCGATTCGCCCGCCCTACCGGTACACCGTCATGAGCACCACACGCCAGCTGCAGGCCTTTCAGGAAAAGGACACGCGATTGCACAAGAGACAGGGGAGAGTGCATGACGGCAGAATCCCCACATTCGACCGTGTCTGAGCTGCAGAAGGGTCGCGCACGCAGGACCCAGAGCCCTCAGATTGGCCGATCCCTTTCTTCCTATGCACTCCACAATCCACTTGTTTAGACTGTGTAACCACAAAATCTGAAAAATCGCGTACTATTTTGAGGAAAGGAAGCAGGGCCCGGAGGGATGGGTTGCGTGAGGGAGGGTGAGAAGACAAACTTATTTTCCTTTTGCCTGAATCGAACACCCCGGCGCCGATCCACATCCCCCGCAACCACTGGGATGTGGCTCTCTCGGCTCATTTACTTGACTTTCTTTTTTGCTTGCTTGAAGGAGCTTGGTGTTCTCGTGGTTGAAATCGCCTGCATTACCAAGGCCTTCTGGAATGCAGCATCTCCTCGTTTGCGCCCGAGCCGGTTACACGAACGTTTGTGGAGTGCAGCTAAGTTTCCCTATTGGTACCGTTGACGCATATCCTTGCCTCCCCTTTGTTAATATGAATAGGCAGCCAGCTGACCTTTAATCAGAGCATGGTCACCCAATGCGAATGCGACTAGCCGGGTACACGATATTGCGGCGGGCGCCAGCGTCAGGCCTCTGGTTCACTACAGACGCCACGGGGCCTGGAAGCGAAGTAGTACCGGCGCGGCTCTCACCGGGTACGCTTCGAATGCGTACCCACGACCCCAGATTTTCTCATATACCCCTTCCGGGAATATAGGTCTAATCTGGATCTTCTGGCTTGAAAATGGCGGCTGATGGCGTACTGACGTGCAGCGACGCGAGCGTCCTCAACCTCTCTTATTCCGATCACATATATGCGAATGGGGTATGAAGGAATGCGCAGAGCGCTGCGAAGAGTAAGAAGCCGTTGAATACGACGAGCCCCTGGCTGATAGCCGCTTCGGCTAGATTGGCCATCACGTAGTACTGTGTACGAGGTTGCGGATCGTTGGCTGGAAGACAGTCCAGAAGACTATATGGAAGTTTCTGTGCATGCAGCTAGCAGTCGATGTCACGACGCTGTACTGCGTAAAACTGCGTCAGGATCCCTACGCTACTCTCGCTTTGAGCTTCCCGTAGTGGAATGTGGAGAAGGCGTCAAGGGAGGGTCCTGTTGTATCTGGCTTAAGAGCCATAGTAAGACCCTGGGGAGAGCATGGATTGATGGAGGATCACATCAGAGCGGTGAAGTGACGATTTCTGACGAGGGCTTGCAGGTGGTATCGGTTAGTGGTTCGCAGCCAGGCGGAGAACAGCTGGCGTTCTCGATCTCGGGAAGGAGGAGATTAGGGCTTTCCAAGATAGGAGGAGGAGCTTCTTTGGCGTTCTGGAAAAGTGTTGAACAGCGCCACTGTCGTACAGTTGAGCCGCTGATGGAGCTCGCTCCACTTCTAGAAGCCAACTTCTCCTGATAGGGTATCACCAAGTTCCGAGCCATAGTGCTGTGAGATTAGCATATCTGCCCGCGACTCAGTTTCTCGCCTTCACATGCTTCTGGAACTCGCTTACGGTGCGGGAAAATCCGAGCCCGCGCGGGGAAGGCATGAACGGCGATTCTGCATGGCACCCGTTGTTACACAAACTCCTCGCGTTCGCTTGCCGAGTCACGGGCTTATCGCTGCTATACATCACCAGGGTTATGTTAAACATCCAAGCTTTCTACAAGCCAGCCAGCTTGCTTCGAATTCTCTTATGTATTCGGTTTCTATAATTTGCTGACGCGCACGCCGAGTTAGACAATATCCCTGAGCATATCATAAGGCATATCAAGGTAGCGGGTGCCCCACAATGCGCGCCGGCCCACATATCCCTCCTCCTCATCAATAACGCCCTCAGCCTATAGGTCTTCTTAACAGCTCACCTTCCCCTTCGCAACTGCACCGCATCCATGATCACCTCAAGGCTGAGCTGAACTCGCCGTAACAGCAGAAATAAACTTTGCACTTACTTCTCGCCCCCCTTTTTAGCGTCTTCCTTCATGCCCGCTTGCACCCACTTGCGACTCTCGGCGGCGTGCTTTTCCATCTTCGCCTTGTCCTTGAGCAATTCCTTGATCTTATGGGGGTCGGGTACGTGGCGACCTTTCTCGACGCCTGGACGGGCGGCCTGAAGGTTTGTTTAGTATGGGTGGGCGGGAAGGGGAGAGGAGAGAGGGTGCGCACCATGCGGTCTTCCCAAGCTTGGAGTGCTGGAAATTCGGTGATGTCGATGCCGGCCCAGCCCGCAGAAGCGACCCAGCCCCAGTGGGAGATGTCTGTAAGAATGGTAAGTGACGGGAATGAAGGAAGGAGGCCAAGAAGAGCGAAGTGAGTACATACCAGCGATTGTGCACTTATCACCAGTCAGGTAAGGGATGTTGTTCGATGAGAGGTGCTTGTCAATGACACCGTAGAGACGACGAGTCTCGTTCTGGTAGCGATTTACCCCGTACTGGATGTTTTCAGGAGCATAGCGTGTGAAGTGATCTGTTTACTCCAATCAGCTCCTATTCCTTCTCATGCAACCATCCACTTTTGCTGAGACCGGCGCATTATCAACCTTATACAGCTTCTCGACTGCATCGCACTTGGTTCTGTCTTCCCTCCTCTTCAACTGATCACAAAATTGGAAGAATCCGTGCATACTGGCTTGCCCTTGCATCGGCCCAACACCCGCATTCTGGAAGAACAGCCAATTGTTCATCTCATACCACTCTCGCGTTCCTTCGGGGTAACTGATCTTATATTCCGGATCATACCTCCTGACCAGGTATTGCATTATCGATCCCGACTCAAAAAGGTTGATGGGCTTGCCATCAGTGAAGGTGTCGGTCAGCGCCGGGATCCGTCCATTGGGGTTGATCTTCAGGAACCAGTCCTCCTTTTGCGTGTTCTTGCTGATGTCGATCTTGTGGACTTTGTACGGGATGCCGAGCTCTTCGAGCGTAATGCTGATCTTGATGCCGTTCGGCGTCTGCGTGGTGTAGAGGGTGATGTTAGGTTCTTGGGAGGACATTGTGGCGCGAGAAACAGGATTTTTTTTAAATATGAGCTCAAGATAAGAGGGATTTGAGGCTATGATAGAGTTTGCAGTAGACGGAGCTCAGGTTTTAAGCTTCGCTCGGAGAGAAGTGGGGTGGGTGAGGGGCAGCTATGACGAGATGGATTGCTTAGAAATTACAAGAGCTGCTGCCGAACGCCGAAAGATTATGGAATCGTCCCTCGGATTATATATTCGTATGGCCTTCGTATACTTTTTCAAGTTGGCGGCCTAGTTGGAGATGGGTAATAGCTGGCATAGCGATTGGGGTGAAGGTCTGCTCTGGACGCCGTCGGCACCGCCTTTAGCACTGTTTCTAGTGCAAAGTTTCCTTCTCTTTAAATTCGAGTACTCTCATGCTTCCGAAAGTGTCTACGGAGGTGAGCGACCAGCAAGGCGGATCAGGCCCACAAGCGGGCTTTGTAATGAGGCCTGCTAGGAAATCGAACTTGTGTGTTGTCGAGAGTCTTGAGCTCCCATCATGTATTGGCATCGTTGGCCCGGCGCAATGTGTACCGCAAACATATGGATTCACCGGCGTTTAAACTGTCCCCGAGCGGATGCCTGGATGCTGAGGTGAAGGGTCCTCCGTTCACGTGACACAGGAGCTGTTGACACAGAAGCGGCTAGCGCGCCCAGCCCATTAGCGCGCCGGTCGCCACCTCCTCTTCATTATTTCTTCCCGCACCACCACCCGCAATCCACACCCATCAAACAACAACTGCCGACTCACGATCAACATGTCGTGGCGCAATCAAGGCATCACCGGCTCGAACAACATCCCGCTCGGCACTCGTCGACGGTTCGGCGGCGACAACGCTGACGATGGAGGCTACAATCCTGCAGAGCCAGCCACGGGCTTGTCCGAGCTGAAGCGCGGGCGCAGCCCAACGCGAGGTCAGCCGTCCACCACATTCTCCGTCGCATCAATACTGACTGCTATCGTAGACGCCGATGGCCCTAGGCGACGCAAGAAGCGCAACCGATGGGGCGACGCGAGCGAGAACAAGGCCGCTGGCCTGATGGGTTTGCCCACGGCCATCTACGCCGCCATGACCACAGAGCAGCTTGACGCGTACACGTTGCATCTGCGCATCGAGGAGATTACCCAGAAGCTGAAGATTAACGATGTCGTGCCAGCCGATGGGGACAGGTACGTAGTCCTATACTTCCCATATCCTCACCATGATACTGACTTGCTTAGGTCTCCTTCTCCTCCACCGCAGTACGATAACTACGGCCGCCGTGTCAACACGCGCGAGTTCCGCTACCGCAAGCGCCTCGAAGACGAGCGCCACAAGCTCGTGGAGAAGGCCATGAAGACGCTCCCTAACTATCACCCACCGGCGGACTATAGGCGCCCTACTAAGACACAGGAGAAAGTCTATGTGCCAGTCAATGACTACCCGGAGATCAACTTCAGTACGATACTAACCCCTCTAACTTTCCTTATCAGTCATTTCCGTATCCCCTGCCTTTGTCTTGACCGGCTTGCACAACCCGCCGAAGTGTTGGTTCACGTCGGAGGTCATGTCGCACAGCCATGTCACTAACCCAAACGTCTCCCTCATTTGCTCACAAACCTTTGATCAATACACTAACTGCAGCTTTTTTCTCCACTAACAGTTGGCTTACTTATTGGCCCGCGAGGCAACACCCTCAAGAAGATGGAGTCTGAGTCCGGCGCTAAGATTGCGATCCGTGGCAAGGGCTCTGTCAAAGAGGGTAAAGGACGCTCTGACGCAGCTCACACCAGCAACCAGGAGGAAGACTTGCACTGTCTGATCATGGCCGACACCGAGGAGAAGGTCAACAAGGCGAAGAAGCTGATCCACAACGTTATCGAGACAGTACGTTCCCCTACCCTTTCTATGATACCTGCAGATGCTAATTTGATTCAGGCTGCCTCTATCCCCGAAGGCCAGAACGAGCTCAAGCGCAACCAGCTCCGTGAGCTTGCCGCCCTCAACGGTACGCTCCGCGACGATGAGAATCAGGCCTGCCAGAACTGCGGCGAGATCGGTCATCGCAAATACGACTGTCCCCAGAAGCAGAACTATACTGCCAGCATTATCTGCCGTGTCTGTGGACAGGCTGGTCACATGGCTCGCGACTGTCCTCAGCGCAAGCGCGGAAGCGACTGGCGCAACGACAACCGCTATGGCGACCGCAACCAGGGCCGGATTGAAAGCGGCAATGAACTCGAAAACCTCTTCAACGAGATCGAAGGTCGACCAGCGGGCGCCATCGAGTACAACAATGGCGGCGGCTACGGTGGCGACGAGCAGCGCACTCTCAAGCCTTGGGAGCGTGGTCCAACCGGCGGGCAGGCCCCATGGGCGCGTAACAACCGCGACGACCGGGATGCGAGTGGCGCTGCTCCACCTTGGGCTGGTGCAGGCAATTCCTACAGCCAGGGTGGATACAACAGCACCTCGGCCCCGTGGGCTGCGGCAGGTACCTCTGCGTATGGCTACGGCAGCTATGGCTCCGGCTACGATCAGAACGCTGCCCCTGGCGCAGCTCCTCCGGGCATGAACTCGTATGGGGCTCCAGGCTACGGCGCCGCACCGACTGGGCCTCCTCCAGGGCTTGGCATGTACCAGAACTACGGAAACGCTGGTAGTCCACCCCCACCTCCGCCACCCTCGGGCTCGGTTCCGCCCCCTCCTCCCCCAGGCGACCTTCCCCCGCCGGTAAGCAATAGATTCTTCCCTTCACGCCTATCCCTAAGCTAACTTTGAAACAGCCTCCTCCCTCGGACATTCCGCCGCCTCCTCCGCCTGCTTAGATGCTCTGCGGACGCTTCTGTATCCATAGCTAACGACCGGTTATCTTTCTCGTCATCTTGACAAGTCATTAGGGTAGTATGGCGGGGTATGGCACGATACGGAAAGGGTGGTATGGGTTAAATTGACAGCGACTTCGTCGGAAGGGCTGCAGGCGTGCCCGGGTATCTAAGGAACACGGTCGCGAGTATGGCTTAAGATATCTCAGATTGAGTCTCAAAAGCACAAAAGCACAGGTAGGAGACTGGCTCTATATCTGACTAACACGTGGGATCTCGCGATCCAAATTTGGTTCGTGTACATGATAGATGGAGCTTATGTATTAGTATATGTTCCTTCTGTATTCTACCCTTTCATAACCCAGGATTAATTTGCCAAGATGTGGACGTGAAGAGCGACGGCTTTATCGATAGAAGTACTGCCAAGACCTGGTCCGAGCAGCGGGACGAACCATGGCTGCGGCATGCGATCAATTCACGCCCCGCAACGTCAACATGCGAACCCGAGTGCTGAACAAGCCTCCGCCGCAGTGACTCGGTACCCCTCGCTCCTGTTCTTTTCTTTCAACACGCTCGCATATAACTTTCATCCTCGTAATCGCTAGAGAGTTTTCCGCCGTGCTCCATCGCGCACACTTCGACACCTGCGGTCATCATGGAGAAGATCCGCGTTAGCAAGGTACACTTCCCACAAGCCGCGCAGCTTCGAAAGGCTCACGCTTTCCAGGTGGAGAATGTCTCTCTATGGCGGAGATCAGTAAAGTTCGACGGGACCCTGCATCTCATGCCCCACCATATGGTCTTCAGCTACCTGCCTCCACCCCCGCCAGGCTCCTCTCCCTCCGCGAAACTTCCGCGCCAGAAAGAAGTATGGATTACATATCCCATGATATCATACTGCAGTTTGCGACCCTCGCCCCCCGCGTCGCGCGTGCAACCATCGATTCGCCTACGTTGCCGAGACTTTACCTTCTTTGCCTTCAACTTCCTAGACGACAAGAAAGCCCGCGACGTGTATGACAGCATTCGGGCACTGTCATGCAAAATCGGAAGACTTGATAGGCTACTAGCTTTCAGTTATCAACCGAAATCTCCGGAGGACCAGTTCAACGGCTGGGAGATATACGATGCGCGCCGGGAGTGGAAGCGGCTAGGCATCAGCCCGAAGGACACAGAGAAGGGCTGGCGGATCTCAGAGATCAACGTGGAGTACAAGGTATGCATTATTGACTGATAAGACAGGCAGCTGTGCTGATGTCCGAATCTAGTTCTCTAAGACATACCCTGGGCTCATTGTTGTTCCCTCGAAGGTCTCAGACAGCGTCCTCAGATACGCCGGCGAATACCGCTCCCGACAGCGGATACCTGCCCTCGTTTACCGCCACCCCATAAACAACTGCTCCATAACGCGAAGCTCGCAGCCTCAACCGGGCCTCCGAGGGAACCGCAACCCGCAGGATGAGAGGCTCGTTGCCGCCATATTCGCTACTAATCGTGGGTGGAGATCGACGCAGACCCCTATCCCCACCCCGGCTGGCTCTACTCCGGAATCGAGTGTAGTAAATCTCGATGAATCCACTGCTAATAGTTCGTTCGTGGGCGTGGGCGATGGGGAGACCGTCTCTTCTGGAACAACACCTGTGGAAGACCTCACGGAGTCCTCCGAGACCGAAGCTGATGCGCCCAAGGTATACGGAGCACAACAACACAATCTCATCGTCGATGCGAGACCGACCGTGAACGCATACGCCATGCAAGCCGTCGGTCTTGGGTCCGAGAAGATGGACTACTATCCCGGTGCGGAAAAGGCATATCTTGGCATAGATAACATTCACGTCATGAGGAAATCTCTGGAATACGTGGTAGAAGCTATGAAGGAATCCGACTTTACCAGTCTGCCACCGAACCGACAACTCCTCGCAAAGAGTGGCTGGATACGACACATCAGCAACATCCTTGATGGCACCGCCTTGATCGCGCGAACTGTGGGCATCATGCATTCTCACGTTCTAATACACTGCTCCGACGGATGGGACCGGACAAGCCAGCTGAGCGCTCTTAGTCAGATATGTCTCGATCCTTATTACCGGACACTAGAGGGCTTCATCGTGCTGGTGGAGAAGGACTGGCTGTCTTTCGGGCACATGTTCCGCCACCGATCGGGCTTCCTGAGCAGCGACAAATGGTTCCAGATCGAGAATGAGCGAATAGATCGGAATCGCGACGGTCAGGGTGGTGGTAATGCATTTGAGAACGCGCTCCGTGGTGCTCGGGGCCTCTTCAACCGCCAGAATGACTCCAACGAATCACTGACTCAAATGGCGGAAGCAAACGGGGGAGAAATGCAGAACATTTCAGACGCTGCACCCAACTCTGAAAGCTCTCCGCTACCGAAGCCTGCATCCAAGATCGGCACTGCAGAGGAGCACCGCATAACCAAGGTCAATGAGCTCTCTCCCGTCTTCCACCAATTCCTCGACGCTACCTACCAGCTTGTCTACCAATACCCCACCCGCTTCGAGTTCAACGAGCGCTTCCTCCGCCGCCTTCTCTACCACCTCTACTCCTGCCAATATGGCACGTTCCTCTTCGATAACGAGAAAGAACGCGTCGAAGCTCGTGCCGCGGAACGTACACGCTCTGTATGGGACTACTTCCTCTGCCGCAAACAAGAGTTCATAAATCCGAGCTATGACTCCACGGTCGACGACTCAATCCGCGGTAAAGAGCGCATGATCTTTCCCAAGAAAGGAGAGGTACGATGGTGGGCGGAATGCTTCGGGAGAACTGATGAGGAAATGAATACGTTTGGCCCACAGGCACCGCTCACGCTTTCGCCACAAACTTCGAACGTCAATAGTCCGCCAAATGGAAGGAGTAGGACATCGACACCGATTCCACAGGAGCCTATCGTTACCGGCACGGAAACAGCCGATAAGGCTACAGGTGCGGGAACTACTATGCATCCGCCGCCTACGCATGCTGCCCCTAACGCGCAACCGCATCATCCTACGCCTACGCCGTTTGATGCCGCAGCAGCGTTTAGCCGTGACTTGGGTCAGAACCTTGCCGCAGGAATCTCGAGCCTAGGTATTGGTGGGAGCACCGGGGCTACTCCGCGCAGTAGGAGTCGCAGTCGAAGCACGGAGACGAGACAGCAGATGGAGGTTGAGATGCAGTAGGACGGACCATCTCAACAAGACCCTTACGCTGAGCTTACCAACTACCACGCGTAGTAGGGCGCTCTTGGAAGGGCCTGCTGGGGTACTTCACTGCCCCATATGCATGGCAAGTCTGAGTGTACGGGTTTATGCGGGTAGTATGTCAGAAGGTTTATTGATACCCCACGGGGTGGAACGACTAATGAGTAATCGACGATTGACTATTGATGACTTGCATTTCTAGGTCTGGGCATAGCAAGAGTTCGGGATGACTATGGGTTATTACAGTTATGATCGTAGAGGGTAGATATGGACAGCCCCATTCTTTCTACCATCTGCTTAGTATCACTCTCAGTGATTTCCTTTGCGCCTCACTGACTGAACAATAGTGAACGCAGGGCATGTAATACATGTGCTGAACGTAATAGAACACATTACAAGTCTAGTGTTAAAGGGATCACCTCCTAACATACCCTCGGTTTTTACCCACCAAAGGTCTGAGCGGTGACTCCCCGCGCTTGGATTGATATGACAACTGAGCCATATCGGTGCGTATGCCGTGGCCTACGGATGCATACTGAAGAAATAGGTACCACTGAGAGTGTGGACAAAATTTACATTATACAGAGTACTATCAAGTCAAATCACGTATATCCACCGCCCGCCACGCCCGCCAACACTCTTCGCTACCATCCATCTTCTCCCTCGCACACGATGGCGCTCTCGCAAGCCACAGTCCCCCCTTCTCACTCGCTAAGTCCTCTTGATCGGAACTGGGAGGTCCACGATCCCCAAATCCAACGGGTTCTGGGTCCCCAGCTGCGACGGACAAACCGGCTGGTTCCCGCCCTGCGGCGGCGGCTCGCACTTCTCGTCCACCCCCAGGGTACACTGCGCCGTGGCAATATTCCAGAACTGCACCGTCCCCGGCGCACACGACAGGCCCCAAATCACGGCTGTCGACGCACTCAGTGGTATCTTGTGCCCCTCGGTGGGAATCAGATCGTCGCACTCGCTGTTCTCCACGTACTCCCAGGACCCGGGGATGCCGCCGCCGTAGGTGGGATCCTCGCGCGCGGACTTGCCCGTGACCAGATAGTTCCAGGCGTCGTAGCTGATGTCGTGCGCGCCTCCGGAGTGGTCGATGTGGAGCAGCGTGACGGAGCGGCCGTTTGCGGTGACGCGGACGCAGTACTTGGTGCAGAGCGGGTAGGCGGGGAAGTAGGCGACGCGGTCGATGTTTATTTTGCAGCCGAGGACGCCGACGGAGGAGCTGAATTGGGCGTGTGGGGTGATTGTGCATGGCTGCCCAACTGGGGTTTCGGGGAGTGGTGTTGCGAGGATGGGGGGAGTAGCCAGGAGGGCCAGAGCCGTGGTGATTGTTGCGAGGTATTGTTGGCGCATGATCTTGGTATTGTATATGATCGTCTGTATGTCTTTATTTGTAGAAGACTGGTCTGGTTGGAAAGGAGGAAGGTTGTTCTTGTGCTGTGCTCGACGTTGTATACGAATGAAGAAGCACTGTGTGGTGTTTGAAGAAGTGGCTGAGGTATGAAGTGCGCTGTAGTATAATCCTGGTGACAGAATGATTCCGCCATATATATGAATGACACCTTTTCCTTCGAGGACTCAGAGCCTTGTTATCAATGACATCAAGTGATGCGCGATGGAAGTGCCACCTTCGTAGAGTAGAGTATAACTGAGGACTTCCTCCAAGGACTTGCAAATGATGGATTACCCAAGATGTGGAGAAGAGAAATGCATGATAACCTACTCTACCATGACGGTAATATCGCGAAGGAAGTCTTCGCACGCCTCGACTTCGATTCAGGAAGAAGATGGAAGGACTGACCAGATAGGTGAGGGGAACAGTCTTTGCTCGCTGAGATATCGATTCTCGTCAACAGGTCTAAGTCACCTCGCGTCCGCAGAAATACTAAGAGCGAGGGGTTTGGTAGGAGTCATAACGTACCGGAAGCCCCAGTCAGAGAGAAGACTAGAATAGCGTACTGAGAATCGAACGCAATATCACATGTTGAGAGATTGAACGCCAAGTTGAGTGTTTGATGGTCAAGCCGTGTTTTGCATTTGGGTGTCCCGAAAGAGTACACAGCACGTAGACTCCATAACCTCCTTTGTCAATCAAACAAAGATTGCCCATCCGGATGCAAAGGAATTTATAGAAGCATGGTCCTCATGATACCGTAGCCATCACCTCTGTCGAACCAGGTCCCGCTCCCCCGCCTCCAGCCTCTCTATGCACAATTTTACTCCTCCTGGTAGCCCTCTGCCGGCGCGCCCTCACCTTCTTGCTGCTCCGCCAGCCTCTGCTGTTCTGCCGCCTGCTGGGCAGCGAGAGCCTTCGCGCCGTAGTCTTGCGACATGGGCTGCACAACGGGCTGCTCCTCCTTGGGCTCAATGATGGTAACAGAGTCGGGGAGGGACTTGGCGGGACCGGCCTTGCCTTCGGGGTCTGCACCGCGCATGATCTTAACCTTGATACCAAGGACACCCTGTCGGAGGAGGACGTGGCGTGTGGCCTCATCGATGAAGTCCTTGGCTGGCTGACCGGAGTGGATCATGAAGCCGTCCTATTTAAAATTAGCCTTCTGCCTAAGATATTGACCGTATATGTGGACGTACAGTGAACTTCATGCTCTTCGCACGAGCGGCCCTCAGCTTGCCAGAAACGACGACCTCGCAACCCTTGGCGCCGCTCTCCATGATGAACCTCAGCACACCATAGCACGCCCTTCGGACGGCCAGACCATTGAGCAGCTTGTAGCGGAGGGATTCGCACTGAGCGACGGCGGACAGACCACGGTTCTGGACCTTGGCGGCGTAGAGAGAGACGGAGTTCTCGGGGAACTTGAAGCGCTTCTGGATGAGCGAGGTGAGCTCGCGGATGCGGCGGCCCTGCTCGCCGAGAACCTCTTGTGTGTGCGTTGCCCGGATGATGATGTCGGTCACGGTGGGAGTGACGCGCACTTCGACACCGGAGTAGCCCTCCTCGGCCAGCTCGCGCTGGAAGAACTCATTGAGCTCGGCGTAGAAGACACCGTCTGTGAGAGAGGATGTTAGCTGATGCCCTCTGTGTGCAATAGACGTGTTCGCCCTCCGCGCTGTATATCTCCAAAGCTCCGCCAATCGTGCCCTTCGCAGGCTGTATCGCGGCCTCAGGGCCACTGTATCCATACCAGCGCCTCCGGAAGTAAGGAAGGGTGTATCGTACCAGCAACGAACTTCCTCCGCTTGGAACTGCATACAGTCAGTCCTCGCTCCGAAGTCTCGGCATCGCAGATCTTGACTCACATAGCTCCCTGAGTTGTGGCCATTGTGTCGAACTGGTAATTGACGTCTCTGAACCTCCGGGCTGGCGTTCAGAAGTATGCGAACCGAGTTGTCGTTCGTGGGTCGTTGGTTGTGGTCGGATCTCTTAGGCGGGGATTTCGAAATATGTTGGTTAAGCGAGTGCGCGTGCCAAGCCTTGAGCCACCACTAGCCACATGGATGATCTTATCACCCTTGCTCGCCATTCACCCGATATTCAATGGGATGCTGTACCTATTCAGTACGCGGATCTAGTTCTCCATAATAAAGAAAGTCAAGTACCATCACGGAAGGTCACGCCTCCAAGCCGCCGAATCGTATGCCGAGGATAGCAGCCGGTATAGCATCCATTCAAGCATCATAAGCAAGAGTAAAGGCATGATAACGGAAGATAAGTAACGCTCTATGCAATTGCGAACAAGATCAAAACCGCTCTAGAAAATGTGCTATATCAGACAACCTCCAATGCTGAGCCTCGTGCGCCAGACACCCGAAATCCTCATGCTTGGATCGAAATCTTATGCGCGATATATACAGTAAGCTATACCTGGCTCTTTCTCTAGATATGCTCAATGGGCTCTTCGGGTAGTAGCTGTTCATGATGCCTCTCGTAGCAGGCCTTTAGTGGCGGTCGCACAAGGTCGTTGAAAAGGAACGTGCCGTACACAAGCAGCGCAAAGCCGGCGACCTGGAGCCACTTGAAGGTCTCCCATCCAAGGCCGAGGGAGACGATCCAGATAAACAGGGTACGACAGGTGTCGATGGTGGAGCGAGAGGTAGCGGAGACGGTGCGGGTTACGCTGAGACCGAAAAAGTTGAAGCCACTGTGCGTGTTAGAGATTTATTCACGATGTGGTGTGAGGGGTGGTGATTACTTACCCGATACTGATCATAATAAGAATGGAGCTGATGGCGATGGCAGGGAAGTGTGTCATCTGGTAGAGCCCCTCCCTCGCGTTGAAGTACCCAGTCCCAATCGCGAAGTGGAGAATTACCATAACGAGCACCGTGACCAGGAAACCAAAGATGCCCTCCCAACCGACAACCCTGATGGGCTCCATGGAGTACTTCTCCATAATGCGCTCCTCAAGCACAAACTGTGTGGCCGTGAAGATCTGAGCTCCAGCGATCAGCAAGACGCCAATGACGGTCATGACAGCCTGAGACACCGCCTTCGTGTCCACGTCTTCTCCAAGCGTATCAACTCCTGTCTGTGCAAGGGCCTGATGCGATGGCGTAGCCTTGTCGTCCCTGGTAATCGCGCCCGCCAGTCCAACGATTGCAACGCCGAAGACTACGACGAACAGAGAGAACCACTTGTAGAGGCCGAGGTGTCGCTTCAAGAAGATAACGCTGAACAGCCCAACAAAGAGCACCAGCGCACCTCTCGTCATCTGGTAGATACTTGCGGCCACAAACAGCAGTCCGACATTCATAAGCGTTGTTCCGGCAATGTCGCAACACGCGGGCAGCGCAAGCAACAGCACATTCGTACCCGTCAACGGTATCCTTCCCTCGTCATCCGGATGCGCAGGCTTTAGCGGATTCGCAACATCGCCTGTCTCGCTCTCTTCTGACAGCGCCGGTGTGACAGTGCCCTCGTCGACTGCGTTCGGAATAGCTTCGTAACCTGCTTTGCGTGAAACGTAGCGTTGGTAGGCGGAGAAAGCGCCGATGACGAGCCAGCAGCCCATTTCACCGATGAACATTTGGAGTGTCTGGAGCACGGGCTGCTCGAAGTGTTCGCGGTATTTCTTGGAGGGAGAGTCGCAGTTCTTGATGCATTGCATGTCCTGGACGGCTGCGGTTAGCAGGCAGACTTCAGCTGCGATCATTCAGAGGCAGACGTACTTGATACTTTGTCAGCAGTGTATTGCACACTCCCGTTAGTAGCATCATAGCTACGAGAAAGGGGACAACTGCCTTGACCGCCATGGTGGAGGAGAGGGTGTGTTCGGAGGTATCGTCGGCCTTATCGGAATGGTTAGGGTAGGTAGGTTGCGGCGTGGAGCGTAGGAACAAAGAACACGCTGCCCCTGGGAGTGAATATGGGTTGTTCTGGAGGTTGTTGAAGAGATGAGGGGAAAATGATGGGAGGCAGCTCACCTGCTGCCGCTGACGGTTGACTCAAGCTGCGGCGCGTGGCTAGTGATGGATGGTGCTCGGGTATCATCACGTGGAGATACTGCACCCCGGACGCGCTAAGAGACCCAGATCGGCGGCTCTTCAGAGGTCACGTCCATGGCATGCCCGGATCAATCGGTATTAATGGGCTTTGGAACACGCGCCTGCTGGGGGCTCTCGGAGGGCACTGTCCAGTCTGCTGGCGGAAAGGAGATTTTTCAGAGCTCCTCATCATTCCCGCCTGCTGGGCCAGAATAGCCTCAGGAGCAAAACAAAAAAAAAAGCCACCTAGGGCGTTGCGATGTGGTTGCGGAAGCCTGGAGATCCATGGAGCAGCCCGACGCCCCTATGCGTAATCGCGCGAAGAGAGACTACCGAAACAGGCTTTATCGCTGTGGCCATACACCTTGCGTGCTTGCTAAGAAGCATGTACCATGATCTGCATGCCGCATGCGAGATTCGCGGCTTCTCCAACGCGTGCGACAACCTGAACGGCGCGCTTAGATCAACCTGTTTTTCACGTCTTCGACCTCTTTCATAGTTACATTCCATTTCCTTGCTAGTCTACTCGGTCGACCTATTTCATCTATTACTTTTCGATGAACTACCCTATTGCTAGTACCTAGTATCCAGGTGTCCTTCGTTCCAATCGCTTTGCCATACTAACTCCACCACCATGAAGGGTCTCCTCAAGAAAGCCAAAGCCGAATTCGATAAACTCACCGACAGCGACTCGCAATCCCATCAACAGCCACAACCTCAGCTGCCTCCTCGTCCGTCCGGGAAACCCAGCTACTCCCCAGGCCAGCAACAAACTCATTACCGCGGTATGGACCAAGACCAGCCCTCTACCATCCGTGAGCCCAGTGCTCTCGATATTCTCCGCTATCGCTATCACCACGGGACGAACCTCGGCTCTGTCTACGTCCTCGAACGATGGCTGTTCCCTTCTCGGTTTCCCGATGGCGCATCCGGCTCGAGCGAACTAGCTGCGGTCACTGCGTGGGTAGAACGGATTGGAGTAGAAGCTACGAAGGCGAAGTTTGAAGAGGCGTGGTCGAATGCAGTCACGGATGAGGATATCCAGTGGTTGACCAACGAGGCAAAGTGTAAGTCTCCACCCAAAATCACATCCAAAGCCGTTCACAGTTCCCCCATCTCACACTACTCAGGCACCACAATCCGCCTTCCCATCGGTTACTTTGATCTGCCTGGCACCGAATTCACCCGATCTACCCCCTTCGAGCCCTTCGCCCAAGTTTACGCCGCCGCCTGGGCCAGCATCCGAACTCTGATCTCGCGCCTGCGCGCCCACTCCATCGGCGTTCTCCTCGACCTGCACGCCCTACCAGGCGGCGCAAACGCGCAAGAGCACTCCGGTACTAACAGTGGGACTGCGGGGTTCTGGAACTCGCAGGGCAATCGCGACCTCGGGATCCGCTGCTGCGAGTTCATCGCTGTAGAAGCCTCTTCCGGTCTCGACATCGTCGGCATTCAAACTGTCAATGAAGCAGAATGGGAAAGCGAGCGCATGTACGAATGGTACGATGACTGTATAGCCGCTATTTCCGCCATCGATCCCAGCATCCCCGTGATCGTCTCCGACGCCTGGAACCTCCCCAAAGCCGTTGACTACTGCATGAAGAAGAACATCGCCTACCCATCCAGGCCCACCTGCCCCGTCCTCATCGACACACACTACTACTGGGCCTTCACCGACGCGGACAAGCGAAAGACGCCCCAGCAAATCATTCAAGAAGCAAGCAAAAAGCTCACCGAGCTCGACGGAAAAGAGGGCTCCGTCCTCGACCGTGGCGCCGTCCAAGCCCTCGTAGGCGAATACTCATGCGTCCTCACCGAAGACTCCTGGTCTAAAGCTGGCGATACGCCTCGCGCTGACCTCGTCCGGCAATTCGGCAACGCCCAGTCTCGCCGCTACCAACTGCGCGCCGGGGGAGCCTTCTTCTGGACGTGGAAAATGGACTGGATGCCCGGGGGCGAATGGGGCTTCAAAGCCCAAGCCTCTTCAGGTGCTATCATGCCGTCGGTCAATGCCACGATTCCAGAGCGCGATATCTACAACCTACTAGAAAGAGCTCGCCACCGCCGCGACGAGCGCATGTACGCTGCCGTAGATCAGCACGTGAGCTACTGGGACCATACGGCGCCAAACATGCCGGCCGAGCACTGGCGGTACGAGAACGGGTGGAAGGTCGGGTATCAGGACGCGTACGTTTTCTTTGAAGGACGGGGGACCCAAGCTGTCGGACAAGGCAACAAGATTGGAAATATGGAGATGTGGGTGTTGAAGAGGGTTAGGGAGTCAGGTATGAGGGGAGGCTTCGTGTGGGAGTGGGAGCAGGGCCTGCGCAGGGGGATACGGGACTTCGAGGGCGTGGTGGGGATTTGAGAGGGCCGCGGCACGGTGAGTTGAGAGGACGGCTATAGGTAAAGACGGTGGAATTGAATTGAATTGAGGATATGATATTCCATCGTATCCCCCATCAGTCCGTATGCCTCGCTGCAAAAAAAGAAGGCCCTGCTTTTATCACTCGTAAATAGGTTCCCTGTTCCTCACAAAAACCACCTAAAATCCAGATCCTTCGGTCCATCCCTCAACTTCGCCGTACTCACATCCCTAGCGGTCAGGTTAACACCCTGCTTTTTATTCCGCCTCGCATTATCGACAACCATGTACGAGCCCAGAAGTAACGCACAAAGACATCCCGTCGCGCCGAACGCAGCGGTAGTTGCGAGTGCAGGAAGGTACTTCGGCTTATCCTGTTCGCGGAAGATGTTGGAGCTCACAACTCCCATCAAATTCGCCAGCGGCACACCAATAGACGTCAGCGTGACACGCCTTCCCTCGTGCGCAACGTTGTTGTTGTACCATGTGGATAGTAAAACGGACGGCGCAGACGTGCCCCACGTCATCATAAAGCATGCGAAGTAGGCAACACGTAGCTCACTGGTAACGTCGATGGTGGCGTAGATAATAAACCCGATGAATGTGAGGGCGAAGCCGAGCGCGATGAAGGGGAATCGCAATCTCGTGAAGTCCGACGTGAAAGCGAGAATGAGGAGGAAGCAGGCGCCTACGATGTTGGGCGCGACGGTGTAGAGGTTTGTCTTGATCTTGTCATAGCCGAGGGCTCCAACGATTTGTGGGAGGAAGAGCGCGACGGATTGAAGCGGGACTCCCAAGCAGACTTCGATAGCTAGGAATCCGTATGCAGCCGGCATCTTGAAGATCTTGAGCGCATCTTTCAGATTAAACTCCTCATTGACCACACTGGAGCTATCAATCTGGATCCTAGTATACGCGAGTCTCTTCTCTTCCTCGTTCAGGAACTTGGCCTCGTATGCAGATTTCGGAAGGTACCAGTAGGCGAAGAAGGAGAAGAGGATTGTGCAACTGCCTTCAATGATGAAGAGGTAGCGCCAGGAGTCGAGGCCGGACTCGATGTGGAAAACGCCGAAAGCGAGGAGGCCGCTGAAGGCGTTCGCGATGTTGGAGGCGGCATAGAAGAGGGCGAGGCGCCTGGCGAGCTCACCGCGGCGGTAGAAGGTGGTGAGGTAGTAGATGACGAGGGGGAAAAAGGCGGATTCGGACATCCCTTGATAGTGTTAGCTTTGATCCAAGGTTGGCATCTATGACCGAGACGCGGAGCACGTGAGGCAAGCTTCCCAAGCTCCGTTGGCGAAACGCCTCAAGCTTGACTGCAACCAAATCCATCTCTTATTACGAAACAACGAAACACACTCACCCAAAAACCACCTCAACGCCATCATCCCGCCCCAATTCTTCGTCGCCGCACTCAGTAGCGTCATGCTCCCAAAGCTAAACATCATAATCGGCAGCACCCTGTGGGGTCCGTACTTCTTGCCCAGCATGCCAATCGGCGGCGCGAAAACCACATACGGCACGTAGAAGATACTCAGCATAGTGTTGTACTGGTTGCCGACGAAGTGCAAATCCTTGTCCATGCCGTCGGTTTTCGCATTGCCGAGATTTCCCTTATCCAAAGCATTGAAGAGGTACATGACGGCGAGAACGGGGAGGATGCGGATGTCCATTTTGAAGGCGAGGGCTTTCTCGTGCTCGAAGCTGGGGAGGTGCACCGTTTCGCCTGCGATGGGGACCGGGGCCGGGGCATCTTTGATGGAGGAATTGGACGCCGTGATTTCGAGCGTGTCTTTTGCGAGTTCGGGGTCCTTGTTCGTCGCCATGATGTCTGCTGCTTGAGGAATTGGCGACTGGGACGCGTAGCCTGAAGTGTGTCGATCGCTATCGCAAAAGCTGGTGGTGAAGGTCCCAGGGTTGTTGAAGGAAGCCGCGCGAGATATAAGAGGAAACCACGTCGCTCACAGCGTTTGTATCTCCGCGCGGTTCTACGGCGGTGACGTTGCAACGGAAGGTTTTCTCCAGACTTTTCTAGCCTCTACGCCCGCCGACAACGTGCGAATAAGCGAGCAGCAAGAGATCTAGAGTTGCATGCGGCGAGCGTTGGAAGCCTGCACGGTGGATAGACACGGTTGTGGTAGGGGTGTCCGCGCGCAAACGTCGTGTAACCTTGCGCTTCGGCGCAATGATAGGCATAGCTGGTATCTCGTCCAATGCGCGTGATCATATTGCCAGTTGGAGGGAGTTGTGAGTGGTCAGCAAGACGGGCGGTGAGCACGCGAGGGTGTTGATCGACGGGGACCCTGAGGGTTGGGGTTGATAAGGATGGCAGAGCGGAGGTGACCTCCGAAGCCGTCATCCGGGAGACTCAATTGAGTAGACCGAAGTCGGCGTCGCAGAATCCATATCCTTTCTGCCTTTCAACCACCTCTTTTCCTGTGCGAGTTCGCGCATGTCTCAGTTTACGATGGCTCCTTCCCGAATGGTAGACCAGGTCGATGGTACCGTCGTGGAGCTCCACATCTTCCCCGCATTCGCATTCTCGCTGGAGGTGCAGCACGCGATGGGTCCTCTGTGGCATGGAAAATTATAAGAATGACACGCAGCGACGACGAAAGACATAGGGAATCGACTGGCAGGCTTCAGAGGCCCACGCGAAGACCTCGGTTCCTTTTAGTGTGTTGTTGCCAAAACGGCCTTCTAGTCGCACGCCGTTCCTCCAACCTCTCCTGGAGCTCCCGCGCCAACACGGGGCCTCACGGCGAGTTCACGCGCCACCACCCGCATGCGAACCTCAGGAGAACCGTCGTACCCCGCTGCCGGAAGGAGAAAGTCTCCCTTGCGGGAAGCCTTTCCAGGCAAACCTGGCAGCTGAAGAGAAGAGCTGAAGTGGCTGCTTACTCCGCCCGTGTCCGAGGCGTCTTCTAGAATGTAACCTCTCGTCCTTCCACGACAGCCTTAAGTCACACCTTCTAAGAATTGGTCTACGTCAAACGGTAAACTATTTACCCAAGGGTCTCCTTGTGCCACTCGGGTTGGAAAAGATGTTCGCACTACCATAGTACAGCAGCTTCAATTCGTCCAAGGAGCTGGGCGGCAAAAGCACACATGCTCAACCCTCGAGATGCGTGCGATCCAACACATCAGCCCCCTCGCGATCCCAAACTCAAAGCTCCATCTCATTTCTTCTTCGTCCCCTTCCCTCTGCCCTATCTCATCCCCAATCAGCCTTCCCATCCCGATTGAGTACACAGCTCGCGCTTCCCGCATCCCCTGCCGAGAAGCCCACACCACAAACGCATCAAACGCCAAAAAGCAAATATCCCTTTCGTCCTTGCGCACACCATTCCAAGCTTAGGTTCTCGAACCACGCTGCTGACAGATACCCTGATCCACGCCGCCCCAAACGTCAACGGCTTCGTTTCGGTACATACCTGTCGACGGGTAGACCCCCAAGCCAAGTGCGATGCCTGTGAAATGCCCTGCATTGCCCGTCGTATGTACCTCGGCGGCGCCTCCTGCACCGCCTTGGCAGGGTTCAGGAGAATCCTTGAGTTGGGGGGGACCACCACACCCTCTATCCTCTCGGCACACTTGACGTTATCTGTCTCTTGTCGAGCTTGTCATCGGAGCGCCGACATCGTATCTCGCTGCCCAGCCTTATCACTCCCGCAGCCGCCGATTGGAGCAGCGCCATTTGATGCACTTCTTCTCTCCACAGATTGATTAAAACAGGGCAATGCTCGCTGATAGCTCGGGCACACGCGACCGCGCACCTGCCCTATACGGTTTTGCCCATAGCCTTACCAGGTATTCTAATCGGCGCGAAGGCACGTTCCCCGTACGCAGCGTTAGCACGACATCAGGCTTCAATGCCGATGTTGGGGTGCGTTATCGCGCGCATGGCATGACATTTGTGGGTAATGATGTGGAGAATGCGGATGGCCATGAGCAACCCACGGGGTATATCTGAGGCATTTGATATGGATATGGTGAATGTTGGGGGTGCCGATTGTCGATATGTGGCTGTAGCTATGGATTATCGTACACATGCAGCGCTCGCATGCCAGCGGCGCTGCTGCCATCCGACTGAACCACGCGTTCTGTCAGAATAGGACCTCTATAACCAGACATAGGGAACTGTTGCTTTTGCAAGCGGGAATGATGCCGATCAGTCGTAGCAGTATGCAACGACATGGCATCAAGGACAAAATCAAGAAAGATCGTACCCAGCTCCAGTGATAGACCAAACGTGATCGTACAATAAACGCCATGTGGGTATCCCTTCCCTACCGAGGCTTTTCGCTGGAACGCCTCTAGATAAACCTGGATGCCTGAATATCGACAGAAAGGAAAATAAAGAAAAATAAAGACAACGCTGAAGCCATAATGATACACGTCGCGCAAGTGCTTAGTGAGAATCTTGGGCCTGAGCCGCCTCCTTGCCCTTGGACGAATGAGGATGCAGAAGCGCTGGCCGCCACTTCGCTACGTTCGACACGTTGAAGTGAAGAGGCTCCTTAGGGCCCTTCTCGCGGACGGGCATCTTCCGCTTTGATCGCCCAGAGACGTAGATCGGTTGCTGCACGTGGCCCGAACCGTTGACGTTGGGCATCGACTGCTTCGACCGGAGCTTGGGCTTCTTATCGCGATGCTCGTCGTCGGTTTCTTCCGTCTCAAAGCTGCGGAGACTGCTGCGCTCGGACGAAAAGCGACTTGACTGTGTCTGCACTCGCTCGATAGGGCTGAGCATCGATGCGGAGTCGGCAAGAACGTCCAGCTTCGAGGGCGCCCTATCCGCCAGCGAGTGAGTTCGAGATGAATAGGTAGGTGGAGGGTCCTGATAATCGTACATAATCTCTGAGTCCAGGCTCTTATACTTGGCGAAGCCGTCCAGTTCTTCGTCATGGCTCCAGCATGATTCGTCGGCACCCATTACCGCGGGGAGGAAGCGAATCTCGTTCCATGTCACGTCTTCGTACTGCAGTGTGACGTATAGGACGTCGCCCTGCATCTTGTCGTGCGCGATGCAGTGATCCTCGAGAAAGGGGTAGTCCCACACGTCGCGGTGGATGAGGTCTCCTGGCAGAATCGACAGAGCCATCCGGCCAAACGGTTCATCAGCAGGGCGATGCGCACTCATAGGCATCCATGGTCGGCTACGAATAATGCCCTTGAACGCTTGCTCAATGCGGTTTGCGAAGCACGAGCTGTCTTGGCTAGGGAACTCGAGGTTCTGCTGCAGCTTGCGGGTCGCGCAGCGTTTGTAACCGTTGCTGTCTGGGTCGTATGCGTACTTCTGCAGCTTTCGCGGGACGAAGATTACGCGCACGCTCCAAGATAACGGATACTTCTTGTCGGTGCGGATGGGTAGCTGCCCGAGCATATGCTGTGGCTGCAGGAGCAGTGGTAGTTGTGGAACGGGAGGTGCTTTGGGCGTCGATAGGTTCGCTTTCGGTGTCGATGCTCCGGGCGTCGCTTCTCTGGAGAGTCCGGTATTAACCTCTACGCGGTCAACCCTGTTCTCGAGCTCCATGGTGACCTCGTCGACCATGACCAGCCTCTCCTGCATGGCCTTGATCTGGTCTCCGAATTCCTGCGTCTTATCGACCACCGCCTCCACCTTGTCGTCCATGTGCACCTTCAAGTTCTGCATGTTCTCGTACATGCGAGCCTCTATCGCCTTGTAGATCCGGAAATGTTCTTCTCTTGCCACCCTCTCCTTGAACAGCTCCTGCTTCAGCTCCTGCTCCATGGTCTCATAGCGCTTCAGCTCCTGCTTCAGCCGCCTCACCTCCTCGATGACCTGCACATACTGCTCCGTGGACACGGTTGACAGCGACTGTGTTTCGTGATGCCAAGCCTGGTGGCCGCACCCGCACCGAGAGCGCACGACCGAGTCCGGATAGAAGCTGCGGCACGAGCAGCGCTGGCGGCCGCCGCCCGTCTCGGACTCAGGCAGCAGGAAGCCGCATTCTCCGCGAGGGAGCTGTGCGTCGCTGCTCGGCGCGGGCTTTCCAGGCAGGTGGACAAGGCTTTGCGTATTGCTACCGAACATCAGGGCACGACCTGGGGCTGCCGCGGCGAGGATCCTGCACGTCGAAGATGTGGCTCATGGAAGGCCGGAGGGGAGGAATTGGGGAGAATGATCAGTGGGAGCGAGCGGTGGAGGGAAGTGCAGACACGGGGCCAAGAGGCTATGGGCGAAGCGCGTCAGCGGGGGGTGGGCTCTGGGAATATATAGGAGAAGCAGATGGGTGAGGCTGGCGCACAAGATAAGACTGGGCTTCACAACCGCGCTGTCGGGGCACGCGGGAGCACCCGGCGGAAGTAGCAGCGGGCAGCTTCGGTGGTCGCACAGCCAAAAGGAGTACGTGGACGGGGTGCAACCGTGGGAGAGAGCGGGCTTGGAGGAGGTCAAGCTGGGCGGGTGCTGTGGAGGCAACGGGGCGGCGGACAGGACTGGTTACTTTTTAGGAGCGGGCCAGCCCTGGGACGGGTGCGCCGGGGTACGTGGGAGGTTAGTCGGCCTGCCATAATCGCGGTCTGATGGGGTTTGGGTGGAGGATGGGCGTGCTTGTCGGGATTCCGGCCAAGCCAGACAGCCGCTTGATAAGAGCGGCGGCGTGGGGAGCGCGCAATTGGCTGTGGCGCGCCGTCAACACCAACCATGCGACGCAGGGAAGGGACGACGCCGGGCGTGCCTGCCCTGGGAGCGACGATGGAGGGCAGCGTGCAGGCAGCCGCATGCGCGCATTGGAATCCAGTATACAGCATTCCTCTCTCCTGCTCCTGCTGTCGATGATGGGCCTTCTCGGGCTGCCCGCTCCATCGTACTGCGGAAAAGCGCCCGCGCGCCCGGAGATGGCACCGCACCGCACCTCCACTCTGACCCACGACGAGACTTACTTCAGCGACAACAGGACGACATCCCACAGCCGCGGCCGAAGCTATCCGCTGCGCCGTGCTAATCCCCGACGTCTCGCCATCGCCCTCAGCTCGTCTGCGTTCCCCAGACGGCGCCCTCTCCTCCTTGCTCCGGGCTGCAACCGGCGTCCCAGCACCACAGCGCTCACAGGCAGGCGCTGCAGGGCGAGCACCATATTGGTCATGGCTATCGGCGTCCAGACGAGCGGGTCTGCGCGTTGCATTTGGCATTTGTCCTGATTTCTCTTATCTCCCCCAGTTGATAATCCCCCACGACGCGCCCGCCGCTCGTTATTGGCGGCCCGAGTACAATACACCACAACCTCACCGCGCAAACACCAGCCGACAGTCCACCCGGCGCGCGGCAATCTCTCGCGGCAAGCCGACGTGCGCAGTCCAGACAATGCGCATGAAATCGGTCTCGTCCTGCTTGCGCCCAGAGGCGACAGCGAGACCCGCTTCGTGGCCGCCCGCTGCGTGCTTCAGTATCGCTCTGCGCTGGCCTACGGCGAGAAAGCGGTCACGGAAGGCTACGTAGCGGGCAATCATCTTGAAAATCGTCACATGCCGGTCACCTTCCTGGTCTATAATCCCCGTCCTATGCTTCGACGATAGACATCGAAGCACGTCCTCGACGCAGGCGGCCATGGAAGCGGAATGGCGTCGACCGTCTGCAATCCTTTATCTGCCATATCGAGGCGGCGCCGATGGATGGCGGGGGCAGGGCAGATGAAACTCATGACCTGCAGGAACCTTCTCATCGAGTCAGTCCACGACGTGTCTCAGCGTGGACGCCGAATCACGATGGACTCAACATTGAGGCCGGCACTGTGCACCACGCCACAAGGTAATCTGCCATCACCAACGCCGGCCAGACGCTGCAACACGCCTGCCTTTTCGCGACGTAAGTGCATCCCGCGTTTTGTAACGAGCATTATGTCCGTCAGACCACGGCCGCGTCGAACCGAGTTTGGGCCAGGCACAGATTTCTCAAGAGCAGATATTTGCCACAAACGGGCTTGCACTGGGCGCGGCATGTTCTGCGGCGTCACCTACAATAACGGGGATATCTCTTCCGCTCGCCTAACCATGGAGTTATTCGTTAAGCCATCGCAGTCGTACAGCATGTTGGCAGCTGGAACGCGTTCAACGATATCGGACGCTACTCAAAACGGTCACACAAGCGCTGCTTACCCCACCAAATCCGCCCGGCTGGACAACGACTTCCAAAAGCAGTATCCTTGAACCGCCTTTGATTGTGTCACCTCAAGGAGGGATGGCGAGCGAGAGGCCGAGACAAATTTCCAACCGGCAGGCCGCGAACCTCACGCTGAAGGTAAAGGAAACCAGCTGAAGTTTACCGGGTTTGCCTCTGGGCAACAGCCATCTCTGCACAATAGCCATGTTCCTCCGCGCCCCCTCCTCCGTCCAGCGTTTCTCTTCTGAGAACGGGGAGGAGATAGAAATGTGATCAAAAGAGGTTAGTGAGATCGACCGGGAGCATCCGTGGGGTAAGGCTTGCCACAGATCGCTTCCCAAAGTGGAACAACCGACCCCTTGTCGCTTTCTTCTCTCGTGTTTGAATCGTTCCATCTCGCTGCGGCCGCTATCCGGATATGCAAAGAAGTTCGCCCACACCAAACATTTAATTACTATGTTATGACGTCCACGCGTCAGATACGGAGAATCTGCTCAGCGTGGCGGCTATTTCCCCAGGTCGGCGGGGTCGCTATCCCCAATTGATTCGTACACGGCTCCAGTTACGCAGACGGTCTGGCTGCTGGAGCCAGAGCATGTGGAACGAAGCTGGTCGTTCGCGAGGATGCTGCCATCGGGACATACGCAGAATGCATGATACTCATGTCCTTGCAGCCCCATTATGCGTAGTCCCATTGTCGGAAGAGTCTTGAGAACAACTGGGTTGGCGAGAAAGAGCGCGATGTGTTCAATAGCTCACACGAGGATCTCAAAGGGGATGCTCTTTGCGATACCGACGGTTCTAGATCTAACCCAAGTGTTTTATCTCTCTCCTATGAGAAGCATCCTTCCGAAGCTGATCGAGGGTTATTTGATGTTTATTCGCCCTGCTTGTCCTGTGCACGTAGCCGACCAATCGAGGCCAACTTGTTACTTGTGAACCCAGGATGAGTAAGTGCCATACGAAATCTTGCCTGGTAAGTAATAGGTTGGTAGGATGTATGATCTTCCTTACGTTCTCAACTCTTCAATGCCTGTCCCGCGTTGCTATTATGTCTATCGCTCAGCTAATTTTCGACAACCATCGCTTCAGCCCTACCGTAACGTGGCTTTCTCGATCAAGGATCAACTTCCTCCGCACACTAGAGGACCACGTTGATGAATGGAAAGCATTATTCCATAGTAAAGACTTGCGGAACCATACTCGTTAACAATTCCTTGCGTCTTCCGAAAGCTTATAGACTTAACCATTTAGGCATTCATGGGGCTTCAACGAATCACATGCTTGCTGACGGTAGCTTATATCAACAACCAAACGCAGTTGGGCAAGGCGTGGGAGGGTGAGCTCCCGCTAGATATATAAAGGAGGTGTTAGTCCTTAACTTCGTAAGGGGCTCCTTCGCGTAAACGCTAAGACTTCCGTCAGAACAATCCATAGGACGACGTAATAATGGAAAGGTTATTAATAGACACATCACCTAACACAAGACTGTATGCACGAATACCCGGAGGGCGCAATAAATGGATTGCCTCCTTTGTTGTTTAACGATCGTGGTAATTATAAAAAGAGCGTTGCGAGAGGATCTCCTCCCCCGTAGTCCCTATTCAAGACCTCTCTGCCAGAGTACCCGCGTTCGCAAGACCATGTAACATGTCGAAGGTCTTGTGTGACTTACTAAATTATGTCTGTTAGTGATATGCAGAAGGATATATCATAGTTGTCTTACACCGCCGTGACCACACCTAGTGCAGGCATTTCGAGCTTACCAAAACCGACACCATCAATGCCATGTATTCATCAATAATGCAACTCCACCATTTCATGACCGATTTCAATAATCATGACTATAGTTAGGTTTTATTGCGCCTTTCCGCGTATATTGAGAATACTTATCTAATCGATACATGATGCCGCTGAAGTGAAGGTGTTGGCACTTGGCATACTTCTCATTACCCGCTAACGAACTTTGGTTAGCGCGACATCACCATGGTAACCACTCACTTCAGAAGAGTGTGTTTTGTCCGAGTTTGTAAGCCTTCAGCCATCTTCAATCTGCCACGTGCTCCCGCCGCCCACCCTCACCCACCTGCGTCCGTCAATCCTCCGGGCTGCGCTAGCGACTTCGAGGACCTGGAAGCCGCGGACGCCTACAAATATAGGCTCGCCAAAACCTCAACATGTTGATCCACACCGACCCCACACCTCCAGTTGTGTACGATGCCACTGGGTTGCAATATCAGACGGAGAAACAGCTTGGCCGGGGAGGCTTCGCTATCTGCTGGCAAGCACAGCAAACTGACGGCGACCGCACGCCCAGCAAAACGGTCGCCTTGAAGATTGTTAGGTCCAAGATGGAACATACGAAGCTGGCAAAGAAGGTATAGTTGCTCACTGTGTCTTGCCTCTTGCATCACTCTAACCCTTGCTCGTAGTTTGTTACCGAGCTGCAAATCCATTCAAAACTTCATCATCCACATATCGTCGAGTTCCTGCGCGCCTTCGCCTTCGAGTCATCTACATACGTCGTTCTCGAAATCTGTCCAAACGAATCTCTCGCCCATTGTCTCAAGAAGCGCTCATATCTCTCAATGCCCGAAATCCGTCGATACATAATTCAGATTTGTGGTGCTGTTAAATACCTTCATATGCACAATATTGTCCATCGAGACCTGAAGACCGGAAACTTGTTCTTAGACCAGGAGATGAACGTTAAGGTTGGAGATTTTGGACTCGCTGCCGTGCTGGTGGGGCCAGATGATGCTGCAATGCGCCGGACAACAATGTGTGGGACTCCGAATTACATTGCGCCGGAGGTTCTCGAGAAGAGCGACAAAGGACATAATGAGAAGGTCGACATTTGGGCTATTGGTATTATTGCGTAAGTACCTCGCACGCTCACCTATCAAACTCTTAATAATCTTTATTTCAGCTATACTCTCGCAGTCGGGAAAGCACCTTTTCATGCATCAAAACCCTCGGAAGTCCTTGTCAAGGTTGCGAAGGGTGAATATACCTGGCCTGATCTTGGACGGCATGAGAATGATATCCCAGACGACCTCCGGAATCTTGTATCTCAAATCCTCGTAGATGAAAATTCGCGCCCAGGCCTCGACACAATCGTTTCATATGACTTTTTCAAGATGGGCTACATCCCGGAAACTCTCAGCAGTAACGCCACCTCTTGTAGGCCGAAATGGACCATCAAGCCACCAAACCATGCCGCTATCAAGCGAGGCTACACAGAAGCCTGGTACAAGCAATGCAAAGCCAGCGGAGTCGGCGAGTATGCACCCGGACAATTCTTCTCCGTCGCCGGCCACTCCTCGTCGAAGAGCATATACCGGGAGTGCGAGCGAGAGGCCGAGGCCCGCAAGATGCCTATCGTTCCGATGCCTCTAGATGCCATCTATACCCCGTTCGTTTCGAGGAAGAGCAAGGGCAGCACCGGCGGGCTTGAGAACAGCCAAGACCGAGAGTTGTCTACCAATTCGTCGCATCTGGTAGAGTCTTCTATCAACACTAAGTACAGTATACCCGGCCGCGTCGAAGCGCCACCAAACAAACAGCGGGGTGCAGAACGCCAAGAACCCGTTGCTTCAATACCTTCCCATGCGAGGCCACCAGCCTTCTCGTATACAGAGACTGCACAGAGCGCGCGTCGTCCGGCTGCGTTTCGTTCTAAGACGACACTGAAAGTGACCTCTATTCCGACAGCAGAGCTGGGAGCGACGAAATCAGAAGCCGAGCCACAACCGAACTTCACTGAGCAATGTCCAATTCGGCCATCTCGTACGCGATCATCTCGGACTACTTCTCGAACTATCTCTCGATGCATAGCGCAAGTCGAAGCTGGAGCTTCTGAGCCTGTACAATCCATACGGAGGGGCTCTCATAACACTGCACGAGCCGCGGAATCTGGTCTCTCAGAAGCCGTACAATCCACACGCCCTACGTCTCGTACAGCCGCTCGGACAGTTGCGAGAGTCGCTACTCTTGCTTCTCTTCAAGAGCCCGCGCCTGAATTTACTAAACAACTACCCAAGCCTGTGCTCCCACCTTCCTCAAGTAATGTTGTTGCTTCAACATCGAAGAAACTCGCTGCCCTCGAAGACTCGCTCATAAATCTCTATACCAATCCAGCCACCATCCTCGAGCGAGCAGAAGAGCTTCGGAACAATGTCATTACCGCACTCACTTGCGCCAGCAATGCTACATCCGCTCTCCATAACTGGAAATCCTCGCCCGTTCACCTCCCCTTCGTCTCCAAATGGGTCGACTACAGCAAGAAACATGGCATCGGGTACATCCTCGCCGACGGCAGTATTGGCGTCGTCGCCAACCACACTGATGGCAAGCCGCTCACGCATGTTGTTGTCGACCATGGCCTTGAGTACCTCAAGACCGCTGAAGACAATTTGTCACTCAAAACCATTCCATTCCTATACTTTACACAGGCAAAAGACGGCGGTTTGGAGAAAACCGCCGTGGCCGAGGCCGACCGCAAGCGGAACAGCATCTTGTGGGTTAAATTCGGGCGGTACATGCGCAAGCACCTCAGCGAGCAGACGCCCAACAGGGCCAGGGAACAGAAGGAATCTCCAATTATCATCGTCAGGTACTATCAACGTGTGGGCAATGTCAGCGTGTGGGGCTTTAGCAATGGGTGTTTCCAGGTTCGTCTCCCTCTCCTCGTTCATTGTGATCATAAATCTCTTCTCCTTTCTCGCTTTCTTTCTAGCTTATTCTAAGCACATACTGATCCGATCTTCCTGCGCGCAGTTCAATTTCCCCGACCATACCAAAATCGTTCTTTCCGCCGATGGCAAATACATCTCCTTCACCACGCTCCCGCTCGCCGCCATCACACACATGGCCACCCACCCCGCAGACCTCCCCGCCGAACATATCAAGACCCGCAAAGTCCTGTCCGGCACCATTTACCAACTGCTATACTGCAACCAACCTACCTTGAGCCTGACCTCCAGGTCTACCTCCACAGCCGTCGAAATAGAAGTCGTGGCACTAGCGACCGCAAATAAGCTGCCCGCTAAGCTGCATTTCGTGGCCGAAGTGGTGGCCAACTGGGTTTCTGGGGGTGGCTTGGGATGCAAGCCGGCGGGAAGTCGGTGGCCGGAGTGGATGGGTTCGACGTTGGATTATGCGTGGAAGAATAAGACTGATCACGTTACGGTAGGAAGGTTTGGTGGAGATAGGATGCCTAGTGGGGGAGGAGAAGAATGCGGGTGAGAAAGAGAAGGGGGTTAAGAATTGTACTTGCACACTTAGACTGGCTAGTAAGAGGCCAATAATGTGAATAACACTACCGTAACGCTCCCTCCTATATTAGGGGGAAAGCCGGGGCCCCTATTTAGGTAACTTCTTCGGGCCTATTAGGAGTATAAACTCTATTTCCTAATTAGCTAGAGAGGGGCTTTAGCGTAAGAAGCCTTAGAGTAGAGTCTGTAGGAGGCCTTAGAGAGGTAGAAGAAGAGAAAAGAGAGAGTATAGCAGATAGTAAATTGCAAGCTCTAGAAGATCTCTACGCAAGAGAATAGCTAACTTACCTCTAAATATACTAGAGCTAAATACGTAGTATTAGTAATAACTAAAATAACGTACTTTACTACTAAACTAGTTATCTTATTAAATAATCTAAAAATACTAAGCTTCTACTAAAAAGCTACTATCTCTATTATAAAGCTCTCTATAAACGTCTAATTAACTTTAGATAAATTCTAAATATAGCTTACGCTCTATATAAGAGCTAGCTTTATAGTCTCTACTACTATAAGTATTCTTAAATACCTAGCTAGGTAAGTTAGCTATAGATAGTACTATCTCTATAAGCTATAAGAATAAAGAGTACTAGTAGAGTAGGTTAGATTAAATTTAGCTATCTAAAGGTAAGAAGTAGAGAAAAGACTTTAAGAGACTCTATATATAGAGGTGCTAAGCGCTAAGACGCTAGGCTAGATTATATAATAAAGTTACGTAACCTAAAGTTATATAACTAAGGTAAATCTCTAAACTAGACTATTATATTACTCTCTCTTATAGAAAGAGCTTATCTCTAAGCTCTAAAATACGCCTTCTAGATCTCTCTTCTTCTAAAACTTATAATAGTCTAGTTTAGAGATTTACCTTAGTTATATAATCTTAGGTTATATAACAAAGTTATATAACCTAGCCTAGCGTTTTAGCGCTTAGCATCTCTATATATAGAGTCTCTTAGAGTTTTTTCTCTACTTCTTATCTTTAGATAGCTAAATTTAACCTAACCTACTCTACTAGCATCTTTTATTCTTATAGCTTATAGAGATAGTACTACCTATAGCTAACTTATCTAGCTAGATATTTAGAGATACTTATAGTAGTAGAGACTATAGAGCTAGCCTTTATATTATCTAAAGGTTAGTATCTCTTTAGCTAGAGATAGTAGTATAATATTAGGCTAAACTAAGTAGTCTTATAAGAAGTATTTACTAATAGCTATACTAAGAATTAGAGCTATAAGAGCCTAGTTACTTACTTTAAGAATCTATTAATATACTAATTAATTACTTACCTCTAGTACTATATAAGACTACTAGTAAATCTAGTAGGTAGTAGAAAAGATACTACTAGTAGTAAGCTAAAGAAAGTAATAAGAGCTCTATATATAGAAGAACTTCTATAAAACTTCTACGTATAGAAACTCTCTCTCTATTTTAAAAATTAATAATTCTCTACTCTACTAGTAGAGCTAATAATTAGCTACTATACTAGTAGTATATATTTTTACTTCTTAAATAAAAAGCTATACTTAAGTTAAACTACTTAAATACTATAGATAAACTCTTATAAAGTAACTCTAGAAGTAAAACTCTAGTTCTATAGTACTCTTTTATCTTTATAATTCTTAAATTCTAGATAGAGAATCTACTAGCTAGTTACTTAAACTAATATTATTATTATAAATTACCTATTTAATAATATAATATAATAACTAATAAGAATTAAAATATTAACTTTAAATAGAAGCTAGTATAGCTACGCTAGAGCTTAGTAATATCTAGGTTATTAGTAGTAGATAGCTCTTATATACTCTCTACCTCTAGAAAAAAGCTCTAAGAGCTTTTTCTAGAAAAGCTAAGTAAAATTATTAATAAATTAGTTAGCTAATTACTTATACGCTAGATACTTAAATAATAAACTTATATATATTACTAGATTACTACTAATATATTTACTAAAGAAGATACTATATATAGAGAGTATTAGAATTTATAGTAGAAAAAAGCTACTATTTTAGTAAAGATTTAATAGCTATAAGCGTAACTATAATTCTACTCTAGAAGCTAAATACTATCTACTTTATTAACTTAACGTATAATATACTTTATAAATTAGATACTATATATTTATAAGTCTAGCGTACTACTACTAGATAACTCTACTCTAGGTTTTTATCTAATAGCGTATATACTTACTATACTACTAGTAACTAAATAATATTTAGAAAGCTAGATAAGGTTTTTTATTAAGTTTCTAGACTCTCTATTACTATTTAATAGTAAGGTTATTATCTTTAAGTAATAGAGAGATAGATTATAAGATAAGCTTTAAGCTAATTATAACTAGTATATAGAAGAGATAGATAAGAATACTAAGACTATTATAGTCTATATATATATATAAATAGAAAAAGATATATACTAGACTTTCTTTATAGTTCTATATACTCTAAGAAATAGTAGTATATAGATTTTCTATAAATATATACTTAATTAGCTAGAAAGAAGCTATATAGACTTCTATAAAAGGCTAAATACTTATTATAATTTCTAGAATCTATATTACTAAACTACTACTAACTTTACGTACTTCTAGATTAATTTCTTCTATCTAGTGTAGAAGCGCTAGCTTCTAATAGACTAATAGATAGAGAAGCTTTATAAGAAGCTTCTAGTAAATCTATATACGTAGATAGATATCTACTAATATTAGTATACTTATAATTATAATTAATATATAGATTTTACTTAAAATCTTACTAGAGAGCTTACCTAAAAAGAAGCTTATATATTTAGAAAGGTTAAAAAGTATAATACGCTTATATTAATATTATATTACGCGTCTACTACTCTTCTAGGTATTCTACTAATATCTAATAAAGCTCTAGTAATTAAGAAGCTAGTTATCTACTTTTAATATTAGTAATCTAGCTATATAAGCTATAATTACCTAAGAGCTTCTACTACATAGAAAGCTATTAAGAATATTAATCTAAAAAAAAAGTCTATAGAGTCTATAAAGCTATAAGTACCTAAGAATAATACGTTAGAATATAAATTTAATAATTTAGAAAAAGCCTAGCTCTAGAAGAAGTCTTCTTTCTAGAGCTATCTACTAGAGTAATAAACCTATATAAAAAGCTATTTAGTAGTTCTATATTTACTCTACTCTACTAAATATCTATAGATAGTCTTACTATTAAGCTTAGAGACTTAATTAATACTAGAGTAGGTAGTTATATTCTAGTATATTTAAAGTATCTTTAGACTCTTAGAAAAAACCTCTACGTTAAGCTATTACGTATAAAATATAAGGGCTAGATTTATAGTCTCTACTACTATAAGCGTTCTAGAATACCTAGCTAGGTAAGTTAGCTATAGGTAGTACTATCTCTATAAGCTATAAGAATAGAGTGCTAGTAGAGTAGGTTAGGTTAAATTTAGCTATCTAAAGGTAAGAAGTAGAAGGCTACTCTAAAAGGCTCTATATATAGAGGTGCTAAGCGCTAAGGCGCTAGACTAGGTTATATAATAGAATTACGTAACCTAAGGTTATATAACCTAAGGTAAATTCTAAACTAGACTATTATATTACCCTTTCTTATAGAAAGAGCTTGTCTCTAAGCTCTAAAATACGCCTTCTAGGTCTCTCTTCTTCTAAAACTTCTATATTATACTCTTAACTATCTCTTTTAGCTTATAGTAAGTGTATTTATATTAGTTTTAAACTAGAAGCGCTTTTATAGCTACTACCTTCTCTCTAGTTACTCTATTCTTATAGAGATTTAAGCTAGAAGGCTTATTTTCGCGTCTATAGGGCGGCTTTGTCGCAGGCTCTCTTCTTAGCAGCGCCTTCGCGTTACTCTTATGTCTTCTACTCTTGCGAGTTTTAAATTCTCTACTATCTTCTCTAGAGTCTCCTCTTTTTTATACGCCTTAATCTAAGTATCTAATTATAATAATAGTTCTAGCTTATCTAGATATACTATATAAAAGTCTCTTACCTTATAAAGAGTGTTAATAAAGCCTATAGTATTATACTAGGTAAGGTTAGAATTATAAGTAACCTATATAGCGTAGTATTAAAGGCGATTTTAATAAAGATAGCTATTTAGAATTTTATATACAAGCTATTCTAGATTACTATTAACTTTAATAGGTAGCTACTTAGGCTCTACTTGCTCTAGTAATAGCTCTAAGGCTTTTCTTAGCTAATTAGTATAAGAGACGTTATATATACGTATATACGTAGATAGCTAGAGCTAGAAGAAGTAACTCTTTATAGTAATAATTAGATAAGAGCTATATATCTATTAATTAAGCTTTATACTAGATTAATTTGTTAAAAAGCTATAAGGTTTAATATAGACAAGGTCGCCTACTATAAAATTAGGTTCTTAGCGCTTTTTATTTACTTAGAGCGCCTGCCTAGCCTACGCTTTTACAATATTACTTTATATAATTTTAGTAGCTTTTTCTATAGCGTTATATTACTTCTTAGCAAAATTCTAAGCTTTTTAGCGTAAGAGATACTTACGTAGAGTAGAGGCTTTTATTATACGCTTCTTCTAATTCTAGTAGTATATTAGCTAGT